TATGAACCCTATCTATACGACAAAAGCAGCTACAGTTTTCTTTAAGCTTTTGCCATTCAAAAAGATATACTTTAATGCTGTTAAGCTTATCTTCAGTTAGTTTTTGGTGCATGTTATGGTCATAATTATAAAATGGTGATTAGAGAAAGGTGGATTCAAGAATGCTAGTATAAGAATACGTTTTAAGGACTTCTGTTTTACTTACTATATCAAGATGTTGTTATTTATCCATTTTTAAAAAAAATGTTCCTATGTTTTGTGTGTGCATTTCTGTAATAACATTTGCATCTCCACTAAAGATACTGTAAGAATGGTTCTCGAGATGCCTCCATGAAATAATTGAAATGAAGATGAAAAGAACTGACATGAGATGACTGAAAATTCACACCATAGTAAAAAAGAGCTCGCTGATTATGGGAATGGAAAAAAAATTGCAGATTTTATGTGGAAAATCCGCCCAGCCATAAAAACGTCAAAAAATCACAATTTCGAGAATCATTTTTACCTCCACTGTAGATTAATCATAGATGACTAAGTGATATGATGGAGTGATATCATATAGATGAGAGATACTGTAGAGATGGTACAGTATACAGTAATGATATGTATAATATGACAGGTCTGACCTGATCTGATCGATCCAATTCTATGAGGAACCTCTTTGCTAGAATATACTTCGTTATTAAAGTTTATCATAGATGATAGACAAGCACTACTGTAGCATATCACAATATCATAATGATAGAAATGTACTACAGTAAGCACTTCTTTTCTTCCTCCAAAGATCGGACACCTGAAAAATATTGCCTTAAAAGATTTCCAGCCTGTTACTTTGATTAGATACACTTCTTTACTAAACTCTATCATATATGGTGACCCTTTCAAGTGTACAGGGATGTTATGTCAGTTAAGCGGGAATAGAGCTCCTTAACAGGTCGCCGCGTCAGTGATCCAAACTAGCTTGAACCGATAAAAACTGAGTCGGGTCGACTATTTTTGAACTGGTAGACGGTTCGGGTCAGAGACTGACCCGAACCAATGACCCGACATCTGATTCAGCTGGTAATGTGAGAAGCGCAAGGTGTCATGCGGATGAGAAAACGAGATGCGAAAATAGGACGTGTAATAAGAAGTGAAGTATAAGCGAAGCAGAACACGTTCAGGTGAAGTGACAACCGTCATACAGTAGGAAGAAGCAAAAATATTCGCGTCATTTGAGCATCGTTCCTAATGACGATCACAAGCAGAATTGGCAATGGCAGTGGAATGAATTGGAGTACGATGCCCCGAATTTCGGGACAGTGTATAGAAAAGAATACACTTTTTATGAATAGCAAAAAGTCGCGGCACTATGAAAAACATGCTCAAAAAAAGTTGCAGTGTGATGGCAGTCTCCAGCTCCACCCATTATGCACTGAATGCAAGAAGATGCTAATTGAGCTCATGAGTTGCACGATTCTGCCCGAAATGCTTTGCATATATGTTTTAGTGGACGTTGCCATAAAGATACTTTATTTCGCCAGCGTTTTTCATATCGGCAAGGAAGAAAAGTGGGTGAACAACGCTTTTTCTTATTTTCGGATTTACCGAAAATATTGTCAAACCGACCGCTCATGTTGAAATGGTGAATGCAATGAGATAAATTGCATTGCGATCACCGGGATTTCGCGACAATGTAGAAAAGAGAATGTACTTTTCATACAAAAAAAAATGGATGGAACATATAGCAAAAGTCACGGTATTAATGAAAACGTTAAAAAAACAGCATAGGTTTGGACCATTTTTTCACCACTGTATCATAAAAAAAATGATGTGACAACTTACAGAGCCAAGATGGTGTGTTTGAAGGAACAGAATGCATAACTGTAAGCATTTACATAAAAAAAATCGAAGGAAGTCCGGTTAGAATGAAGCTGAACTGGCACAGCTTTTGACTGACCCGAATGACCCGACCTGAACTGAAATGCTCGTCGAATCGGTTCAGCTCAGTTCACAGGTCGTTTTTAACAGTTTGGGTTGGTCCAGGGCCTGACACGACCAGACCCGACTCGATAAGGAACCCTAAGCGCGAGTTTTTATCCAACAAATATTGGGCGACTCAGTGTGCCACTTACCGTAAATGAAAAAATTTCTTTTCAGAGCGATGCAACTGGTCCCAACTTTTGATATCATACGCTTCTTTACGCCGACATAAATGATGATCATTATGAGTGCATCGCAATTCAATGAAATTGACCATAATACTAAGCGGATTTCTTTCCAACAACATCATAATTCAACAACGCCAGTTTCGTTTAATAAATTTCATTCCCAAGGCGATTCGACTGAGCAATTACCTTGATGGCATACATTTTTTTTACTCCTCTATCGAAGAAGTACTGTACATCAGCAAAGCGAAGTTCATTAAAAGGTATCGCTCACAAATTCGCTGCCCATATTCATGAAGATCCACCATGAATCGATATTGCTCCCGTCCCTCAAGGAACTGATCCACGCTTCCGGATAAGTTGTGACTGCAGCCTTCATTGCTGCCGATGAAGTGCTTTACAAAGAAGCGACATTCGATTACTTCCACATAGCCATTCAGTTATTTTGGAAGGGATTCGAACAAAAGCAACACTGCCTGCATATGAAGTGGATGGTCCGGTGTTTGAGCATAAATAGCAAGCTGAATGGTTTGGCGATGGAAAAGATGGGGAGGCTCAGTTGACAGTGGATTGTTCGAAAGAATAAAATCGGTATGAACGGATGCGAATTAAAAAAAGTCCGTGTCCAATGAATAAAGGAAAAGTGCGAGTCAATGGAGTTAACAAGGCGATGAAGCTGTCTTTATTGTGTGGACCGCGATAACGGAAAGAAGAATATATAGCGAAAGGAACCAATGGGACTAAAAAAAAAAAAAAAAAAAAAAAACGAAGAACAGCTGTTCATGTGACAAAAGATGAATTTTCGGTAGTTTGCGTGATTTTTTGGCGAACTGAGGCCCCGTTGTCTTTCTCTTTCGCAAGCGCTTTCGAACGATGATTATTGTCGATGCTACTTTTTTCTTTTCTTACTGGTGCTCTTCTCTCTCTTTTCGTGTTGCCGAATGGAAGCTTCGGTAAACTTCAAAGTCATGTGATGAACGACGCTCCTTTTTAATTTTATCCGTTTGTTATGTTTCCCTTGGCCTTTTTTTGCTAATTACGTGTCATTCTAGGCCGACTGTTGAAATTCTTTCGTCAATGCTGCCCACGAAGGCGTTTTGTACTGAATGTTATATGTAAGTACTTCTTCATAAAGTGAAGAACTGGATACTGATGTGCTTTTTTCTTTTTAGTCAATTCAAAGCGGAAAAGCTCACGCGTTCGACTTGTGTGGCAATCTCAAACTCTAGATAAGTCCTTTGCTCATTTCGTTGTATTCTTTTCTTTGCGGACAAAGAGTTGTTTGCTGCATCCCTCTGGCTCTACGACGATGGTGACTAGCTGGCGCAGGTGGGAGTGATCTTTAAGGGTTGGGTTGGCATCCCTGGTCGTTTCCACGCTGTTCAACTGAGAACGCAATCGCAATCGGTGTTCACATATAACGTCGAGCTGGGGGAGTCAGGTTGTAGTAGGTTAATAGCCTCTCTTTTGTCCGCTTGCTTGTTCTTTTTCGTTGCAAAGACTGACTCCGGGAACTTTCTTATTCTTCCAAACCGAGAACCTTTTTGCTTCTTTTTTTTGGATTCGTCCAACGGTCTTTCCCATCGGCTGTTTTTTTTTTGCTAATCAGTTGTTCTATCTTAGGTCGACGCTGTAATTTACGTGTGGTCTTTTTGCTCATGAAGCTGCAAAGAGCATGCGGTAAAAATAAAAAATAAAAAAAGAGGAAGGTGAGAAAGGTGGGCAGAGTAATTAAGAATGAGTTTTGTGCTTGGATATTTCAGCGGACGTTTACCTTTTCCATTCGTCTGTTCGCCTTCCTTCTGCTCTGATGTTGGCATTATCGCCATTGTTCCATGTGAGCTGATTAATTTCTTCGGAAGCGCTTCCACCATTTCGGTTAAGTTCCTTCAATGTTGCTTCAATACTTTGCTTGGATGATGTTGAAGGATTCATCGTCCTAGTCTAGATGCTTTTCCTAGACAAAAATTTGAGAGGAAGAATTTGCAGATGGCCGTTAGAGGGGAACTTCTGAGGATGCCGGTCACCTATGCAACTAGATCCTATGAACTTCAAAGCACTTCTTATTTGCACAGGTCGTTATGCGCACATATCATTTGCCTTGCCTTTTGCCTTCTTATTTTATTTTCCACCTGCAGATCAACGGAAGGAGCATTTTTGCCTTTGCAATCTCAAGATCCGCTACGGACATTTTCATCGTACCAACGCGTCTGTCGTATGGATAGGGCTTACATGCCACTACATAAGAATTATCGCGGTTTAAGCAGAAAAGAGACACTTAGAGTAGTGACACATCATTTGTACATTTAAATCCCGGTCCCGATTATTAATTTTCGATAATAAACAACAGTCTCACCGTACTCTCAAGTCTCTACCTACTCATTCTTATCCCACTGCTGCATCAACACTGGATATTCCCAGATTCCTGGATACTGCTTTTGAGATGGCCGCTGAGATTGGTACACATTATTTGGTGTTCTGATTATCCAATCTATTGTTAATCCTTGCTGTTCTTTCAGATCCGTCCTTCGATGTAGTCCGGGAAGTGGTGGAATCGGTGGAACATGCCAGCACCCATGAGCGAGGTAAATACATGGCACTTATCCATTGTGAATACACTAATAAAATGAAGCTATATGATAGCTGTCATGTCTCTGATGACTCGTCAAGAACGCACATCTGCAATGGGGATGGGTGAGTAAGTCGAAGAAGTTGTCGAAACAGTAAACTTTGAAGACTTCGACTTCTGTGAAGTTCTGCCTTCTTTAGCCGGCGAAAATCTGTTCCGTGCTGCCTTCCTGGGTTCTTACCCCGATGCTTCTGGGTTCCTCTCCGTCGGCACTCCAGTGTCGGAACAGCCAAGTGAGTTGCGATATCATTTTGATATTGATTCTGCTCACTTGGTTGGTGATCATATCCCGTCCATTGGTCCGTTGGCTTTGTTTACGCTGGCCAACTTTTCCTTCACGTTATAGAAGCCCAATCACTTTGGCGTTCCCGTTGCTAGCCTACACGAAACTGTAGAGTTGTGCAAAATTCCCAACTTCCGCTTGGGTGAATTTGGCTTCAACGGCCGTTGGAAGGTAATATTCCGATAAAACTTTGCTTGATCATTGCATATTGATCCACCTATTAGGTCAGCATTTTTTTCCCTTTGCTCGGTGGTTCTGCCACCATGCTGCCTTCACAAGTGGCTACCTTCGTCGACTGCGTTCTTTTGCCCGCGATTGAATTGGCATCTCCTTTTGAGTGTCAAAACTTTGGCCTCGATTATCAAGCTGAATCAGAACGCCTAAGAGATGCAAACGGCCGAATTGTAGCCAAGCCAGCCATGCTCGATACCATGAGTGTACCTGCTCTCATTGAGGGTATGCGTGCACTGGTTGCTGAAAGCCAGCGTCTGAAAGCACTTTTTGGAGACTTTTTTTTTGACACCTGGTGTATGGGCATCAAAGGCCCATTCAGGGAGTCTCCACAGACCTCCCTTACTGATATCAACTGGGATTTGGTAACTGTCATCTTTGTGATATATTAATAAACTCTTTACTAACTAACGTTAACATAAGGTCGATCCAAATACCTCCTACATCGATGTGGGTGCAGAAGTCCTGCCGGTTTCTGATGAATTTTTGGTCGGTGTACCGACAGACAGCTCGCATGAAGAGCTTATTAACCAGCTATCCGGTCCCTTGGGTTCGTCTGCTTATCAGTACAGGTATGGTTATGATACAAGTCTTATTTATGTTGGCTTCCGTTAATCATCTTTTTGCACTTTTGATCACCATCATCATAGATACGATCGACTTTCGCATTTGCGAGGCGTGGGTGGTTTTGCGCTGTACCTGAAAGATAATACACCAACCAATGACTTCGGAGCCGTCTACGCACAGGTATGTACTGCGATGAAAGGAAAGGATACGTAATACATATCATTCATCATATGATTTTCAATCCAGGCGTACAGCAAAGTAAAAGTCCCTTTTTACAACCTTGCTGCAAATAAGGACCGAAGTGGTATTGCCATATCTCCTTCCCAAATTTTCTCAAATTCTTTCTCAGGTTTTAAAGTAGGTTAGCTTGAAAATTTTAGTTGGTGCAGACCTGATTCAGTAACACTGCTAATATTATATAGACCTTTGTAAATGCAACAATGGCAGCTCTGCCACATAAATCTTTGGTGTCCGTTCAGAAGTGCGTGTCAACCTCTTCAACTTTATTGACACCCAAGATATCGTACTATTTGTTATGCGGTATGCAAGCATATTATATTTTGATTTGTGAATTTGATTATTTTGACAGCCTTTACAGACATTACCTTGAAAGCAAGGGCAACATCTGCTGGCTCAGATCGTCTAATCTCGCTTCTCTTTGGTCTGGTTTGTTTGGTGGCCTTTCCTGGGCTGCGAACCATATTGAGCCCTCAGATGGTTCCAGCCGACAATCCTATATGCGACGGGCATCTCTCGCTTGCCTTTTGGCTGTCCACGTCTCTGGTTGGTTTGCTCGTCCTGAAGACAACCACCGAGGCTGGAAGCAAGCCTACGAGACCTTTGCTCTGAGTAGGGATATGCAGTCAGCTTTCTTCCTATTTAATAGAAAATTGGTTTTGACTGTATTGAACTATGTCACGACGCGACAATGCCTTCAGGAAGGCATTGTTGAAATGTTGTTGGGTGTGTCATTTAAACCCCCACAAGGTTCGCGGACAGTTCCTGCCCAAATGTTGGCCAGGAATCGAAGAATTCAGGTCGACCTCCCCGTGCGAACTTTGGCGACACCTCTACTTTCCATCCCAACAGAGTAAGTTCAGTCGATAAAAATAATGACGTGACTGTATTTACCAACTCGTTTTTTCTTATAGGCAACAATCAACTTGCGTCGGCCATCCAAATGAACATCCATTCCAACTTCGGAAGTGAACTCATCAATCACCTTTACTCGTTTCTTTCGTCGTCGCTCACAGATTTCGCTGTACAAACAGCTAGTCTATTTGTTCAAGAAACAGCGCAAATTCTGTGCAGCCAAGCTGCTGGATGGCTCACAGTGGAGCAAACTCGCGAGGTTAATCTGTAACTATTGCAGATTTCACTTCGAAGAATGCTTTGTGTTCCAAACTTGATGTAAGCTTTTTCGGTTTATTCTTGATTGTGGTTTTTAATGGGTTATTGATTTATTCTTTAGCCGACCATCATCCAGTTCGGAACCTCTCGCTCTGGATCTGGCGTTAATTTTGTGGTGGAGTACCTGAGGAAGCATAGCTTTCCATCTGTGGTGGAAATTCTCGCTGCAGATGATCTCTCAGCCTTGGTAAACAAGCCCCAAACTGGAAGATGTTGAAGTTCTGAAGAACTTCAACTATTGTACTTGCCAGGGCCTTGGGTGAATCTGCTAGTTCTGAAGCAGCCACCGAGCTGTATTGTAAGGAATTGCGACCGAACTCTATGTGGGAAAGAGTTGTCATCTCATGAAAGTGCTTATTTTAAATTGTGTTTCAGAGGATCGCAGATATCCAATTGGCAATTGTATAATATAAACCGTTCGTGCAGTGTGTTTTATACAGGACAAAATCTACAGTGGAAGTTAGGATGTGACGCGTGATATGATCCAACTTTCATTTGAAATTAGCATATATGCCTGCCTACATATGATTTTTCATTGTCTGGATTAATCGTTACGATGAGATACATTTGACAATGGCATCTTCAGGATCAAATACGAAAGAGGAATGACAGTGGACTTACTCATGCTTATGTTATTTGGGATTACCAGTAGCAGCTGTTGAAGAATGTATAATCAATGGTCATTTGATTTGAGAGGGATATTCATCGATGGAAAATCTTGAAGCGCTATTGCGGCGTTGTGGAAATCGATCGCCAAGTTTGTGTGCCTGCCCTCATGCACAGATGTCCCTGTTTTCAAGTCCTGAACACCGCACCATCGTGCCTTGCTATTTGGTACTTCAGGTCTTGTTGGTCGCTATTTCTTATCTTAATGTCGCTCCCTCCTGCTCTGATTCTCACTGGCACTTTTGATTTCTTCCATTCACCTGGCGATATTTGATTTTTAGTATAAATACCCTCAGTTTCCGATCCAAAGAAACACAGTCAATAACATATCAACATATCTCCCCTACCTTTCGATGCTTAGAAATATTGCACTTACTTTCCCTTCCTTTTTCTGATTCGATTTTAATTCCGACGCAACGTGTCTATTTTTTTTTCCTTTTCCTTCCATTTAACGAACGATACGCATAATGATCTGATATATGTCGATCTTAGAATATCTGGTGCTCACGCAACAAATTAGAGCAGGTTCGGCTGCCTTGCTCAAAACCGTCAATGGCCCTAACGACAGGTATGGTATTAATACGACATAACGTGAAACAGAACAACAACAGGAATATACTGTAATAAACTAAATAAATGAAAAGCAGAGCGCAACATGAGGCAAGGGTGGATAACTGAAAAACAACGTTAAAAAAGGCGTGAGGACAAGCATAGCATGTAAGCGCATGGAGCAGCATTGCAACTGTAGGTGCGTGCTTGGACCAATAAACGCACATGGTCGTGCACTATGTCCAAGACAACCTTTTTTTTTTTGTAGGGGGCAGGTAGTCCGAGGTTTTATTTGCACGAGTGTCAAAAGTATGGCCAAGACAACGTGCGTGGCCTAACTAACAGCGCCGCGTGGGGAAAAAATGGCCTCCTTCACATATATCCTGTATCTGCTCCAATGTTTACCTTCTGCATTTGTGGCGATTCGTAATCAAACCCAGCTACAAAGCCTTCAGAGCCACCAAGAAAAAAAAAGGAATCCCATTGATACAGCAATGTGTTAACTTTATTCCTTTTAAATTACAGTGTTTCCTTACAACATGACATATTTTTTTGCTTAGTAAGTTCGATAGCAACAGTTGTTGCTATAATATAATATTGGTAGGGGAAAAACAAAAAAAAGGAACAAAAAGAAGATTTGAAAGAAATAAATAATATGCACGAAAAATAAAGGAAAATAAAAACAACAAATCACCTCATCGTAGCTCAGCGAGAAGGACAGATACGAATGTCATTGTTAGGCGATGCTAGCGTACGAGGCACTCAGACAATACCGAACAGACGGGAACTTGCTTACAAGTTAAATTAAGAACTGATCCCATGGCCTACTGTATGACCAATTCTTTTTGGGGTGATGAATGGAAAGGATGGATGACGAGTATAAACAGTTATAGGCTACGTCTGCGGTAATAGTTTGGGTTGATTCATTTACAGTAGATAGTACGAATAATTCGATATGCAGAGTCAAATCTTTCGTAAATATCCAGCTTCATTGCGTACGTTGATTACCAATGTGAACTTTGTCGTAATCTTTTATTGAAAATCCATAAAAGAGTGGTTTCGGATTCGATATGAGTTGGAATGGACATGATATGTAAAACGAATAAAAGTGAGCGAATGGGTTCATATAGTGTACTTCTCTTCGCCTTTTGTATTTCGGCTACACTCAGTACATTACAAAATTCATTCCAAACATTAAAGAAATGATTCCCAGAGAACGTAGAAGGAATTTGCGTGCTGGCAGTAACGCCATATTTGTGCTTCAAAGCGGGCCTTCGTTCTTGCGTTGTAGATAGGCAGGAGGGTTCGTTCCGATCCTTTTCAGTGGTTGAATGACCGTGCCTACGAAGGCGCAGCAACTAAAGCAGGAAGGCGAAAAAGGAGACGCGCGGCCAATGATGACGTGCGCTGGCAAATTCATTGTTTCTTGAAGGAAATTGGAGTGAGTTTTGGAGTGTACCAAATGTTGGCCTTTTTTATTTTTCAAGTTAAAAAAAGAAACCAATTCCCTTACCGTACTCTTGCTTTGCTTTCTTAACATCAGTCTCCGAGCAGTTGGCCCTATTTGCCAGCTATTAGGCTTTCCTTCTGGTAACTTCTTCGGACGATCATCGGCACTCACTATCAACTTGGGCCGCCTCATCCTCTGGAAATTCAACACCGGTGGTTAACAAGGTTACAGAGGGAGATACTTCAACACTTATGGACAAAGAGGTCACAAAAAAGGTCAAGGACGCCAAAAGACGGTCGATGCGTGCTGAAAAGGTGAGCTAATAACGGTCAACTTGCAGCAATGTAACTTACCTCCTCCATAGAAACACGACTCTTGTAAGCATCCTTACGGATGAAGAAGCAAAGGAAGTGCTTTAGTTACTTAACCGTCATGACTCAATTTTTTTCGATCGTTTCCGGCTGCAGTCAGTATTCCCAAGCCCATGAAAATGTTTGCTGGTCTGTGTTCTTCTATGCATAAGCATCCACTGGGGCTCCTTCGTACTCTTCTCTGTGCGCATCAAATACGGCCAGCATCGTTATCACCTGCAGCGTCAAGCTATATGGTGACGCTAGTTTCCGCATCACTGATGAGAAACACAGGCTTACTGGTGTCCACCGTCGTTGCGATTGCAAGCCTTCTCCTGGACCACGGAAGGGTCAATACAACGTTGATTGTCCGAGGTAAACAACCACTCCACGTTTTAACACATTGATCGTTTTGCCAAACTAATTACAAAAATTTAGGTGACTCCAGTGTCAGTTCTTACATGAATGACAACAACCGTACGAAAACCCACATTACTATGACACTGAATTTTATTCGCGAAGGCTTCGCGATGAGAACTGACGGGTCTGTAGTCCTTCCCGTCAGTCGGCCTCTTCCGAGGTCCTGTACATCACGAGGGACGCCCCTTCTACCATGAATTTTGTGTTGATACATATCAGCGGATCTCGCATCTTCCAGACGAAAGACTGCTGTTATCCGGAGGGCTACGATGAAGAGCTTTCGGTCCTTTGTTAACCAAAAGGCATGCAATTGGATGGGCAGCCGCCCGGCAACTCGTGAAGAGGATGCCTCTGTGGAGGACTCCTCCTCTGATGCCAGTTTCAGCTTACTTTCTCAGCAAGTCTGGACCGCAGAACGCGCCGCACGGAGTGCGCAAGATGTGACCGGGCATGAAGAAAAACTATTCCGCCATTTCGGATGTTGTTTGACAGACTTCTGGTCCACGTGTTTTGCTTTGGACTTCTGCAAGGAAGAAGAGAGGTTTTTCTGGGTGGAAGGTGTTGTTCCACTTTTTAAATATCTTGGAAACACCTCGGGCGTTGTGTTTCTTGTTAAGTAGCTATTGCAGAATATGGGTGGGTCATAGATCCTAAATTGACCATCTTAGTTCTGTAGGTGCGAGGACCGGGCTTTAGCCCAACAACAATGTCAGCGTACTCCGGATATTTGGAATGAGACATCTGCTTTGTACGCGGATGGCCTTGGACGTTTGAAAGCCAAAGAACTCATTCACATGGAATCGTCGTTTAATGACTCTAAGGGAAGATTATCAGCATTCCATGGATGACACGGAAAAGCTCATTGACGAGATGGCATCGACACTGAAAATGGATTTGCTGCGCAATCAAAATGCAAAGGCGGTCACGGCATATCGATAAGCAACGTATGGCGTCCAGTGCGTGCGAAGCCGTGTGACACTGATCAAAACCACTGTCACCCCGGCCAACAAATACCAAGTGCTATACATGCGGCCTGCTACCATTCCTGTCAGTTGAGAACAGCGACACAATTTCATTAAGGTCTTTGAGCTGCTGACTTGTTTGCTTGTGAGTGGGAAGTGACAAGATCAAGAAAAAGGCATTTTGTTGACCCTTTCATTATCAACCCTAGGTGGAACTGCATGAACAAGACCAACTGAATCGCCAGATTCAACCCCAACAGAATCAACTCGAACCAGTGGTGTTTGAAGAAACTTTCAAACATGCATTAGACAATTTCACTTGGAAATGCTGGTGATGCTTGATCGGTACTCAAATATCGAAGTGGTTAGCCACTAAAATAAATATCATGCCGTCGCGCTCTTGACCATACATGCTTTGTATTGATATTTCTTTTGATGCCACCATCAGTACCCTCTTTGTACTGTACGTACAATAACAGGGAGGTTCCATCGGAAAAGGGCTCACTTCAGGTTAATCTTGCATTTTCGGTTATAAAGTTGCGTCATGCAATTTTTCCTGATGCTTAGACTGGCAAAGCCGCTTCCGTCAAATTTATTTCTACTCATCTAGCACACAAAGCTTCTGTCTGAATTGATAAACCTGCTTATTTCACATTAATTTACGTAGAGAAAGATTTAGACATTTATTATTCAGTTTGCGAGACGATATTGTATTTGAAGAATGTGCTGTAAGAAAGGACAATGGATGATGCTCGCCCCTCCAAAGGCAAATGATCTGCTGAGTGGTTGAAAAATTGAGCTGCGCTTAAAATCACAGACTGTGTTATGAGACTGCGATCTGTGTTATTTCGCTCCAGGCACCATTCTTGTCGAAACTGAAGCAGCTTGCCGTTCTACAAACGTTTCTTTTCTCATGAAACCGGAGGCTTCGACTGATTTGCCACCGGAAATCCTGGAAAAACTTCGTAACCTCGAATTAGAGCTTGAAGAGGGCGATATTACACCAAAAGGCTTCGAAAAGAAAAAGGCAACCTTACTGGAGCAATGTAAAGCACCATCTACCGCAGAAGAAGAGGAAGAAATCGACTATGGTCCAGAGCCGAGTGCAGCCGATGTCGTCGATTTCTTAGACTATTTGCCATCACCTACTCATTCACCTCCACGACCTGCCAGTGGTGCTTCTTATATGGAAAGGAATCATCAACAAGGCGGAATGGCTACAGCATCTCCTGACCCATCCATTTACAATCATCCTTCATCTGCCGCCCCTCGACCGCAATTCACCTATCGTCCATATCCTTTACAGCAACCCCAAACACATCCTCAGCACCTACCTTTGCAACACCAACGTCAGCAACAGTATGATGGCGCGTATGGTTGGCATGGCGCTCCTCCAGTATCTGATAATTATTATCCTGCAACGATGGCATCTCAACGGCCTAACCGCCCATATATGGCTCCACGGGGTGTTTTACAGGGGCAACCAATCCAATCATCATCAGGTGCTCGATACCCGTATCCTCCTAATTATCCAGCCCGACCTACTATACCTATTCAGACGCCAACCACAGCACCCTACAGAGCGCCATATCCAACGAGGCCAGTCTATGGAGGTAATCCAGCTTTGCAACACACTGAAATGCATAGACCGGTATATAGACCCGTATCTCAGCATCAGCATATACCGATGAGGCCACCACCTAACTATCATCCAGCTGGTGCTCAGGTGACGCCTGGTCATTCTGCGCCAGGTCAGCACATACGAACATCTTCCTTGGATGCCCGAGCAGATGTGCATTATGTGAATCGTGGTCCCAGTTTCAGATATGCAAATGAGCGTATGTCCAACGAAAATATGATTCATCGGCAACAACATGAATAAATACTGTTTGTATGACAATTTCATTGGTGCCAGCATTTGGTGACGGCTTTATGAACTTCAATAATCGATCAATGATTTTTTGATCAAACCAAGTAGAGCAACTATGCGACCTTATATAGACTGTTTACAGATGAATGAACCTGAGAAATGGTAAAGTGTTTGTCACTGTGTCGATAGTATATTTTTTGGCATTCCCTGTTGTGAAATGAATTTTATCATATTTTGACGACACCAATTTGTTCACGTTGTAAATATGACACGCTTTTTGATCCAAAGCACATCTGACTTAAGCAACCGATAATGACAACCGCCTGATTCTTCGATAGAATCAAGATTTTTAACTAATGTTGTCGACCCCTTAAACACCCGATAGTATGAAGATCAAAGCATCCGTCTTGTTGAGAATATTTTCACAAAACCTTGAAAGATAACAGGGATACTCATAATCGTGAAAAAACCATGTGGGACACCCGCTGATTTGTATAAACTTTCATTAAGATAAAAAGCACTATGACTCGTACATATTATACTGAATCATAGAAAAGAGCATCTGAGCAATGGCCCAACAAAGCGAGGGTACAGTTTAAGATGACTTGTCCACAGTTTCCTTGTTTGATTTTTCCAAAAATTTGGCCGCCTTTGTCGCGTCCTCTGCTTTTGCCATGCGGTCAAAGTAAACGTACGCGAGAGCAATGGCAACAACGCCTGACCAAAACCAAGGATTTCTAAACATGACACTGTGTGAACAAAGGTCAAACGTTTGGGTCGTCTTTGCAGAATTTACCGGAATGGGCTGTCCACTTTCAAGCATTCAACGTCGTAAATTACCGCTGTATTTGCTAAATAGAGTGTGAGTACGGAGCATCAGTCAAATATCGATATACATACCTGGCACTTGACCTGGAATGCCAAAATCTCCAAAAGCTACAGGAAATGGTCAAACTTTGCTGCCTTGCTCCATTTTATAACAAAACTCGTACCCAGTTCGGCCGGAATAAGCAATCGTCGCACTTCGCCGACACACATACCCTGAATGCCGTCCTCAAGTCCTAGAAGCTCACGGTCAGCATTTTATTTGCTGTTCAATTCAGCCAAGGGTACCTTTCATGATTTTATCACGTCCTGATATCAGGGTCAGTTATGATGGAAGCTGCAACGAGATACTCTTACACCTACCGAGATGATACTGCACTGGTTCACCGCCATAAGTGTTCTCAAACACCTTTTCACTACCCCAAAGCCGAGCAGTATAATGTAATTTGACTTTTGTATTGGTCGACACCGTTGATGAGCACTTGGAAGGTTTATGAAGGACACCTACATATGGATTAGTTACGGTATGATGGCATTTTGCTAAACATGGACGCGACAACTGTACCTCCCATAAGCTTTGTCGGTGGTTCGGGCGCTGATTGCTGTAAGGAGCTAGAGACGAGAGCTATGCACAGTAATACTTTGAACCATAAGGAAGACAGCATCGCGAAATGGTGGAGTGAAAAGTCAACTGGAACCGTTTTCGGAAACCTCAACCTTTATTTTGAGCGGACTGAGCTTTTTACCGCTTTGGGAAATTTTCGCCCGATCCGGCATGATGTCCCAGGTTGTAATTTTCTTTCTTTTGACATTCGACTTGCGCATAATTGGCCTTTTTATTGCTCAATAAAATTCTCAACATTGGAGTGAAGTTCAGTTTTAACACATTACTTGTTGGGTCGCCGCTTTTCGGGCAAGCAGAGATATATAATGTAGCGTGTGGAGCTAATGAAGGTTGAAAGAATGGGCTGACCTACAATAAACGTTGCAGCATCGTTGCCGTACGAAGCAATAATGCAGTGTATCCAACGGCGACAGGACTCTTTCATGGGTTCGCTTGTTTTGGGGAAGGCCATCCAGAGTACAGGGTTAGATTCAACGTTTTAGAATTTGCAGGAACCCTCAGTCTTGAGAACCAGTAATGAATAGGCGAGATTCGCTTCTGTTGTTATGACACGTCAGCATTAGAATATCTCGAGCTAGCTCTACCATGGTACATGCGAGGAACTACAGTGGAAAAAGGGAACCACACCGTGGCATTTTCTTCGACGGATCTACAAAAGGGTCGAGCACAAATCAACAGGTACGAGAATTACGGAGTTTCATTGTGCCGGGCGACCATGTAATCCATTACAGGTCTTCCGTTATTTTGACGTTTCCCACATGAGCACAATCAAACTCGGTTCATTACTGATACGGTATGTATTTGGCGTTTTGAATCTCATCACATATATCTAAACTAAAGTTATCCGAAGAACTTTGGCAAAACCCGTAGCCAATTCTATCAAAACACAAGCCAAGCAGCATCCTAAGTTTCGAGAATTTTGCATCGATGTGGCGCAGGTAAGTTTGTCAGATGGCACTATTTCGCAAAGCATGTTTTCACACCTTGCTAGAAATCGCATCGCTTAGAAATGACCCTGAAAATGAAATTCCTCGGTTACAAGAAGGAAGTCATTCGACCTCTGAATGACGCAAAGTGAGTCAAACCTCTGTACTTGCTATTTCGGAACGCTACTTTAACATATGTATAGAGCCATCGAGAGTGGAGCGAATTTTCTAAGCGAGTCCTTTGTTTTTGGGGTGGCAGCAAGTGTAATTCTAGCCGAGAGCTGGCGGTAACTGTGGAAATTGACGTCGCAGATGTGATTTATTCCTGACTTGCTTTGATACCCGCAGATCACGATATACAGCGAAAAATCGACGCAATTATGTGGATGATTCCCTGGAGAAACTGGAATCCGAGAATGCGAACTTGAATGAAGCGCTGGAAAACATGCGTCAAACGCAGCAACTCACCGAAGAACGGATAAAGCAAGTGGAGGATGATAATTTGCAACTGCGAAAATTACTGGACGATGTAATGTCAGATACGCACTGTGGCAAAACCATATCTAACGTTAATTCTTCATAGATCTTGAACATTAGCCTAGGTCTGGCGCGGCATACCAAGTAAAATACTATACGCAATCTCTATAATATAGAAAGATTATGGAACGAGGCGGGAAAATATGTCTCGCTGTAGCATTTGACTGTAATTAATTTTGTGTGGAATGATTGCAAGTAAAAGATCATGACGGGAAGAGTTCTAAATCTAATGGATGACCTCTTGTAATCACGCATGATGATACTCTTTGGAATCAGGAAACGGTTCAAAAAATAGGCCGAACAATTCTTATGGTAATTTACAAAATACGAAAGCGCGCTATTTGATCTTCTTTTCTTATCCGCTCTCTGTGCTTTGGTTTCATATATGATGTTTAAATGTCGTTCGATGGTTGAAAAAAGTTTAATAAAGAGAGCTTTTTTGACAAAGCGGTAGGGCAATATACTATTTTTAAGCGAGGTATGTTGGTTTTATTCTGATGCATTAGAATACCCAATAGACCGATCTAGATCTAATCATAAGCTGGGCGGAAAGGAACGGTGGGGGCCAATAAGTACTTGTTTGTGCATTTTGCATGTTGCATTGTACCCAGCGTATTGGTAATAATATACACCAACTTTCTGCCAAGATTCAAGTCATGTTTCATACGCGTTAGACTTTATCTGATACAAGGCAGTCAATGCAAGAGTCTGATTCCAGGAATGGGTGTATGGCTTGTTAGCGAATATTGGAGACCGGAAAAAAAACAAAGCGACATAGCAATACACAGTGTTTCACAAGTATAAATATATGAAGGATGCGGTTATCATGAAGTCTACAAGAGAAAAGACATGATACTATTGAAAAAATCATACTTCAACGGTCATATCTCCGCCCATGGAAGTTATACTAGCTAACTGAACGACGGACGACGAAATAGGTTCGCTGTTTCCATGCGCAGAATTACCGCCGATCACTGAAGATGTAAATTTTGATGACAATAACCGCGAACGTCCTACTTCAAGAACAGCTTCTTCAGGAACGGCCTCCAGAAACTCTTTCCGTATGGCAGGAGGTGCATCCAATAACATATTGGATTTCAATACTGATCCGTAGTTGCGAAACATAAAATCGAGTACCAGTAATTTCAGCCCAGTTTCCTCGGCAATAATCGCTTTTTCGAAAATGATACTGCAGCTGTCCACCGTCAAATGCCGACGGTATAATCGTTCGCAGCACATTTTTTTCAGTCGGCTGAGCATGTACATGTTTGCCATTACAAGTACTTCACAAATAATGGTCCATGGCTCGTTTTCGTCCAATTGATCGGTGTACAGATACCTGAGGAATGCAATCACCACATCAAAGCTCTCCGGTAGCTTCATGCAACGCTCCATGACCTCCAGCATGCCGCTCTGGTACATGTTCCGAAAATGTGCCCAACGAGATATCAGGATCACTTGGTGAACATAGATGGGCCGGCCATCTGCAGGGATAATTTCAAAATCGGAGAACTCGGGATTGTTCAGCAAGTGAGAAAATTCGCTCATTCTCCGACCGCATGGAACATCGTATAAACCAAGAGATTCGCCATCGATCATTAAAGCGTCTCTAACATAACCGTATGCAAGCTCACTTTAGATTCCTGTAGTGATGATTCTTTTTCAAATATGGTTACCTGAAGTGATCGTAGCCCTGTGGCCGATATGGATCCGTGTTTCCAAGGAATAGTAAATTGTTGGTCCGCACTTCAATATCCTTTCCATCTACGGAAGAATACGTTTCATCACTGATTATTGTGAAATAATTCCATCCGCCGGTGTCGAATTGAGCATCGCACTCCTGGCGTTTCCATTTCAAGGTATCTAGATCCAGCATCCATAAGCTGTAAGTGGACTCGGCATTGCTTCCTGCTATTAAGCCTTTAGCAAGATAGCGTCCGAATACGAGAAGCTTGCCACAGGCCGTATCGCAGAAATGCTGACTTTTTAAAAGGATCATCTTGGCGTTAATGCTTGACTGAGATCCGCTGAGCACAAGATGTAGGGTATATGGTTCCGATAGCAAATTAACAGCAAATAGATCTGATACTGTGTTTCCGTGCTCGTCCTTGCCGGCATAAATATACATTTTATGACCGACAAGCGTCGCTGAGTGATTGTATCTTGGAGGCACCTCATGATATTTGGACCAACGCATTGACTTTAAATCAAGAACGTTCAGTTCATCCAACACATATGTGCCTTGAAAAATAAAATTAGAACCAGCTGTGATACTTGATACATCAGGCTTACTTACAATCTGAACTTTTCGCAAAACCGCCGTAAATGAAGAGCTTGTCATTGAAAACGACGGCGCTATGTAAATAACGTGCCGAAACGACACCGGTAATCTGGGGCTGGCTCCAGGTAAACGTTCGCAAATCGAAAATATGGACGTCGTTGCAATAGTCTTGAAACTCGTTACAGCCACCTACGAGATAACGAAGATTATCAGCACATAGGTCTTCGACCATTTTAGCAGGCAAAACTTGCCAAATAAAACGATGGAATCGTTCCATCGGGTAGCGGTGTGTCCATATCGCTTACTCGGCGGAATTCCGGAAGATGCCTGTATATATATATGTATTTTTTAGTTATAAATTTACAGAAGACTAAAATGCTGTTACCTGGACACTGTCCCACCGTAAAGTAATGAGATCGAGTACATGAAGATCGTTGATGACATTTCCGCCACCGCCAAACGCAAACAAGCGTTTATCGACCTTGACGAACGATGGCCTCCAGAGGCCCGCTAAATTCTTTCCAAATGTTTGAACAGCTTGACCTGATTTCAATAGCGTCATATAAGGCGTAGAAGAGAGCAAAAGAAATAAGAAATGAACGAGAAAAACTTACGATGAATGTTCTTGAAGAACAAGTAACAAAATTTCCGTAAAGGTAAGGAGCCCATTTGATTATTCTTATAATTATCCGATGATTTACCACGGCTCATCTTAGTGGAAACGGGGAAAAGTCTTGCTGTCATTGTAGTAGACAGGTAGATGCAGTTCAAAGCCATAGATAGGGAAAGTTCAGACTTCCTTTATCAACGGAGAAACTTTTCATTAGCAATGGTGGGGGCGCTGAAATTTGGGATGTCTGTTATGAAAGCATATGCCATCTGTTTGTGTCTTTGACAAGTTTTATCATAGGATCCACGATTTTTGCCCAGTGCAGATTGAACACGATGCTACACATTACTTTGCTTTTGTCCAAGATGCTAATAGAACCGTCTACTGTAGCTCCACAAGGTATACAAATTATTGCAGCATGGAGCTTCAGCAATTTACAAGCAAATACTGAAACCGCGTGGCATATGACATGTTTCAAACGTATACTGAGTTGCTACGACGTGATCTGTGTGGATCTCACATAATCATCGAGGTGCATAGCCTCAAAGAGCAAAGAGCTTAGAATTTGTAGAAGAAACCAACTATAGCTGTTCAAGTTCGATATTTAAGTTTTTCGATTTTGCATGTTACTGTAACGACCGAAAACCGATCGCATTAACTTGCGATATTGCAAATCTCGCATTGGCTCAAGACAAATATCGAAGCTACTCTTCGTAATATAACACGCTGCAACATAAGAGAATCAACCGGAACCTGATTTTCTGGAATTGAAGCAAGTCAAGTGGAAGAAAACCTCACGTATCAACATCGGTTGCTTAGGAAACCACCATTTCCCCCAAAACCGTTGTTGAATCGGCATAATTGTTGCTGAAAATTGTAAAGCACTATGGAACAGAAAAATGCTTTACAATAGCTCCAATAGCAAAAATATCACTAATTTCAGATCAAGCCCATTTGCCGGTATCGACGTCCGGTGAACGGCGAAAATTTTCCGTCGCTTACTGAAAACATCTTCCTGGTCCGCAGCAACAGTAACCTCGCACTATTTTGGGAAGCTTTTTTTTCATTGAAACTTCATATATCAGGTTAAGCATATACAACATTTCGCGCTGTACAACGTTTCAAAAAACATTGTACGCTTAAAATCGGTCCATGTCGACTTTCTCTTTTTGAAGGAAATCATCGATACACTCCACGGATGTCGGAGGATGATACTGTCTAGAATTCAAATTGATATTGAACCAATAATAGCTGGTAGGGAATTTCAATTTGACAATCTCACCATAAAGGGTGAATTGTGGGATACCAGAAGATGTTTGACCGATAGTTATGGCTAATTGCTTCTATGTGGGAATCATGCAATACATCACTAAATAATACGCACATTTTCAAAGCTACTGAGGAAACAAGATTTAGCAATATGAATTTCCCTTATTATTTATGCCGAAATCATTGCGAGTCGATACGAATCCTCTATAACACATCATATCGCAACAGATGCTTGCTCTACCATCAGCGCTTCCGATGTCTTTATGTAATCTATTGAGCAAAAATCGAAGTCCATGGTTTTTGGCAAGTGATATCCATTATGTGCAGGATGAACCGCCATTCTATTATTTTGAGAATCAGCATAAGGTACAATAACATTGTGGCTTAGCCTCTGGCAGAGTTCACAGAAGGCAGAAATATGCATTGAAGGACGATTTTTCATAGACTGCTTTATCAGAATGGTCAAACTTGCTCTTGAACAGCTGTTAAATAACAGTAAAAACTCCTCATTTATACTTATCAATGACAGCGTCCAGTTTGGCGCACTTCCGCTATTGACGGAATTTACCCGTTGCAGTCTAGCGAACAATGGCACAGTTGTAGTACTTCTGACCGAGACATCACCTACTGCGTGGTTACAGCGATTCACTACATCAGACACTGGCAGAATGCAAATCATCGATGCTTTCACGGATCCTGAGGGTTGGGATGAACCGACAACCAATGTGCCCAATATCCATGTTGTACGCGACGTCCGTAACGTTATGGGTTCACTATTGTCCACGCTTGCCGAAAAAGTTCAAAATCAACCTCAAACTCTGATCCTGATCGATTCATTAACGCCTCTTGCTCAAATATCACAATATCAGACATACCAACTTGTGAAAGTACTAGAATCGCTGACTTCAGGTAAGTCTAAATGAGCAATGTTTATGCCCACCGTTATGCTAAAGTCATGAACAGACGCTTGTCGCCTGGTCATCGGTTACCATGCTGATATCTATTTACCCTCAACAAATGGCATCATGCTGCAAGGAGCATTGAATCGCTTAGCATCCGTAGTTCTCAGTTTGGAAGCGTTGAAAGAGCATTCGTATCATGACACACAGGCGGCGCTCACTGGCTTCGTTATCCAAGATGCCTTTTCCTATATGAGGCCCACCAACAACGTTATCTCAAAAGGAGCGCTGGCAAAAATTGAATGGCGACGAAAAAGTGGAAAAGTACAATATGAAACGAACGGTTTCTTCGTGGATCTCAACAGTAATACCCTGAAGATTGTGCCTGGTAGCCAATTGACAGGCAAAGAAGTCGAGGAAAAGGAAGAGTCAATTGAGAGCGATCTGCCGCAAGGCATGGCCAACCTATCCTTCAATTTATCATTAACCGAAGAGCAAAAGAAAGCCAAGGAAAATCTGGTGCTGCCGTATATGAAGGTGCAAAATGCGGATGCTTATTCAATAGAAGTGGATCAAACGAAAAAGGCCGAAGGTACTATTTATTACGAACCGGATGCCGCTGATGATTTCGATGATGAAGATCCAGATGATGATCTTGATATTTAGCTTTTATGTTTTGTAAATAACACGTTGGAATGATTGACAAAAGTACAGCAATTTTGATGTTTTTATGTTGCGTAAATTTTGTGAAAAAATGGCATTGGATGCGTATTGGTTATTGTGATTAAGGTTTTACAAGGCTGATGGTCAGCTCGCCGGGTTCTCGATTATCGCTCTCCTTGTCGGAAAGGTGGACGCCCACGATGCCTTCCAGTTTTTGGTATACAAACTGTAGCACTGTCTGTTCGTTTGCTTCCGGTTTTATGACGACTTCAATGGTGCCGATGCAATTCAAGTAAGAATTCTGCCAGAAATGAACGCGATCAATGCTTAAGACATCCGGATTATGGCGAATCTACCGACGATTACTGTGTTAAAACAGGGCAATGACGTACTCTTATAAATGCTTACCTCGCGTAATCGACTTTCGATACCAGTACAGACTGTGTCCGGTGTTGTTTGCAGCAAAATCTTTGCTAAGGCACTCGCAGTAGGTCCACCCAAGTACGCCATCATCGAGGCTATGCCGAAAGCCATGAACTTATCAATCGCAGGGGTGACAAAACCCAACATATTGAACAGGAACACGATGCTGCCACAGACGGTGATGGAAAAGGAGTAAATGTTGGACATCAGCACATGGATCGGATTGCCACGAGATCGATTGATGACATTGTACGAAAAACCGTTCGCTGTTGTTAGAGTACCTCGGAAGACTATAATATGATAAGATTCATATGATTTTTATGCATGCTGCAATGCCATTTCTTACTTCTGACAAGGTATTCATGATTTTTCAGCCCAACGCAGGATACAAAAGTAGCTCCAATCGCCAACAGTAAGATAAAGAACGAGCCGAAACCCATTTCACTACAGTTTATGAGATGATGAGCTCGTGTTCCACTTTTGCAACCTCCCGCTACATACTTTTCATGATGATCGTCCCCTTCCTCATCGCCTTCTAATAGTAAATGCTCCAACGACTCCTTTGTCGTGTACATGGTGGCAAATAGTAAATAAATAATGATTGCCATAGCGACCACAATTTCCAGTCTCTGTGCTCTACATGACGCGTGAGATTGCTATTCGCATGTATTCATTTGTGCTCACATACCCAAAAGGTCTTTTCGTATTCGAAGCCAGGTAGGCAGGATTAAGGCGCACAATGCTCGAAATAAAAGTGTTGAAAACTCCCAGCGCATCAAAAATCACAAAGTATGAGAAGGCAACCGTAGCTACGAAATGAATCATTCATCAGCTCGCGGCACATTACGTAACGTCAACATTCTTTCAACTTACCCAAATTATCACTGGACGTGCCAATCCACCACACAGTTAAACCGATCAGCATATGAATAACAAACCAGGTGAATAATGTCTTTTGCATGGGTAAAATATTAGTAAATGTCTCGGACCAGGAGGGCAGTGGCGGGACGTAAACCGAAGGAAAGGAATGATGGTGGCCGTGATGATGGTCGTGGGCATGGTCATGGAAGGAGTGACCATGAGCATGGTCGTGATGGTCTGGATTGTGAGCGTGTGTGCCGTGCCCGTGATGGTCGTGGTGGTCGTGATGATGATCGTGATGACGATGATGACCGTGATGACCGTGATGGTCGTGGTGGTCGTGGTGATCGTGGGGAGCGTTATAGGATGGCGCATAAGTATTATAGCCATGAATATGGGTATCCACTTGCGGCACGTATCCATTTGTGGACAGTGAAGGGTCCGCAAAATTATTCGTTATGCCTTCGGCTGACTAGAAAGTGAGATACATATAAGGAACAGATAGCGAGATAAGAGTTTTGCACATCTTACAGCAGTGTCACCAAGACCGGGAACCAAGTGCTTGTCAGCATGACCTTGCCAGTTTTCGTGTGTATGCTCGTGTGCGCCGTTCATGTTGTTCAGCAATGGTGAACCTTTGTTACTGACATGCTGAGAAAGGAGCGGAGCTGCACTTTGGATTGCAATGCCAGAGCGAGCAGTTGCGATAGAGCTCAAGGGTGAGGGGGCGGCAGGCTCGGTGGAGTTGACCTGCTGAGGAAGAGGCGACTGTGGACGTCGCTTGACAAATTGATTCGTGGACATTGGGCGGAAAGCTTCCAAAGAATAACAGGCAACCAAAAGGAACAAGGATGTGACGTGCTGCCGAAAGATTATTTTTTTGTGAAAGATGATGGCGCTGGTTCAAATCGGATCTTCCCACAGGACGGGACGAGTCCAAGATATTCCAAAGTTGGAAATTGATGAAAATCACAGACAAACTCTCAGTCCTGGTCCAAAGGAACCGGGGATATGCGGTAACGGCTCAATTTAGAAATCGTCTGTGCCTATTCTCTCAAGTCTCCCGCCAACGATTTCTGTCATTAATGGAACTGACACAGAACCGGTCGGTACACTGATATCGATAGATGCATGGGTCTACTACTTGTAAGCGCATATGATAAGATGGTAGCTTTGCCATGATAGCGTGCTATGCTCATTTGACACATTATACTATCGGCAAGTGAGCCTCTTAGGTTACGGATATGAGAGTTCTGCTGTAATCCATGTGCAACTCTTAAAATATCTTTTGAAGACTGTGGAAATTTTTCCACCAGGCGGTAAAAAATTCATTTTCAGTGGGGGGGAGCGACCGAAAACAAAAGAAAATAGGAATATGCTTGGATTAGCAGCACGCTCTCCTGTATTGCTCCGATCGTTACGCTCAGGCTTGCCGCGATTGACACACACAATGTCAATGGACAGACGAACGGAAATTATTGAGAATCTTAACGATGTACGCGCCAGGGTAGCCGCTGCGCTAGATGGTGAACGAACGGTTGGTGTCACTTGCCTATTTCTGTGTTCATTTGGCAGGCTATTCATGCATAGCATTAGGCGCGACTCGTGGCTGTAAGCAAATATAAGCCAGCGGAAGATCTCATGTACGCTTACGATGCAGGCCAACGCCATTTTGGTGAAAACTATGTACGTTAGTCGAGATGGCCGAGGAGAATGTTGGGATTGACAAGGATGTTATTAGGTGCAAGAATTAGTAGAAAAAGCAGGCAAGGTAAGTTATAGAAACCACTTGGCTAAGGATATACAATATACTCAAGAAGCTCTCCAATAGTTGCCTCGGGATATTCAATGGCATTTTATTGGCACTCTCCAGAGCAATAAATGTAAAGCCGTGGCAGGTAACTGATTTCGGCTAACGTGAAATGAAAATGTGTTGTCTCATAAAATCCCATCTTTGAATATCTTAGCTATTCCAAACTTGTTTGCTGTCGAGACAGTAGATAGCGCGAAAAAAGCAGACACGCTCAACAAGGCATGTGTCTCAGTAGAAAGAACCGAACCTTTACGTGTGTTTGTCCAAGTCAACACGAGTGCTGAAGAAGGTATACAGGCTTCATTCCTGTATATAACTTAGCAACCACTAACTGATTCAGTTTGACAGTTAAAGGAGGCATTGCTGCCGCTGACTGCGCCGAAGTGTGCAAACATATCATCGACAACTGTCCGCAGCTGAAATTATGTGGATTGATGACCATAGGCATGTTCGGCCGTGATCCAACTCAAGAAAACCCTGACTTCCAAGTATGTTTGTAAAAGATCTCAACGAATACGTCAGGCTGATATTTTTGGTTCTTTCTAATATAGTGCTTGGCGGATTGCAAGGCCCAAGTGCAAAAAGTGTTGCCTGATCTCGATTTGGAATTAAGTATGGGCATGTCTGAGGATTATGAGAAGGCTTTGAAAGCTGGCTCGACGAACATACGTGTTGGCAGAACCATCTTTGGTGAAAGACCAAAGAAGACTACCAAAGCATAGACATAGAAAAAAGAAAACTTGTTATTTTTAGTATGATGTTCAATGATAAATGTACAAAAAGTATCACCGTTGACTACGTGGTGAGGAATGTCAAATCTTTGCCAACACTTTGCCAGATGTTGTTGTTAATTTTAGAAAAACCAGAAGAAGTGTTCCACTTAAATAAGCTACGCCCGTGAATATTTTGTAGGTATTGAAAGCAGTAGATGCTATGGCAGCTTCCATGGCTCCTGCAATGTTCGGACCGAACATGGATATCACTGTAATCAGAAGAAATAGTGAATAAGCTGATGCAAAGTTCTCAGTGCCCGAGACGATCATAGTGATAGAAGGACCTAAAGACAACAGTTATTTTGCGTGGTAAATATATCAAATATTGCTGCATACCAAGGGCAATAAAAACGCCTCCGAAAAAGCCAAAAACAGCAGCGAATATGCAAAGGATCGTGAAATCGTGCGCCATAGTCCAGAGTAATAGCGCACTCATTCCACTGACGAAGCCTGTGATGATAACAGTATTTAAGTGGCCGATCTTGTCCGCGGTCCATCTACACACAGGTAAGATGAGACTGAACGACTTGTAAAATTTTAGCTGTGGTTGAAGCTACCCTGCCAGGATCCGGCCCATCGAATTTGTTGCCGACGCGATAGAAATAAGTGCTGAACCGTACGAGTCAGACAATCCGAGATAGGTTGCATAGGCTATACAGGATAAATGTGAGAATACCATACTCCGTTTCATCGATGATCGGATCTTACATGGCAGGAAAAAATATGGTACGTAGTAACCCATCTCCATCAGGATGTCAGCAGTGCACCAAAGCGCAAATTTTGCATCCTTCAATATACTGGTCTTGATGATTCCCCTGATCGTCTTGCGCTCCTGTTTCCGTTCAAGGTATTCTTCTTTTTCTTTGAATAGCAAACAGGAGATGACACACACGACGAAACTCATGTATCCCATGATGCGGTAACACCTATTTTATCAATGAGAAACACTTCCAATAGATCTAGCATTTTGTTCGATTTTTGCACCTTACCATCCTGAACCGAGGGATCGATTTAAAGCTGACATGAGGAAAGGAATCAACAGCCCGCCAACACAGGCGCCACTGGAGACGATTCCTAAGGCAACCCCTCGGCGCTTATCAAACCATTCAGATACGCTGCTCATGCCAACCTGAGTATAACATCAATGCACATGCTCTTCAAAACATTCATGCCTGCGACTCACGTAAAAGATAATGGAACAACCGGCACCGAAGAGGACGCCTTGCGTAAGATACAAATGCCATATCTGATAGCATAAATTACTAATGGTCACAACAATCGCATAGTCAGGGACTCACTTCGGTGCTCAAGCTGGCCAATTCCAAACCACCCGTACATAAGATGCCTGCAATGAAAATACCAGAGCGCAGCCCAGTGTATGAGATGAGAATCTGGACAAAGATCCCCAAGAGATTCAAAACGAAATTTGCGATAGATCCAACAAAGCTGAGATAGATTACAGTGGCCGGATCTGTGCCAAATCTGTGTTGCTCGTAATAATCTTGCATTACACCTGATTTCATGTGAGCCCATAATAGCAACATGGTAATCCGTATCGTTCCTTACCCCTTTTAATTGGGTCAGTTTGTTTTGCATCTGTTGAATAAAACTTTTCGTCATTCACTTACCAACTAGTGATCGTCCCCAAGCCAGTCACCTGAATCAAAAACGCAGCCAACACAACGAGCAATTTTCGGCGATCGCATCTTTCTGCAATTGTACGTTCTCCATTGCTAGAGACATCATCTATATCTGCGCTCATCAGCGTCAGTAAAGCCAGAAATATATTCCATATAAAAACCTTTCTTCGTTGGCGATTCTGGATCCGTAGGATATTCGATATTCAATTGAGGATGGTTGATGCTTTGTTTTTTCTCTATATCGATGGAGGATATGGAGAAACTTTTGGTATCAGTGAAGGACGTACAATTATCATGATTAATAGATAGTGGCATCAGGAATAAAGAAGTAAGAAGAGGAAGCGTAAAATAAAACACAGCATTTTAACTAATCCGATGCACTGCAGAATTCGGTAATTTTTTTTCTGATTTTGTGTGGCTCCATGCGCGGCACAGTAATGCATTGAAGGAAAATTTTGCATTCCGGAAGCCCGAATCCTCTGCAGATCATGGTTATTGAAGCTCACGGATACACTCTTTTCCGAAATCAACTTTCGGCCCAGCCGATCTTCAGCTTCCGCACCTAGCAAAATAGATTTTATCAGAAAATTGCATTTTTACTATATTCTGCAAAATCAAGGCTCCTCACTCTGGACTGATTTGTAATCAAATACTATGACGATGCTTATTCGTAGGCCCTTCGCTATCCATATCGGGAAACTGACCCTGAAGCTCGCATGGAATTCGGTCCACTAATTCCGTATGCAAATACATTTATCAGTTTAAGATAAGGTTGGGATAGGTGCCGGTATTGGATCGTTGAAAACGTTCAGAATGTGTCACTTGCTGCAAAGCAGCCGAAAGTACATGGTATCGCCACAAACATTCGTGTTTACGGGACAAAAAAGTTCCCCACGGTGTTTTGCAAACTAACAACAAAACAAAGATTGACTGGACCTGGTTTATGCAGAATCCAAGATAAAGAGTCCAGATCCTACACACCTTTCCAGAAGTTCTATACTGTAGAAACTTGAAGAAAAGTATTGACTTCTTTGATTGCGCAAGAAGAAAACGTAGGTCACATCCATCACAATAGCGATCGCTTCAGTTCCGACCTCGGACGTGGCTTTAGGCTTCTGCAATTGATTAATTTAATTAACATAAATGCGCCACCTGTCGCCTTCTTCCATGAATCAGTATTCATAGTGGTATCGGCGCGCTTAAAAGCGGTAGTCGTTCGTTGTGATTGCGCACCATGAACGAAAAGCTGGACCGAAGCCTATAACATGTCCGCTCCACGTCTCGTACTAGATTTGTGGGCGGGATATAAACGCGGCATTAATATGGGACGTATCCTTGGCTTACGTCAACTCTGATTGCGAGGTTAGCTCTCGCCCTGTCTCTCTAGTTGGCCCAAGCAGCATTAAAAACCTGCCCAGCGGTCAAATACTCCTCAATTGAGCATTTCGATCTATGCCTGGTAAGCTGTGCCTGAAAAAAAAAGCAGTACAATTGGCCATTGAAATTAAGGGCGTGGATGCAATCCAGAAAACCTCAGCAAAAACAGCATTATTCAGGTTGTCTGTCTCCACTATAAAAGAAACTACGATCACAGTAACAATAAGTACGAAACCATGGCGAACAAACTCTTGTACTTTACGGCCAACGCGCAAACATCATCAGCTCCATCGACTGCTATTTTCTTTGGCACTGCCAATTCAGTGGGTGCTTTGACCAATCGCTACCGTAACCTACAGATTCCTTATGTAAGTGTTGCAAAGAAGCCGTCTGTCAAGCTCATCAATACATCCAAATTAACGTACACGCTATCCAGCCGGGAAGGCGAAGCCATCATTTACGACCGTCAATAGAAGAAGGACTTTTCACGTTACATTGGCAAAGGCCCTCGCCATAAGGCCAAATATTGCTCAAACGTCGAAGACACAAGCCTTATTGGGAAAAGGTAAGAGGAGTAGGAACTGGAAGGCCTACTGTCTAAGAACCCTTGATACTGAACAAACATTAACGCGTGATCAAAAAAATGCAGGTTATGCTAAGGAGACCGGTAACGATAGCCGCCAATTTCACACAGTGAGAGGATTTAAAAGAGCGGAACAACAGTGGGGTAGCCGAAACAAAGGGCGATAACGAACGTAGCCGAATCCAGTGAAGTCACGAAAGAGAAGAGACTAGGCCCTCTACTCCGTGACTTATGCAAGTTGTGCCGATCGACATATGGAAGACCATGTGATCAAGTAATAGAGATAATGATATATCGGTACCGCCAGTCATCGCAATCTACAAAAGAATTGCGAAGGAGTTATAGATGGAAACCGATATCGGAATCAAAGCCAAGTCTCAGCGTGCAAGCATCAGTTTCAGCCAGACACAGCCGATGATAGCCAATCATGCGATCATACAAAGCACACAGCAAAGACAAGTTTTGATGACAAAGAATCAAAAGTTGACCGAACGAGAAGCGATGAACACTTCGAATTGACTCCGAACCGACTCGAATATATCCATTTCTGAGGAAGACGGTTTGAAAACCACGAAATCCAGAGCCATCACGACTGGGAAGGCTTGACACCATTTGTCATACTTGGCAACCAGTGAGAAGCGGTCGCGGATACAGGAGCGTGTGATCTTAGTAATCAGCTCGCAGTTGGTAAAAAAGCTGTTATCCATCGATTACGAGAAGACCTACACAATAGGAACATGAATGAAACCTCGACGATACCCAGTGGGATATGCAAAGAAATCCCTATCTGTGTTTTTGCTCTGAGACGAAAAGGAAACTTTCTTGCGCAAGAACGAGTCGACGAACTATAGATTCTCGATATATCATGATTGAAGCAATACAAAGCGGTAGCCTTACCGAAGTAAGAATATTCGAGTACTTAGTCAAGGATTACGGCTGTCCCAGCTATTTGTTGAATGAACGGGGCAGTAACTTTACGAGGTCAAATACTTTTTGAAACGGTTTGGTTGCCGCCATCTCGCGACGACCACATTCAGGCCCTAGAACAATGGTATGGTAGTGGAGAGAACGAATCAATTGTAAATATAATCGTCTAATTCTCCACGAGACAGGGGCGATCTTAAGAATGGGACGAGAAATTTGTCAGAAGCCGTTTTAGCCATAGGTAGGATACCTAACGATTCATTTGCTTAGGGGAGTGGGATTTTTGTGATTGATGCCTATTGCAGTTTATAGAAACTTCGAGAATTTGTTATTACATTCTCTACCAGAGATCGACGATCCGAATGAAGATGCGTTATAGCAGACCGAGATCGCTGAAGGGGATGTTATGTGCGAATATCACTTTAAAAGCTGATCAAGCATGTCAGTGTTTTCGTCGCAGTATTCATCAAGTTTTCAAGTAACCTATCCGATCTGCTCGAGCGATTCACAACCTGACGATGCAGATCTAGGCTGCGACCTTTGCCCTCATCCTAGCTCGTTTGTACACGCAACGTCTGCTTCGCAAGAAGAATGAGAACGTCAAATACGTTTCCGATTGGGACATACCGTGCGTCTCGTCATACGCATCGACGACTGAATGGTGGGCAATACCTTGCCCGGAATTTTTGAAAATGGTGCCTTCATCTTGGTATTACCATATAATCCACGCATAAAGGTCTTCGAACACTATCGCCGACTTCGAATCTCGTCACTCCTACCAGAAAGTAACTGGATCCTTCATCATCCAACATCACTTCGGCCAATGATTCCGCTGATATCCACAGCACACCAAGTGATCTGTTTCCGTTCGCTTCAAATAAGGTGAATATTGGATCAGAGTGGTAGACATTGTATTAAACAAACACGCAATTTTTTAGCTAAAAGGCAAAAGCTTGAATGAATGCCGATGACCGCCGAGCCATCAAATCTTTTCTGATCCGGTCATGACCGTCCATACGATTCTGACCGACCCTGGCTAAGCATTCAAATGAACCAGTGAAGCAGCCGACTGGTGGTAACCCCTTCCACGTATCGTGCATGTTGACGTCCTCACAACGTCATAATACCACACCCATAGGTAATGTTTAATATTAACAAGAAGAACTGCCATTACAACTATCTTACCAGTCGTTTTTGCTCTTATCTTCTGCAGACCCTGCTCCACCTTCGGCAGATTTTGCTCCATCTTTAGTTGATCCTGCTCCGTCTTCGGCTGATCCCCTCCATCTTCGGCAGGTCCTGCCCGTCCTCAGCAGATTCTGCTCTGTCTTCCACAAATCCTGCTCCATTTGTGGATGTCTTGCTTCAGGAAGTATATCTGAAAAAAGGTCAGGAAACTGCAGCGGGACGGTCGAAAATCAGAATTGTTCAAGGCACTCTTCATGCTGGAGATGAGGTAAGCAAAAGTGCTGCATGGCTTTAAGTTTCTTGCTTTCTTAGTCTGATTTTTCTTGCTCTCCAGCGTTTTTTATCTCGATCAGCCATTTTCAAAGGCATCCTCAGAGCAAACCTGTTACCGACGATTTGCTATGTTGTTGGACATTCTGTTTTCAGGCACTGACATCGTCATTAAAGAGTAAATGTGAGAATGCAGTGATTTTTTTTCTCGTACTAACCTGATTTGCACTACCGTCACTGCTAGTGGCGAAACAGTCTGCGAAGCAATCAAGGATGCCATGGAACTGTCCATGTATGGACAAGATGATCCCACTTTTGGGCGCAAAATTGACATGCTTTTGACTCTGGAGGGTTCATGCGAAGAACTATCATCCAATGAATGGAAATCGCTGAAGACGGACAACCAGCGCTTCATCCAGCAGTCAAAAAATATTCGTACCAACTGCGCCATTTTAAACAAATTGCAAATTGACATGGATGATGCTGAACAAGTTCTTGCTATGGACATGACCGGTAAACCATAATGCTGACTGATTCATTAACCATGTGACTAAAAGGAGCCATTCTTATATAGGTGACGTTGGTTATATTTACCGCCTTCAACGAACGGGTGATGTGGACCCTGCCACAGTCAAATCGGTCTTTATCTTGTCGAGGCCCACCTTTATCAAACGTCCAAAGACTAGTCGGGTTGAATGGAAGAAAGATTCGACCTTCGTCCACCCTTCTTTCGCCTGTGGTCTTGCCAAGCGACACCAACTGAAGCTTTGCTCAAATGGAACGGATTTCTAGGGCCCAAGTTGAACGAGTCAGGGTCGCAATGGCCAAACAAAGGATGACGAATGTTGCTGTGCCATCTGGCTTGACCCCCTCGCCAGATTCTGTCCTCCCGCATGTCTTCTTCGGTCCAAGAGCCATTCCCACAAAGAAAGCGCTCGGATTTGAAATCGATGAGTAGCTGCTGCTTTGCCTCATCTATCGAGATCTTTTAACTTGTTTTTACAATTGTATATTTTTTCTTTTCACGTCTTTTTTTTTATTCTTCATCGCAAATATAAATATCTTATCTTTTCACGTCTTTTTTTTTGAATCCAACATCTTCCGTGGTATGGGACCGCTCATTCCCAAACATTGACCATAAAAGGAAAAAAAAGGCATATCTTCTGACAGAAGGGTCGTGAATATTTTGTGGCAGTATAACAATTTTAAATCAAGCAGAATTGGGAAAAAAACCTGCTCGCGACCGTGCACCCAATGGAATTCTTTTTGATTTTTAGTCAGAGAGCTTCTGCCCAAATCCAAAATACGTGGGTGTTACTGTAAGTGATTCCTATCCTGATGGGTTTCCGCTCAGTTCTGAAGTTCCACAGGTTGCGTTCAAATTGGATATCTTTGAATTGATTGATTGCTATAGAAATGGTTTTATTTTTCATACGAAAAGGAAAAAGGGTTTGCAGAGCATTAGCGTACTCAGTTTTTGCAACAGAGCGTTCCAGAGGAACAACCACGTGGTGGAGCTCAGCTTTGGTTGTCGCCCACGCTCGAACATCAGTCAACTCCATACTCAGGATGAAACTTACACGGGCTTCTCTGCCAGTTGACTGGTAAGATGGTACTACACTCAGACAAGCCGGGACCATGGCACTTGAGTAATCATCCGTTGCTAAGTTTTTTATTTGCAAATTTCGTCTCTGCTTATTTCGCAAGTAATTGATAGGTTTTCAGTATTATGATTTCAACAGCACCTTGCTTATGATGATAATAAAGTGATATAAAGAGTCTATATTGTTCCTCCATCCATTATTCTGATTCAAATTTGTTTCACCAGTGAATATAAGCCATGATACAAATAATGATACAGTAAGAGTGATAGAGATATTTTAACTAGATCTTTGCAAAAATGTTGCGGTTGAGACGAAGCTTGAGAAATGTAAGAATACATGCACCGACAAGGTATGCGACTCCGGAAAAGAGCTTATAAGATAAAAATGGTTCGGCCGAGACACCATTTTCGATAGCACTGGCGATATTGGGTCCGAAAACCGCTATCACGTTGAACAAGAGGAGCACTGACAGACCAGAGGGGAATTTTTCCATGCCGAGAATGAACGCAGTAACAGGAGAAAGAAGGGCAAAGTAAGAACCACAGAAGAGACCAAAAACAACGGAATATGCCATGAGTGAACCATAGTTGGTAGCAAAGGTCCAAATCAACAATGAACTGAGACCGCCAATGATTGTAAAGATAATGTTGGTATTGAGTTTGCCAATATGATCTGCGCAGATACCCGCCAGAACACGTCCAATAAAGTTCATGGCTGAACTAACAGCAACCAATGCTGATCCTTGAGACGCCGACAGTCCATGGAAAGTAGCATAAGCTATAGACATACATTTCAGGTTAGAACAAAGGGATATAAAAAAGAGCTATAAAGGAAGCGAGATGCAACAGAGATACGTACATGGCAAAAAGAAATATGGCACAAAATAGCCTAGCAACATGATGACCGAGCCAACACACCATAGAATAAAGTTGAAATTGCGCAATACGTTGAGCTGCACAATATCGCTCAATTTCTTGCGGCCCTTCTTGCGAGGGAACTTTTCCTTGACGAGAACCACAGCAACCAGATCACATGCAAGACAGATGAAACCAAGAATTCGGTAGGTCCTATAGTCATGATGAGTTTATTACCGTTGCAACGGAAGATTTATCATATATAGGTACTTACCATGCATATCCAAGGCTACTGTTGATAGGGGTCATAATAAAGGGAATCACCAAACCCCCGATACCGGAGCCACTGGCCACCATACCAAGCGCGAGACCTCGGCGGCGAGTGAACCATTGCGGAGCCACTCCCATGATGGTCTGACAAATACAAAACCAATTAGTGACTCCGCTGAATCAGATCAGCCAAAAAAAAAAAAAAAAAAAAAAAAAAAAAACCACAAAGTAAACACTTACCACATACATCATCGACGCACCGATGCCAAACATAATGCCTTGGGTTAGATACAAGTGCCAAATTTGGGAGCTGAACCCTGCTACGATTAATGCAAGCGTAACCAACACGGTACCCGTCATTAGCACAATACGGGAGCCAAACATCGAAGTCAGGATTTGAGTAAATGGACCCATTAAATTGGTGAACACAAGAGCGAGTGTTCCGACAAAACTAAGCTCCAATGCGGAATTGGGGAACTTGTTTTGCTCAAAGTAATCTTGCATGACACCTGCGAGACGAAATGTCAGTAACTGTCCCGGGAAACCGAGATCGAGTTCGAGATCAAGAATATAGACTTACCCCTACATATGTGAAAAAAAAAATTATTAGCACATCAATCGTACGTCGATCGCTACACTTACCAGCTGGTTGCGGTACCAAAGCTCGTCACTTGCACCATGAACGCACCGAGAATAATAAACCACCCGTAACCACCATCAGGAAGGTCTTCTTCTGGGGTGGGTAATCCATGTGCTTTTTCATGGTCACCTTCAACTATCACAAATTGAGTTAGAAAAATAGAAAAAATAATTTTTCAGCAACGGTTTTAGTGTCTTGGAGCAAGCATACCATTGGTGATATCGGTTAGATCAGAGTGACGATCATTTCTTAGATCTTCACTGGTTTCATATTTCTCGGAATCATCGTTGGGAGTCCTGACTGTATGAATTGCATGCTCGTTTATCTTGTTTCCTTCTTGACTGATCATGATGATGTTCACTTTTTGTAAAGTAAACAGAGAAAAAAAAGGTAACCTACGCGGGCAAAAATATTTCGACTTGAAAAGGTAGCAACACCGTTCTTCAACAAGTAGGGAAGAGGAAAATACAAAACAAATAGGAAGAAGAAGAAGAAGAAGAAAGAGATCCTGGCGATGCTCGAATTGAATTCAATTTAAAGCGCTTAATTCTATTTCCGTTCTCAAGCAAATGAAACAGCGGAAATATTTATATGGCCAAGAAACCAGACGTAATTCTCAGGCTTTCATCTCTCAATGCGGAAATTCGTCTAATTTCTCACATTGACAGCCCATTTAAGTAAACTAAACATAAAAATGTAACATTCCCTTACCTTTTTCTGCCTATTGCATGAGGAAGATGTTGTGAGACATGGCTATTTTTCGGGATTTTATTATTCCGAAGTCAATGTCCTGCCATTTGCAGATCAAAAAAGCCAAAAAAAGTTGATGGCAGCAGAATATGTGATGCGTCGGATCAATTTGGGAAATGAGATAGCTGGGAAAATTACCCCGCCACCTACGGGATTCTTTTCCAAGAAGGTATAACGGCAACGATAAGCAATATCCGAGAAAGCCGCGGTATTACAATTCGAAAAAAAAGTTGACATTTTATACCATTGTGTGACAATTGGCCAAATTTGGAAACATATCCAAACGCCGACCTTTATCTCCAGAATTATATAGCTTGTGGGGATGACACATGACATGAGTGAAAAGGAAGAATTGTTTTTATTTGCAGATGAGTCAATTAGGTGTAGTATGTACAATGAAGAAGGAATTAGATCTTGGCAAAGATATTCTTATTAAGGCGCAGTTTAAGGATGATGAGGACTACGCCACCTAAAATGAAGGAGATACCGGTGAATAATTTGTAACTGAGGAATGGTTCTGAATCCACTGCGCCTTCAATGGCTGAGGCAATGGATGGACCAAACACGGAAGCAACATTAAACACCAGTAAGAGAGAAAGACCAGAGGGAAACATCTCCATTCCTAAGATGGATAACGTGACGGGTGATAAAAGGGAGAAATAGGTACCAGCAAAGAACCCAAGAATAACAGAGAAAGCGACAAGAGTACCATATGAATAGGCAAAAGTCCAAATCAGCAAGGAGCTTAGTCCACCAATAAAGGTAAATATGGTATGGGTATTGAGTTTGCCGATACGGTCAGCTAAATAGCCAGCAAAGACACGACCAAGGAAGTTGCAAGCTGAACTGATAGCCACCAGTGAGGATCCTTGAGAATCGGACAGACCAATATGAGTGGCATAAGCTACACAGCGCAATCAGTCAATGCGCAATGGAAAAAAAAAAAAAACGTGCCAATTTCGTGTAACTTACATGGCAGGAAAAAGTAGGGAACATAATATCCCAAAACGCATAGATCAGCTGAGATCACCCAAATGATGAAGTCCACATTTTTGAGCACCTTCAATTGAATAATGTCTTGCAGTCGCTTGCGACCTTTGATTCGAGGGTATTTATCTTTCACCAGAATACAGGCGACGACATCACACAGTAGGCAAACAAAACCGATCACACGGTAAGTCCTGAACAAAAATCATTAGCGTCTGTGCAGAAAAATTCAAATTGCAATAAATGGTGTAAAACCTACCATGGCGCACCAAGCTTCGCATTGATTGGTTGCATGATGAATGGCATAATGAGACCACCGACACCTGAACCTGAAACAATAATACCGAGAGCTAAACCTCTTCGACGGTTGAACCATTGAGGAGCAATGCCCATGATCGTAACGTATAGCATAGATGCTCCGAAACCAAAGAGCACACCTTGGCTCAAGTACAAATGCCAAACCTGATTATATGTGTTAAAGAGTTGTAATTCTGGAATGGAGTAAGCATACTTACTTGTGAGCTAAAACCGGCCATTTCCAATGAAAGAGTGATGCAAAATGTGCCAAGCAGCATCACAATTCTGCTGTCGAAGATCGAAGCGAGAATCTGACCCACAGGGCTCATTAAATTGAAAAAGACGAGAATGATGGTTCCAACAAAACTAAGGTTGAGAGCAGCATTTGGATCATCATAGAAAAGGTTCTGCTGGTAATAATCCTGCATCACACCCCTTTGAGATCGTATTAGAGATAGATGTTCTTTCGTAGCAAGTCTTTAGAAGAAGATAACGTACCAACTAATAGATACACCAAAAGTGGTAACTAAAACCATGAAGGCACCGAGCACGACGAACCAGCCATATCCGCCATCTGGCAAATCATCTACATCTGGTAGAGACTTTACAGATTCATCGCCCACTGAGATAACGATGTATTAGCGGAAGCGCTTCAACAGATCAATGATGGAGGCTTACCCTCTGTTGAGCCATTTACGCTGACGGTGGCATTGGAATTTCTCCAAGGACTGTTGTTCTTTTCATAATTTGGGTATTGTTCGTTTTCAATTCCTGCCGCACGTTCATCAATGTGTAGAGAATCAGCGGTCATGCCAATAGATCGTGTATATATGTGTATTATTTAGGCGACCTATACCAGTGGATGTAATGGCGGACGCCTGCAAATCACTTTTTTATATGGCAGGAAAATTTTTTGACTCTCAGATGATCCGAACATTGTCAGGTTTCAATCTGAAGAAAGTATATCCACTGCAGCAAACTTAATCGCAAATTTTTACACGTCCGTTGCTTCGGGCCAACTAGCGACTTGCTTTTTACAGAATTGTGGACGCCAAAATAGATGCATAATTGAAATTCCGTTGCTGCGGTGAGCAGAGCCGATTCAAACATAGATCAAGCCAGAGCATATGGTATCCTTTGCAAGGATGAGAATTTATGGCAGCATATCATCGCTGAAAGCCAAACTTTTACTGTGAGAAAAGCCATCGCCTCGTAAGGTATACAATGAAGATCCTTATGAGCACGAATTACGCAGTTACCAAATTTTACATGTCTGAGATTAAATGCGTGGGAAACCAACGGTGACTCAGGTCCATTCATTCCGGTTGAAGAAGCTGCACGATCTATTGAGAGAGCCAGAAATTTATCCTCTGATTGGTGATGGCGGAATCTGGAATCCACGTTTTTTTTTTCTTACCCAAGCCGTAGATCCGGAGGCAAAAGCCTATCGTATCTGTGCCCAATTAAAACAATTAGATCGTCCAATTAGTGATCGTACCAAGTCATTTTAGGAGAGAGCTGATAAATTCAGTTGAGCAAAGCCTTGGAGGTTTGCATGGATTCTCATCGGATATGATTCAGATTTAGCGTAATACTACGCTGAAATAACCGCATATGAAACCATCATGTAAAGATCATCAGCTTGCATCAACCTCAATGGCATCCTCTTCTCTGATTTGCATAGAGCGAGGAATATTTTATTATCTAATCCAACTCTTTTGTCGCTTGATGTTGCATCTAATACCAACAAAATGTTGGATATAAAGGAACAGCTCTCGTTGAACCTCAAATGGATTCTAGATGATAGCAAGATTTTTCGATAAAGTTCAAGATATTCCACATGTAGCAAATACTGTTGGTCTTTTTGCCACCCATATCTTTTTAATAAACTACATAAACTAAGTTTTAAAGATCTTCCAGATTTTATGACTGTTTCTAAGCTATGGTTGAAACAATGTGAAATGATTGATGTGTGATTTGCCGACTTTTCGGCCTTCCTGTTTGACATTAGAAAATTTCGGCCCGAGACAACGAGCAGAGTGTATGAGTGAGTCATGATATAAAACAACTTAGACAATTGATTGCGGAACTGCAGAAGAACTTTGTTTATGGTTCTGGATCCTAATGTTATGTGATGAGAGAAAACCGGTATAGCCCGACTGCATATCTTTGAAAATAGCGAGCATGCAAGTGTCACATTTACAGCCAATGCAGAAGCTTCTTAATGTTTTCGAGATGCTGATGGATACCCAATGCTGGATGCATGATCCTGGGAACTTTTGACAATGTCGCATGCAGGTTGAAACTTCTCCCGGAATTCGCAACATCGCCTGCTTTCGGATCAGATACAGACATTCCCGAAAAGTAAATTCGCTGGTGTTGCAGCAATAAAATGTCCAATCAATCCAGATCCAGAAATAAGTCATTTCCCCCAAGTTGGATGAATTTTTGTTTACTTCCTCATGTCGGATGTGCAATATTCTTACAAATGTTGTTGATGAGGATGGAGCTGTGGCCATGGGCCTTTGTTGGAGTGAAAAGCTATCTATCGAGACAATAAGTTTTTGTTAAATGGATAAATCCCCAGGATGATTTATTCCTACAATGATCCCGTCAGGACGAAAAAATGTGAAATATGTTGATATGACGTTATGCAAGAAGCGACAATACACATTCACTCTGATGATGAGTTAACTAGATCTCTTTTATTTATTTTTTTAGAAAATGGTAGAGTGGCTATGCTACTGCAAGAACACCTTATTTTCGCGTAAGTTACATCTCAATATTTCAGTGAGGCTCATGTCTCCATCACAGCATATCAATTGTGTCAAATCGATTCCATTTTCTACTTGATCACGGTCAAGTAGGAGTACATTAGCAACTGATGGCGATACGTAAATCTTGGAGCAATAGTTGTCTCATTTAAGTCGGTAGATCATTCTTTGCAAGGGTCGTTTCGATAAGGTTTGCTTTCCTCCTGAGCGCTGTCCGAATCAGTGGAAGAATCACTGCTCCATTCGTCAGTCTCTTCGTTTGGCTTGTCTTTCGGTGTCTTATATTCGGCTGTATGCATGTAAGGTACGTAAGATGACTGCCGTTCCATTTCTACTCTGCTTATAGCTGATGGATGTCGAGGATCACCATTGGCAGTTGGCAGGGTGTCAATCCAGCTGCTTCCAATCGTGGCAACGCCAATTTGGTATTTTCATCGTTAATGACATAGCCATAAATCGCACATGCTGCTTGCTCGTACGTTATAAACTGCATTTGGTGAACAAAAAGAAATAAAAGGTAAAAGAAGTGTGGTCAAATCCAATACCGTATCCCTGCTGTATGTTGTCAAATTATTATCGCGGCGAAGGATCACATAGTCGGTAGCGTATTCTTGCTGGAAGCAGTTGAGGAGGATATCCCAACCGAATTGCTTAGCGTGAGGTAGGATCTTCTGATTGAAGATAATGCCAGCGCATCCGCGAAAGTGGACGCGCAAAATCTGGGCCTTTCGTCCTTCACAGTGGACGGTGTCCAGGACAGAGACAAGGATCCGAGTGACTCTTGGCAGTAAAAGATATGATAATGCAACGTCGTCGGCATTTCTCCAAAGGAAAGAAGAGTATGATCGGGAGAAACAGTGACCGATGTAATAAAGGGGAGTCGGTGCAAGTCAGATGGTCTAAGAAAGTAAGCCATTCCAAGAAGATAACCATTTGAATTGGAGTCCCGCTAAGGATAAGGTAGAAGTACCGCGCAGGTATTCAAACATTCGGTGTAAACTACTAGTCGGTTGATAGATGCGAACTGGAAGCGAGTTGTGAAGCAGAGTTGCGACGAACTTGTTGATCTCGTCATTGGTGCGAAGCGTACTTGGATTTGGGTGGAGATGAGTTATCGCGGAAGAGTTGAAGAGTGGAAACCGCATAGGCATGTTGTGTGGCATATCACCCGAAAAGATGGTTAAACCAGCTGGAGTTAAGGGAGTGGTGAAAAAGGCGATGAAGCGGGATGGATCGCGGAACTGGTGGAAGTATTTATCTTCGTAGCCTTGAATTTCCATTAATTTGGGACGGTAAACATTGGATTCATAAGGGAAGGCGGATTTCTGGGAACACGAGTTCGTTGTGGGGTTGGTCAATAGTCATTGTTGGTTGTGATTTCATTGTTTGACCTCTTAATGATTTCGGAAAAAACGTCGAAAACTTCTTTTTGGACTTGCTGGATTTGTCGAAAGGTCGTCGTTCTGTTGCGGATAGTGGTTGGGAGTTGTAGAAACTCTTGTTGATAAGATTGAATTGAGAGCTTTCTCTGTACATTTGAGCAGGTTGGTTGGCTGTTAAATTAGTTTTGTCGAAGTGTTTCGTCAGAAGATCGTACTGCTTTAGGAAGTCGGCACAAGACTCGTTTCGTACTCCTTGTCATTTATGGCCTGGCTTTCAACAAGATTTGCTTCAGATAATGAAAGGCGCTGCGTTTCGACAGGGGTTGGTTTTTCTCCTGAGCGATGTTCGAGTCGCTAGAAGAATAACTGTCAATTCCTCAGTTAGCTGCTTGTTAGTACGTTACAAACTGCATTTAGTGGAGCCACTTTGGATAATGCTCCCTCTCCATAACGCAAGACGGCTTTCGCATCGTTCGAGTCATGCCAGCCCCGAAAGGATTCCCAGAAAAGGTCATTCGCATCCTCTGCTTGTATTAACGCCACCATGCGATTCAAATGGGCCCCTTCCTTCTTGCTTTGCTTTGACGATAGGCATGGGCATGAGGCTTGTTACGATCCTTCGTTCGTAATGGCTGAACGAAGGAACACGCTTACGCAGGCGCGAAATCAAAGCAGAAGAAAAAGGAGACGCGCGGCAAAGGATGACGTGCACTGGCAAATTTATGTTTCTCCAAGGAATCTTGGAGCGCACCAAGTGTTGGCCTAAAAAATGTGATCATGATCCCTCATGCAGTGATTCCCCTTTTCTCTCCCTCTGAACATCGCTTTTTCACCTTTTTGGTGTTCGCTCTCTCACACTTACGCGTTCGCTTACTCTTTGATTGCCTTTGTAATAGACTTCATTTAGCCGACTGAATCCTTTAGCATAGATATTTCTGAGTATAATGTCCCTCAGTTCTGATTTAATAAACACAATGGATAGCACCAGCAGCAGCATCTAATCTCATATTTTCAACACTCAGAGTAGCGCACTTGTTTCTTCTTTCTGTTTATTTATCGATTTTCGATCAGACACAGCGTGTAATCTTTGATTCTTCAATTCCCAAGCTTTCTCTCTTGATAGGTTGAAAGCGGCAAGCTAATTTTACAAAGTGGGTGGCAAATATTGTTCCGAAAAGCTTTGCTTTCGCTTTAATCGTTGGCCCTGAAGCAATACATGTGCACAATGGCTAGAACTTTCATGCTCGATAGCCAATCTTCCGGAAAAAAAAAATGAAGTTTTTGGTCTCCGATGTGATCCGATCCATGCCTGTTCCCCGCGCTTCACTTTATTGGAAAAGAACTTGGTTTTTTGGCTTTCATGACAAATTTCCTCTAAACTGGTGCCGTACACCTATTGAGTTCAATTAACCTTTACTCTATGGTTTTTTTAACATGTCTGAGTCTCGATTATTGCAGGTCGTGAAAATCTTCGAAGTAAAAGTTTGTCTGCGTTCACATCCGTAACAGGCCAAAATTCAAGTACCAATGGCAATGAAGCTTGTAGAATAAAGAAGCATAAAGTGCATAATTGCTAGCGGAGATCTATCCCATTCATTTATATTACAAGCTATTCACCACCTTGTACCGAATTTTAGACGATATAGCCACAATCGGACAATGTTACGCTTGTAAATGAAATGTGCCAGCATTAACGTGTTAGTTACACTACCGTGGAGATTCTTTTGTAGCAACGCGAAAAGCATGCTTCTTAGATCGAAAATATGAGCCATGTATCGTGAAGCTAGCAGATATTAATAGGCTTCCGCACGCTCGCCATTTTGTCTACCCAAGACAGCCCGCAGGGCGTTTTCCTTGGGATAACTCTTTTACTGGCTTGAAAATAATTTTCCCTAAAATGGCTTATATAATATGCAGAGGGAATAGTTGCCCATACTAGCTTTGATGGGTTGTGCCTCTGAAAAAGATGGTTCAAGTCAACATCCATTTTCAGAGTCTTCATAGCTCGAAGCGCATCTTACCTTATAATGACAGTTGAAATGATGATATTATGTAGATTGCAAGGAAATCAGTTCTTGCTGCTACAGCTTACTGGTGTAAAATTCTCAAGTATACCGTACATGCATGCATTCTTTTGGAGCATTGTTGTAATGCAGGGAATTCCAGGTAACTAGGTTGTCAGAAACTTTGGCCAAATAACTAAAAGATGTCGTGCCCGTCTCAGCATTTATGATTGGTGCTTCCGGACTAAACTCCCAAATATCGGAATTGGCGGACCCACATGGTTATGTTGGCGATCGAGATGAATCTGTCAATTAAGCATGGGAATTTCGGTTCTAAATTTCATACAATGCCTAAATTTGGGAAGGCCGGATACGTCTTTATATGGAATGTATGTATGGTGAATATATTTTTCTTAATAGATCTGGCAATATTTTGTGTGTCTTTGTCTACAGGCATAAAGAGAACGGTGAAAAGAATAAAGCATACATCAAAGATAATGTGGATAAGTAAAGGAAGTTCAAAAGACTATTGTGGATGTGTATGGTTTGGGTGCATGTAAGTGTGAGTGTATGATTGTATCGATTCATGTGCGTATGCGTGATTTGTTGATGATGTATGTGTAACAGTACCATCTGGTGCATAGTCTAGGCTAAATATAGGCGAAAGAAAAAGGTCAACAGCAATAAAAGAGTGTGTGCAACTTTCGTGATGCATAAAGCTACATGAAAGGGAGAATGATCAATCAATAGAGAAAAGAAAAAAAAACAATGAAAAAGAGCGGATAAAGAGCAAATTCGGTATCAAAAGCGATCAGGTTCAACGAATACACGTTAAAACGGTACAGATCGTTTGGAGCTGACATCCACTGCTTTCCAAGGCCGTCGACAAAACCTAGGCTGCTGATTTTGTTTCAGATTGATCAGATTTTTGTTCTGAAGCGTTTTGAATCGACCCCAGCAGCAACCTCGCGATCGATGTGGTAAGTAAGTCGAGGAAATCATGGCCCAAGATAATCCCTGTTCATATCCTTGCTGCAGCAGGTCGTCCTCAAAAGGTGTCCATGGCGTTCTAGTCTGCACCGACGCATGACCTGCAGCCGATGCCGATCGAGGTCGGCGTAACGAATCATCTCGCATCCAGGCCGTTCCTCGGCCATACGTTTCGCTAATTACTCGTTGTCGTCGCAGTGGTGGACTGGGGGCGCGGATTTGCGTTGGCGAGCCGGTAAGGCTGCCACTGCTTTCAGTGCTGCAGCTGCTGATACTGCTACGACTGCTGCTGGTGCTCATGGATCGCGCGTGTTTCCAAAAATCGAATTCCTGAATGTAGGGTACGTCTTCTTTAACGATGGGAGGACATGGGTCGCATGGTTGACACAGCAAATGTTTGATATCCATGACACCTAAAAGAAAAAATAAAAAAGAAACATCCACCGCGCAACAACGTGTCAATAAACTTGTTGATGTTACTATGTTTGGTCAACTTACTGGGCATGTTACTGATGTTTACTCTGGTAAAACGGCAATAAAGAAAAAAGGTAATAAAACACAGAAGAAGAAAAAGAATAATCCAAATAGTATAGCAAAAAAAAAAAAAAATGATAATACAAAGAGACTGGGCAGCCACTTATTATAATGTCACAGAAAAAAATTATTCGCCATCGAAAGCATCGAGACAGGAGTGAATCAAAGTCTTTATAAAAGTTTGCAAACAGAGTTTTAGGGGGAAGAAGGATCAAAGGAATGCAAAGTGGCCGGAGTTACACTAGTGATATGCATTTGTCCTGATGAATATAAGACCATTTTTGGTGCTTAAAATGACAGAATGAGAGTTTGTCTGCCGCCAAATCTACAATTGGTGACCCCTTTTTCTTTCTTTTTATATAAAATCTCTGTTTTAGGCCATGCTTACTGTCACGAAAATACAGTAACATGACATATAGACTTTGCTAGGACCCGTTTTTTGGTGATTTTGAGGATCCAACTTGTACAAGACTAATTCATGACCGTTATCCCACGTAATGATCTTTATCAATCCACTTTGTGGCACGCCTTATTACGCTGGGATCGTCGAAATAGAATAATATACCGACGACTCCGTGCTGCGTGTGTGACTAGGAATCTCCTGGCGATAACAGCTTAGGCGATAGGTGGATAAGACTTGGTTCTCAGATCATTTATGTGGTTTGTGCTTTTTTTTTTCCTCAAATCCCTTTTTTTTCCTCTTTTTATAACTAGTGTTGTCCTTTTAATAAAGTTTGAAGTATTGGGCAAAAACCACTCAAATGAACAGTCTGTCAGCCAATCGATTTTACCCTCATCATTGCGTTGATTTTATAGAGGAGCTATTCAATGAGAAAAGGTTTCTTCAAACAATTTTAGTGTTTATGGCCAAAAAAAAAAAAAAAAGAAAAAAAAATTCAGATGGATGATATATTCTATGTGATCAAGAATCCCATCATTCCCGGAAGAGATGCGCTCTTTTTTTTGCAGACCGAGAGAATTTATCTTTTGTTGGGTGTCCCTGAAGCTCCTTGCTGCAATCAGACCTAATTTGCCCATGTAAAGATGAACGCCGAACATGGCGCCACCTGGGCCCTTTTGCCGTCATATTGGAAACGTCCGCTGATCTCGGACTTTATTGTGCGAGGAATGCTTTCCAGTCACCGTTCCCAAATGGAGTAACCCGCATTTGAGCGGCAGAATTGTTTCCCTTTTTTTATTTGATTTTTTTTCTCGCAGCCTATCTGCAGACCCAACATGAGCGACGTGGTATGTTAGCATGGCTTTCCGCATATTGCATTCTGCTAATGACCGTAGCATGGTCGAAAACGGGTGAAAGACCCTGAAGAATCCATCAAAGCTCGCCGCGAAAAGGAGGCCAGCAAAATTACGGAATATCGAGATCTGGTACAGCAGTGCCACGAAAAGGTACTTTAGTAGTATACATGGATTCGTTTTTCGTTTTCATTATTGATTTTGTCGGCTTGCACAGATGAACGCGAAAGAATATACCCAAGAAACATTGGCTGTTATCACACAAATCCTACGAAGTAATCCCGATTACTACACCATTTGGAATATGCGGCGCATTGTGCTTTTGGAAGGCATCTTGCCTTTGCAGGAATCTGAGGATCAACGGAGAAAGATTTTTCTCAATGAGCTCGACCTTTTCATGCAACTCATTCGCATCAATCCGAAATCGTATTGGCTGTGGAATCATCGAAGTTGGTGCCTAGAAACTATGCCAAAACCAAACTGGACGGGAGAACTCGAACTGGTGAGCAAAATGTTATCCTTGGATGCTCGCAATTGTAAGTGCACAGGATAAGATATCTACCCTACCGTGAATCGATAAACTGACAATAATCGTTTCAGTTCACGGTTGGGGTTACCGACGTTACGTTGTGGCCCAGCTTCGAGCCTCGGCTGACGAAGCCGAGACCGCGCAGATTTCCCAAAGAGAGTTTGAATTCACCACGCAAAAGATCAATCAGAATTTCAGCAACTATTCCGCTTGGCACCAGCGGTCGAAAACTTTGCCTGAGATTGTAGAAAAGATGAGCACAGAAGAACGGAATGCAGTGGCTCAAAATGGTAGCTAAAATACGTACGTACTCTCTGAATGGATGGCTAAACAGCTTTGGATAGAATTGGATATTATCAAGGCTGCTGTTTACACCGACCCTGACGACCAATCGGCATGGCTATATTACTGGTGGTTGATCGGACGAGGTACGACAATGTAAGGGTGACATACGATGCAAGACTAGTAATAACCATCCTGTGGTGTTACAGCTCCTGAACGCGTGCATTTACTGGGTGCCTACTGTCTCAAGAAGACGCAGCATGTTCTCGTTGCTTTTGACGATGTAGTCAAGTTTATCAAAGCACCTGTTGTGCTGGATCTGCATCAGCGAGCTATCAATGGCCAATGGCATCCTTTTGATTTTTCAGACCAGGGTTCTATTTGGCTCTTTGTTCCTACAGAAACCGATCAACAACCTTCCGTTATACATAGCATGGCGGGAAGTGTTCTATCGAGCGATGGATCAAAAATTGCGACAGATACAGAATGGTCGACAGAGATAATATCGCTGAAGGAGGCACCAGGTAATATGTGCAAAATTACGTAAAATCGGCTGGAAACTCAGTGGCATTTAGATTGGACGGTTGATCGATGCAAACAATGTCAACGGCACAAGTGGCAACCTGCAGTGGTTTTTGTTGATCCGATTGCTTTGAATCAAAAGACGTGGTTTGATCTGGACCGTGTGGCTCTCCTTAAAGATGAAATCAACGCAGTCCGTGAACTGATAGAACTGGAACCTAACAGTCGATGTAAGTTTAAACTATTTTTCCGCGCTTAGGGACATGGTCTCACGTTGGCTGTAGGGGCTCTACAGACATTGGCTCATTTCCTGCAGCAATTAAAGCTATATATGGATGATGCGGAGAGTTCAGAAGCTTTGGATACTGAAACGATAGCAATTTTTGAAAAACTCATGACGCTGGATTCGTACCGCTCAAATAGATACAAGGAGCACAGTATGTAACCTCGCAACTTGTGGGCAATATTCATGGTATTAACGACGCGTGCTTCACAGAGAATAGGATTATGTTTCACCGGGCAACGAAAAATCTGCTTAATGGCGATGGCCACAAGTTAAAAACCGATTGGGTGAGTGAGAGGAGATAACACTTGTGGTATGAATAACAGGCTAACTTTGCAATGCCTAGGTTGAATCTTTGGATTTAAGCAATCTAATCACGTATGATATTGCTGTTCCTTCTATTTTGTTATTCGTTCGTCATTTACGCGTTCAAACAGGATCGCAACAGCAGTCTGACGCTTTGCTCCGTCGATTGCCATTCTTGGAGGGCTGTTCCTCACCATAAAGCCCGCTGTATATAATTATGATCTTCATGTGTTTAAAGAATATAATAGACAGGCTAGCCGTTTTGCCCTTGATGTGGCTATGCAGTCTAGTGCCATATAGCTTACTTTATTTGCCGAATATCTGTGATGTTGGATGTTCCTTGAGAAGTGATTGCGACTGGCCCAAAATGTACACGCACTTATTTGTGCTGTCGGACGAATACAAAAATAGGATATTGCACTTCACTCAAGAATTCCCAAATCATGATCTACATATGCGCGTTATCGTAAATTCATATGAGATGGGTGAAAATCCTCGGAGACGGCTGTTGTGACCAACAGTTTTACAAAGTATGTTAGCTGACAATGGCAGTTATTTATTTGGCTTGCTTCGTTGTATCCCTCTTTGCATGAGCGGTCAAAAAACTAGCTAATCGTTACCGATTTTCACATTGGGTCCTGAAGGGTTACCGGTGTCAGGATCTACATAGTCCTTGGGCTCAACGGCAAGCTTTCCAAGGAGGAAATCAATGAAGCGCTGTATTAACCAAATGTCCTCCATCTCGGGGCCTTCCGTTCTGAGCTTTTCAAGCTGTTCTTCTGCAAATTCTTTGGTAAGGATGCCAGCCTCTTGTCTGATCTTCAATAGCATTTCCACAGCTCCACGCTTATATTCCGGATGACCCTGGATCGTGAGGCACTGATTATCATCAGACACTAATGCATGAATAGCAGTATGCGGAGCTGTTGTTGCCAGACTGTGGAATCCATCCGGCAGATCGGGTATATGATCTTGGTGCACTTGATTCAAACGCTATACGTTGTTCAATCAATTTCACCCCGTAACATTTCTCTGGTCAACCGCAACTTACCAAATAGGCTTTGTCCGTCTTGAAGAATTGTTTTCCGAGTTTCGTCAATTGCACCTGGACATGACCAAACTATGTTCTCCCATATAAATATACCTAACATTCGCTGTGATGGTCTTGCCGGTTTTTTCTTCTCTTTTACCTCCCAACCATTCTTATTCTTTTCGCAGACTCCGCCACTGCTGCGTGCAAGGATTTGATGACCGAAACAGACGCCGATGATTCGCACGGTGGATCGATAAGGCTCCGTTCGCATAAGCTTGACGAAATCCACGAGTTTCAAAATCCATTCGTCATTTTCGTAAGCAGAATAAGCCGAGCCAGTAATGACAATGCCGTCGAATTTGTGATTCTTCAGGTCTTCTAGAGAAGGGTATTGCATCGCGTGAACCACGTCAAAATGTTCCCATGTAATGTCGACATTGGGCTCGCGGGCCTTGTCGAATACTTCGGCAAACATATATGGATAGTCTCCATATTTATCGACAACAGGTTGCTTTGGTGTGTCGCATACTAGTAAAGCTAAGTGTAACTTTTGTGACATGTTGACTTGAGGGATACAGCAAGAGAAACCGGGTGGGATAAAATTCCTCTAATCTGATGACACGTGAGCTTTTTTAATTTTTCCCAGACAATTTGGGCCGACTCTAAAGAAAAATTTTGAAACCATTCATCAGTTCAATTTTCTGGTGCTGAGAGACCTGCTTCAGTAAAGGTAACATAACTATTTTATATCGGCAAGTCTATATTAGAGCTATTACACTATCCAGCAGCCGTTCTGGCATTTAGAGCCATGATAAGGACCTCGCAATGGTTGATGGCACCCCGCTACCATATTCAATCGATTCAGAACAAATATTTTAGTGGCGATTTTGGGCATTTTCAGTCACTATAAGCCAATGCTCATATTGATGTTTGTCATGATCAATTTCTGTTATTATTACCAAGAAATTTTGGAATAACAATTACCCTGCTTTTGATACGTGAGATTCGCCGACATGGTTACAATATTATTTCCGTGATTCGTCGAACGAACCATACATTAACGACGATCCGAGTCAATGAATAGGTCACCAAGCATGCATGTGACAGTGGAAGCGATCTCTCCAGAAAGAGAATAGTAGGTGATGGGATCTATTTAGATCGGCAAAACATTAAAACACAACATCCCGGCCGGCCGAGGTTGACTTATTATTCTCCAGATGGATCTCTGTTCCCGACATGGGAGCAAATGAACTGCTGGTATTTTTATCCCATGTTTTCATGCGGCAACATCCATCGAAAGTTTTACTATGCATGGCAGTGCATCCCTTACATTCCTGCATAATGGCGTAGATCAGTGTCATTGTTTTACAAGCGAGTAGAATGGCTACGCAACCGCCCGAGAACGCACAACCCCCGCCCAGCTCCTGTTGTTGTTTCTATGCTGCAAAAAAAAGGGTAATGGCGGCAACTGTGATGTCTAACAAGACCTCACTTACTTACTTTCAAGGTGGGGCGAAAACGGTGTTCTCATGGTGAAGCTAAAATAGCGGACTGCAGTTTCGGCAATGCTCTTCAAAAGTTCGCTTCAGAGTTTACACATTAGACGGGCCGTTGCTCCTCTGTACATGATCGCCATTGCCATCCTCATACATAGCCTGCAACCAAAAAAGGGCGAAAAACAACAGGAATTAGAACTTAATTCGAATTTGTTCAGTTTCCCCCTTGACAAATAGATACTATCAAATATTTATTTACGGCCCCAAGACATTGAATAGCAATACTCCCAGTTCATTTGAGTCACACTGTAAGATTACACATTATTGGTAAAAAAAAAAAAAAAAAGGCGTATGTAGGCATACAGTTCTTCGTGGTTTTCGGCCAAGTGTGTTAAATTCTGCTGATGGTGGTACAAGCAGCCACGCAATAGCTTTTCGCCATGCAGGCGTTTGCATCGTTGCTTGCTGTGTTGCTTTGTATGGCGGCAGATTTCGTACATTACCCACCCAGACTATGCATCTTTCGAACAATGTGTTTTGTGTGAACCAATGGAGTTCACCGTATCTATCAATTTACGTGTTCGCAAAATCGCTAAAAAAGGCTAGTTCTGTAAAATGCGATGACCCGTCTTTGGGATTCCAAGTGTGTGAACAATTCACTAATGAAAAGGAAGCTAACGAACACAATGGCGGAAATGCAGATGTTTTTGATGTTATCTTTCATCTGTCAAGGTTTGTATGACAAAAAAAAGTGTCCTGATTATGCGACATCTGACGATGAGAAGCACATCGCTCCATTTTTGGAAAAAGGAAAGATTAACCATTGCGCGAAACCCACCCCACGCAAACATATGAATCGAGAATAATGATGTATTCTGAATCCGTGGTTTCCTTGAAAATCATTGAGTGTTCAATAAAGCTTTCTAGTCCATTCAACTTTTTTTTGAGCTAAAACGATGAGCTTTAACCTCCTTCTGCAGGCAGAGGAGTGCAAATATTGAATTTGCTGCATGATGCATGTGACCCGCTTATTTATAACACCCAAACAAAAGAAAAAAATTGCTTACTCATTCCGACAATTTCGAAAAAGCAGACTTGCCGTGAAAAGGATGAACCTGTCAACTTTTTTTTATATCATGCAACAAACAAAGAAAAAACATTCCAAGATGTGTACTTTTTCTTTTCCAAGGGTTTTTTCATCACATATTCCAAAAGTTATTCACTTGCATATACTCGCAACTTCTAATAAGGTAGAAGTACATGAATACAATAAAAAAAAAGAAACAAGAAAAAAAAAAGATACAAGGAGACTTGTTTCTGTAACACCAACAAATATGATGTTGACCGAAAATCCGAAAATCCGAAAAAGAAAAAAGAACAATCAAACACAAAAAAAGACAACAAAAAGATGAAAAAAAAATCGGAAACCGAAAATAATAAACCAAACAGCCCAAAGAAATGCGATGGAGAAAGAAAAAACTATGTGGAATGGAATATGTATATGAGCGTGAATATGGATTTGTATGTGTAGAAGGATCCATTTAAGGGATGTCTCGGGTGTATTTTGCATTGTTTATGCGTGCAAGTTGTGTTGCTTTGTCTGTGAGTGTAGAAGAGTGGAATAAGTGTGGGCGTGAGTGAGTGATGGAGTGATTGGGTGAGTGAATCGATAAACATGTAATATGTGTTGTATATGTGCGGTTTTGAGGGTGATGGAGACGATGACTGTAGATAAACAAAGAAGAAGTCGGGTATTGGGTGGTATAACATTCTGTTCGTGTCGATATGTAAGAGAGGTTGAGAACAAGAACAGAGCGAGAATTATTTGGCGGCTCGACGCTTCAACCTTTTGTTACTGCGTGATTGATCCAAACGTGACAATCGGTAATTGCCTTCTGGTGTTGAAGTTGACGTGCTGTTGCTTGAAATGGACGAGTTGGACGATGCACGTTTGGGGCAGTAACGGTACTCGGGAAATGCTTCCTTGTGAGCCTGCTTTTCCTGGTCCGCTAGTTTGTGCCACGGTCGCTTTTCGACTTCCGTCAGTTTGGCCCAGCGGCGCGAAGCACGTCTATTATGACATGTGAATCACTTTTTGTATATCTTGAACGATTTTACTTTTTCATCATTGATCGTTGCCTTACTTTGAAATTTCTTCAGCACGAAGGGTAGGGTCTTGAGCCTTGAGTGCTTGTCCGTAGTGACAACGGAACTGAAAAAAAAATTTGGTAAATTTGAAATGAGCAATCTGTTTCACTGTCATTTTGTTGCCTGGGAATATTTCGTTTTCCTTACATGGATCCAAGCGTTGCGAGGCCGTTTAATATGCGCATTTTTTGTCAAAAACATGCTAGGCCCGGCCGTGCTAGAGTGGGATTTCCCATGAACCATGAAAGTCGTTCCGGAAAGCGAGCGGTGTGCATCTGCGGAGGCTGAAGCTAGGGCTTCGGCAGCAATATGATCGTCATCACTGTCATCATCCTCCGTAGACGTTACCGTACTATTCATGACAGAGTCGGATCTATCCTCGTTGCCGGTATGGGGTAAGATGGCTACAGGCTTGTTCGTGATAGTGATAGTGAGAGACGATTTTCGCAAACTACGGGGCTTTTCCACCATTTCGGCATCAGCGCTCGGTATCACCGGAATTTTGGGTTGGATCAACGCTAATCCATTTTCCCTGTTTTGCATCGATGACGGTGGCTGTTGAGATAAGCGTCGTGGTATAGGGACATGCAAAGGAACGGCCGAGGGGATCGTTGCCCGCCGATCCATCGAACGTGGCCAAACGTACTGCACTTTCAAGTCAGAAGTAAAGTGAGGCCGAAAGATAGACGAAACATAGGTATAGAGTTGCGGAACAGGTTCAAGAAAAGGCGCCGGTCCGCTCATGGTGGAAGTAGATGAACTCAAGTCATCTGTCGCCATGGCCTCAGAAGAAGCAGGTGACGGTGGTCTATTATCTGGTAGATTTTTTTCATGGAAAAAAAAACGGTTGAGAAGCTTAATTTTTTTTGGTTTAAAAAAGTTTTGAACGAATAAAAAAGAAAAGAAAAAAAAGACAAGCACATACCCGTCGTCGTAGAGGAAGGCGATGATTCGCAAATATCCAAAATTGGCGGTAATTCCACTGGTGAAGCGGATGGTGGTGGGGTGGGAACAGAAAACTGTTGGCATTGGTCTGATTCTGTTTGAGACATCGGAGCAATTGAAGGTTTTTTCAAAGCAGTAGTGGTGGCAAAGTAAGACATGGACAAGAAAAAAAGCAAGTGATAACAATAAAACCAAAAAAGACAAATGAAACAACCAGAAAATAAAGTCAAAAAAAAGGATAAGAGAAATGGAAGCGATCACAGAAAAAAAAAGACACACAAAAAAAATCGATGAAAGCAAACGCAAAGAAATGAAGGAGGAAGAAGTTCAAAAGGAAAACGAAAACGGCAACAGACGTTGATAGCCTTTTGGACTGGGCTCAACTGACTTTCAAAATTTACACTACTTGTACAATGGCGAACACAAACAGAACACGCATTGCATCTCGCAATACAATTATGATCCTCAAGCAAACTATTATTTCATTGTTCTCCAAACTCGCAAAGCGTCGCCACACCAAAGATCAGCATCATTTTCATACATTCGCCGGTCGGTTGCCATCAAGATGTTCTGTGCAACCAATTACGTCCGTTACTCAAACAATGAACTACATTACTTTTTTTTTTTTGTTCTTCTTGATTCGCTTTCAATGCCTATCGTCATAATCAATTTAAATCCTTTGAATCTGCCAATACTTTCATCATCATGGACTCCTCTTATTGTCCTCGTTATCTCTTTCACAACGCCTCTCGAGAAGAAAAAAAATTTTGGGGATGCCCCTGAAAAAATACACCTTATTGAGCATCACAGTCACAACTGCACATAATCCCGATACGCTTTGGTGGTTATGGTAACAGACATTTCATGCATGCCCTTCCACACATCTAGGGTAAATTCAACGCTTTCATCCACCTACTCCATTTCCCTTTGCTTGGTTTATTTCGTGCAATCTGATCCAGTCTGACCCATCGATGTGGAGGAGCTGTGAGTAAGAGCAAAAAAAAAAAAAAAAAAAAAAATAGTAAAAAAAAAAGATTCAATCAGTCCCGCGTTTTTAGCGTCATCAAACTTTGTTTCCTCCAATAAGAATAGCATTTTTCCGTGCGACCACAGGGGGAACATCAATTGTGTCGTTTTCTCCGAAGGACGCGCTTACAATGGCGGCTGACCGTGTATGGGTGTTTAAAGTTCAAAGTGAGGAAGGTCAAGACGAATATGACACACAGTTACGGCGCCATGGATACCATCCCATCTTCATTCCCGTGCTGGCTCACAAAACGGAATCGCACAGTCAACTCCGCGACATTGTCATTCATGGTCCCCGTTACCATCACATCGCTGGTCTAATTATCACTTCTCAGCGAAGCGTGGAAACGCTGACGGAAGTTCTCCATAACCTATCCCTTGATTCCGCCACTGCATCCGAGTGGCATACATTACCTGTATATGTGGTGGGACACAAAACCGCCGAGAAGTTGCAACAATTACCCCTCTTTCAAGGCCTCCATTCCAACTGGATTATTGCCGATCGTGCCGCCGAACTGCATCCCGCCATCATTGCTCAAGTAAAATCTACTATCGGTGACCGTCAGCTTTTATTTTTGGCGGGGGATAAAAGACGGGACGAGTTACCGAATCATCTCGCCAAAGCCAATATTGCAGTGAAAGAGATCCGATGTTACAGCACCTGTGCACACCCGGAATTGGCCCAAAAGTTAGGCGAAATAAAAGTTATGCCAGATGACTGGACGGTATATTTCAGTCCCTCAGGAATTCGTTATATTCAGGAAACTACGCATCCGTTCACCGCAAAAATTGCTGCCATTGGTCCTACCACAGCCGACTACCTGGGAAAGCTTGGCATGAACATAAACGTGGTGTCTCGAAAACCCGATGCTGCGCATTTGGTTGCCGACATGGTCACTTACGATCGATCTTTATCATAAATAAAAAGACGCTGATCACGGCTCTATTCAATGGCAATAAAAATTGTTCTTCTACGTCATTTTGAAATAATGGTTCCTGGCCTGATCACCCTTTTATTTCTAATGAAGTACGTTTCCCATGCTTATGTTATCTGCTCCCTTTTTTGTGCCGGAAGTGGAGTATAACGCCAGGAACCCTCATTATGAAATGATGACAATGGTTTATCAGCAAGAATAAAAATAGGGCATGCGGTTTTCATCTATTCGTGAAATCGGCGAACGAAAAATCCATTGGAATTTGTTCTGTAAATAGATAAATTCTCCATCGAGGGATGGTCTACGTTGAACACGGGTAAAAAAAAACACGACGGTGCACGCCTAATGCTGCACAGACTAATGCACCGCGAAATGATATCACCGGCCAAGCTAACACCGTCCCATAACCTACTTTGCTTTGTGAATAGGAATTGCAGTGTTTCCAGAGTTCCAAACCGGCAATGAACGGTTCTTTCGGCTATAAGGATCTCATCCGGAAGATAGTTAAAAGATTAAATGCACAATTGTATGAAAGCTACGTAACTGTTACTGTCGGCATCCATCAAAATCAGTTTCTGCGTTTTAATGTCGCGATGAATTCAAGCTGAGATGGGCATCCGTCGTAAGCCATTGACCCTGTCTGAAACCTTCTATTTCAGACCCACATGTTCAAATTGCACTCCGGAGCTAAAGCCAGTTTATTATAACGTCGGTTCACAGTTTATAAATATCTAGACGCCTTCTGTCGGCGTTCCGGTTTAACCGACACCTCCATCCATTGAAACGAATATAAAAGGGTCGTCAGAAATCAACCGGGAATTCCACTCCATACAACTGTTACTGTGGTTATTTTTGTTGGACCATGTACTTTTCCTTGATATCGGCCGCGCTCGTTCTCGTAAGCGGTGATTTCGTGTCAGCTCAAAGCGCAACCGCATCAGGTGCCGTCGGCGCTTCTTCCACTTCGCCTTATTTACCCCAGACCTCGCCTGCTTATCTGTCCAACATTACCAAACCATCCGGTGTGGTCGACAGTTACAACTTCGGTCCCTATAACACTTCGGCGACTCTATCTCATGAGCCCCTCAATTTGAAGAACTATCCCAAGCCGTGGGGCAAACCTGACCCCAAGCACCCCGAAGTTCAAGCCGCCATGAAGACCATCAATTGGGACAAGGTTCCCAAAGCACCTACTCGCAAGGGAAAGAGCAATGGCGACTTGATCACCGACAACTATGACGAAGATAAAGATCCTTACTGCTGGTGGTCCGACACTAACTGTGTCAAGCCCAAGGTCAGCTATCTCCCTGAAGATATCTACATGTGTCCCAACGTTGGCGATTGGGGTCTGACCTACGATGACGGTCCATTCAATCCCAATCACGAAAAGGGACCTTTGAACGACGATAAATGGGCCGAGCCTCAGCTCTACAACTGGTTAGCCGAACACGGTAATCAAAAGGCCACTCTTTTCGTAAGTAGGACATTTGAATTCATTATGTCTTGTTAATTGACTCAGCGGTCATTGTTTTTTAGTACATTGGTTCCAACGTCGTTACTTTCCCTGAGGCTGCCAAGCGTGGTTTGAACCATGGTCACTACCTCTGCAGTCATACTTGGTCGCATCCTCAAATGACCACCATGTCCAACGAAGAAGCTGTGGCTGAATTTTACTGGACGCTCAAGGCCATCAAGGAGGCTACCGGTGTCACTGTTAAATGCTGGCGTCCTCCTTACGGTGATGTGGATGATCGTATCCGTTCCATTGCCTGGCAGATGGGTATGCGCACCGTCCTCTGGAATCTCGATACTAACGATTGGGATATGCCCGGAGACGGTGGCGGTGATCTCGCTCCTTCCAAGGTCGATGGCTACTTCCAAGGCTGGATTGACAAGCAGAAAGCCGGAAAGTACAAGACTGGTCACATTCTTCTCGAACACGAATTGAACAACTCTACCGTCAGCATGACCGAAAAGTGGTTGCCCAAGCTTCAACAAGTCTTCAACGTCGTTCCTGCTCTCGCCTGTCAAAACATCACCCATCCCTACTGGGAAGAACAATTCGTCTACCCTACTGAAGCTCACAACACCACCAAATCCCACAACAGCAACAGCTCCCAATCTCAAGTCTCGGCTTCAGGAGCCGCATCTAGCGTACACGCAGCTTCTATTCAACCTAGCGCTCAGGCCTCGGCTCAGCCTTCCTCCCAAGCTTCCGAAAACGTAGACGCCGGTAAAAACAACAACAACGCTGCCGCCCAAGGTTCCGATGTCAAGAATCTCGATTCCGACAGCTCTGATGCAGGATCATTGGTCATGCCAACCATGCTTACCTTAGGTGCAGCGGCCTTTGCTAGCATGGCTATTGTCAATTAAACCCATTTTGCTATCATACATTTATATATTTCAATACTATCTTGTTTCCTTTTTCTTTTCAATGTATACATGCCCTGTGTGAAAATCATCGTTCTAATTGTAAGACTTCATATTTCAATGAAATTCATCGAATCCATCAGGAAAGCCTGAAACATAACCCTGTGAACGCAACGGATAGCTAATTGTGTTTACCGAATTCTCAAAAAATCGAGAAGGTTTTTGATTGCCGAATCATAGAACATTCGATCTTAAGTTTTACGGTGAGCGGTTCTATTACCATAGAAATAAAGTAATCTTTACTGCTATCATCAGATATCCGTTATATTTTACAGATAGTATGTAATGGAAACACTACGTCAAGGGGTCATTTTGCCGCAGCTCAGAGCCAAAAATATCGAATGCTATTGATGCTTATAACTGTTTATCCGGCCATAAAGAAGACTCTATACTGTGTGCTGGCATGACACCTTTAAATAGAATGCCGCCAAGTTGAAAGTAAACTGTTACTATGGTGGCAGATAACGGGGTATTGGTTAAACATTTCGATCTGAGGATTACGGCATACAAACTATCCAATGCAGCTGCGAAAAAGGGGGCAAGCGTTATTCTTGACTTAACCGGTGTCGGGTTCTAGAAGTCCGGTTCAACCATTCAATGGGTATCGCCGACGCGGCGAATATTGCGGTTGTCAAGAAATGAAAGATAACACTTGAAGCGGATACACACTGGTTGTTAATAAAACTTTTTACATAATCTTGATCAGATAATCGTCTCATTCCGGACAAGTTTAGGGTCGATACGCAAAATTGCGATATCAATACCGTCCGCTGATCAGCGTTATCGACGATCGATTAAGAACATGTTGGTCTCTCAGACGTGGTCGTTTCCAAGCAATTGGCTTCTTGCCACTTCTGGATGTGTAACATTAGCAACCATTTCGAGATGTCTCCATGACGAGTTTGAGCATTTAGTGCGACACTTCTCGTAGTGTTACGAAATGCCCACGGCCCATTATTTTGGCAACATGTAAGATATGCTGCAATATGTTACCTATTGCATCTGATCATTAAGCTTATTTTAATATCCATAAATATATTTACACAGTGGATGGTATGACAAAGACTATGAAAAAATTGTGGTTTTCTCCTTGAAGACTCAAAATGATACAATGCGTCGCCCATGACACAGCAACGTTTCCAAACTCAGCTGTGAATGCTCCTGTCTCACGGGCTTCCGACGATTCCTTCCCTTCATCTTTCCGTCTTCCAGCATCATGTCAATAAGCCCATTAAGATCCGAGGTGATTGCGTTATATAAACAAGTATGTCTCTTAAGCTCGTTATAAGTCGTCCAAAGACGTGATGCGCTTTCGCTGTTAGCCATCTGGCGCACTGCTCACAGGACACGATCTGCTAGCTTGTCTACCTTGGCAGAGAATACCCGCTAGGCTATCATAATTTCTTCCGACCGAAACTGAAAGCGGCTTTCATGAAAAATCGCAACCTTACAGAAGAAGCCGACATAAAAAAAGCTCTGGCATTTGGCGAATATATCGTTAAAGGTAATATATAACCTGGATTGGCAAAGGTCCGGAAGGATCATCTCTCAACTGAAATGCAACAGAATTAGAAATGATGTACTACCTCAGGAAATACCGTGCACTGAGAAAGAGATATGTAGCAGGATAAAACCATGTGCAGAAAAGCCATAAAAATGCAAGTGGCAGGCCAGCACAGAATAAACGACCTAATTATGATGCTTGTTACACACATCAAGTTTTTCTGGTTTCATACGATTTCATTTCAGGCATATCACCTAGTTCCTTTTTTTTTTCATTCACCTTCCTCTTCGTTCACCAATATAATACATGTTACCTAATTCCCGTATGATTCCACCCTCATCTCAAGAAAACCGTCCAAGATCTTTATCAAGCACAGCCGTTCCTTCCCTTTACTTATCCTCGGAATGGTCGTCATCCCGATCCTCAAAAACGTTTTTGTCGCGATTCCGAGCAACGCCTCCATCCGTGCAACAACAACGTTCAGTTACTGACCGATCTCTTTCTCCTCCAATCACCAGAACAACGCGTTCCCAATCGTCCTCCACACCGCGCTCAAGTCAAGGTTCAGAGTACCTTGTCACCTCTCAGGGGGACTTGCCCCATATAAGCCATCAACATGAAAATCCGATGGCCCTTAAACGTCACGACTCTAATTCTACACCTACGCATATGAAAACCATCGCATCACATCATTCCTATGTAGAATCACCAGGATCATTCATGGATTATCCCGCTCAACATGGTGCCTGGAAAAAAGTACTGCACAGCAATAGCATCCAATCATCATTTTCAACTCACGCATTGCACTTTCTAGACACCCTCAAGAGGATCCATGAAGAGCTTTGGTAAACTTTTCAAAAAGCTGAGCAAGGTAAAGCCCAAAGTTATCAAGATGCAAACCATTTGATTTGCATCGCGACCGTGACATGCAAAGGGCCATGGCCATTTTCATCTAATTTGGGATATTAGTCATCGGATGAAGATACAGTCGACGATCAACCCCAGATTCGGCCCATATCTGCGAGTAATAGAAGCTCAGGCATCCGTGCCTCGCATAACATACCGCTAGCTCCCCCGCCCCCTCCTTCCGCTACAACCCATCCCTCCTTTCTTCCACAACGACCTGAACCATCCATTTCGCCAGATCAGCTGCTCACTGGTATCCCAGAAGAGCTTTTAGCCAAGCCCGCCTTTCACCGTCCTCATTTACCAAAGCACAGACAAGATGAGGATCATCCTTATAAATCTCGGCATGCGTCGTTTGTCCTTCCATCAACACAGGGTGACGGTGCAGGTTCATCTCACTGCATCGCCAATGCAAAACGTAGCCAATCAGTGCTTCTCTCCAAGGGAACAGATCCATCCAAATCCATTTCCGCCCTACCGCATCGAACAACAGATCCCGCCTACGTTGATCAGCCAAGGCCCAGAATGGAAGAAGAACAAAACTCATCGCGTATCTCGAACGACGGATCCACACGAAAATCATCGGGTTCATATTCAATATACAGCACATTTGGATCCGATTCCCATCATTCGAGTGAAAATGCTCTGGATGTCAGGATACATGACGACGACACAATTCATCATGCCCAGCCTTGGAAACTTATGAGATCTCGCCATGATCTACATGGCCACACTGCGGATCAAATGACATCAAAGGACCGATTATCTCAACATATAGTGTCTTCTGTAAATGAACTACATCTAGGCGGCATTCACCCACCCATCAGCGATCTACACGAGACAGAAAGTGTGGATTCTTTCAACACCGTAGCTTCTACGATGGATAGCGCAATTGACAGGGGCGACGAGGATAATGACGACGACTGTGACGATGCACGATCCATGCTATTGAAGGCGACGATCCCGTACGAAAATTCCTCGACATATCATGATTCGAAAGATGGAAATACAAGTACAGATACAGAAACATATAATGATCAACATACGGTAGACTCTGACGATGACGACGAGGAAGAAGATGATACCGATGGCGCTGTTTTTGTTGACGCCACAGGCCTTTCTCAAGAGGATATTGAACGTGAAAAAGGAGAAGCCAAGCTCAGCAAGCGTTTAAGTGGCGGTCACTTTGGTAGTGCAGGAGGCCTCGTGCTAAGTATTGCACCTCCATTGCCTTCCACCAAGTCACCGCATCGTCGAAGCCAACCTCCGCCCGAAGATTTAGCCCAAGCCATGCTTAACTGGAAACGACATAGCGGCGGAGCAACCAAGAAACACAGCAAGGACTTTTCAACGGTTAAATTCGATAAACAAACAATGGCAGGTTCCATCATTGGTTTAAAGGAAGAAGACGCCGAAGAAAACGAAAGATCACCAGATGATGTACGAAATTTCCGCGAGCAAGCTGCACAAGCGTTATCCGGGCCGCCAGCCAATACCGAAAACCTACGACGGGGACATAAGCCCAGTGAATCTTTGACTTCGTTCACGGATTCGATTTCAAAAGCTCTCGATGCTGCGTGGAACGCACCTACCATCGAGGATATACACGTACAAGATCCACGGCACTTAGAGGATGTGTCTACCAGAGACCATTTGAATGTCGAACATGCGGAGGTGTATCAAGAAGCCAAGGACGCAGCGCATCGGTTGTGGATGGAGGACGAGACCTTTATCACCACTGATAAAATCGCCGAATGGTTAGGCCAAGGGTAGGTATCATTTTCGTCGTTGAAATACATCATACGATTTATTTATTGATTTATTATACATTTTGCTGTATATAGAAAGACATTTAATTCAGAAGCACTAGTTTGGTACATCAAAAACTTCTACTTTGCCAACATGCGTTTGGACAGCGCCTTTAGGTACAATGGACCTTTCCTCCAATCAGCGTGCACCATTCTAATCACAAGCCATCGTGCCTTTAGAAAACTGTGTAGTAAACTCTATTTCCGGGCAGAAGCACAACAGATCGACCGCATTCTAGAAGCCTTTGCCAATCGATACTGGGATTGTAATCCTCAGTCTTTATTCGGAAGTGCAGGTAACATCCACACAAATGCGTAAAAGCTTTGATCGACTCGGATTGACCGTAAAAATTGTGAAACATTGGCAGATGTTGTCTATGCTGTCATTTATTCGTTGCTACTGCTTAATACAGATCTTCATGTGGCACAAGGGAACCACAACCGGATGACGCGGCAGGAGTTCATACGCAATACGATGATGGCCATCCACGACCAGCAGCAATCCCCGAAAGATGGATCCGAACCACTATGGCAGTTTTCCAAAGCATGGGAAATGGAAATGGAAGCTCATTTGAAGGTGAGACATTAACAACGGCATTTTTCTATCTGGCCGTCTCACCCCCATTTTTCGTTGCTAGGAACTGTATACTTCTGTGAAACAATACCAAATTCTGCAACCTTTGGCTCGACGACCGAGCACCAACGGGCAGCATCTTGAAAAGCGTGGCAGTATCCTGGGCGGACGACGCGTAATTGGCCTCAAACGCAGCGTCAATTCGATTATTCGAAAATCAGCAAGAGAAAGTATGCTGATCTCTGAAGAAAATCAGGTAAACCTTGAATAGATGAAATGATCAGAAAAAAAAGTGGCACAGTGTTGACATTAAGAACGACTGCATGTGTAGCCACGAAAGAGCACAAGCTCAGGCCACTCACGACCGTCTTCCCCTCAGACGCGACCGTGTCGACGAGAATCGATCTCTTCGTTAACCTCTGGAAGCTCCTCTTTCTATTCCCGCAGCACGAATCTATCATCACCGCAGCCGTTCAACAACTTTTCCAATTCTCTTGGTTCTGACTCCTTCACTAATCGATCGCCTTATCATAAAGAGGGAATTATTATGCGCAAACATCTATTGGAAACAGCGGATCATAAAGCCAAACACCGCGAATGGCGAGAATGTTTCTTGGTGGTCGGTCATGGGGAGCTCAAGATGTATGCCTTGCATCACCCGAATGAAGTGCATGACCGCAAAAGCATTTTCCGTCCAACAAGCGCCACTTACTCAGACACCGGACACCGCTTCAGTCAACATTGGCCTTCCTTTGCTGATGTACACGAGAGTGACCCTCAATGGATGGTAAAGCGAACAACGTCGGATTATTGTATCGTGCAGTATCTAATGTCTGTCTAAATATCTATATCAGCAATATACCCAACTGATCGGTACTATCGAACTCAAACATACACTTGCCAATGTATTGCCGCCGCCCGGTTACAATCGTCAACGTCCGCATGTATTTGCTATTCAGCAGCCGCACGGTGGTGTGTACTTGTTCCAGGCTAGCTCCATCGAAAGTGCAAACGAGTGGGTATTCACATGCAACTACTGGTCCGCACGTGAAAGTAAAGAACCGTTGCCGGGTGGGGTCAGCAACATGGAATATGGATGGGGTCGTTGTTTGAATGATGTCATTCTGGACTTGGATGCTATGGATAATGGCACTATTCAAGGAAACTGTATCGGAGATCCTGACGCTGTCATCATTTACGAGTGGAAACCCCCCGTGCCTCCTATGGTATCCAGTACGATGGATGAGAAAGAGCAATACGCAGCATTCCAGAAACATCTGCAGGCTTTGAATGAAGAAATCAATGATCACCGAGAACTCAAGTCGAAAATCTTGGTCAAAGTAAGTTGTTAATGCGGATATCAATGTGAAATAATGATATGTTAACATCGAGTATCCTCAGTTCCCTAGTAAATGTGATAATCACACAAAGGTGCTCAGTAACTGGGAAGCCAAGTCGAGGTACCTTCTTCATGACATTATCAAATATCAAAACTATTGTGACGTGCTAGAAAAATCCATGGAGCGGCGCCACCAACTAGAAGAAAAGAGACAACGACAAGAGAAAAAACAGGAGAAGGAACAGCTCACATTTGTGGGAACGCCTGTCGATTTAGTCAAAGAAATTGCTGATGAGCTCCAACTAGCGTTTTAATCGAATGATCCCTCACCATCTACTAGAATTGTACATCCTCCGTATTTTCATACCGATCCCTTATCAACATCATTTGTCTGCGATATATAGCAGTTTTACCATTAATTCATAGATTACCACTGTATTTTTTCCGCCACCTCAATAATATAATAATAGTAAAATCTTTTTGCACACCTTATTATACAACTGCGCCCCCGGTCATCATTTATCATAGCCGAAAAGTTGATGATGTATATCCCGTTGTTTTATGTTACAATCTCGAATAATTAGCACAAACTTTATTATGCAAGGAGGAGGGTGTTTAATGATTCCTCTTTTGATTTTAGGTAGGCTTCATACTTGTGATCGGTTTTACCGACGCCCGTCTAGAGGAGAGCATCGTTAAGAAGTCGTTGGATAGGAAAATAAAATAACATCATATTATCTACCTTCATTCGCAATGCGTTTTGATAAGCGTCTTGCAGTACCAGTGGAGAAATACCGGCTTCTTGCAATGTAGTTATGGCAAAATCTTTCGGACAGTCGGCTCTTTGATAGCAATATTCCTCAAGAATAGGTACAATGAGAACTATAAGCACAAAAGAATTAAGTATACGTTGGAGCACATAGTCGGCTATGACAACTCACGGGTTGAGAACACATTTTCCGATGGATACAACTGCTTTGTAAGTTCCACGAGGGTGGATTGCAACAAGGAGAATGTGGAGGTTTTCTCGGCTAATGCTAACAAGGATGTCAGATTATTCGATTCATACCAGTCATCACAGTAGAACTTACTATTATGGATCAATCCTCGCCATGCCTTGGCGACATAAGGCCAGTCTTTTCTGCCAACCATACTCATCAATATCAGCCCTTCCTTGTAAATGTCGAATCGACGAGCATAATTATCCAAGAGATCACTGGTAGCCACAAGTCGTGTATTCAGTTCGTCAGCAGCCGTCTTTTGTAAAGTATCAGTTGTATCCAAGGCGTTCATAATATGTAACTGAATGTGGGCAACTTCTTTTCGTCGTCTCATGACGCTTGTCTGCCCGTCCAGGATCAAACCTTCTTTCAGAGCAATGGACATGTACTCGATGCGTTGACGCAGATGAACATCGTCGGTGCGTGAAAGTTCGTCCAGACACAACGCCGCTTGGTCGTTATAGCCAAAGTTATGATGGTGTCGCCAGAGACAGTCCAAGCTATCAATCGGTGGTAAATGACGTTGCAGGAAAGGAATGAGATAGGGTGTGTTCAAGCGCAGTAATTCTGCCTTTTTCTCATTGCCGATAAGCCATTCATATAAGAGGTAGTGGAATAGCGTATCATTTGTTCCCAATACAATCGGCAATACCGTGGTGAAATCGTCGTTCAACGTCGCAAAAATAGTTTCATAGTATCGAGATCGGTCTTCGTAGTACCTCGCCCGGCTGTCGTTGAAAGGCTCAGAATCTTCATAGTATTTCAAACCTAATTCCTCGGGGTCTGCCTTTCGAGCTGATTCCAGAGCAAATCCAATGGCGGCGACAAGATCGTTCATTTCACAGAATTCAGAGTAATATTTCTGGAACTGTTCAAAGGATAGCTGATCCGCAATGTCTTTTAGGATAGTAAGCGCCCGCTGAAGCACGGATTTTCTCTCGTTGGATTCGATCGCATGCGCTTTATTCAAGATTTCGATAACCTAGACATCATGTAAATAGCATTAAGAGGGAACTATGACGACGTGCAATTGATGAGAACAAAAAATACCTGGAATAGCGACAGTTCCAGAGGGTCAAAGTAAGTTTGGCACTGATTCTGGAGCAATTCGCTAACAGTGTCGATAGAATTGTGTGCATCAGATGGAGCATGGGCAGCAATAGTAGCAAGAACAAGTTGCTCCGCTAATTTCTTTCCTTCGTTATCTTGCAGCAATTTTTCAATGGTCATCCCGAGAACATCGTCTTTGACGGTGGCCGGTATGCTAAGAGCATGATACAACCGTGTAAGAAACATACTAGTATCACGGCATCGCTAAAAGTAGCACTTACCATGATTCTACAGCACCCGTTCCTACAGATACGACTAGAATGAAAAACGCCAAGAAACCAATGGTGTTTTGCAAAAGTGGGTACAGTTTTTCAATGTCTCCAGGGTCCGTCTAAAATTGCAGATAGCACTGAATTGTCACTTCTTTTGGTTCTGATTTTTCATTTCTTCAACTGCTTACCTCGTTGTCTGATGCACCATGATGGCGGAAGATGTGTTGCAATTCCGGGCGGCTATGATTGGCTTAGACATTGTAAACTTTATAACGCGAGTGACAGCTTACCTTGATATAAATTCTCTCAATTTGGAGAACCGTTTCAGGATGATGTTCATATTTGAGGCAGTACTATCATTAATATACATCATTTAATTCGGTTGTTTCAACATGCCACAGCAGATAGGGAGTGATAGAATACTTTTGCTCGAATAATTTAAGCCGCCACATTGGAGAGATTGTCCTTGAGTAATAGAGAATCATTGTAGAGTCGATGAGTTCACGCTGTTCGACGAAAACCTGCACAGCTTTGTTGATCACTAGGAAGGAAAGGTATCTTTGTCAATACAGATGTCGCGAATTATATATGGATCGCTCGATAGGTTACCAATTTCAGAGAGAGGGTAATCAGCGCAGATGATGCTTAAGGACATTGCGGAGACTTCTGCTACGCCATAAAAGTCGATGATGTCCGCAATATAGGTTTCGTAGGTTTCGGCATCCAAGTCGAAGCGAGCGAATAGCTGTTCTAATCGACTGACAGGAGTTTGTTTGCCGTAGAAGGAGACACCATAATTTGTCAAGACAACAAATGACGGTTTCTTGGTGCTTCTAGCCACGGCGCATACGGTGCCATCCATCTCGACGCTTGCGCTGGATTCCAACAGCTTCTGTTTTGTCGCATCGTTTTCTGAGCATATAACGAATAATGTATCGTGTGTGTCCCGTGATTCCGTGGCAAGGAACACGTTATCCCCATAGAAACAAGTGTGTAATTTTCCTGCAACACTGTACTTTGGCGGTCGTTGCACGTAGATCAGTTTGATAATGTCATCGTTTACACTAAAGTAAAGGCGCGATCCGTTGGCGGTCACGGCCAGCAGCTGTATTTGCTTCGATTCCTCGGGTGAGATCGCGTGCAGTGAAATCACTTCCAAATCCTGTTGCGTATATTCTAGTTTTGACTCTTCAAAATATTTTTGAGCAGCCAATGTAGCATTGCTAAACTGAATCCTTCGAAAATGCGATCCTGAACGTACTGTGGGTCGTAACAGCTGGGCATCGCTAGAGCGTAAGCGTCTGTTTTCATACATTGTTACCTCACAAATTATCCTACCTCGATATCGGATTGCTTATTCAAGGTATACAGGATATGTCGATCATCATCCCACGATAGTGAAACGATTGGAACTAAGCGGCGGCAATATCCGGTATATGAGTATACTGTAACGACCAAGATTTCATGAATGTGTACCTTCAGGCGCCTTGGTCAACCATCGAGAAAAATAGCTTAACCAAGAGCTTGCGGTATGACAGATTAAATGACAGGACGAGGACGGACGTGCATGCTATCAAGCATTTCTTCATATCAGTATTTTCGGACGATGCTGATTAAAAAGATCAAAACGTACATCATAGGCCAGTTCGTAGAAATGACCGTCGTTGCCAATCATATAAATCCCTCCACCTTCCATTCCGACAATATTAGACATATGCACACCGTGGGTCTCGGCATGCATCAATTTGCGTGGTGCTAATACGACTTTGCCGTGCAGTAGGGATAGTTCAAAGACGTTGATATGGCGCGATGTGGCAGTGATAAGGGCGTATTTACGGTCATCGCCTGGACGGCCCACTACAACCAAGCTGATAAGCACTAATACTAAGCATGCACGATGCCCGTTGTCCGCTTACTGAGTGGAGCTAAACCAACATCGACGATCTCTTGATCAAGGCTTTCGTGAATGTATACATCGGTGCTGCAAAAGAGTAATGGCTGTGGTAAGTCTATGTACGTTTGCAACGAAATGCAATATGGTGGACCGGCTATATTACCCTCCAATAAAATCCCATAACAATAAGCAATGGTCATAGATCAGCCAGACGCGTCCGATCTCTGTGAAAAGCCCAATCTTGCACTGACAACCTGCACCTGGTTAATGCCGTTCGCATTAACGTCTGTAAAACTCATAATTATCCCGTGTTGTTGCTTACTGTCAATCTGTTGCACAACAAAGTCAGGGAAGGCAACTTTCTTCTCCTTTAGTAAAGGCGCCTGTGATCCATGACTTTGTAAATAGCGTTGCCCTAATCGGTTGGTGTGAGTTTCAATGCCATGTTCAGGGTCGTGTTCGCTTATTACGTTGTAATGTATCAAGTAGATCTGGCTGAAGAGCAAGATCCTGAATGACTCGGTCGATCGTGTCTGCGATGACCTGCATGGCAAAGCTGTGGCTAATTACTGCTGTCAGAGGCAGGAAAGTTTTGGTTCCTCAATTCAATCAATTTCCCGCGATTTTGTGACATCAGTTGCTGAGTATGAAAGCTACTGTGGCAACGAGGGCCATCCGAAAACAGGTTACCAAGTGCGCAGTAACTTTACCAAGTCAAATTGTGGAAACATACCAATCGTTTTCCTTTGATTGCACTGTTACCGACGCGTGTCGAAGGAAGGACTGAATTGAGCGAAGTCAATTTCAGAGACAATCTGCTTTAGCTTCTGACATTCTCTGTGACTGTCGGTATATCTGTTTTTCACTGGGCATTCTCGTAAGCTTTTTCAATTACCAGTGGATTGAAAATAGAAACATCGTATCAATGCAAAGTTACCAACTCGACAGTAATGCTGTTAACGAAAAACGCTGAAAAGCCAACGGAAATTGAATTAAATGCATCATGTTGTTTTCTGTTTTATATGTATGAGATATCTACGGTTGATCTTTCACTTGAGCTATGTATATGTAAAATTCATTGGGTCATCGATGGAAAAAGAAATTCGCTGTCCGGAAAATACAGGTTTGTAAGGTTAGGGTCAGGGATGTTTTACAGTTTAACCTTGCGTTCGAGCTTGAACTGTCCCATAGGGAGGCGGCTTTCGTCCAATTTGGGGAAGGTGATCTCACCAACGGGAGAGATCTTGTATTCTCTGATCAAGAGCGAGATGATGGTCATGATTTCTTGAAGAGCAAACCAACGACCAGGGCAAGCGTGTCGACCTAAACCGAAGAACAAGTACTCTTCGGAAACCTTGGTGGCCTGCTTGTCTTGACCGAGGAAACGCATGGGCACATATTTGGAATAATCCTCGTTGCTGTTCTTGGAGAAGTTTTGCTTATGGTTTTGCCAAACGTTGATAAGGACCTCCTCACCTAATAAATTAAAAAAGCACATCAGAGATGTCAGTCGAAAGTTGATGAATAAAAGAAGAAGCAGAGATACGTACCAGGCTGAACGAGCACACCGTTGCTCAAGGTGATTTGCTTATCGCCAGTGTACAAATGAGGCAGACCGATAAAGTCGTTGCGCATTCTGAAAGCTTCACGGCAGGCGCTGTCAAGCTTGACAAAGTTCTTCAATAATTCGCGGTTGAATACTTCGGGACCGACGTCTTCAGAGTAACCTTCCTGCTTCAAAACTTGTTGTTGCTCTTCAAAGAGTTCGTCAACCAGTCCGGGAGTATCCAATATACGATACAAGGCAACAGTGCAGTTTTCACTGGTGGTATGCAGAGCGGCAAAGATGAGCTGGGTAATCCAATCCACCAAGTAGGTGGTGTAATCGATACCGGGAGGGCAGCTGAATTCATCCATGATATCTTGCAAGATATCATTGGGCTTGACCCAGTTAGGGTTCGTCGCTTTTTGACGCAAGCGCTCTTCCACAACAGGTTGCATGGCCTCTCTCAACTGCTTGCGGTGTTTCTTCACATTGGGCGAGGTCTTACCAATGAACCTAATAGATTGGATCTGTTTAATGCATTTTCCTTTTTTGGGCCGAGATTTGGAGCTGAGGTTAAAGGGACCAAATACTTTACCACATGCGCCAACGATTGAGACGAGGGAAGGGTTCCAACCATGGTTTAGGAACGAGTTCGGAACCCACTTCCAGTACCATATTCTTGAAGGAGTCGATCAGCAATTCATTTTCGCAGAGCTCGACACCGCAAAAGATGGAAGCACTGGCTCTGGCAACAATGTGTTGCACGAAGGGGTAAACGTGATAGAATACATTCGACTCTCCGGCTAGATTAACGTTACCATATAAGTGATCCATCTTCCAATGTAATTAAGATGGCAAAGACACCCACCTTTCAACTGATTGGTCTGGTCAATGATACCCTTATAGATCTATTTACATAAAAGTTAGCATTTCTTCAATATCTGGATACATTGCTGCTGCTATTTGTAGCACATTACCTGCTGAACGACACGATCTGTGTAAAACTTGAGTTTGGGGGTTAAATGTTTCGTGATAATAACACGGAGATCGTCCACCGCCAGTTTATCTTCACCACAGGTATTAGTCAAAAGTCTGGCATCAAAGACCTAAACGATTTCGTCAGTATTTGGCATGGACGATTTGCAGGGTCAAATGTTATTACATTGTCTAAGGCTTTGAAGAAATTGAAATCGTTGTTTAAAAAGATCTCACGGACATAAGGGCCGGAGATAACCGTAGTAGGCTAATAATAGATCAGTCAACCAACTCTAACAGCAACGTGACGATACTGCAATACCTTGCCAAATAAGTGTGCGCGGAAAACAGGGCCGAGCTGCTTTGCCCACTTTTCAATGAAGGCTTGGGGATCTTCGCGGTATTCGGTAGTGTGTCCAAAGAAGAACGAGGGGTTAGGTACGTCGGGGCATCCATGATTACCCTGTTCAAAAGATAAGCATATCGTTTATCATGCCTTGGCATGGTCACAGAACGTGGGTCTCTCCTTTGTTACCTTGATCGCACGACGGCGATAGGCCACAGCTGACATGAGAACCACAGCGGTGGCAATACCGATGACGCCTTCCTTGGTCTTCAAGGCGGCCTGGCATCGTTCAATGTTTTTGGCGTTGATTTGGTGGGAAAGTTTGTCGAAATATTGGACCAGCATTGTAAGGAAAGGGTTGCTGTTCTGGATATGTATTCTACACCACCTTATATATGAATGAATAAACGACCTCGGTTATTCGGCCGCCGACATTAATTATTGGTCTGCATTCAGAATCCGTTTTACGCCCAGCCATTCGGAAATTGATCCCGAAAGTTGCGTACGGTGGGCGAAATGAATCATGTTGCCGGGGAAACGTTCCATCGGTGATCCTTTACTTGCCGGATCGACGCGAGTTCGCTTGGCTTCTCCAAACGTCATCCATGCGCCTGAAACCAATTGCGTAAAGAGGATTTAGCCAAGAAATACAGTGCAATAACTATCAGCGATATCATGGTTGAAACGTCGAATTGTTGAAAGGAAAATCTATTCTATTTCCCCTTTGAGGAGTTCCTTCGTCTTCAACGCAGCTAAGCACAAAGCCCTCAATACTCCAGGTTTTATCATTGTCATACATCTTTGCCAAGTTCAGGTCCCGCAATTAACGTTTCGGTGATCACGGTTACAATTTTCCCTCCCTCATTAGCCAATCATCGTTCGAATTCTGTAGGATAAGTTCGATAGGTTTCCTTTTTTGGACAGAAATGGCCCGGTCCTTTCTTCTTACTGCAGATTACTGCGCCATCCGGGGCGCATAAGCCCATAAGCAATACCACCATCCGGCGACTGAAAGGAGTGCTTAGATAGATAGTTTTTTGCTTAAAGACGCATACGTAATTCTGTCGCATAAGAAGTGTCTATTAAGCGATTCACATCCGACGTGGATCAATAAAAATCGATATCTCACAAAAACCGTTAAACAACTGATACAAAATGTGATCAATAGGAAGCCCTATTTATAGTTAGTTACGAGCTTCAAAGATCTTTTTATTCGAAGTAGCATTAACACGTATCCGCTCTTGGCATTATCACATAGCAACTGATGATGTGGAAATGTTACGGAACCGCCAATGGTTGGATTAAGCTTACTGAATTTCTTTAGAGACAACGGATTCTGATGGTAAAGGGGGAATGTCAGCAACTATATGTCGAAGCGTTGTCGTCGGGAATACATAGATTATAGTCGTTCAGAACACACAGCTCGTTGGTGGAACAAGTGGTAAATGTCATGCCGAAGAGAATGACGGTGACTGACATGGGGGAGCGCTTAAGGGAATGGTCTGAGGAGAAAGTAAGTCATCGATGTCTCTGGTGAGAAATGTCAAAAGATCTGACTGTTCCCCTTGATCGGACGATGGACTTTTAGGAACACTTCTCGCCTTCGAATTGTGTGAAAGTTTCGGTCGACTAATCTGTGTATCACGCAAATGAGTTGCAACACAATTGCAGTAGTGGACAATGGAACAAGAACATCCGTTGATCGGATTAGGCGCTGAATAAAAGAATTTTGCATACAATGAGACATGATCGGCATTGAGGGAACGACGACTGAGCAACAGCAACTTACCACTGGCAATGGCGCAAGTACATTTCACATGAGTGCCGTTGACTGCTCGTAAATCTCGACAGTGATGACATTGACTGACTTGTCTCCCTCGTTTTGAAAGTGGCACCAATTCTCGATCATGGTGCTGACAACTTTTTACACGGTGACCTCGTATACAGGCAGCACTATCATCATTTTCATTCAGTGTCTATACATTCGATGATATTGTAACTTATACTGCGTTGCTTACCAAGCATACTTTAATCCGTTGCGTTCAATAGCCATTAGAGCAAAGGGAGGCTAGGAACGAGAGAAAAGAAAGAATAGAAGAAACAAGGGAAAAAATTGGACCATTACCCAAATAAGTAAAAAAAAAAAGAGTCAATGGAAACCGAGGAAAAAAAATCATTTGTTATGATTCACGATCACGATAAAGTGAGCTAATTGTCATGGCGACATTTCATGGAGAGAAATAACAAGAGAGGATAAGAATAGTAAAAGCGGAAACAGCGAGAGTATCTATATTATGCCAATGAGGATGAAGATGGTTTTTCGGTGTGGGGTTCGACACCTTTGGATCGAGAGAAAGCGGTCCGTGTTCTGGAAAATAATTCTCTTGTCCATTGTGCCAAACTCTTTTGATCATCTTCCACAGGGTAATTTTCTGATTCCCCATTGCGATCCGCTGCCGTGGTACCAGGCCTTAAGTTCATCATCACCCCGGGAGCCATTCCAGCTGCAGCGGCAGTGTGCGCTTGAAGCTGTTCTTGCAGTACAACGATTTGCTTCTGGGTGTAGGACCATAAACATAGTGCCCAGTAAATCTGATGTAGGTGGTTAATCGAAGTTGTATAAATTATTTCTGCAGCCAGCCAATGATCACTTACGTAACATATTGCGATCATGATGATGACAACGACAGCAAATTTAAGCTCGTCCTGCCACAATTTATGACAGTTGTAGAGATCGGAACCCGCTTGGCTCGGAGTGAATGACAAATGGAACTGGGTGCCATTGAACAGAGTTGTCGATACTTGTTCATCCACCACATCACGAGACTTTCCAACACACCAATCATCGAATGGTTGACTTTGCACACCAAAGACAATGATATTCACGAAAAAGTCCACCAAGAACACCAGTACAATGAGCCATGTCATTCGATGACCTAGTCGTAGGATAACTGGTTTATTCTACAGAGAAAAATACGCTATTACATATCATGGCGACAGAAAAAATTCCTGGCTGACAACAACCTACCACAAATAGAGCGAAGAGCGAGAACAAAGCAACGAGGCAGAATATTAAGCAGATCGTGCCTTGGATCATCAATGCATTGCGGTTCAAATAAGAATAAATTGCTAAGGGTAGGTACGGAACGTTAGACGGAAGCCGATTAGTATTTTTCTGCAACGGTTCACTCACGGCTTCGGGATTGAAACGACATCACTGTTCCGTACAAGTTTAAACCCTATTGAGTATCGGCCGAAGAACATTAGCCATTATCGATGTTTTCAATATGATCCTCAAAAGGACGTTGATTGATGAACACTTACAAGCCAGATGAAACAAGCAAGGACACCTCCACCTCGAAGTGACATACAACCGCACCATTTCCGTACGTAGGCATGTTTCGCATGGAGTGTTCGTGTGCGTAGTTTTGGTTCAGGATACATCCATTGATTGTTCATATTTCCGAGGACTTGTATTATATTGGGATTGCCGAAAAAAAAGAGAAGTATACGAATTCAAAGAGAGAGGTAAAAAAAAGGAAAGCCGAAAGAGACTTATTGTTGGAAATGCGAAAAAATATATCGGATCAAACCACGTTCCCCGATGCAGGCCCATCCAGTTTTCCCGTTCTTGCCTTTTTGTAACACAAAAACATCTTCCCAATGCGGATCAAAGACTGCGTTTTTTCTTCTCACATGAACACAAAATAAGTCAAAAAATCCATGTCTGCCCGTCTAAAAAAGTTTATTTGGCGGATCTAGTATTTCAGTAACGGAATGAGGTAAGTAGGCTCCTTGCTGTTGAACTTTTGACATAATGCTCGCACTTGTTGCTTCAATTCCTCTTCTTCTTGTTGATTCAATTCTTCGCTGTGAACTCCTCCTATAACCATGGCAACATCCAAGCCTGCTGAGGTAGCGCCTAGCACATCGGTAGCCACGTTGTCTCCGATGCACAAGACTCGACGGTCACTGGCATTATGCATTTTTTCGTCCGAGACGTTCATGCGGAGTAGAAAGTCGTAAATACTGGCACAGGGCTTGCCAAAATAAAGAACTTGGCCGCCCATGTTTTCGTACATTTCACCAATGTATCCAGGACAAATCAACAGTTTCTGGCTGCCGTCTGCATTGAAGCCATACGGGGCCCACACATCGGGATTCGCACATAGTAAAGGCAACTGACGGCGTAAACAGGCTTCCAAAAATGGTGTAAAGTAAGCAATCACACTCTTCTCGCTGTATGGATCGACCGTTTTCCCTTCAAACAAAGGGAAATCCATCGTAGTGACCGATCCCAACAGGATAAAATCAACCTCCTCCAGACTGGCCTCGTTCGACGGTTGAATAGTAGGCATGACATTTGAATATAATGGAGCGTGCCAATCAGTGCTACCGAGCAACACAAAGCGACCTGTCTTTAAATAATGTTGTGCAAAACTCAACGGCCCTATGAGCTTATTTCCTTGCATTGTGCCTTCACAATGTTCCTGCACGATATCGCCCGTCCGGAGATACTCCGCACAGTCCTCCAAATAAAGACGAGTTAATTCACCGCTGGATAAAATGGCTTTATACGAGTCGGAAGGAATGTCGAATCCGTCGCTTAAATGCTCGCTGAGGACATGACTCAATCGGGTGGAATTCGACAGTAGGATAACTTGTTCACCAATCGTTACCAGTGACCGCAACGCTTCTTTGGTATATGGATAGGGTTTCTCGCCATTATGAATGACGCCGTAAATATCAATGGCAATAGTATCGTACTGCTGTTGTGCCAATACTTCTGACAGTGATTTGATGACTCGCATGCTGACGCTGAAAAACCCGAAAAAAGGGAAGTTCCAAATCTTTGTGTGCGAGCGAAGTCTGACAATATACAGTGGCTTGGATTTCACTGAATTGATGTGAGACAAGCGATAAATAACCTATGAGCGGCCATTTACGATGAAGCTATGGACAATGTTTCTGAACGTAGTGTCATGTGCCAATGCTTTTTAAGTGACAGTGAAAGAATGTTTATGAGATAACCCCCAAATGTGTTTATTTGGTGGCGTATTTCTTTGCATTCCCGACATGAGGCAAAGACTATCTATGAATGCGACAAGAAAATGCCATGACAAAAGTCCTTTGTCTCAGTTCAGGCCAAAGCCGTTTCTGTTTTGCGTGACAAATACAGTCAATTTTAGCATTATGAAAAGCAACTGGAGAGGTACGATTTAATGATAAATTCATGTATAGACGGCGTTTGATAATTTAGGGAAGGGATCAATATTCGTACGATTTATTGCCCAAAAAAGGTGTATGGGTTTTGTTGGTAACGGGGTGACTGGGGTTGCCTGGATGATAATGATCGGGAGGGATATTGTGAGTTGGCGATGGCCGGTTGCCGACTTGAACTTTGACCATCTTGCAACATCGGTGTTTGCTCTACTCCATTCACAGTAACACGTTGATTTCCGTTGCCATAATCTTCAATTACTTTCGTGCCCTACATTCAACAAATATCAGTTACATCCTTCTTCCTCTCTGCAGTTCAGTGTCTCATCAAACTACCGTGTGTGGATCTTGGATCTTGGTCACGGTGACTGTTTCCGGTCGACCGTTGACTATGCGTGTTGTGGTGGAGACACTTCGAGAACTCATTCCAGGTCCGCCAAACGAAGAGGAAGACATAAAAGATGATCCGCCAAACATATCACCCATCATCGGTGGAAATCCCATAGAAGAAAACGGGTCCCGTCCACCGAAACCTGAGCGGCCTCCCATCCAACCTTGGTTGAAGAATGGATCATGGGCAAACATACTTCCACCGCCGAAACCGCCCCCGAAGAACATATCATCTTTAGATAAGATATATAGTGAGCAGGTACGCCTGATAAAGATAGATATAAACTTAACATACCTAACGGATTGCGTCCGCCGAAAAATTGTGAGAAGATGTCTTCTGGTGAGTGGAACTATGGTTGAAAAAGAAACCAAGTGATAAGGGCCGTTAGAAAGTGAGTAAAACTTTTTTGAGTGCTTCTTTTATCCACATACTCTAAATCCAGCAAATGGATCATGATAGCCATAGTAATCGTCGTTAGCAGTCGAAGCGCTGCCTTGTGTATCGTATATGTGTCGCTTTTGAGCTAAATGACAGCTCGTCAGCATCATCACCAAGCTTGTAGGGAAATCAACTTGTTGTACTTACGATCCGATAAAATCTCATAAGCATGGCTGTGAAGTAACAGTATAACGAATTAGCATTTCCACAATGGCTCTCATGATGGTTAGCTCGTCTTTGCAGTAAAGTACCTTATTTGTTTGAACTATACGATTGCGTTAAATTCTACATACTGATCAAAGTTTTACTGCTGCTTTTTTGATAAATACCTTTTCGGCTGCTTCGGGCGAAGGGTTTTTATCTGGATGATATTTCAGAGCTAGCTTGCGATATGCTTTTTTTATATCGGTTTCTGTAGCTTCTGCAGTGATTTCGAGCACTTCGTAGTAATCGATGGACTCCATGGCCGTGAAAGAGATAACGGTCCAAACGAGGAAAGACACCCAAAAAATTAGTTCATGCACTGAGTTTGCAACTTCTTTCCAAGAAATTCTTATCCAATCAAAGTCAAGAATCTCAAATTATGTCATTCGGAAGGGATATTGAGGCGTTTCATTGATAGTCAAAAAAGCAAACCGCATCGCAGCAAATTTTCACATAATTCATGATTGAGGAACATTGGGCGAAATACGTTAATTCTGGACAATTATTCAGGTCTCGTCAACCCTCAACAAAGGAAACGCGATTCAGATGCCAAACTGCGTTTAGCTCCTATCCATCAGTATTCTGCTTAGAGACATCTAAAGCTGCATCCAACATTCTTATCAGATAACACCAGGGATGCATGATTGAACTTTATGAGCTTTCAATTGTAGCTGTTATGCGGCAGGTATGTGTAAACAATGCATGAAGTGATATTGCAGCCACAGTAGATCCAAGAATCGAGGCAGCACTCAACTAGACAATGCTGATGATGCTTTCAAATGAATGATAGCATATTTCAATGAAGTATAAAATAGTCTGTGAGCCCGAAGATTAGTATGATGTTATCGAATGACCGTCGTTTTTTGCGTCTGTGAGTGCTCAATTTTTTTATACGTAACCTGCCCAACAGCATGGTTGTCATTTCATACGAGAGCTTGGATCTTGTTTCCAAAGAGTTTGCTATAAAAGTTAACTATGGCTTTAGTCCATAGGACAAGCGGAAGTGGATGGCATACAAGGGAGATAGTAAAAGGGAAGAGAAAGTGTTCAAACCGTTTTGCACGCTCCTGGCGGAAGTAGAAATAGCGCATGACCATGTCGGTCTTTAAGTTTACCGGAGGTTCTATACAAAGCACAATCGGCCTGCACTGTGTACGACCGTTTCACATCAAGTGTCCCCAACAAACCACAGTAACCATAACAGGACCAATTTCACTCCGAGCACAGACCTCTTCCATGTGACTCACATCGTGTGTACACCCCCAACGGTCGCGACCTCTGGAAATTCTTAAAAAAGTAAATGCACAGCAACGTGAGAGCATAAAAAATTGGTGTATTAAATTAGCGTAGTAAAGCTGCTAAACGCAAGTATAATGCTAGTAGTGTGTATGTATGAATGGAATAATGAAGCGATGAAAGATATGGATGATAGGATGGAAATGAGAGGGTATGGATGTGGGAAGAACTGATACAAAGGTGCCATTTACGTTACGCACAAGTGTTCATCATAGGTTGGAAGTCGTTCCGACGCCCAGGGCTCGTCTCCCATAGCACAGGAAGCCGCCAAGAGCTGTCGATTGTCCTGTTGTTGACCGAATAGTAATTGAAGCATAAGAGCAGGATCATAAGGCAGCGATTGCCATACTTCTTCGTATGAAGGTAATCCGGTAGTTGTAGGAGCGCAAATAGTGACAGGCATGGAAGCGCGCAATTCGGATGTTTGCCCTTGAGCATTTTCAACGCATAAAGTGAAATTCAGTTTGTGGCGAATCCGCACAATGTCGTTTTGTACATCGCATTGCACATCCTCAATCGACTTGGGCACCGGAACCGTAAGTGTTTTGGACCAGACAAGGAACGAATCATCGCCACTCGCGTTTTGTTTTCCGAATTTATCGTCGCGTATGTTGTAGAGAATACGGCCGTGAGCACGAGGTCGACTGTTGGACTGGTTGGCATGACAAATCATGTATTCTTTAAATACGCATGTTACGTGTCGAAGGCGAAGTCCAGCCACTTGAGGCGTGATGCGAATATTGACAGGAATTTCTTCTCCGTGGCTGTACATTTTTGTAGGGAGTGTAATTTCGTAGTTCAGTTTATCGGACCATTGATTAAAGACTGAAGCCGGTTCCATGAATTCGGCAGAGAAAGGAAGCACTTGGCGAGAGAGATGAATGGCACGACGAGCCGTGTGATTAGGCATAAAAGTAGGTCGTTCCACAACAGCTCGGAATCCGTATTGGACCGAGTAAACATCGGCCATGTGTGTTGATTCAGGGAGGTCACCAGGTAAAGCAAGTTCAAACTCGTACGTGTAGTTACCGGGGCCTAGTTGATGAATTTTGTCCTTGCGAGGTAAAAAGGCCCATGTGTGATCAATGACCTTGCGCTCTTCGCTACACAATCGTTCTTGACCATTGCTCAAGCCTATAAAAGAAAGGAAAGGAAAAGGGAAAAAAATCCCGAAAACATGCAATGAGTCTACTTTATCCAATATAGAAAATATGAATTTATCCAACCACGTACATTCTGTCCAGGCAAATACAACTGTTCCAGTAAAGGTAAGAGAGATCGATTTGATTTTGCTGGGTTCGTTTAGAGTAACATTCAGCACACCGCGCAGAACACAACCCGCCGACTCGTTGGGAGTGCCGTACATGACAACATTGTCATTTTCCAAATGGATCTTCACTTTGGGTGTGCGAATTCGGTCCATTGGTGGGGATAGATGATGGATGAGAGGATTCTGGAAAATGCAGACAACAGAAAGTTTTCAATTGTGGAGAAAGAAGGATAAAGAATCGATTTCTGCCTTATAAATCAATGGCGGACCATGGGGTGATTTAGACGTATAAGGAAAAACTCTGAGCAGAAAAATTTTCTTCTTTTTTTTTTTTATTTTTGGCACAGTTTCAACGTCCGCTAAAACGGGAAAAATTCAAACCGACGATCATTTTCCCTTGGGAAACGACTAGTGAATTATGCATGGATGCACCAAGTTTTGCCAACGGTAACCTCCTTGCTTTCTCAATTCATCGATATTCAACATGCAGTATTACTTCCTTGCCCATTGTTGCCACACAGGACGGGATACTAGGTTTTTTTTTCGGGGCGCTGGAGCAAGAAAAAAAAAAATTAAATAGTTCAACTCGGGTCAACAGAGTCAAACTGACAGCTTGGGCGCCGACCCAAAATGCCAACTATGGAACTTCACAAGGCCTGGAACGTACCAATGGTAAGCGTTGTGCAACAAGTTATGCTGCACAAACTGCACTACCGACATTGTGATGGTGCCAAGTAAACTTTGCTGTATTCGGTGCATTTTTTTCATTTTAGCGGGGGGAAAGCGCAACGAAAAACCCGTTCATTTCATATGATGCCGACAAGACATCATGATTACTGTTGCCAATGTGATGGTGACTCTCTCTGACACATGTAAAACTATCGCAACTTGGCTGAACGTGCTTTCCCGCGTTAATCATTCATATCCCATGTGGTCGGCTATTTTAGCGGCCTTCGTATTCCTTGCATTGTTCCACCGGATCGTCGTGCACTCTTGTTGTAGTTGGATAGTTCAAGTTACACCGGGAACCGAATATCGGTACGAAAAAAAAATTCATCGATATTACAAATGCTATCTTTCGATATCTTTCTGTATGCTCCTTTTTTGTTCTTCTTTTTTTTATTGTGTTTATTTTTTTTCTCAACGATAACATTTGAAATCCCCTGTTCCGACGACATACCCGTGGCTGTTTTCGCTGCAGACCATGAATCACATGGATTGACCAATCGATTCTTTCAAATTTTTTACTCGCATTTCGGAACATGACGGTCATCAACTCATGTTGTTGTCGTGCTATGCGATATATGAAACAACGTTTACGTTTCGCGGTTGTATTGCCGCTTTTGTTGCTTTGACCAAGAAAGGAAAATATGGGTACGCGAGTACATATGGTCCTACCTACAGAACCATACACCTCGAGGATTCGTTGGATCCAGAACTTCACGCTCCTTCCCCTGAATTAACATCTGTTGCCACGCTGCGCATCACGCAGATACTGTGTGGAACGTGAAACAGCGCTGCAGATCAACTGAGATGCCACCCTCACCACCCCAGTTTCATGTCCCATGTTGCGTGCTCGCATAAAGAGGACCCGCTTAATCGATATTCTCGATGTCTCGTTCACTTCATCTGAACTCACGACTGACGGTGATCTCATTATATTAAGCGTTCACAGCGATTTGGCCGACAAGGGATTCTCTACTTGTTACCTTATATCTATATCACATGATACCTAACTTTTTTATCGACTCATTGGCATTGCAAAAGTTTATGGTTATATGAGCGCAAAAAGCATTCGATGTTTTTTGTGGCAATATTTTTAGCTTACGTTCCAAAATGAACCCAACGCCCAATGAGCATATCAAGGTCATCGCAATGTAAAACGATTTTGTACTCAGGTTACAGCGGCAATATCTTAATTCGTGTTAACATAATCTATATTCTGCATGTTTGAGGGAAATGACAACGCAAAGCTTTTTTTTTTTTTTCATTTCAGAAACACTCATGTCGCTCTGCCACTGGCTGTCATTGCCCAAATTGGCAACTTTTTCTATTGGTTAACCTGGTTCGCAGACGTTACACCGCATGGGCCAATTCTAGAAAAACTACAGGTTACGCGGGAAACAAAGTTTGCTTCTTTCAAGGATCACGAACTATTTTGTGAACCCCAGGTCGTCGTCTCATGTTTCTCAGTGCATAGTCGCAGTGCGCGTAATGACACAGCATATCAGCAGAGGGCTCATATCGCAAGTCGCCTCTGTTGGTTAATCCGACAGGTTCGAGAAGTTCATCTCGCATCGTAACAGTTCACTGATGAGTAAGCACGCATAGTATTTAACCGAGATTCCAAACATCCTATAACACTCTTGCTTAAATGCCCTCCGGCGCACTAAATTAACTTTCATAAGTTGCGCACCCGAGATCACTTCGATATTTATTCGCTTTTTTCATGAATCATAAAGTACGCTGCAGCAGGTCAGGGAGAAGCTACAAGCAAACGAAGCTTTATAAAGTAAACAGCAGCTGCAAACTTGGAATCATGCAAACTACGTCTGCGGTAAGGTATTCCGGATATCCTTTGAGATCTAATGAAGCAACGTCGCGGTGTTTGAAGAGATAAGAATGATTGATCTTAATAGAAACGATATAAACTATGTTGAGATTTGGTGAAAAAAAAAAAAAAAGATTGGGAGAGGAAATAATAAAGACATGAGTCGTTAGTTCTACGATCTATACCTGCCTATAGTCGACGACGGAACGTTTATGTATTGATAAATTAAAACCATTTATTCATTATGTTTATTTGGCTGTGTCCTTTGTGATCCTAGCTTGGAATATTGGTTGAATAATTCCTGGCAAGATATTCATGCCAAGATCATCATCACCGACGGGAAGAAGGCCAGTACTTTCTTGGGTGACGGTTTCCAAGTAACAGCCTCTGTTCTTTCAGACAGGTAACAAGATACGCCAGGAGCTCGAAAAAGGCGGTCCACGATGCTCGGCTATTGTAATTCAATGGTATGTCGGCAGATCGTACGTGTGTATGGATGTATGCGTCCGGTCTTCGGAATCCAAAGACGTTGTGGACAAGGTAATGCTTGTCCACACGCATTGCATAGAGAAAGATTGGATCAAACAGAGGCTTGGAAGTGACGCAGACAAATGGCGTCGGATGTGCAAATCGAGGAGTTCGAGGGAAGCGTGAATGATCGTCGTCTTAATGCTGAACGTTTTTCTTGTCAATGCATCGCCTTGAGCCTTCCCTTATGACTTATTGCGGTTGTTGTTGTCATAACCGAGTCCATCATGGAATTTGTTGGAGACACCGGGTTTTTCACATTGTTGGGTTGATCGTAGATCCAGCATGTTTTTTAGTGGGTGCTTCACACCATTGAAACCCTAATGCTTGAAAAATGGTCACAACTCGATCCACCCAGAAAGTTCTTTCGCACTTGGTTGACACTGGCTGTAAACATCAGTGAGGATGCACCGAAGATATTCACGAATATCAAGCGTCACTGTTGGTAATGGCTTAAAATTTCGGGGCCAATACTTGGTAGACTCCAAAAATCGATTATCGTGGACTAGCTGAGCTGCTTTGGATAAGACTCGCTCTCCATAACGCTAAGATGGCCTCCGCATCGTTCGAGTCACACCAGCCCTGAAAGGACTCCCAGAGAACGTCGAAGCAATTCGCGTGCTGGCAGTAACGCCATCTTTGTAATTCAAAGAAGTCTTCCTTCTTGCTTCGACTAGTGGCAGAGATCCGTCCCGAGCTTTCTTCGGAATTGTTGAACGAAAGAAGTCTACGCAGGCGCAGCAAGTAAAGCAGGAAGGGGAGAGAAAAAAAATGGGACGCGCGGCAAATGATGTTGTGTACGCTGGCCAATGATTTTTCTCGAGTAGAATTTTAGAGTGTCCAAGTGTTCGTCGAGGCAAACGCTCAGCAAGCGACATGGTTTATAGAATACGACTTATTCAAAAAGTAGACTTATTTTGATGGCTAGCGACTTTAATTGATTGACCTGCGACATATTGTTTTGATAAACTACGACTTTGCTTGTTGGAAGCACGTATAAACCCTTATGGAAGAGGCACGCATCCAACACTTATACCGTCTCGCCAAGGAAATCCACGACAGACATATGAAGGCGGATGAAAGTCAACTGGCTGCTCTGACGACGATCTGTGAAGCCACTTAGTACCAGTCTGCGAAAATCGCAAATACCATTCGCACGGAATCCACCGAAGCCTCCCAATACGCTGAAGCCGGGTGCTTATACAGCGAACGCAGGAAACGCGAATATGCAGATGGAAGAAAGTGAAGCCTTAATCACCAACGGAGGCACCAGCTGGTATTGTCACTGTGAAGCCACGGAAGCGCGCAGATTTCAGCGAATCCGACGATTCCATCCTCAGTTTCGTCAATGCATTTAAAGAGTCTGATAACGGACGAATGAATTGGAATACTTCCTGACAAGAAGGACGTAACAACGGCTTTTTCAAGGAATACAGCAACGACGCCAGCCTCAAATTGGTTTACCACCGTATATTGAAAAACACTAAAAACAAAAAACAGTAACCTATATCTCTACATTCTTCCCTCTTCATCTCTTCTCCTAAATCATTTCCCATTTAGGCAAATAAAATGGCAAGCATACAATAAAGCAGACAGAATAAGTAGTAAACATCATAAAAAAAATCGTGACCAAATTGGTAACATCAGTGACATTGAGAAGACAACAGTGATGGGGTACCATGTAACTTTAACATCTTTCTTGGGGTTTATGAGCACGGCCGCTCTTATCATTAATTTTGGGAAAATGCACTACGGTGAGCAGAGCACAAATACCTGCTTAACACATCCTTCTTATACTGCACCATCTTTGCTCGAACACTAAACAATGGATCAACACAACAAACCCGTGTATTTTTCAGCTACCGCTTAACCAAAGCGGTAACCCATCGATAAGCGACATTATCGCAATGGCGTTTCTAAATGTTTCCCGATGGGAAATAGATAGAGAAGGAAGTGGAACAGTGCCTCGCGAATATTGTCACGGGCGAATCCAAGACAAAATTTGAGCAAGAGAGATAAAACCCTTTTGGTCAACAATGAACGGATATTGGATCTGGTGAATCCACGCACAAGTTAAATTTGTTGAGTGAATGTCCTTTTTAATGAAAAAATACATGATATCCTGCGAAAAAAGGAGCCTGTTAACGTAAGGCGCTATTATCGTTTATGAGCCTATACACTATGTCAACATTATCCTATAGAGAGATGCCCAGCAGATCAAATAACCAAGCTCATGAGAATGAATAACGTTCCTTCGTTAAGATGTCATGGACGAATGAGATATGCAAGGCCGCTTGTCACTCTCAAGAACTCATTTTCCACCCATGGCAGGATCACGAGAGTTTCCACAAATTTTCTACCGGTTAATCGATATTTGCTTCGACAACGAATGTGGCCTCGTCGGTAACAAGATGCATGGATCCAAACTCATCCGTGTTCATAAGATCGTCGTACTCTAAATCCTTCAGTTAGAATCTCCCCAGCTAACTTGTCAGAAAGTTACATGATATGCACCACTGTTGCTTTCCCCATCCAAGGATGAACAAATTCATGTTCCAAGAACTTGAGATATTTGGACCAATCACACGCGACCTTTGAGATGTGAAAATCACTCTGCACCAGGTTTCAAAAACAACGACCCACTGAATCGTTCAATGAGCGTAAAATGTAATTTCAAATTCAATTGCAGCTCGACATTGTGGAAAGTTCTTAATGAATCCGGTATGAAGACATTAAAAAATAATGAAAGACATTAAATAAAAGAATTATTATTTTGTACATAGAGATATCTTGCAAATAATTGACAATTACGACACCATTTGGTAAGGGAATGGCCATGAGCTGCATGTCGTTACACAGCTTTTTGTCCCAGCTCATGGCCTCCGTTAGCAGCACGGACATAGGCGACCGATGGCTCTGAAGATACCGGTAATACACGATACAACGGCGGAAACAAGAGAATTCAAAAGACCTGATGAGAGAGAGAGAGAAGTTAGTTGGTAAGCTCACACTGCATCTAGTTTCCGGTTGACCTGTTCAGGGACACTTTACCTGCAATAGCACTAACAATGCCACTGATCAGCGATGCCACCGAGGTGACAAGGCCGCTCAAGCATGACATGATCGACCCCATATTAAATAGATAGTTGTAGAACTTGTCAGAGTAATGAAAAACTTGGGGAAATGTCGATCAACATACCTTATATACTTTTTTTTTTCAATATGATTTGAAACTGAGTGGAAAAAAATATAATTTGTGATTCAATACGTCATGACGATGTAAGGATCGTCTCGGAACTTTTGTCGAACCTTTTTTCGGGCTCCGCATGACGCTCGGTTAACTCACACTTGGTCGTTGCTCGTCCCCTGACAATCAACTAAACCGACAAAAAAAACATTCAAGAAAAAATCATCTGATCTATGTCCATGCGTTAACTGTATAAAGAAAAACAAACGTAATAAGAGCATAAATGGGTCAATGTTGACTCTTTTAGGGTAAAAGCAAACAAACTGTCCATCATCATTATACACGATGTCATTTATGTTTCTAATGAAACATTCAATCTTTTTTTTTTTTGGTTTTTTATTTTTGGACCTTAATTCCCTTGGATGGTTGATGATGATGGTAAGAGTCTAAATGGGAGTGATGCAATTTAGGACGTGGAGTTTTCTTCTTGCCCGATTTGACAAAACTACGCAAGGAACTGTCAATGAGCGATTCACATTTTTCCTTGATTTGCAGCGCTTGGTCTTGTTCCGTCACAAAAGTCTCGGGGAATCGCAATCTATGGAAAGAATAACATGTTTCCAAATCAATCACAAACCATATGACGCTAATTGCCAGAAAAAAAAATGGAACTTACGCTAGCCACATGTACAGCATAATGGTTTTATGAGCCAGTTCTAATTCTTGTAAAGATTTCGGCTCGCGTGGAGGTTGTTTAGGCAACGTAACGACGGTATCCAGCGTGCATGTATCGCTGTGGCTGTGCATCTCTGCAAAGCGGGCCACAGTATCCAATAATTGTTCGTTCCGAGTGCTCACTGGGGCTGTGGAAATAATGTACCGGTCCCGCAAATTCAGATCAACGTGATTGATGGCTTCGGCAATTTTCTAATTGCATGGATTCAATACCCGTCCTAAAAAAGGGGGAATGAAACCTCGATCCACCACTTACCTTCTGATCCCCGAAATTACAGAGGAAATAAGAACTTTCGACTGATGCCATTTCTTCAAATTTTTGCTGCAAACTCAATTCAGTGGTCTGTGTTTGAAACCTTTGCATCATCGGTCCATGGGAAAGAAAACCACAGAAACTTACCAACAGATTGGGGAAGGATTCTTGAGGCATCTGAACAGCAAAAAATTCCAACATGTCCACCGTAGGTTGTAACCCAGCCAACTGTTTATTTTCCGTTATTCGCTACTCCTTTTTCTTTCCGTTATAAAAATTAAGAAAACGTACCTTTAGATAATGGATCGGTGCCTTCATGGCCATCTTGACATAGTTTAAATCTTGTGGATACATGCTATTTTATGCATGTTAAATCCATCTCATGACCCAAAAAGTCTCTGTATGCAAACTCCTTACGTGGTAACTTGACCGTTGGCATAAGTTGTACCAAAGCGACCTGCTCGACCAGCGATTTGCTTCAGTTGAGGTATACTCATATAGCGATTGGCATGTCCATCGAATTTCTTGACAGTCGAGAAAATGATACGTTTAATATTTCTGTCATGATTTAATGAGTATCATCATCATCACTATATCCGTCGAAAATCTCTCATTTTCTCCACACTTACAAGTTGAGACCCATTCCTACAGCATCAGAAGCGACAAGCACATTCACATCGCTTTCCGGGTCATTGAAAGACCTGGCTTGCATCGCTCGCGTCTCTGTGTTCACATATCAGCGATCATTTTGATCTTTCGATACAAATACGTTTCATCGTTACCTGGAGGAAGAGCGCCATACGCGACGGCACATTTCAGTCCTGTTTCCTTTTCAATTTTCGTTTTGATCTCAAAAATTTGACTGCGAGAAAATGCAACCACGCAATCGCCTTTACGGATTTTCGTCCAATTGCGATTTAATGATGCTTCGTTGATAGTGACGGGAGTCAAGCGCTCGTACTCGTTGACAACGACTTCCTCGTTGAGAGACTCGCAAATGGATTTGATCAGAGGCACAGCGGCAGGTTCGCCGCACAGATGGATTTCTTTGGCCTTTAAACCTAGTAATGCTTGGGTCCATGCCCAGCCGCGAAGCGGATCGCCTATCATCTGGATCTCGTCAATGACCGCCACTTCCATACGTCGACCAAGATTAGCCATTTCCACCGTCGAACTTGTCATCAGGCAAGCTTCATCCATCACCCGTTTTTCTTCGCCGGTTAATAAATTGCAAGTGATGCCTTTGGCGTTCATTTTTTCGAACACTTCGTGAGCCAACAAACGCAAGGGACCGCAATAAATGCCAGATTCGGCTTCTTCCAGACGTTTCAACGCACGATACGTTTTGCCGCTATTTGTCGGTCCAACATGAAGAATGATTTTTCTAAAGGACGCAGAATACTGTTATGAGATTTCGAGGTCTCCCAAGCTCATCCAATCCTTCCATTGTTTTATACCTCTGCATTTGTCGTGCTTCGGGGAACCATTCACCGGGAAAGCGCAAATCACTGAGTTTGCGCATAGATCGGTAATGTTCAATGACGCTCTCAGGAACGTACGGCTCTGCATATTCATAGAATGAAGCTAAAATGGCCCGATCCACACCCTCTAGAAAGAGATCCAATTGTTAGATTGCAAACAACATTGAGGCGATCATGAGATCTGCTTTGTCATGTCATTGTCACGTACCATGGCCTTGGTGTACACCGAGAGAGGTACGGATATACGAAACACTGCACTGTTGCATTTTTCCAGCCAGAACCGCTTTTTCGAAGCCAGGATAGATCTCGTCAAACAGAGCTTTATCAATGCCCATCACCTTTAACTTTTTCGAGATCCCCGTGTCACGCTTAAATCTCTTTAAGCGATTTTCCAAGACTACACCATGAACGTCAATACCGATCCTTTCATACCCTTCAGCAAGGTCGTACCTTTGATCGTAGCCTCCTCCGATTTTGGTTTTTTTGATAATGTATGGGGTTGTGGTATCCGTTGATCGATCTGCGGTCGAGCAATACGACAGATTGCTGGGGTGGTAGCTATGGATCGTCGTACCAAGATTGACTGTCGTGACCCATGGTAGAATGTACAGATGCTCTGACGAATCGGAATACGGAGGATGCTGTTGCGCAGCATTCTATGTGATCGGTATCGTGCTCAGTGCAGTTTTTTTTTTTGTTCCCGGCTGTTCTTCCTGCCATGAAAATTGACGCAGATATGTCGGCACTTGTGACCGTCTCTTGGGATTTTTCGAGTGCATTTTTTTTTTTAGCCTTGCATGACTCGCTCTCGTATGACAAGAATTTCTGTATTGCTTTAATTCATGACAAAACAAAAAAGAAAATTAAAAAATCCATCTCTCCTGCAGCGTGTCAAAGTAAACATGTAACAACGTTTTTCACGTAGCAACGAGTAACTAGCGCAAATAAGGCAAATGGTTGCATACGAAAAAAAATAAATCGTGGCAACGCTCCTCTTCATCTTCGCCCCTTGAAAATTTCTGTGACTGAGGCGTTACGGGGGGCGGTTTGACATGGAGCTGCAGCTGAGATTCAGTTACCAAGGATCTTGTTAAAAATAGATGTTTAACATCTCGGAATAGATGGATATGGTTTAGGGGAGAAACCATATCGGATTAGGCAGTCCAATGGTAACTAAGCAAGGTGATGCGGATGGAGGTACAAAGATTACTGAAAGGTATATATTCAAATCATCCTTCATGCTAACCTTCTTCTTTTTTCTTATTATAGTCATGCATTCCATTAGCTACTTTACTCTTCTCGCTGTCACGCTTGGTTTCGTCTCGCTTCCTGGAGCGTCCGCCGCTTCGGCCAAGGTGTACGATAAATGTGTTACTCCTGGTACCTTTGCCTTGACCTTTGACGATGGTCCTTACAAGTACTCTTGGTCACTGGCTGAAAAATTGGAAGCCGAAGGCATAGCCGCAACTTGGTTCGTCAATGGCAAAAATTGGGTCAACGTAGCTACCGACAAAGTCGAAGTCAACGGCGAAATGAAGACCTACAAGCAAGTGCTGCAAAAGGTCCACGATTCTGGCCATCAAATTGCTAGCCACACCTACAGCCACAAGGAACTCGCCGGTCAATCGAACCAGGTGATTCGCCGGGAAATGCAGAAAAATGAAGACGTTATCCGCTCGGCAATTGGCAAGCGACCCACCTTCATGCGTCCTCCCGCTGGCAGCCTCGACAAGAACGTTCTCAAAGTCTTGGGTAGCCTCGGCTACCACGTCGTTCTTTGGGATATTGACTCCAACGATTGGCGTACGCACAACTTCGAGTCAGAGCAAAAGGAATACAAGTCTGTGCTGGATAATGAATCGGAAAAAGGAGGTCATATCGCTTTGAACCATGAAGTCTACGACCAAACCATTGATGAACTGGTCCCCTGGGTCATTGATTACGTGAAAAGCAAAAACTATCGATTTGTCACCGTGGCTGAATGTTTGGGTTTCCCCAAGGAAAGCGCCTATAGAAACTAATTTTTGTTTTTTTTCCCCTCAACTATCATTGTACCGGCAAGACGCCATTTTCCCCTCATCGTCTTGTTTCCTACCTTTTCTTTTTTTTAGCCGTTCTCCTTAGTTTTTTAGAAATCGCATCTATTCAGACAATTAAACATAGTATTTATTTCAGTGACAATAATGAAAAGGATGAAAATTTATTCTTGAGCATGCAAAGTATAGTCTACAATATAAGATTGTGTAATAAGATCATCGATACGTTGATAATGGCGATCGGTGTAGGGCAGTAGTGCATCGAGAATCTACCAAAATATGGCGCAAGTCAGAATCAATGTAACATCCCCCATGGGAGCGTGTTATGCAATGCATTTCCCCCCTTACCTCTTTGGCATTGGCGATTTCCACTAATTCTTCTGCACTGTGGGAAGACAGTAATGCATATAATACGGATTGCGCGATATCTGAATGTTTAGCATTGGTATTCCAGTCGCGGATGTAGCCCAGTAATTTCTCGATTTGTTCTTGGGTCATTTCTCCCACGATGGAGTCCACTTGTGAAGAGCCAGTGATACTGCTGTCCCCTTCTGGTCGCGATTCCATCACTTCGCGGAAAATCTTTAGCAGTCGGAAAGGTTGGTTCAATGACAAGGCCAAAAGAATGGCATTCAAGTAATCCTTTTTGCGCATAAAGTTTTGTAATTCTTGTTCTCTATAAAAATGCAATAGTAGAGTAAGCCACTAATTTCTTGCTTGCAAAGAACAAAGAAACGGCCAGCGATTTTTTTTCCCTTTTTTCCCTCGGCTATATGATTCAATTACCCCGTACTTACTTGATGATAAACTCTTCCTTTTCTTTCAATTCTTCCTCCTGTTCTTCCAAGGTGACGTCCTCCCAGAAATTGACAACGGAATCGGCACCACCGGAAACCACAAACTTTTCGTCTTTTCTGGTCGTTAACGCCCAAACTTTCTCGGTATGATTGTCAAGGGTATTCACACACTCATTGGTCTTGATCGTCCATAATTTGACTAAACCATCCGATCCTGCCGAAACGAGCTGAACTCCCATGGTTAAAAAGTTGACTCTCAGAACCGAATTGGTGTGGCCCTCAAATGACTAGAATAGTTCCAAATTGGGTCAGTTCATCATAATAATACGCTATTTATGGTTACCCGTTTATGCCAAATAAAGTTTACCTTTAAGCATGAAAAGTCTTTTAAGCTCCAAATCTTGATCGTCTTGTCACTTGAACTTGTGGCCAGGACCTGATCCACAGGCGAGAACTGCGCACACCAAATACCGCGCTTATGGCCACGACAAGTGCCCACCAATTCGCCAGTGTCGACATTCCAGATCTTGGCCGTCTTGTCTTGCGAACCTGTCGCAAAGAATTTATCGTTGGGAGCTACGCAAATAGTATTGATATCTTTGTCGTGCGCTTGATGAGTGTATAATGAGCGTGGATGAAAGTCGTCTTTAGGCTGATCCCAGTTGATCTCGCGTAAATTCCAATATTTGATAGTGCGATCCTGACTACCGGTGATCATAAAATTTCTCGATCTTCGGGACATTGCTACTGCACCGATAGGGTTGGTGTGACCTACACAAAGACCAGCACAGACATATCTGTTTCCAACAAAAAGAAGAAAAAAATAAAAAATAAAATTAATGGAATGCATATAATCATCTGACATCAGGCATCCATACCGTTCAGTGGGATCTTCTGCTTCTACATTGATCTTCCACACTCGTGCCGTTTTATCCTTTGAACCCGTCACTAAAACTTCGCCGTCGGTTGATCGGGCCAAACATATGATCATATCTTTGTGACCGTAGACCAGATCACAATCTTGCGTTTCCACATTATAGACTCGGAGTTGCTCGCTATTGGTCGCTGCAGCTAAATGGGTCTCGTTGGCGCCAACATACACCAAATCCACAATTTCGTCATTGTAACCGACGATTTGCTTGACACGTCGCATTTGGTTCTGAATGGAGTAGATGAGGATATTCTGATCGTTCGTGACCGCAGCGAGATTTTGTGATCGTCGACAGTAGCTAAGTTACAAAAAATGAAGCCAAATCAGTCGATTGATTTCCCACTCATCACCATGGCAGAAGGTCAACTTTTTTGTCAACACTTACATGACATCTGAAATGGTATGTTTGCTGTTATTTTCCGCGGTTTGCTCCTGAACAAGTTCGCCCGACTTCAAGTCCCATAATCGCACCACGCCCTTATCACCCGCTGTGTAAAAGATTTCGGCATCCAGCCACTTGGCATCGTAATGACTCAAATCCGTATTCTGCGACAAAAAGCCGACTGTTTCAAGCGTCTCGTAGATAGGATGAGTCGCTTTCAACTTGCTCGCTTTCCAATCCCAAACGTTGACAACTTTGTCACGCGAACCCGAAATCAACAAAGATCCATCCGCCGAAAAGTCGAGTCCTCGGATAACGCTAACGTGGCTTCGCAAAACAGCAATGCAGCTAATGCAAGTCAAACAAGTTAACAAGATCGTTTCCCACCATCAAGTGTACACTTTTTTTTTGTTACCTTCGCTTTTGCAAATCCCAGATACGAATCTGACAATCGTCCGCACCGGAAGCCAGGTACCATTTGCCTTCAAAATGATGAAATTTCACAGCCGACACCACGCCACCGTGACCCTTCAAGTTATGCGTACAATAACCCTTATCAATATCCCACACTTTGATGGTAGCGTCTGCCGAACCCGTAGCCACCAATGTAGAGGAGGGATCAATATCCATGACGATGATAGGCGCCTCATGCGCCTTCAATGTACGAACGCATTCTCCGCTTTCCATATCCCAAATACGCATATTTAGACTTCGACTTGCGCTGACGAGATGCTTTCCGTCGGGTTTAACCGCAAGCGTGGTGACAATCTCGGTATCCTACACATCCATGTCAGTTTTCCGCTGGTGCACGATCGTTTTCTCTTCGTAAGCAAATGAAAAACTACATACGCCAGCCAATCGATGCACATTCTTGCCTGTAGCAAGTTCAGTCACTTCGATATCTTCGTTGAGCGTCGAGATAATGAGCTTTTCGTCGGAAGTGATGACCACTTTGCCACCGGTGTAGATCGATTCGATCGTTTTGACCGATTTGAAACTAGATCACAACACAGATTGAATTGGTAAACTTCCCGAGTGACCCTGTCATTTGAGTAGAGTCATACCTTGTCTTCAGCATGGGTTTTTGTGCAATATCGTCCGCCATGATGTTAGAATTCAACAAGTTTGTGCTTCAAGCAAACCACTGCAAGTGAAGTGGCATCCTTTTTCTTTTTGCGAAATACGAAGAAAAGCAGTCATCGCAGGCTTTTCGCTTCCGCCTAAAAGCGGAGATCAAACGTCTCAAGTTCAAGCGTAACATTATCCAATCAAATGCAGCTTTCGCACCCGCAGAGGTTGCGCGGCCCACATTATTCTACGTTGATGCTGCCAGGACGACGAACTCGCTGTATAAAGGTATAGCTCAACTGGCCGAGAGGCAATGGTATTATGATTTAAAACTCAGTCGAGGTCATATCGCATTCTATGTCATTTAGAAAGTAAAGAACGATATTTGTAGCTTGTGAATAAGAATCATTCTGTATCACAGGCAACAACTGCCTTTTTTATCATTGAGGACTCCATGTTTGGATACACACCATCTACGCTGTTGATCTGCTTTATCAATATTAAGAATTCAGTGACCAGATGAATCAAGTTGCTATCGTGCGATAATTGATCTTGGCTGTATTAACGTCGCGTGCCGATTGCCACCAATTGCAGTTCTCTCCTTAACACGTTCGGAACATCAATTAGGAAAGTCCGGATACATGAATGTTTGTTTTGAATGGCAACAACTGAATTCTCTTCGGCAGAATCAATTTAACCGCTAAGGTGAATGAGTTTCTCTCCAAAAAGACTTCATTCTGAGTGACTCGCCAGTTCATATAGTGTCGTGGTAAACATGGATTGCAATACGTCATACTCCTTGTAGCACTTGTGTAAAGCAAGTATCCCAGTCCAGAAAATTGTTTGAATATCTCGACTTTTGTACCATACTGTCTACTTATATTTTCCGGCATTGGTTGGATAACCTGCCGGACGATGGGTTATCAGCAGCAAAATGCCAGCACACTCTAAATAACTCGAGTAAAAAATAATGATAATACAAACGTCTATAAATTAAATAATCGTATGTGTATGTTCAGATGGGTGTCATGATCGAGGGAAGAGCTTCAACGAATGCTGTCGTCGTCGTCCTTGGCAGAAGAGCTGGAATGGTATGAAGGCGGGTGATGTTCCAATGATAATTGGTATGCGGGTGGTGGTGGATTATATTCGATACTGCTTCGTATCGATGGTAAAAAATTGGTAGGATCGTGGACCCTTAGTGTGGAGGGTATGGAACTTGGACGCGGTTGTGCTAGAAAAGAACTCGGAGGGATTCCCATTGTGGATGGATTATACGTCTCCGCAGTGGATGCTCTCTCAATATCTTGGTCCTCGCTATTTTCGTCGCTGTGGTTACTGTTCTCGCTTTTACCATCGTGTTTCGTGTCGCGCAGTGCTCGTACCCACCATATATAAAGAATGATCTTTTTTTTTCATCGTAAGTCTTACTCGTGCAACGGTGTCTCCAAGGGAACAATGACCTACCCAGTAGACAGCGTAAAAAAACAGCAACGTGCCCAGTAGCGTCCATATAAACCACAGAGGAGGATAACCTGTGCGACTGTATAGCAACGGCAGCAATATCGTCAACAGAATGAAAAAGATCACGTATGCATAATGGAGCGGTAAATGCCAGGCAGAACACCGTGCCTTTTTTATCATAAAAAATGACAATAGCAGAGAAGCGAAGAAAGAAACAAAATGAGCATTGGAAAGGAAAAAGTCATATTATCCCCCCAAAAAAAAGAAAAACTTTTGGCATGAAGGCCACTCAGGTTTTTTTCTAAAATCACGAGATCGGCATCTAATATCCTCTTCCTTCTCCTATCCCTCCTTGAATTTCATCAACAGACCGATAGAAATCGTCCGTTCTCCCTTTCAATGCCATGATAAAATATTTCATTCTTTCGCTTTCCCGCTGAGCAAAAGATGTATTTCGGGAAAAATAGGTCGGCCGCCAATATTTCTAGTATGTAATACACTTGTTGTCAACTCGTAGTCGGGGGACGGTCGAACCAAGCCCATCCGCTTGTTTACCAACGGTGTTTTGAAAAAAGATACACAAGTGGGTGAAGCAAGTAAAATACATAGTACAGAATACACAGTCGTCTTTTTCTAACAGTCGTATAAAAATTCACGACACAAGTGTCATAGCAGGGCCAATTTATCGCGACGGCGGCGGTTGGCTGGACGATGAAGGTTCTTCTACTGTGTCAGTGGACGAAGGAAGCAATGGTTGGCGCCACATGGCTGGATTTTGTTGCTGCATTTGCTGCTGATGGTGAAACCAGAATGCTCGCATAGGATCTGTCCATTCGTTATTCCAGGCCGAGGTGGAGGATGAAGGGGGATGGCGACGCAGCCTTCCAAATGTAAAGTGCGGATTATTGGGAGTAAAATAAACAGGCACCCACAACGGTGGCCCTAAAGCGTTTCTATGATCGGTCGCATTCGTCTCATCTTCGTGGTCGTTGGAAACGCTGGCAGAGACACTGGAATCGGTTTCGCCGATTGTTTGTATACCGCGAATTTGTGTAACAATAGCATGTTCGTATTTCGGTGGAGGCGGATCAGGATGGTAATAGGAAGGCGGCGCTTCCTGTTGTGATGAAGGCTGCTGTGATGAGGAGGTGGAATGGCTTAATGAAGGACGGCCCCATGAATGATCGGTTTGCGCCATATCAGGCGCATTGGACGAAAAGGATGGTGGAGCCGTGCTTGGCGTAGATGAAGTGGACGGAGGGCGCTGTGAACCGCCAAACAATCGAACACGTGGCCAGAACTCCGATTGTTTCCACAGTTTGCCGATCCAAATCAGACATCCTACAAATGTGCAGGAACAAGCGATAATAAGTGCAATAGCCGCAGGGGAATGCACGGCGAAATCATAGCCGTGACCATCTTGTCGATGTGGATGGTTGCCATGGTCCGGTCTAGCGTAAGGATGGGTTTGGGTTGGATCCGGCTGGGTGTCGGGCGGCAGCAATTGACCCGGAACTGGAGGAGGCAACCCATGTTCGCTTGCCAGCATACAAGTTGAAGGATCACAAGTGAGGTTCTGCCACGCATAGGTAACAGTTGCGTTGGATGTTTTACGGTATTGATAGCATTTCGAACTGGTAGCACAATAATCTGCATTAAGAAACAAAGGATCAGTGTTGACTTCTCTTCTTCTTTAAGGGCGCAAAAAAACATACTGCCGCTGTTATCATTGCCGCTGGACAGACAATAGTCATACCAAGCATAGATGTTTGTTGTACCGAACTGGGTGGTATTGCAAACTTGATGCGTATTGGAGGAACCGCTTTTCGGGAGAAGAGGTGGGATATACTTGCTTAAAATACAGGAACTTTGAAGACACATGGCACAAAATTTGCAGACATCATCCGCTCCACATGTTTGACTGGAAATGAAAGCGCAGCTATCATCGTCGTTATCGTCTCCATCATCTGCAAAGTCCTCTTGAGCGGCCGCCCCCTTTATCCGAACGATTCCATACAGAAGCATCCATGTTGTGGAACGATAAAAGTCAATGAAGGAAGGCATACGGTGGGGTGAAAATAATGGGAAGGTGCACGGTGGCGACGCCTTTTTACTTTTGGGTCAAGCAAAGAACAAAAAAGAAAGAAACAAAAAAAAGGAGATGAGAATGCTCAAACTGAGATACTATGCATAAAAAAAAAAATTCCTGTTCGCAGCTGAGCGCATATCACGCTAAAAGACTCGGTCCTTTATGTGATATTCCATGTTCACTGGATGACTGGTGTAAGATGAGCAGGGAAAAAGATGAATAGTTGAAAACGTTGCTGTCACCTAAAGTTATTCATCTTTTTGGATCCTTGTTTTTACCAGTGGTCGTGATCAATGGCGGAACCAGTGTTGATAATGTTTCATCAATCAATTATCAAATCAATAAAGGACCACTGTTTGAAAAAAGGTCATATGATTGAACCGATAACGAAGATAAAGAGGTGGACCATCTCATCTCGCTGTCTATGTGTTCGTTATTATTCCTGTGGGTTCATTTTACTTTAAGCTTATTTAGGTAATTGTTCCAAGCGCGACATGACCATGAGATGCAAGGCCTAAAATGAATTCAAGCATGAAAAGGGGCTTGACATACGTTGACCCACCGCATCAGCGATCTATTTTAGCTTCTGATACCATGGCACCCCTCATCTATACGTCGGAAAGTGTCAATGAAAAACCATACCTGGCTTATCTTTTCGTCACGGTGAGTACCAAGATGAAACTTCTACGAATTTGAGTACGATATTTTTCTGATAGATAGAGATGTGGCCTAGAGATAATTAGGTTAAAAAAACCAAATTCGCAAAAAGACATCATCTGTCAACTAAGAACGCACATCAAACAGCGTGCCGGAAAGTGCAATGCAATAAATTGTTAGTCACTCCAGAAATAGCAAACCAAAATTTCAAGGTCTGATAGCCTGTTCTTTTGCAACTTTCACTCACCGGATAAAAAACTCTAAATACAACGTATAATAAAAGTGATGATTGAAATTTTCAGAATTTTGACTCCAAAACTGAGTGGTGAATATTTCTCTAAAGGCAAATTATTGTTGCTTACTTTATAAACTGATTTTTGTGAGACAAGCGTTGAGCGTAACATCATCTCAAGTCGTTTGTGCCACGCTCATGCAAGCAGATTTTAAAAGCTTAAAAATTGATTTCATACAGCAATAATCGCTTCATTACCAGTAATTATCAGCAGATAGTAGCTAACTAACTGACAACTGGTCTTATGAAAGAGACCATGGTCTCCAGGTTAGAAAGTGTTGAAGCCAGACCCCCATGACGGCATGATTTCCGCGGAGTGAGTTTGTGACTACGATCCCCAATAGGGTATGCAACTGCAGAAACGGTGCTCCTTCCTGTGTCAGGTATTCTTCAACTACAGCAGACCATGCACGATGCTTTCCAAGTGACTACGGTGGTCGATAAAGTGAGCCGTATCGAATCTATCTTTGCTCACGGTAAACCCATCATGCAACACCATGCGAGGCACGTTCGCCAAATTCATCCAACTTTCCTTTTAGGCGACCGATTGCTGATTGGCACCGGTCTTGGCCACTTGCTCGTTTACGATATCAAGGAACCTCTTGGTAAGTCCAGCCTGTGATGCATGGCAGCGTTCTCTCAAATCTCATTGTTCCCCCGAAATTCCCTGCAGTGGCCGATGATAACGAAGTGCCCGAGGTGACGTTGGTTCAGACGCATAAGACATTTTCAAAAAAGCCCATCGAACAACTGGATATTATCAAAGAAATCGATATGCTCGTCTCACTCTCCGGTATCTTTTCGAAACCAAAGAATATGGAAGAAAAGATGGAACTTTAACAGAGGTTTCGGTAGACGGTTTGGTCAGTTTACATGATCTTCGCACTTTTGAGCTCAGAATGGCTTTGGGCAAGACAAAAGGCGCCAACTTATTTGCCATACAGACCATGGTGGAAATGAGCCCGCAAGAACATATCCCCATGCTGATTACACGCCTCGGCGTCGCTGTCCGAAAAAAACTACTTGTGTTTGTATGGAAAGATACCGAGTTCTTTGAAACAAAGGTAAGCATCATCCAGGAACGAACCATGTTATTTGAGAAAAAGTGATTAATTCAAATACATCGGCCATCATGGGCATACTTTTTATATATATAGGAACTGAATATACCCGATCGAATCAAAACCATGGCTTGGGTTGGAACGACCAAGATCTGTCTTGGGTTTGCCGCCGAATACGCTCTCATGGATGTTGAGGAAGGTCAACTCACCGAACTATTTGCGCCCACCGGCCCGGCTGAGGCCGGTCCTATGAGCACGCTGAACAGCTTATACAACATGTCCATTGGATCTCGTGGTGGGAAACCGCTGGTCACAAAGATTCCCAATAATGAAATGTTGCTGGCACGCGATCGTAAGTTAACAGAACACTGACATACCCAAAAGTGATCAGAAAAAGTAATTGTATACCACAGATGTCAGTATATTTTTGGGATTGGACGGAACGCCCACACGAAAAGTCGGTATTGAATGGTCGGGAGCGCCCGAGCAGATGGGTAAGCGGTGCCTTGGCTCTGAAATGGATCGCGTAACTTTTATTGATGTCCATCTTTTTTGTTTGTAGGGTATTCGTATCCTTACGTCATTGCCATTCTTCCAAAGCACGTGGAAGTGCGCAACATTCAGACCTTGGCACTTGTGCAGCAAATTGACTTGCCCAATGCAAGATTTCTGAACCAAGGAAAGCTCGTCTATGTGGCAACAACATCCCAACTATGGCGTTTGACGCCTTACAGCTTCTCCTCGCAGATCGACCAGTTGGTGGAAAAGCATGAATACGAAGAAGCTGTAAGCTTACTCGATCAAATCGACGCCGTACTGATAGACAACAAGGAAGAAAAACTACGATCCACTCGTACTGCGTATGCTCATGACCTGTTCCAACATGGAGAATACGATACGGCCCTGAACTTGTTCCAGGAACTCGACACTCATCCAGCCGAAGTCATTGAACTCTATCCTCAAATGATTTCCGGAAGCCTCGCTAGCGAGCCCGCCGGAAAAGAAGATGAAGAAGTGCTCACGGCGCCTGTGCGTAAGAAACGGCCGAATGAAGATCTTCAACAAGAAGACGCAGTGGCACGTCCTGAAAGCCGCTCTTCCATGCGAAGCAAAGCCACAACAGCAACGGCGTTAAGTTCTTCTCACAAGCATGAAGTGGTGCCTCTCACAGGTCTTAACTTGCACGACGCTGTCACTTATCTGATCCGCTTTCTAACCGATAAGCGACAGAGATTGTCCAAGAAATTGATGGGATCCCCTCACTCTTCACAACCCCTCAGTGAAGACGTTCGCAAAGAACTACTCTATCAAGCCTCTCTTGTCGATACAGCTTTGCTGAAATCTTACATGATGACCAACGATGCGCTTGTAGGACCACTGCTCCGTGTCCAGAATCATTGTGATGTCAAAGATTGTGAGACTATTTTAATGGATAAAATGGTACGTGAAAATGCTCGTTTTCGCACGGTTTCTCAATCACTTACCGCCCCTCTTTCAAAGAAATATAAAGAGCTTGTAGACTTGTACAACTGCAAAGGCTTACATGCAAATGCTCTTGATTTGTTGGCCAAGTAAGTACGACGAGTTCATCTCATGAACGAACGTTGGATGATTTACCTTTTCTTTTTCTTTATGAAAAAGGCTTGGACAGCAATCCGATGGTCCTTTACGTGGGGTTTTACCAACGATTCGATACCTGCAACGTCTAGGTCTAGAGCAATTCGATCTCGTGCTGCGTTATTCAACCTGGGTTCTTGAAAAAGATCCCAAATTGGGAATGGATGTAAGTGATGTAGACCCTCCAAAATCCTATGTGCTTCAAATCGTATTCAACGTGATGCTCGTAGATTTTTATTGATGATTTAGCCGAAGTGGAGACGTTTCCACGACAGCAAGTGCTGGAACATTTGGAATCCATATCCAATGACCTTGCCATACAATATTTGGAATATATTATTGATGAATTACGAGATACATCGCCTGATTTCCATAACCGACTCGCCATTGCTTATCTGGAAAAAATCGCTTCAGAAACATCGGCGGGTATGTAGACATGATTTAAAATACAGGCTTGATGCTTAAGCTTACATGTTTTGGGTTTCTATAGAAAACAAAGAAGCTTTGCGTGGCCGTTTATTGGCGTTCTTGACAGGATCAACGTACTATCGTGCGGAAAAAATCCTGTCTCGACTACCAATGGATGGTGAGCGGATTTTGCTATAATGCTGTGAAAACATATAGCTCACAAGTGACTGGACAGGTTTATTTGAGGAACGGGCTATTCTATTGAGTCGGATTGGACAGCATGATCAAGCGCTTGATATCTACGTGTACAAGTTGAAGAATTATGCCATGGCAGAAGAGTACGTTTTCATCCGCGTATTGTTGCTGTTGAATGCATTAACTTATGATTATGTTTATAGATATTGTACAAATATTTATCGCCAAAATCCGGAGCAAGGCGAGAAGATGTACCTGACGCTGCTCCGCGTTTATCTACAGCCAAGTAACCATCAGCAACCGTTACTGGAACCTGCGCTGGATTTGCTGTCTCATCATGGCTCCCACATTAATGCATCCGAAGTTCTCTCTATTCTTCCTTTGCCGACCAAATTGCATGGCCTATTTCCCTTTTTTGAAAAATATATTCGTCAAAGCAATCGAAGCAGAAATATGGATATGGTCGTAAGGAACTTGCTGAAAGCAGAACAAATTCAGGTAAGATGAACGATTTTTTCGCGACTATGCATGATTTTCATCTGGTTTTGTGAAAAAAATTTTGGCCCCCTGGCTTGTAACTTCACAGGTTGAAGAACAACTTATGCATTATCGATCGCGCGCTGTAAAGATCACTGAGGATCGCATGTGTCCGCAATGTAATAAACGCATCGGGAATAGGTAACGATCAGTTAACTTTCATCCACTGCTGCTCCAGAAAACACTAACATCGATTCGTGTTAGTGTGTTTGCGGTGTTCCCCAACGGCATCGTCGTCCATTATTCCTGCAAAGAAAAGATAGAGCAGACACAGTGGAAGCTCGTATAAACAAACAATCCATAATGTCGATTCTAGGTGATCGCACTGTATTTCTTGTAACGAATAATAACGTATCCATATCCTCATATCGATAATTACATTTTCTTTGATCACTGGAAATCCAACCCTCTTCCGAGAGATTGAAGACACTCCAAATAAATAGTGTGGACAACATAATGGTATACAATTTACATTACAAGGGGGGGGGGGGTTTATTAGAGGCATGCATGGTTTCAAAAATAAATGCATATCATTAGATGCGAAAAGTTTTGTATCTACGTTTAGAAAAAAAAAGAAAAAACTATGCTATGTGGTGATGATTTTTACAGTAATAGTACACTTTGTATAAACCCTTGCGTCGTCTTTTTTTTTTTAGTTATCGGACAAAGTTCCCAACAAGTCAACAAGCTCTTCACTGGTATTAATATGCCACTTGGCAAGCGTCTTCTTATCGGCGGGGCCAATGGTGATGGTGAAACTGAGCATGTTCACACCTCCAGCATCGACCTGTTGAAGAGCCCGGAACATGTCTTCATCCGTCTTGTCGTCACCAGCGCACATGGTGAACTCAGCATTGGGATGCTGGGCAACAGCACGCTTGATCACTTCACCCTTATTGATCAGAGTCGGACGCACTTCCAGATTCTTCTTTCCAACCAAGGTCTCAATTGGTAACTTGCCAAGGATACTCTGTTCCAGGTGGTTTTGCAATTCGTTGGCTTGGAAGGCGCCGAAACGAGGTTCGGCCTTGCGATAATGCCATGTCAGCGCACATCGTTTCTCTTCAATGAAACTGCCAGGCGTACGTTCCTTGTAGTATTCAAAAATCTCCTTGACATCATCCTTCCATGACATATCGACCTGATCAATGACACTAATCCAGCGATCGCTACCGGGATCCTTGATGAAACAACCGTGTTCGGCCGACAAGCCCAAGTTGGGAATATGGCCCACCCACGAATCCAAAGTGTCTTGATCTCTTCCAGAAACAACCCACACGGTGTTATGAGGATCCTCACAAAGCTTGGTAAGGTACTTGATCATCTTTTCAGACGGTCTGGCGTCTTCTGGTGTCTCGACAATAGGCGTCAATGTACCCTGGAAAAAAAAAACGTGAGTACAAAGAAGTTTCCCTTCGTCTTGTGTAAAATTCCTCTTACGTCATAGTCAAAGAACAAGAGACGATGCTGGGCTTCCTTGTATTCCACCTTCAATCGTTCTCTGTCGATTTCGCTGGTGGGACCCCAGTTCTGGTTCAAGCTGCTGATGACGAGACCTTTGACCAAGGATTTTGCCCAGTAAGCGGCGGTATGCGAGTACACAAAGCTTTGAAGTTGCTTGTACTTGATGAGTTTCTCTTCATCACTCATGGTCAAGCATTCGGAAATAGCGCGCGCAACACCAGCGTAATCCCAAGGGTTAACAATCACCGCCGCACTCATACTGCGAGCGGTGCCGGTAAATTCGGACAGAATCAAAGGACTGTGGCGTTTTTCTTGCGCGACCACGTATTCCAAGCTGGCGGTATTCATTCCGTCGGTGATGGGCGTCACCAAAGCAATGTCGGCGACTTCCAACAAAGCATAGTACTCATCGCGATCAATGTGTTGATGGAAGTGAGCCACAGGACAAAATTCGAGCGAACCGAACTTGCTATTGATACGGCTCACCAATTCAGCGGCCTTGTTTTCCAAACGAGCAGCATCAATGACGCCAGGGGAAGTGACTTGAATAAGAACAACCTAATGAGAAAATTTCCAGATGGTTAAGAATACAGAGGGCTCGATCCAAAAAAAAAAAAAAAAAAAAAAAAAAAAAAAAAAAAAAAAATTCACACACTGCAGCGTGGTGTTTGGTTTCCCAATTTTTACCTTATCACGCCATTCGGGGTAATCAGTGAGGAACTTTTCAAAAGATTCCAATTTCTGCACGACGCCCTTGACGGGATCGAGTTTATCTCGTCCAACAATGATTTTCTTATCACCGTATTTCTCACGGATGGCCTGGGCCTTGGGAGCGACACCGGGACGGGAACAATTGTACTTTGTACGTTCGACATCAATACCAATGGGATAGATGCCCAGAGCGACCATAACGCCATTGGCATCAATACCGGAAGGTGTGTATTCGTAGCCCAGAATACGAGTACAGTTGGAAGAGAAATGACGAGCGTAATTGTAGGTCTGGAACGCGATCAAATTGGCTCCCAGCATACCTGAGAGAATATCCTTACGACCTACACACAGGACCGAATCCACTTTGTGAATAACCTGTTTTCTTTTTCCTTTATTTACCCACAGAAGAGCAGCACTTACGAGGCAAGCATCTGAAAAGTTCGGAACTTGGGAACGGTGTATGGATGAAAATGCCGATCGGAGCGTCGGGCAATAATTCGCGAAGCATGTGTGGCACGAGCAACAGATGGTAATCGTGGATCCAAACTTGAGATCGATGACGACAAGTTAAAATCGAGCGGAGATTGATCAGTCCCGATAATTATGACAACTTACCAATATCGCCCTCTTCATAGTGTTCGGCAACTTCCTTGGCAAACACCTCGTTGACAGCAACATAGTACTCCCAGAATTTCTTTTCGTTGATAGAATCGTCCCACATCATGTAATGCAAGAGGGGCCACAAAACTGAATGGGTTTCAGGTGAAAATGCGGTCACGTTAGTTACTCCATTCCCCTTGCCACTTATTAAAATTTATTGGATCCAACAAAAATTTACCTTGCTTGCAGTAACCTTCATAATGACCTGCAGCCATATCGCTCTCGAGGAAGATTGGTATCATGTCATGTCTTGAGCGTAACAATTGTCGTAAGCTTTCACGCTGTTGGGGACCCACATCTTCAGCCGGGATAGTATCCTTGTGGTTGGTCAAGATGTTGCCGGTACCGCCAATGTACAAGGTATTGTAGTTCTTCTTCAAAGCGTCCAAACCAGCATACATGGCTGAATGACCTCTTCTTTGAGCGAGTCGCCACATGGGAGATTCTCCCAAAGCTGGTACGGTGGATCGTCGTCTGGCCAAATGGGAAATAGGTGCAGCATCACTGAAATCTTCACTTCCACGTGCGCCCTTGGATTTTAACGCGCCAATCTGATGTAATTTGTCGGCCGCCGTCAACTCTTCACCTTCGGTGTGAAGGATACAATCAAAAGGCACCTGGTTGACCACATGGATCACCTTGCCGGAAATAGGTGGAGCGTCTTCACTTTGCAATTTCAGCACCTTTTGCAGACGATCGATATCGTTTGTTCCCTGAGCCATAATAGCGATTCAAATTAAAAACGAGGTAAAAGCTTGAAGGAAAAAAAACAAGAAGAAGAAAAAAAGGAAAATAGAACTGGAGTTTTGGTGAATCGGATAAAGTAAAAAGACGAATTTCTATGGAAGATGATTATATAAAAAAAAAAAAAAAAAGGGATGACGATGGATTGACAGAATGAAACCCCAAGGGGGCTTCCAATTTCATTCTCCGCATACGGCTGTGGGTTTTTTTTTCTTCGAACGGGATTCATTTGGAAGCCGGCCGAAAAAAAAAAAAAAAAACCAGAACAACAGCGTCCAACCATGATGACCTTTACCAAGACTTGCAAATCATCCTTCATACCATCAATGCTCTTTCGAAACCATGATCTGGTTGTAATCAGGATAAAAGCATGTGTATAAAAAAGAAATCAAGACCCTTTGGTGAGATGATTGTTGCGAAGTAGGCTTATTTCCCCACTGAGTGCATATTGTTTGCCAGATTTCTATGATATGCGTTCCATGAGATAAAAAAAAAAAGAATCTCAGCCCGACATAACGTAATCAGCTCATGCTAATTAAAAAACTCAGTCATCTAAACAAGACGACGGCTGTTTTAGTATGCTCAGCTTCTTGTTTTCATAATGATGTTAATTAATACCAGGCGTAGTTCTGCTTGCACATCAAAGAGAATAAGTATCCTTCAGGCAGATCCGTATACTCGAAATGGGCAGTGATACAACCTGTTATACACATTGTTACACTTTTGTTTAATCCTGTTGTGATCGAAATTAAAAATCAGTGAGTGAACCCTTAAAACACACTCGTTTGTGTCAGGAGTGTAATAAAACCCGCACAAATAGAGCCATAAAAACATCACGTCGGAACAACTTGCAAAAAAGAAGCTTTTTGCGCAGAGGCCACTACACCACTATCATCTCCTCTGTAACATACTGCCTATCAAAACCTGATGTTAGATCCGCCGCGCTCGCGCACACATACACATGCACATAGTAGTAGCCTGGTACCATTTGGGACCTTTCAAACTTAGAATTCTCCCATCATATTTGGATTTGTCTATATGACAGCATTTGTCAATCCAAAATGTACACTGTAACGATATATCAAATGATTGATCCATTTTGATTGGGTGAAAATAAAGGTCACAAAGAAAATCCGAATGCGGAGTTTGGTTTCGCGGTTCATTGTGTTGTGCGTGTGCGTCTGCTGCTTTCATCCTCAGTCTCCTCTTCACCCTGAGCTTCTCTGAACTTCCTTTTTTATTCTTTTTCCAACTATCTATTTCATTCTCCCCCACCCTCCGTCCTTTATACTAGGATCATTGTGTGTTCTTTGACTAGAGGTTAGTTGTGAATCCCTGTAGAGGTGTTTTTTTACATCATTCCGGCTTTGTTTTGTTTTGTGCTTCTGTTTTAGTTGTTTTGTTTCTTGTATTTTTTGTGAAAGATGCCTGTTGTGATGTTGTACCATTATGCTATGGAACAGCTGTAGGAATTTCTTCTTCATTCGACTGTATATTGATTGGCGCACCAACTAAGTGTCGAGGAAGAATAAAAAGAAGAAAAAAAAAAGAAATAGCACAGGGAAAAGCCCAAAGATTCAGAAGCTCAGATTGCTGGCATCGGTCCCTTTTCATTCACACCTTTTTTCTCTACTGTTCTTTCGCTCTGTGCCGTAATCATTCCTTGCTAAGTTTTATCCGTAAAATAGGGCTTCTTTCTTTTTTCCCATAATCTCATTAGTTGGCACTTGCACATCATATTACTATGGCGGACGAATTTGATATTTACGGCGACGACACTTTCGACCAGGTAAAAAAAGAAAAGAAAAAGAAAAAAGATTTCATATACCCCTCCGCACCCTCATTGCAGTAACACTTACATTGAATGGCCAATCTATCATCCTTCTCCACTAGACGGACGATATCCTAGATGAGATTGTCGGAGAACCTTCAGCAAGGGAATCAAAGCGACGTAGAACAGCACAACCTCCTCCTCGTGGGGCCGACGATGATCTTTTCGACGATTTTGGCGCTAACGTAAAGGTAAGTGGATCCGTTATTTGGGCGCAAGGAAAAAAAGGCAAAAAAACTAATATCGATCCTTGTAGGATGACAAGCCCCAGAAACAACACAACGGACGAGCAAACAGTGTACAGTCAGGTATGGAAACGACGGACGGAATCGGACCACGGTGCTCACGCAACCATCGAATAGACGATTACAAACACGAGTATAAACACAAACCGCCACATCACATGCATGATGGTAGCCGATCACAGGACGCCTCACCTCACAAATCTCCAATGTCTTTACCCCATTCCTCCAGCAGTCATCGTAGCTACGTAGATCCCTTATCCGCCAAACGCGAACCGTCACTGGCATTGGCTAACTTGCGAAACGTGGTCAATACACCTACCTCATGCATTTATATCGGTGAATTGGCTTGGGTAAGTAAACCGCCATCCAGAGCAGAGGAAAGCAATGATTCTCCTTATAATTGACCTTTTGCACGGATCTAGTATATTACGGACGAAGATGTGAAGGCTCCTCTGAATAATGCAGGCATCGGGGCAGAAATGAAAGAACTGACCTTTTTCGAACATAAAGTCAACGGCAAATCACGAGGGTAAATGGATGCTTATTTTTGGTCCAAAACATGGATTATAACCATATACTGACATTCTTTATAATCCAGTGTGTGCTTTGCTGAATTCACGAGCGCGGAAGCCGCTTCACAAGCCAAAGAGATTTTGGAGACAACGTAAGTTCGTTACTCAGCGATGATATTCTAACATGGTGCTGACAAAGTTGCTTCCTTTACAGAGAGTTCGGTGGGAAACTTCCTGCCGTTAGTTTCACGACCTCTACCAATCCTTTCAAACATTTACCAAAAGGTACGCTTGGATCATGAAAAGGGACGTGTAGTCTAGAAAAAATGACGAGCTGATTTTTTGTTTTGTAACAGAACCCGTGTCAAAGACTCAAAGAGTGCAGCATACACCTCGTATGAATAATTCGGTACCAATGATGGGAGCCAATGGTGGCTTCAATCCCATGATGGGAGGATTTAATCCTGGATTTGGCGGTGCGATGAATATGGCTTACGGTGGCTTCCCGATGGCTCAAGCTGGATATGGTATGATGCAGCAGAATGTCCGTGGACGTGGCGGCATGCGTGGTGGCAATCCATACATGAATCGTGGGGCCAGTATGATGGGAAGAAGTGGTGGAAATTACATGAGCGAAGGAGCTGGCTTCGGTGGTAAGTGAACTATCTTCCATGACCTGCACATGGCGTCCTTTGCTTCAAATTATTCCCGCTTGCTAACTGTATCCTGTCCCATCTCCACATTTAAAATACAAAAAGGCGGCATGTATATCAATCCCGCCTTTTTCGAACAGCAACAAGGAGGCGGAGGTTTTGGTGCCCAATAAAATTACCATGTTGAATTTGCAATCTCTTTTTTAGTATACTGAAGAGGTATCTGTAAGAATGCAGAGTTCTCTTTCTTTTATGAATATAAGGGCTCGATAGTGAGGATCGTCATATCTTATGGAGCAACAATATGTCCATTCGCAAAAAGCTCTTTTTTTTTTTCCGTCGGATACAATGTCAATCCCTGAAATTCGTCAACAATACTTCTCATGCCCAAGATCGTCAACTCTGCACAGTGTGCATGATGCGCGAGAATCACTTCGGAATTGACTATCGTGATCGATTGCCACTCATTTTTCATTCACACTATTACCCACAGTTGATGAACAGGGATTTGCTTTCCCATTTCGAGTAAAGAGTCGATTTATCGCATGTCGTTGACGCGAGATTTTTCATAATCAAAAAAATTGAAATCGATCATACTGCCGTTGGTCCTTCATCTTTGTCTTATGCTGCTATCGAGTTGTCGAGAAGCGGTACAATTGTCGCGTTCAGGACCTGAGTTAGGTCCTTTAGCGAGTTTTACATGGAGCCGTGTCAGAAAGTGGATAGTGACCCGAGCATACAAAAGCCTTTTCCTCACAAAGTGAACGTAGGGAGTATAAATATAATATGTCAGCGGACGACTACCCCAAATAAAGCCATTAGTAAAGCGAGTTTGATGGTCTTTGGCGATTGCTCTTTCAAAGGACTCTTGATCCGCCACAGCGGAGAAAGGGACTCCATAAATAGTGAGGACGACGATGTGTTACCGTTTACAGGTTCAAAGCAGTAAATGATGAATCCTTGGTGTGGTTTTTACCGAATCGGCTGATGATTTGTGTCTTCTGTGCGACTGATAATCAATAACCGCATTGACCTGTTTTTCCTTGATGATCGGACATGAACTCCGAGCTCGTGTGGTACATCCAAAATCCCCTATTGGCGCGATTATTCTTCGGATAAGAGTCGTCCAGTCAGCTGACGGACGTCGGGAACACGCCATGGGGTAGGAGCTATCTTCTTTTTGTTCAACCTGGATTCCAGCTCAGGGGACCAAAACGTGGGAAATCGCGTGGAAATCATCCTCAGCTCCGTGTGTCCGCAAACCCAACAATTCTATTGTACTGCACCTCTTCCGTAATACGGTCTAGAAACGGTCTTTCCAATGCGGTGGCAAAAGGTCAGAGCTTGCCTTTTGGTTCTCGGCAGAACAAGTTACCAAGGACGACTGGGAAAATGTTGGATTACGAAGCCCACCGAATGTTGCGGGTGATTATCCCTGAATCATTGACATGGGCGCCACACAATTTGCTAAAGAAAAACATTGGGCATTTTACCATAATTCTACTTTGTGGTAGATTGTTCGGGCATATGTGACACACAGACCTAGGGCTATACTACAACTAGGTGATGTCAGCGGTGCATATTTTCAAATGCACAGCAGGCTACTACAATTTTTATAAGATAGAATACGGATAACATGCGAGTTTAAGATATGATGATCTAACAATGCGAATTCAGTAGTCATGATGATGGGGACCAAGTTCACATGATATAAAAAGACAAGCAGCAGCAGATTGGCAGAGGCAGTAGGAATCGGTAAGCAAGGCTGGAATATTCGCAATGAACGGATAATACCAAGCCATTTGCTGCTTTTATCTCATTTTCCTGCTAGCCTCTATTTTGGATCGATGTAGCACCAAGTTCTCCGGAGTCACCTTGCTCGTGGATATGTGCCAGCGCTAGAAATGGACAAGAAAGTTCTTCACAATGTCCGGCACATAGTGTCAGCTTTTCGGCCCCGAGCATGAAAGCGGTGAGAGGGCCATACTGTGAATCGGGAGCCCGACGATAGCCAGGAATAGCTTTTGGAGGGACCGAAGATAGGCCAAGCTTTCATTTCTGCACATGTTTAGATGGTAGAACTCATGTATCAGGGTTTAATAAATTACATACGTTTTCGCCATAGTCTACTTCCCAGATATTTCTAACTCCAAAACACCACTTAATCTTATAACGTTTTGAAAGTTATATCGAATGCTATGTTCAACTCTAGATCCGATCCATGAAGAGCATCACCAAATCTGTTATTTGCAAGACTACATTGAATTTTCCATCCTGCTTTTATATTCTAGAATTTTAATATATATTTGATTCATATCATAGTCACAATTGGCAAGAAAACATATCATACCGTATAATGTCGGTTCGACAAATGAATCAACTGGCGACGCAGTTTGCTGCATCATCGTAGTTTAACTGACGATCATCAAATCATTGCTACTGTTTCTCTGTACCAATGTCGAATAATAATAAAAAAGCAGAACCGGAAAGAGCGAAAATGGCGACGACGTTACCTCCACAAAAACTGCTGTCAATGCAGAAAGTTGCTGGGTTACCACCGACCCCCAAAAAAAGAATGGTCACTCGGATGCGGAAGTATAATATACATTTTAAGAACATTGCAGAAACATGGGGATGAAATCGTGACACCATCATCAAAATGATTAAGAGCTTCCGCACGATAATCTTCATCAAATAAAAAAAAATCATCGACTGTTGTACAAAGAAATAGGATGTCTGCCATGAACATCATCCTCGAATTTACAAGTATCTGTTTTTATACAGTACAGTCGATAATAGTATTCCAATGCTTTGAAGTTCATTTTCTGGGGACCTCCTGGTGAGTGGCCCAATTCTCCTTGTTTATATGTTATAATGACGTACATTTCGGATTGTTATACCCACTTTCATAAGAATATGCGATGTCATCCTGTGTCATGATGTGTAATACCCTGGAAAATGATTGTTCTGACCTAAATATCCGGATATCTTGCAAACAATGACCCCACTAGCATTGACCGCTTTTTCTTTCAGCACTGAGAAAGGTGTGTGGAGGGCATACATGTTCTTAACTATGCGACTTTTAATGTGTTTTAAGACGATATAAGCAGCAGAGATAAAGTAATGCGATAGAAAAAGATGGAAAAAAGCTTGGAGTTTACAAAAGCGGAAAGGGAAGCAAGAGACGATCCATAGCTGATAAATATGAAACAAACCAACCGTTGGCGAGTTTATGTTGCCATCACCACCATCCCACAAAGCTAGTCGATTCCGTAACACAAGATCTTGCCTATTTAAAGTTACACAACCGTGCATTAAATTAACTTTTTGACGCAATGCTATTTTACGAAAGACTAAAATGTTTCGACCCGAGTAACTGGACTATATGTGTTTCTAAAAAGTTAGTCGGACGAAATTCGCTTAGGAGGGTATTTTCCCAAGTGAAAAGTCTATTGGATTGACCAGAAGAAAAAATTTGATGTATAACCATTTTTTTTCCGAAGATTCCATGTACTTTTTTTTATATATAACATCATTCATATGTATTCAAAATTTTCATAGAATGAGGTAAGTGATGATATTATGGCAGGCCAAAAGACTAGAAAAGGGTTAGTGGACAGATGGATTATTCTGGCATTGGAGCTTTATTTTAAAAAAGAACCAACTCCGTCAATGGTTATTGGTAAAAAAAACAAAATAAAAAAGGTATAGAAAATACCAAAGCATCAAATGTAACAATAGAAGGGGAAGGTTACAAAAAGGGTTCGCAAATGAAAATGCTTCATGCGAAGTAGAGTAGTGCCAGAATTCCGATTTTCCTAAAAGAGCAGGAAGTATGATGTCAATGTTGCTTCGCCTGATTTGACAAGGGGAGCACACTGAACCTAATTTGGATGACCCAACTTGGATATTAAAAGGGTGCAGCAGTTTTTTCGGCCATTGTCGTATCGCTCACTCTTCTTTATTTCAACTGGTCTTGTTGTTGTCTTCTTTTTCTTTTATTGTCTCCAACTGTCTCTCCATTTCTCTCGCATTATACCATGCCTAACGGTTATATGTCTATTGACGCACTTGTCTCCTCCTCGTGCAATAACGATCCATCGCCATCGTACTCCCATCTGTCATCGCCAATCTACCAAGATTCCTTCGACCAAGCCTCGACGTTACCTTCGCCACCCGCTGAACATTCTTCTCTCCCAAAGAAATTATCCATGTCGTTGGACGAACGACGGCGACGAAACAAAATTGCGTCGGCAAGATACCGCGCCAAAAAGCAGGAAAAGGTCAAAGCAATGTCGTCCAAAGTCAATCAGCTCATGGCTGTCAACGCCAATTTACAAAAGAGTCTTGAAATTGTTAAACTGGAAAATGGGGCTCTGCGAAGGCTTGTGCAATCATTGATGGCGCAGAAAGAAGCAAGCACAAAACATTTACCACAATCTTAAATCTAAGTTACTTCGCCACTGCCATCTCCATGACTATCATATACCCCTCTCCCATTTCCTGAATTCATCTTTTTTACGGAAGCAATTGCAACACGGAACAAAAAGAGAAACGAGCTGTATGCTTGTCATTTGCCACCATAAGAAATAGGTCGTCGACTGCGTGGGCCTTTCTTGTCATATGCACGCCTGCTTATCCAACCTAGCCCTTTCAATCATTTTACTTTCTGAATAAAAAAAGGTCACCTCACTTGATGAAGCCATAATATACCATTAGATATCTTTTTTCCCCTCTTATTTTTTGCTATTGTTATGTCACGTCGATAAGAGTACAGTACAATCTAAAAGACCAGAAATAAAATGCTCTTTTCCGCTGTTGAACCTTAACAAAAGTGGAAGGAACCATCGTATCATTACATTCAATGTTTGTCGTTTCTATTTCGCAATCTACCTGACCGTTGACAATCCTTAAAACCCGGCCATTGCAGAATACAATGACTGTGGGAAAGCAGGATTCATTTCGTCAGGTCTAGATGAAGTGATATTCCTTATAAAGTATGATGGTGTCATTGATGACGAGCCGCTTTGTTGACAATGAGTTCAAACTGTACAGAAAAAGGTATGCTGTGTTGCGTCATAGCCGATCGATTTCAAAGTCTATCATATCACACCAACCAAGGTCTACCTCTTCCATCTTCTGTTAGCTTCCATGTATGCATTCTTTTTTTGCAAGATGGACAACATAGAGAACATATCACCAGCGCGCATCACTACCTTGTATTATTATTGAATTCGTACGCCATTTAGTTCTGTACGATGTGTAGCCGAGCTAATGATAACAAGGGAGAAAAAAGTACACTAAAATCGCACCGATCGATCGATGTGATGTGCGTTACCTTAAAAAAAATTGTCAAACGAAAAAAATAAAAAGGAAACTGGAAGAACCGGCTAAATCGGTGGATGTATGTCATCAGAATTTCTTATTTTGAGTGCTGCATACACGGGACGTGTTTTTTTTATTCCATTTGCATTGCTGATATTATGATAAGGAAATGGCAAATGCTTCTTCATACGCCATTCAGCGCCATTCCACAGCGGTTATCATGTTCTTATTATACCCATCCGCAGCTGGATGTTCTACAATATTGGATCCGTGAAGAGTGCCCTTGTGTGGCGTACCATAGACTGTACACAGTACTACATTAAAGAATTACGTCCATCAACGAGTTGAAACCGATTCTTTTGGTTTCTATATCAAAAATTCTACATTGTTCTATATATTCTACGTCTGTCTGGTATAACTGTGAACATGTGTTACTAAAAATTGCAATTTGAAAAAAGCATGTCCCAGATTGGTTGTCAGTTTGACCAGTCAAAATTCTCAGCATGACCAGAAAAGATTGGCATTCGTCGATGTCCTCTTGTTTTTTGAAACGGTCAACTTTAATTCATGTAACCTTTCGATCAAAGCGTCAAGGTTGCACATGGCTAAAACTCCTGCATTTCTCTTCTTGTTTAGAACCACATGGAAAAATCAGGCAAGGAGATTAAGAACCACAAAGACGCATGTACGTTTTACTTTCCAATCACTGGCGTTATCCCAGAATTTTTTTTTCTTACTGCATCTCACCTTCCATCACCATTTGCCCACTGTCCATGTGAACAACAGCCTATCCCCATGCATCGTTGCCCCTCTCCTCCTTGATCAGTATAATGAAATAAAACTTTCATAGTAACTGAAAAAAAAGGATATCATAGCCTCTATGGATGTTAGGTACAAGGTGTAATGCTGACCACTATAATCGGGCGGATCGACCGAAAGCCAGAGAAAACGGATGGCTCAGAATCGGTTACACTTTTTATTTTACGCCGATCAGGATACAGGGCGAGTAACCAGGCAACTATTCATATAACGTTGGTTTGTTATTATTTACGGTCTTGATGAGCTCTGATAAACCATAATGCAAAAGGCGGATATCTATCAGTCGTTATCCTATAAAGTCATAAGCATCGTTTTTAGAAAGAAAAGTGATAACTCCATGAGTTTATTTTTATATGAGTTTTTATAAAGATGATGGTAACTAGGTATCCTGAAAACCGATAAAATCATTTGGTGGTCGCAAGTGAAAGAGGCATCACCTTTGAGTTATGATCTATTCCTCCTCGTCATCAATTCCCTTATCATAAGACAACGGCAGACATCTAAAAGGACGTTATGGTATAGATGTCATTTTCGACGCCTCGATTGCTTGAGGCAGGCGATAGTGGACCATCGGACGTGTAATGTCCAATACCATCATGGTGTCCTATTGTACGATTGTAGATGTTATGATAAATCTTTTGTATTCTTCTTAGTTTGCCGGCATTTTTTCACATAATTGACCTCCCCATTATCCATGCAGAATGCAGCTTTAGTCTTACTACTCAATTACATTTTTCTCTTTCGCCGCTTTTCCAGCACAAGAATCCAGTGATACACACTCTCTGCGCCAATGCTACCCCAATCACTCTCCGGAAAATCCACTGGATCAGACGATTACGAGTATCGATCGTTCACCATCCCTTCAACAATTTCGAGCTGCTCTACATCACACAAGTTCCCCCAATATCTGTGTAGCTGCTTTCCTTTGAAAAAAACCCAAATCATATCTGCATTATTCAAGAAATCAATCAAGGGATAGCTGATAAATTTTGCAATGAAAGTTTTTCAAACATGATGTTGTTGCTTATTCCAAAAGTACATTTAGAATCTAAGCTTGCTGAAGAACCACTTGTTCTTGCCAGTCTGGTAACGTTCTTCGAAGAGCTTCTTGATGGTCTTCTTGGCATCCTCACGCTGGGTGGGTTCCTTGAAGGTTTCAGCAGAAACGGTGCCCTTGATCTGTTCCAACTCCAAGCCGTAACGCGTAGGCATCATGTGGTTGTAGTTAACGATCTTGACGAAAGGCTTGACCTTGGAGCGCTTGGCAACCTTCTTCTTGCCCATGGCCTTGGTGACCTTCAAGGGGTAACGTTCAATGCCAGCAACAACAGCATAACCATAAGGTCTGTCCTTGGTACCCTCATCGTGGTCTATTATGAAAATGGTCGCGATTAGTTTTTTTTGGGTAACCTAATTGGCTTAAGGTGAAATCCATGACAACGTACTTCTAACGACAACGGCCTTCTTGCCAGCGTAACGACCCTGAAGGATCACGACAACCTATAAACGTAACAAATGATGGAGTTAATTCATCAGCCTTCATAAATCTCGAGATTTCGGAGGACGACAGCGATGAACAACGGGATGAAGCTTTTTTTGGAGGATGGTCATGGTTCTTTCATCTTTTGTTTTTTTTCTCGAGTAGGAAAGCTGGGTCATCATCGATCATCCATCCTTGCATCCATCCCTTGAAAGATCGTTTTCGTCGTGGATCAGTACCTTTCCGGCTTTGATAAACTTCACCATGGCTGACTAAATAGTGAAAAGAGAGAACGTTCAATGGCTTCTGGATTCAACAAAGATGGCCACCGGGCTGTCACTTCCCGGTGGCTGTGCCGCGCTCATCGTTTGATTGGCCGATATTTTTCTGCGGTCGGAGCTTCCTTACGGTCCGGCAAACGTCACGACGCCGCACCTTTTTAACTCCCGCTCCGTGTCAACTCGCTTCTATTTCATCCAAAAACGATCGACAGTAAGCTCTTGTAAGGACTATTCTCGTCTCAGCCATCGACCAATATCTAGTCTAATAAAGTCAAGCATGCGATTCCAGGAGGATTTTTAAAAGTCAAAGACAATGATGGGCATACCGCATTATAATGACCCTGCTTCATAATATGAGTATGCAAACGCGCGTTTCGCAGAGTACTTGCTTGCAAGTCTCGCCGCCGATTCTCTTATAATAATTGGAGTCCGTTAACTCTGACCAACGCGCAAGAGCCAAGAGCCACTCTTTAATTGTCGTTGCAAGCATTGGAAGAACTTGGACAGCTATTCATGTATTCCGTCAAAAATAAGCAGACAATTGGACTTTTTTTGGGGAGATTTGCTGTAGGAGCAACTATAGCAAAGATAAGCGCCCACATGTATCCATGTTGTTGGCTCCTTGAAAATACTAGTGGATACGGTCAGTCAGTCCAACTAGGCGCACTTTGTCACAATCGTCCAAAAAGTGGCCGCATTGAGGTGAGGCGGGAACAGGGGGATTCAGGTTAATGATGGCCTGGGTGATTTCATACTCAGACGAAACATAGCCTGTTGCACGATGATGACATTTTTGTCAGTGATGAACCCACCAAACGGGAAATATCTCGAGGCGCAGAACAGTGTGAACTCTATTTTTGCTTCGTCTCCGCGTGTCTGTCATGGACAGATTCTTTTCAAGCACACACGATCCAGCACAAATTTTATACGGTACATCCAAGCCCATGTTTTTATAATTGTGAATGCGTCATAACACTCATTTTTTCTCTTGTTCTGTTGAAAAAAGATTCGAACGATGACGATGATTCCCAAGGCAGCACAACTGAATCGTTGCAAAGTTGGATCACCTGGTTCTGCTCGTTACCTGGACACGAGTTTTATGTTGAAGTGCCCGAGGATTTTATTGAAGACGACTTTAACTTGACCGGGCTCAGTGCTCTCGTACCCTATTACAACGATGCGCTGGAAATGGTGCTCGATCTCGAATACGACGAACATCTCGACGAACTCGAGTATCACGGCGAGGACGATTTTGACGACGATACCGACGAGGAGGATCAGAATAACAACAAAGATGCAGACGACGGGTTTTGGAAAGAAGGATATCATAAACTTCGAAGACGTGGTAATTCCGTCAATCTACGCATTATCGAACCCTATGCTGTCATGCTTTACGGGTTGATCCATCAACGATATTTGTTAACTCGCGACGGACAACGCATCATGGCAGAACGATATATTGCTGGTCAATTTGGTGGTTGTCCGAGATACTATTGTAACAACTGTCCCGTATTACCTTGCGGTCGCTATGACGAAACAGGAAGGGAGAGTGTTCGGATGTATTGCCCAAATTGTTTCGATCTGTACAGTCCTCCCGCTTCAATACATCATTGCATTGACGGTAAGCGAGAAGAAAAAATTTATAAAGGAGGGAAGGGCAATATGACTGACATGTTCAATTCCAAAAAAAGGCGCTCATTTTGGCACATCATATCATCATCTCTTATTGTTAAATTTTTCGGAATTACCGACCATGAAAAACCACATCTATCAGCCTCGCATCTTTGGTTTCAGAGTCAATGAAAAATCCCGAGCTGGTCCTCGAATGCAGTGGATACGAATGCGTCCACCGCTCACCATCGATTATGAGGATGAGGATGAGGATGAAGATGAAGAAGACGACGACGATGAAGAGGAAGATGAACAAGTCCACGACAACAAGTTTCGAAATGTAAATAGTACGGAAAAACACAATCACCAAACATCAAGGGGTTTTTCTGGAAAGGATCCTGCAAGTGTAGTAGTAACCAAGGTAAGTGGGTGGTAAATAAGACACTCCGATGGTCATTTGTATCTGACATTTTGTGTAGAACCAGGCATCGTCATCGCAACGCGTACCAGAACCGACCTCACCACAACCGGAAGAAGCTGAACGGATAGCCAACTTGACACGCCAAACAGAAGGATGGCGTATCCGAGATTCTAGCATCAACAGTTTCTTCCGGCGGTGGTTGTAAACTGGGGCATTGGGTGCGAAATGAGAATCTCATGATAAATTAATAATCTCTGGTGTTTGGTTTAAAAAAAACGACCAAATGCCAACGTTCTATGTATATGAAAATAAAGAAGAAACCCCATTTTGTATTATTATCCACATGTCATACATTAGATCTGTCATTCCCCTCACTCCTCTTAGCTTTCAAGCCCAACCACTTCAAAAAGCTGACACATTTTTTTCTAGTGTTTCTACTGTGCATACATGCCGTACTTTACAGTAAAGATCACCATCCCCCGAGGAGGCAAGGGAACGCCTCCGTCTGTGAACTCTAATGACAATGATGTTTACAGCGGAAGTTGTGCATCTTTGTTTGTTTTGGTAAAACGCTCTCATTACAAAACTTTCCTATGCGCATTTTTCGCGGGCTTTGGGAGAAGGTTTTTATCATTTGACTCTTTTTCCTTTTTCTATTGTTTGCAGCGCTGTGATCCGTTCATTATCTTTTCAGCTTATGATAACGAACTGGAATAAAGGCTGCAGTTGACGCACCCATCGCATACAGTAGAATGCACAGCCTTCTATGGCGCTGATGCATGTTCTGTGTTTCTTACAACACCGGCTGTGTTTGGAAGATGTTTTGCATTGACCTATATAAAAGGTTTACATGAAAAGAGCTCAGAGATCCTGTTCGTGAAATTTAGTTGGCGCAAAAAAGAATCAGTGAACAAAAGTAAAATGATATGAACAACAAAATGGGTTTCTATTAATACTCTGGAGTTGATGTCACTATGAAGATATTATAAAATTAATGATGTGCTTTTCTTTTTTACATGAATTGAAAGATGACAAGTGAAATATCCTTCTGGATCGACGTGCATTATTTAAATTTGATTGATAGATCTAAAGAGGCAAAAATGAATTCACACATTTTTTGCCTAGACATTTCAACTCTTTTTTTACAACACTTACCTAGAAACACTTTCAAAAAGGCGCTCGATATCCTTCGCGCAACGAGTGAATGAATGACTCCAGAAATTGTAGCGTGGATTCTTGATAAGTTCCACAAAGGTGATCAAAAGTCCCCATGGATGCGGTCGATTCACAATAAGCCGCTCCAATAAGACTCGTGTAATCTGCTCCTTGATCCTTTCCTCGGAGCATTCCGCAAACAAATATAAAAGAACGCAGCTAAAGTAATGGGTATGACTGTTGGGGAATCGTAATTGATTCGCGATCCCGCTAATGAAAAAGTATCGACCTGTCCCAACATAAAGATTAGTGGTTTGGTTCGTTTTACGCGTGTTAATATTCATTTTTCTCTCATTACCTTGCGCATTCAAATCGGACAGCAATCTTTGGAATATTTCTTTGGGCGCGCCTTGATTGACGGGAATTCCTTGCTCAATGCCACGCAAACCAACATGCAAGATCAAAGCGTTCAACATCGTGGCGTTGTAGGTCACGGATCCGTCCAACTCATCTTTGGAACAAAAACGTTCTTTCAATTGCTCCAAAAATGCCGCGGGCTGTTGCGAGTCCAGGTAATCATCCAGGTCTTGCTTGAACGTATCGACAGCTAGAGGTTCAAGGTAATTCGACAGAATGCGGGGGGCTTGGTTGATTTCAGGCAAGAGATCGACTTTCAGGTTCGGCGTGAAAGGGTCAGGTAAACGCATGTGTCTTGGAAAGGCGCTGAGGATAAGATTGCGAAGTTGAATACAAGTATGCGGAATCACATCACACAAGCTGGAATAATAGTCGCACAAAAATTCGGGGAAATCATGCAACAGGACAAGCAGAATACGCAAAGTGCCGCGATATAACATGCGTGTCGTATCTTGCAATACTGTTCCCTGCAAAAATGGAGCCAAAAATTGGAATAGATCAATCAACAGACGTTGAAATGCTGGCCATCCCTAAAAAACCGACACAGATCCATTATTTAGCTGATCCGCATAGATAAGCTGTCGCTTTTTGTATTCCCCCCCATTTACCTTTTCATTTTCTGCAAGCAACAGCTTGGGAACGAATAACCGATGAGAGATCAACTGAATCCAGGCAAAGGCAAATCCCGGCAAGTTGGACGGTCGTAATGTGTGGAACATATTGCTCAGTGTCAGTAGTAAAGAGACACCAATGGGTTGCAATTGCTGTTCATTGGCGTGTAAATCGGATAGCAAGCTGCTAAACATTCGCAAAAATGGACGTTGATCGAATGGTTGTTGTCGCTGCTCATGATGATGCGCCAGGACGAGGACAATCACAGATACCACCTTGTCGAAAAAGACGACTTTGTCTGCATACAGACTGCCTTCCATGGGCACTTTCAACAGACCGACAATCAACTTTGAGAAAGCATCAATGGGCTGATAGGCCAATCCGGGTGATTGGCCAGGAATCGGTTTGAAATTTAATGCGTGCTCGATGGACGCTTCAACACATACGCGATAAAATAAGGAGGCAGCATCTTCCACTTTGAAAATGTGCTGCTGGGCGAGTTGAGTGATGAAGGCGACATGGGCTTTCTCTGTGGTAGATGGATGCTGATACAATCGCACCCATTCAGCAAAGAGGAACTGCACACGTTCACGAAGACCAGCTTCTTCTTCTTCTTGCAACGAATGGGAGGGAGTCATCTTGGTTCTTCGTCGCTTCACTTCCTCCAATAACATTATCACACTTTCGGGTGGATTACCAGGCAGACGATGGAACGCTTCTAATGACATCGCATACTCCTTCTCGGTCGCGATTGGTGGTTCTTCCGACAAACAGCTCAGAATTAACCGGGCCGCAAAGTCAATGGCGCTCGCTCGTCCCGCATCGATCAACGTGGCGAGGACTTGATCCTGCTCAGAGAGATCGACCAGGCCTGCCTTGATCAACGTCACCGTCACAGGTACATTGTATTTGCGTTCGTCGTCTGCATGCGTGAGCCACGAAATCACCAAAGCCGCCACGTTTGCCGAGATTTCGCACAGTTGTTCCAAAAGGACCACATACATTTCGCGTCCCAGCTGGGTTTCACTCTTGTACAGCAATTGAACCACTTTTTGCGCAAACGTTCGAGCCGCTTCCGTCTTGTCAAAACTCGATACCGCCAGGACCAAGATTTGTCGTATAATTAAACGGATATCGTGCCGTGCCGGCAGTGATGCAAAGCTTGCCACATTCGTTTGACTCACCAATCCTTCCAGTTCGCTGATGTATTGAGCAAATCGTTCAAGAATTTGATGCGCACTCACTTGGTTAGGCACCCCGTTCATTCCAGTCGCAGCAGCTGCAGGTATCGTCACGGGAGTACCATTGCCACCGTAACCATGACCGTAGTTGGGATATCGATTTTGTCCCGGAGCCTCCGCGTCTGCCGAACCAACGACGGCGGTCGTTCGCGGGATTCTGGCAAAGTCCTCATAAACACGCAACTGAGCCAATTGAAGACCGTTGGGAGCTGCACGCAGAGGACTAGGTAACGCTGTAGGGTATCTTGACATGCTCAACATTTCCATGTCGTAAAAAGCTTGGCCAGGTCGCTGTTCCCGATGTTTCTTGCGCATAAGGAAAGCCGCCATCAACGTTTCATCCACTTCCATCACGGCTCTATCCATTGCCGCCTTTTCAATCACGGCACAAACCAAATCCAAATTGTCCGCCACCGTGATTAACGAGGCTTGTCCAGCCACAGCCTATAAAGATACGAATAAGCATTCTCCAATGAACCATGTCAACTGCACACAACGCGTTTTGGCTTACCTCTGACAGTCCATTCGCCATAAAGATGGTTCGCAAGTTTCCAGTCAAACTGAGACGCAATGGTTCCTTGCAAGTCACCATGGCGAGCGATCCTGCCAAATTTTGAGCCATCAAATGAGCGGCTTTTCTCATCTTGTTCTCATCGCCTTCCATCACAAAGTCCTTGTTCACCAGCTCACGGGTCGATACTGAAGCAATCGCCACGGATCGTTCCACCACAGGATCGATAATCTAGGGTGTGAAAAATACAAAGATCAGTCTTGGTGTTCTTTTTTTTTGCTTTTTAATTCGCTCTTCAAATGCTTACTTCGCGGATGGTTTGGGTAATGGCTTGAAGAACCCAGCGTTTCGATACAGGTTGTTGAGTATAAAAGATGATTTGAGGATTAAACTTGATGTAAGGTGCTAGGTTCGGAAGAGCGATCGGCGATTCTTCCACAGGTAGATTAAGCCCCGTTTCCAACGCTGACACCGAAAGCAGTGGTTTCGCACTGCCCAATGCATTCATGGCCGGCAGACCGTGCACGGGTCCATTGACGAGTTTCTCGTCGGTGGCCATAAAAGTCGCCTTTATTTTATCTCTTGCCGGTCGATCTTGCAGAATGGAGGTCGCGTCAATATCTGTCAAGAAGTAATCAGTCGGTCAGTCGGTCCGCCTAGTTAACACATAATATGGACCACACTCACCTTTGAGCTCGAGACTCAAACTTTTGCATAAAACTTCAATTTCAAACTTGAGATTGAGTTTAAGATCGGCAGACTCGTAGAGCTCCACAAGTAATCGCATGATCGCCATCAACCATGGATTTGGCGGCTTGAACACCCTGCTTTTACTGCATTGCTCCAGCACTTTGCAGACAAAAGGAATCACCACGATCAAACGATTGTAATCAAAACCTTCCAGTAAAAGATCCTAAAGCGAATTAAAAACCGTTAGCTACATGGGGTTCGTGATGGCGGGTCTCTTCTAGTTCATACTGTACCTTGAAGGCAATGTGTTTATGCTTGATAGGCTTGTTCCTCGCGAGCGTCAATGCACCTAGCCATGCACCCAAATTCTTTAGCAAGCTTCGTTCCGAGGAGGAAGAGGCAGTTTTCTCCGAATTCAAGAGGATTTGGATATTGACAATGGTTTCGCGTAAGACATGCTCAAACAAGAGCCGACTGCCTACACCATCGAGTAGCAGCAGATAAAGATCATGATAATTTGGTTCGATGCTAATGCGTTTCACCACGAAGTAACTGCTGAACCACTCATACATGGAATCGGTGAGTGATTCCAGCAAATCGGCTGTTTTGGTTTTCAAGTTGTTTCGGGCCACATTGTTGATGATGAAAAGAACCTTGTCTTGAATAGCTTCCGAGGGGGTAATGTATTGCACATCATCGCTCGACTTGATCTTGGGAGGAACATGCACGGATGCAAATACGACCGTTGGCTGGACCGGAACATCGATGGGTGTTGGCACAGGACTGGCAGTGACAGAAAGATGCGGAAGGCTGGGTAATCCGGGCGAAGCTTCTTCTGACACTGGTTGCTGGGCTTGCAACGCAGTCCGAATTGACTGGAGTAGTTCTGGATCGGCTTGTTGCAAGTTGGGAATCTGCATTAACCGGGTACAATACTGTGGCCATTCTGATAATCGACTGCGGAATTGGGTGAGAGCACCCACGCCAAAGTTGAACATCTTGCTTCCAGGTGGGTTGCGAAGTGCATCCAAAATACAACGCAAAGCGATCCCCAGCGGAACATACGATACCAACTGATGCTGAATCAACTGACCGAATAAAACGCTGGTAATGGCCAATTCTTTCTCTGGGTACTTGGGAAAGAAATGGTATTCGTCAAACAGATTATGAATCATACATGCAAAAACGTCTTGATCGCGCGCGTCGTTGGAAGTGCTCAATGTCTTGAAATGAGTAATCATTTGGTCAATCGTCATTTGGCCGTTATAAATTCGCTCATAGTTTGAATTGGCTTCCTCTTCAACGTCTGGTTTGAACGATACATTGCTGGTGTTTCCATTTTCATCCTTATTGGGCGCCGTGTTCGTAGCCGAAAGCTTGGGTGCATAGAGTTTATGAATCCCATTGAATACTTCGGTATTGTCGGGCGACATGGAGCTACAAATAAAGCAAATGTTAGCAAAATGATGCGACACCTATGATCTGCACACAGTCTCGTCATGAATTTTACCATTCGGATAGAATTCGCAAAAACAAGGTCGCCGTTTCTGGAGCCAAAGGAACGGTCGTCAAGGGGGCATTGGTGTTGTAATGGGCCACTTCGGCTGAATGTTTTTGATGCAAAAATGTCAAACAGGCATAGATAAAGGCATCTTGTTGTGCTTGAATCTTTTCTTTCAGCCATTTTCCCAAGTTCAGATACTCGTACCGAGATGCAAGCGCCGCTAAATCGATATTGAATAGCGAAGCCGACACATCCAGCATCGTTGGCAAAATCTAACAAGTCAAGAGGGGTTGATATCAACGTGAGTTGCTCTCCCTCCCCCCCACCACACATCCTACAATAGCCTTTTACAAAATGATGTACCTTTAACTCGTTTGTGAAATCCAGAATGCGTGTCAACGAAGTGGCATCTTTTGTATACATTTCTAGTATGGTTTGTGTATAAAATTCAGGATTCAGTTGCCAGAGCTTGGTCATGACCAAAAGACTCGCGCCATTGCCGCTTGAAAAAAAATCCAACAATTGTATGACGAACTTCCGATGTAGGGCCGTTGTGATAGGCTAATGATACAACAATAGGTTGATACACATACACAAAAAAAAAGATTACAACAGTCATTCATTGTTGAATAATTTACCTGGATTTGGAAAAGGCTGAGAAAGACCAACTCTGGATGTCGTTTCGCCATCAATTCCAAGAAAACTTTCACGTCGTCCGCGACCACGCTGTCTGCCATGCCCATAACACATTCAAATAGATCGAGCGAGTTCAACTGTTCCTGGACAAGTAAGGCTGCCTGGGTCTGAATGGCGTGGCTGGACGAAGCAAAATTGTCCATGGCGATCACCGGTTTTGAATAGCACGGCAAGGACAAGAGTGTCGAGGAGGAATTGGCGAGCTGATACAATGCACTCAATTGACCTTTGAGATTGGCCCATCGACCGAAAAACACATGCGCAGGAAACGGTTCGTTACCCTGTGATGAGAATCGTGGCGTTGAATGTCAAGATAACTGAAAAAAAAACCCTCCAATTTTCCCATTGCAGATCAAACAAACCTTGGGACTGCATTTCCACGCTTCAAGAAGGATTTCCAAGCCTTTCGCATCGTAGAGAAAGAAATGCTCATAGTCCAAATATTTCATCACTTGCGTCCAATCCAAATGAGGTGCCTAAATTTCCCGGTTGCACCAGCGAGTCAGCACTTCCCAGCAAAAACAAGTAAGACCCTCGATACCGACCTTTTCATTCAGGGCCCCCATAAAATGAGTGATATTCCAACTCGGCTCTTCGCTTGATGGTCCTGTGCCAACGCCACTCATGTTCGTATACGTGCGTGCCATACAACCCAATGTCTCGGCGACATCCGATTCCTCAATTTCTCGTGGAAATTTTGATAACAAATCTTTTGCAGCCGCCACCGAATGACAACATTCGTAACCAGCCTCTAAAACCATCTTACTAATGGCCACCATACTGGATTTTGGGTCTTGGGAACGATCACTGTAACAAAAATGGTTTTTAATTGGGCTGTGGTTTACGACTCTGTGATCTTGGGATACTTACTCTGTCATACTAGGAATGGCCGACGGGTGATCGATTTTGGAGCGCCCCTGAAGATGAATGGTACCGTTATCGATAAAAGATTGGATATCTTGGTCAAGAAAGATGCCTGAATCAGCTGTCTGCTGAATAGCTTCCAATACCCAAGCTAAAGCCACTTCCGGAATGTAGTCAAGCTTTTTCAATAACTCGTTGGCTGCTCGAATGTTCTGCGCAGCAATTATTTTGGCTAAGGTACGGTCAGTCTTTTTCCCTTTTTTCTTATTACACTTTTCCGGGCACCAAAAAAAAAAAAAAAAGAAAAAACTCACCTTGACCTGAGAGATCGACTTTTTCGGAAGTCAAAAGGACTGCTGAAAGAATAAATTTATCGAGTGCGTCGAATTCAAGTGCGTCAAGAAAAGGCTCAAGACGAATATGATGAGCGGATTCCGATTGAGTAAATGCACGTAAAGCTTCACCACAGCTGATCAGGGCTTCGGTTTTTGAACGACCTTGGGTTACAGCGACGTTTTCTTTGAAAAGACGAAATGAAGCTGATGTCGTATCTTCCGTAGGACCTTTTTTATAGCGTTCGGAAAGAATAAATCGTAATAGATGCTGACGAATATCTTCCCCGTGCGTTTCAATAAGCTAATTTCGTTAAAGGAAAATACGATTAACAATGCACAATCGTGACGAGACACATCCATTGAAAGGAAGACTTACTGATTTGATTTCTGCTGCGTTGCGAGTGTAATTGTCGTTGGTTAAACTGGAAAGGAGTAGGATGACTTGAGCTTTTACAATTCGCGTCAGACTTGATTTTTGAGATTTGGAAGTAATGCGTTCAGAGACCGATGACGATCTAGGGGTGCTTGCTGTAGGGGAACTCGGAAACTCTATATCGCTGCTCATACTTGCTGAGCGTTGAGCATGATGGTTTGCAGAGAGGGGAACAATGGTAAAAAAAAAAAAAAAAAAAAAAAAAGACGAATGGGCTAGGCTCAAGTCGTGTTTGGTGCCTTATTCGGAAGAAGCGTACCAAAAAAAAATACGGGCAACGATCCCGTGACGAAAGCATACTCCTACTGGGTTTTAAACGGAGTTGTAACTATGGTCAATTTTCAAAGCATCCACTGGCTGCACAAAACAACGTAATTTACCATTGATCCCATATTGAGCTTCATCTTTTCTTTTGGTGATGAAACAAAAAGACAAATGATGAGGCACCATTATACCATTAGTTTTATTGAAATCATCACTTCTAAGTTTTGAAAATCAGGAGTGTTGGGGTCGGTCAGTTGTGATCCCTTTGACCGTCACGTGGCCGATTGATCAAGGAGGAGAGCAATTGTGGCTTATATCCCGTAACCATCCATGCACGGTGTCTTACATTCACTTTTGCGCGCAACGAATTTTAGTTATCTCAATTTCTTTATCATATACTTCCGTTACCATGTCCGATGCAGAATTGTCAGCAGCTGCCATCAATCGTCATTTCACAGAGTCGGGTCACAAAGCAAAGTAGGAAAACCCTATGTCCCAGCAGCTGGTGGAAGGAGCTGTATTTCTGAACCTGAGTCACTTGTTACCATAGGCTTCTTCAACTCTTGAAAACTCGACTTGTAGAATCCGGTTGGAACGATTCTCTTTATGCTCATTGTCGAGGTTCGGTATTCAAACAATGATAATGTGGACATAGCTTGTGTTTCACTAAAAAAAAGGTGTGCGTGCGTACAGAAACATTGAAGAATCGCAAACTTGAAAATATTACCCTTGAAGAACTCGCTGCAGAAACATCCGACTTTGGGAGAGGTATTTTGTTACATTGTTTGATTTGTTGGATGCGGATATTCACAGCAGAGCAATTCTTTTATTCTAGTCACAGTCAATGAGTCCATTAAGAAGGAACTTTTAACGCAAATCAAGCAGTATCTTGATGATACACTTGAGTAGAGGAGGGTTTTGCAAAGTTTTTTTTGACTGATTTTTTGACTGGCTGTCACCTTTTTCGCTATAATTTTCTGCTTGGACATCAATTCATATCTTTTCATCACAGTTCGCACTATATCAAATTTTTACCACACCCATCACTACGTACGTACGATCATTACTATTCACATCTTTTTATTGTAAATAAAACAAATTTTTATGCAACAAACTACGATTTACAAGGGACAATTTACATGGATAAAAGGATTATTTCTTTTTTTAGGCCATGTAAGTGGATGCAGAGACATCACCACCACGACCGGTCCAATTGGTATGGACCGCTTTGCCGGGATTATCCAAAAGCTCATAGGTGTGAGCACCAAAGTAATCACGTTGAGCTTGCAACAAGTTCGCGGGAAGTTTCTCGTGACGAAGACCATCATAAAAGTTCAAAGCTGTGGAAAGAGCGGGGGTAGGGATACCTAGAACGACAGCTTGGGAGATAACGTGTCTCCATCCATCTTGAGCCTTGGCGATGGCTTCTTGGAAGAAGGGGTCGAATAACAAGTTTTCAAGCTGAGGGTTGTTGTTGTAAGCGTCCTTGATCTTTCCCAAGAAAACGGAACGAATAATGCAGCCACCGCGCCACATCAATGCAATACCGGCGTAATTCAACTTCCATCCGTAATCTTTGGCAGCTTGACGCATCAACATGAAACCTTGAGCATAGGAAACAATCTTGGCGGCGTACAAAGCTTGACCCAGCTGGTCAAGGAATTGCTTCTTGTCACCATTGTACTTGGCATCCTTGGGACCCGCGAGAATCTTGGAAGCGCGGACACGCTCGTCCTTTAATGAAGACAAACATCGAGAATATACAGCTTCACCGATCAATGTAGTAGGGATACCACGGTCAAGCGAGTCGATACCGGTCCATTTACCAGTACCTTTCTGGCCGGCTGTATCACGGATCTTTTCCACCAATGGTTTACCATCGGTATCCTTGAATTTGAGAATATCGCGAGTAATTTCAATCAAGAACGAGTCCAAGTCACCATTGTTCCAATCTTCAAACACGCAGGCCATTTCATCTTCCGAAAGTCCAAGACCTTCTTTCATGATTTGGTAAACTTCGCAAATCAATTGCATATCACCATATTCTACAAGCCCGGGAAAAGATTTCGGTTAAACTAATCTTGTAAATAATTATCGAGATGTGAGTATGTAATCGCTTACCAATGCCGTTATGGACCATCTTCACGTAATGACCGGAACCGGTTTCGCCGACCCAGTCACAGCAAGGTGCACCATCAGGAGCTTTGGCGGCAATGGCTTGGAAAATGGGTTTGATGTGTTCCCAAGCCTTGGGATTACCACCGGGCATGAGCGAAGGACCGTAACGTGCACCTTCTTCGCCACCAGAGACACCAGAACCGACGAAAAGGATTCCCTTCTTTTCGAGATCCTCGCAGCGGCGAATCGTATCGGGGAAGTGAGAGTTGCCACCGTCAACAATGATATCACCTTGTTCCAAGTGGGGCACCAATTGCTCAATAAAGTTATCAACGGCACTACCGGCCTTGACCAAAATGACAATCTTTCTTGGTCGCTTCAATTTGGAGCAGAATTCTTCAACGGAATGGGCGCCAATGACCTTGGTTCCTAAATTGAATAGAAATGGCGTTGCGTTAGCGCGAAATACAATGACAATTGTTGGCAATATGTGGTGTTATGGCAACGCACCTTTGGCTTCATTTTCGAGGAAATGGTCGACTTTGGATGTGGTACGATTGTAAGCACAGACCACAAAGTCGTGATCATTCATATTAAGAATAAGGTTTTGACCCTATTTGAGGAAACCAAAAATTTTAAGTACATCTCGGTCTTTTGTTGTATCCCAATGGGATGGTGATAATTACCATGACGGCCAAACCGATAAGACCAACATCAGCACTAAGAAAAAGAAACAATTGAGTATCCAAGTCATCGGTTCGTTGTCAATTGCTGATATAAAGATTTACTTACGTAGGTTGACTCATTGTTAGAAAATGCGATATATGTTAAAATGTTAAGATGAACAAAGTGAGAAAAGAAGGATGGTTGACTGGGCAGACCTCTTATTGTCTTGGGGAGGGGAGGCAAAGTTTTTTCATGCATTAAGTGAGAATGATGTAAGAATCGCGATGGAAGGGGTTTTGCTTTTTTTTTCTCCGACCGGCTGGGTTCATTGCATGAATTTTAGGCTCCGTGTGGTTACCATGCTTGTTTTTCCATTGACACACGTAAACCCCATGTTTTAGATCTCATAGGATGGGCCTTTTAATGACGCGCAAAAAGCGCAATTGCAACAAGCAAAATAAGAAGGTGAGTCTCTTGAGTAAGTCTGGTTATCACTGTATGCTATTTTTCTCTATGTTATATAAAAGCACGGCAAAAAAAAACTTAATAACGACAAGGCTATTAAAAGTCTCTGGATTTTCCCTTTTTTTTTGATTAGTGATGGCTGACAGATAATCAGGATTTCACATTATACGCAAGGGCTTTTTTGTTTGGAATTATAAACATGTTTTGTCTTGATATTTAAAAAGAAAAAAATAACATAAGCTAAAGATTAAAAGGAAAGACAATAGAACATAGATAGAATAAGCGATTAAACTATAGGCGTAAAATGGGCGGATATGGTTTTTTTACGACCTGAATGATTTGAACTACTCTTTTCCTCCAAAGTTACCGCCCGAATTTGGCAATGGCATAAAGATGGTTTTGGGACCTTGACCGTTACGACTCATGGCTGTTAATGTTTCGAGATAACGGATTTGCATTGCTGCCGGTGTGTTGAGAATATTGGCCGCGTCGCGCATCAATTTGGCCGACTCGACTTCAGCCTTTGCAGTAATTACACGTGATTCACCCAGTCGCTTGGCCTGTGCAGCGGACGACAGTGACTCCTGCAATTGCCTGGAGAAGTGAACGTCCTTGACCAGAATAGATTCAATCTACCGGAAATAGGTGAGTTTCGGGATATTATTTTTGAAAAAGCGTGTGGGTAAGTTTTACCTTTACACCCCATGCTTTAGCAGGGGCATCAATGACTTCCTGAATCTCATTCGAAATGGCTTCTCGATTTTCAATCAGATCTTGCAAGGAATGACCACCACAAACATCGCGAAGTGTGGTGCTGGCTCTATATTAACGGCCATATCAGTACAGCAGAAAAAATCATTGTGAATATTTTATGAGTCTCACCGTTCAATAAGTGCATGATGAACATTGGCTACACCGTAGACGGTTTCATAAGGATCGATCACGTGCCAATACAGAACCGATTCGATGGCGATACTGACATTATCCTGCACAAAAGAATTTAATACCATATGTTTATCGTCATTAAGTAAGAAACGTCGCATGTAACGGACCTTGGTAATGATATCTTGTTTCGGGATTTCTGTGATCTGGATAGTAATGTCGACTTTGGTGATACTTTCGGTCACTGGATTAACCTATTTTTTTTTTTATTTATGGAGCAGAGCGTCAGATCAGCAAAATAAAAACTTGGCTTTTCTGCAAGGGTTTGTTTTATATACCTTGACAAGTCCAGGATCGACGCACTTGTAGAATTTACCAAATCGTGAGACAAGTCCGACTTTGCCTACAGGTCCAACGTTGTTCGATCGTTTAGCAAGCGTACATTTTTTGTCCCGTGAAATCACACAAAAAAGTACCTTGTTTGACACGCTTGTATGGATTAGGAAAGCAGATACAGCAAGGAAACTACGGAACGTGATAAGAAACGTTTTGCCTGCTTATGACGATCCAAATCAAACAATAAAAAATATGTCAGATTATTACCGAACCGAAGAATCCCAAGCATTCGCCGATCGCGTTCATCATGCCTCCGTAAAATCCCTGTATCAAAAATCACATTCTTCGTTAGTTCAACTGCTCAAACTTTTATATCAAGAAACTCTCAAATCATGGACATACGTGAGGGATATCATCACCTAGAGGAAGTTCTCTTGCGTAAGTAGGTTGCATGCCGGCTGTGCCGATACCGGTGTCAACTTCGGGGATGTCTATTTGATCCATATAAGCCTGGTGTATCAAAAGTTTTTGGGGGAAAAAAGGTACCATTGGTATAGGAGGAACTCATTGTTTTATCAAAAGTCTTTGAATGAAATGAGAAGGAAAAAGATGTGAAAAAATCGGAGGCCGTAATTTAGGCTTTTGGATGTCGTGCGGTTCCACACGCTCAGCATCTGCTAAGTTTGCTAAGCTGCTAAGCTACTAAGCCTTTTGTAGACTTTTTAGCTTGTTCTGGAAATTCTTTTTTGCTCAGCCAGTGTGGGCTGTGCAACTCAGATTTAGGTTTTTTTAACCGTCATTCGATCCCACACATAAAACACATCATTCTCTTTTTATTTTCACCACTTTAAATAATCTTATCATGTCGACTTCAGACGATTTTCGCCCACTAGCTCAGCCATCCGTCAATACAACCATTCCTATGAAAAAAGGTCAACTTGGCTCTCAACCAAAGTTCGCTATGGAGTACGATATCAGTACCATCAAGCATGTAAGGCAACAATACCTTGCGCATGAATCATTCATTCGGATACTCATTTACTAATATCATGCAGGGATGGTATGGTACCATGATGAACTGTCTTGGTGATATTTTTGGTGCACTGGGATCGGTAGGACACCTTTTGATAAATGCAAACGTTATCCACTCCGCTATATCTTATCCTCTCTATATTTTTTTCGTAAAGATCCCTTGCTGCGTATGCTGTCCAAATCCATACAAACCTGTAGGTCAAGGAAGTGTCGGTCTGTTGACAAGATTTGGCAAATTTTATAAATGTGTTGATCCGGGTCTTGTCAAGGTACAAAATGAAAAGCCATTCCACCAGCAAAAAAGCGCCCGTCAACGTTTCGTCTAATCAACCTGGATAGATCAACCCATTCACAGAATCAGTGATACACGTGGATGTGAAGATGCAAATTGCAGATATTCCTCAACAAATTATCATGACCAAAGACAACGTGAATGTCCAGATCGATAGCGTACTCTATTGGCATATTGTAGATCCTTATCAAGCTCAGTTTGGTGTACAAGATGTCAAGAAAGCTTTGATTGAAAGGTAAACCTGCCCTCATGCTGTGTCGTCACACATTATTATTACAAGAGGGTTGCTGATGTAGTACGTGTCTTAGAACACAAACCACATTGAGACATATTCTAGGTGGCAAAGTGCTGCAAGACTGTATTGAGAACCGCGAAACCATTGCTCATGAAATTCATGCTGTAACGGCCCGAGTTGCTGCTCAGTGGGGTGTAAAGGTAATTTACGCATGTCCCTATCGATCGACGAGACAGAACCGCGATTGAACGTGTATGCTTTTTTTTTCCCTCTAGATTGAATCGATTCTTATCAAGGATATCCAATTCACCCGCGATCTTCAAGAATCGTTATCCGCCGCCGCTCAAGCGAAACGTATCGGAGAAAGCAAGATCATTTCTGCCAAAGCCGAAGTTGACTCGGCCAAACTGATGCGAGAAGCCGCCGATATCCTGAATACACCTTCAGCTATGCAGATCCGATACTTGGACACAATGACCAACTTGGCCAAGGCTCCACAGACCAAGGTGATCTTTTTACCATCAGAATCCTCCGGCAACAAGTCAGGTCAAGCTACTTTTGGCAACCTTCAAGCAGCCAATTATGATTGGATATCGCAACAATAATCTGTATTGCCATGTCGCATTTCTCCATCACTTACCATCGTACTTTTACGCTATTTTTCACGATTTATGTAATTACTTGATCCCAGTTACTTATCGACGCGATCGCCTATTATAGTTTTACCCAATAAAAACTTTTTTTATGATTTCCACGATGAAACGAATTTGACGAAATGCAGAGAATATGTCGAGGTATGGCTGTAAAATACAAGGGTTAAGGGGACCCGATTTGAAGACGGGTAAAATGGATGTTACTGTATGCGATGTTTTGATGGAACAGTTGGACTTGTGCGTGGACTTGATGGTTTTGAGGTCTTTTTGTTACCCGATCGTTTTTTGATAGCGGCGTTAAGCTCCTCAACGAGGGATTCCATTTCTTGTATCAACTTTGGCCACGGTTCAGTCACAACAGGTGCCAAAGTGGTGAAAAGGTAATCGTAACCTTCAAGTACTGGTTAATCAAAGAAAGAATGGGTCAAAACAAAACGGGCTTTGGAGCAAAAATGGTACCTTTGGGGACATTGGGAAGGAAGACATTTGTAATGGCTGTCTTCAGTCGACGTTTGGCTCTGTTTCGATGCACAGCGAATCTGCTTATGGCTTTTTTTCCAGTGATGATCCCGATACGCTGATCGGGTATGTCTTTCGTATGCCATTCCGGTTGAGGAAACACTTTGACGACAAATGTCTCTTTAGCAAAGAAAAACGGGGCCTTTTTAGTAAACAGTTTCTCAACATTGAACGCAGGTAACGAGCAGATCTTTTTAAATGTCGTCAGCGTTGGAAGCATGCGAATGGCAAGAACGGGTTGTGCTTTGAACAAGCGCCAAAAAAAAAATTACACTGGGCGAAAAATTTGGTCTGAGTGAGTCGCTGGCCCCTCTTGGCTCGCCGAATGAAAAATCAGCTGGCAATGTTGTAGTTGGCTTGGCAAGGAACCAGTTTAGTGTTCTTTATACCGATAAGAAATATTGAACCAATCATACGTCAGTAGCAAAGCAAATAGTATCTATCAATTTTCGAGGACAACAAGCAGCAATATAATGTAACGGGAAAACGGTCGCCTAAAAGCTTCAAGAGTCAAAGAAACTTCTAGATCCATCCGTTCCTTTTTCCCATTCATTTTCCTCCTGCGGGCCAAAAACAGCATTATTCTCATTCACAAAAATCTCGTGCAAACAACAAGAGATAGATTGAGGATCCATTCTCACGTAGTGTTGCAATGGGGTATATTGCTCCTTTCTGTCTACCCTCAATTACTACATATACCAGATTTACACTCGGTTATATCATGCAGCCACTCTGCACACAAATAAAAAGCGACTCCACTAGTAATAGGCGACTCGCAAATGCCACTCATATGCTACCCTAGTTATACAATACCTGAACACTCATGGAAGGGATGCATAACAATCATGAAGCTTGCTCTCATAAGCCGCACGGTATCCCGTTCTCCGATTGTGATGCTCCCTGGTCCTGTTAAGCTCATTTCAGGTCTCGGTAAGAACACGAACAATATATATCAAGTGAAGTGAGGGAAACTCTAGCAATATCCAAAACTTGCATAACATCATAATTGATATTTTTTATCATATCCCAATTAGCTTACCATTTGCTTGTGCTACAAGAATCAGCATTTTTTAAGTTGTGGTTTCGTCCTATTTGTCCAGAGACTTTTTATCTACTGTGACGTGGAGGGTCGCATGGCTATGTTTTATCGGCCCCATTCCATACCCTTCAAAATTGTTTTCCCCCAAAATCCTGGCCAGATACCCTTTTATCATCATGGTAAATAATATCCAAAGAGCAATCGTGGAAGAGTGAACCGGTATCATATACACAGCCTTCAACGTAATCTCTAAATAATTGGCGGTGCCAGTCGTCAGTTTTTCTGCTTTATTATGGACAAATAGACGAGGTTTTAATCTACCAGGAACAGTTTTTAGGTCGAGGTCTAAAAGGTACGATATATCTTCCCATCCATACTTTTCTCTCCATCGCGCATTTTATCTTTTATGCTTACCACAAACTCCAATATTAACCATCTCTCTTTGTTTTCATAAATATCTTGTTTTGTACCTACATTATGCGTTAGTCTAATTTCTTATGCTTAAAGAATCTCTGGACATATACTCGGTATATCCGCCCACTCAATAGGTTGCACGCCAAAGACTTTTTCAAAAAGATAATGTATTGCGCTCAAGTGCCTTGCTCTTTTATGCCGCATCACTCAGTGTAAGTAACCGATATAGCGTATTGTATATAGGTAACAAATCCCATGCCTGGTTTGGTGTGAGGAGGCGTCCCCCCCCCGTAGTGTGGGTGGAAGCGGTTTTTATTGGCAAGTGAGAACCAAGGAGAGTGAAGCCTCGCTTGTGTAATGAATCCATTTTTCCTTTGAATTCCTATCTCCACTTGGGCGTTTCCCGGATAACTTGACTTTACCTTTTTAACTCTATTAAGAATTTAGTTGAATTTTGTATAATGTATAAAATTTTCCAATAAAAATTGTGGGCCTGGATAGAGACAGAGACAAAAGGGAGGGATGGGGTTGGCAATGTGGCTTTTTGCGTAGGAAATTTTTTTTTCCTTATCCATCTTTTTTTTTTCCAGAAAAAAAAAGACTTCTCAATTCTCTCTTTCCTTTTACTCTTTTTTTTTTCTATCTCTTTTTTCCTTTCGTACGGTCAAGGCTTCTTTTTTTAAAAGAAAGTCCATAAACGGCTGAACACTTTTTTTTTACGCAAGGACCACTTCGCGGGAATTTAGATTGAGCTGCCGATTGCTTGATCCAAACCGCAACTCCGCCCTGGTTGGCCTTTTCTCTATTCTTCCGTTCCCAACCTTAGAACAACTCCTTTTTACAGACGCTTCCCACTTCATTTTTACTCTTGTTCATTATATCAGCCATGAATATATCAATAGAATATCCTATGTATCGGCAAGAAAAGCAGGACTGTTTGACCTTGCCTGCTAATCTTCCGTCACCGCCCAACTCATCTTGTGGGGATGAAAGCAAGGAGATGGAAGTCGATTCCCCATCAGACAAGAGACCTAGCCAAACTTTATCTGATATCTCCTTGGCACCGAATAAGGAATCCTTGCCAACCCATTTTGATGCCCTCAGCGTCGAATACTGTTCCTCGCTGCCGGAAAACTACACCATCGATCATTCGTCACCAGCTTCCAATTACATACCCCGCCGCCCAACCCAGTCGCCACAACTCGATACCGCACCGTCCCCTCATTCATCAGCTGAGATCCCCGCTGATACCCACTCCTTTGTTCCCTCTTCTTCCTTGGTGGATTCACAGAGTTCTGATCGACCATCCTCTGCTATCCGTTACAAGTTTTCCCCCGCCAAATTTGACCAAATTCATCGCTGTCAACAGTGCGGCAAAATATATAAGCACCGGAATTGCTTGGCCAAGCACCTCTGGGAACACTCCGAAGGTTGGGAACTTACAAGTAAGCTGATGTTAACCAAACACCAGCAGGTCCAAATGCTGGAAGCGGCTGCCATCCTTATGAGTATGGATCATTCTCACCGTCCACCAACGGATGTGTCCACCTCAAACATGCTCATCGATACCAAGGATGAGATGACCGACGGTCGGTTTATCGACAGCGATGACGACGAAACCATATCCATTGTTTCAGTTGCCTCCCATGATTTATCTGTTTCCGATGAACTCCCCATTCTATAACTCACATCATATACATTCCACAATGCTTTTCACTTCTGATCTATTGTATAATACCTTTATTCTTTTTTTTTTCTAGTTTCCATTGGTGGCTTTTTTGTTTGTCTTCCTTTTCCATTTAAATATGTTCTTTTTGATATCTTTGATTGCATCTTTTTTGATCAGAAAAAGCCGGAATAAAACCTTTCATTTAAATCGAACTCTCTGATAGTTCATTAGAAAACGGAGCTTTGAGTGGAGTAATGCTTCAATTTCATTAAGTTCAAGAGTCTCATCATTTCTGCATTGTGCATGCGCACAAGCAAAAGGTATGAAACTGTATGTCATTAGTAATGCAAGGCATGCATCATCTTTTATTTTGTTGCAAAACAATGGTTCCAGCATGAGCTCAATCACAAAAACACACTCTATGATTGTAAAGTACCGTTGATAAGCTTCATAATAACCAGCTCCATCGAATACGTATTATCCCTATAAGAAAAAGAGGCCGCCTTTCATTCTTTTTGTAAGCTCAAATAATTTTATTGACAAAGTGTAAACGTGTTCAATGTGTAACATAAATATCGAAATCTCCATGTGATGCATTGTTTATAATGATCGACTGCTGGAATGATTCGGGAAAAGCCGTCATCGCCATTCCTTGGAGTAACAAGATGCAATATCCGCATCTGAAAGACGTCTACAATCGCCATTCAGCACCAGGTATCATCCCCCATCGTTGTTTATATGCTTGAAAGTGCTGCAGGCACAATCACTGATACAGCATTTTTTTCATTCCTCCCGTAAAAACCTGATATCATAGAAAAAAAAACCAGTTCTGCGCAACGGTCACCGTTGATGGTTCCCAGGTCTTCATTGCCATGATTGTCGTGGTTTGAATTCCAAAGATTTGGCGTTCTCTTACTAGTGCATATTGTTAACGATCGATGGCAATTGCCTACAGCGTACAATACCATATCTTTTATATTGCTATTACTGCCTCGATCATAAGACTTTTTGAAAAAGTCTTTCCTTCATGGAATAAGTGGGGCCCTTAGAATTTGCTCCCAGACTTGCATATAAAAGTCTTATCCCGGAGTAGGGAGGAGGGGGACAAAAGCGAGCCGTGACTTTTTGGCGCGGGCAATGGAAACGTCAAGGTCCGCCTGTCTCTTTGAATTCGGTCAAAAAAAAAGGGTGCTGTTGAAGCTCTTCTCTTTCGAGATCGACGTTTAGAAATTCTTTTTATTCCCAATCTTATTTGAATCCGCTTCCACTGTTACATCAGCGTCTTGTAACTCTCCTGTTTTCAATTTTATTTTTTACGGATTCGAACCATTGTCGTCATCATGGCATCTGGTTCCTCGACGTCTTCCAAAACGCCATTGCATAAGGGAAAAGATTCACAGTCGTTTCTCTCACTATCCGATTTTCTCTGGCAAACCCCTCTTGTTTACAACTGTCGTCTCGATGAAACTGCCAAACAAACTATCCTCACCCGATGTTACGAATCGCTGTGGCTCGGTAACGACGCGATCATGCAGCAATACTTCTTTCCATCCAGAGACGCCCTGCAGAAAGCCATGACCGCTCAGTTCCATCGTCATGATGGCAAAGAGTTTAACATTAATAAAGATCCCACATCCTGGCACACCAACGGCATAGTCGCCGAAAAAGATCTGGCCAGTCAACGAGGACGACCATGCGGTCACGTCTTTCGTAAAGGAGAACCCGTCTATCGATGCCGGTAAGGCCAGCATAATCATCTCGAAAGGGTCGTCGTAAAGATACTTATTCAAAGGGACGGGAAATCGTTTTGGTTTTAGAAATTGCGGTCTGGACGATACATGCGTTTTTTGCTCCACTTGCTTTCACGCCACCGACCACGATGGTCACGATGTCTTGTTCTCCATTAGTCCAGGTTCCGGTGGTTGCTGCGATTGCGGTGATGCCGAAGCATGGAAGGTTCCTTTGCAATGCAAGGTTCATTCACTTGATGCCGCTGCGGCGGCCCATAACGCGGCTGAAAACACAGGACGAGTTTTGATTGAACCGGCGCTAGTCGACGGCATCCGACACACCATTGCCTCCGTGTTAGATTTCCTTTTAGAAACGTTTGCGCTCGCACCAGATGAAGTGAGTTTACCTTCATCCACCGAAGACCTTCTCAAGGAAAACCGAGAACAACGTCGTGTATTGAGTCGACTCGGTATACCGTCGCAATTACCGCATACCCAACCGCAGCAGGGCATGATGATGGAGAGCGAAGAATACACCGCCATGGATGCTTCCATCATGGACGAAGAAGATGTAGATATGGACAAAGAAAATAGTGAAGCATTCTCAGCCGATGCCGGCGACCCGCAGCAAGGACACAGTAAAGAATCTTCCACCGACGAAGGAGATGGCGATCTTTATGCATGTATCGCTTGGAACGATGAAGCTCATGCATTTTCCCATGTGCTTGAATCCATCATGTCAGCTACCAATTGTGACTTTGAAAAGGCAAAAGAAATTGTCGATGTTATTCATGTCCATGTAAGCGACAGACATCCAAAGATGTTATTTGATTCATCGCATCATCTAATACTGACTTTTTTTTTTTGTAAGGGACGCGAAATCATTGCCACATCCACCAACATTGAGGAACTTCGAAAGATCGCCGCTCCTCTTGCCGCCATTAATCTCGGCGTCACCATTCGTCCCGCTCGAGATACATTCCGTGAACAGATATGTGGACTCTTGGTGGATTGGCTGAAACAGCTAATCAATGGTCGCACTCGCTTCTTCCCGCAAGTTGCTGGAGGCGATGCTATTATTCGAACCATTCTGTGTGAAGAATTATGCGCGGAATGGGAATTGCGATTACCGATGGCTCTGTTAACAACAGGTCCTCGTACGACCCAGATCACAGCCGATGACGTGAGTGATGAGGAGGATTTGATCAAAGAAGATATGACCGTCACTGCGAGCAACGAAGATATCGAGATGTTCGAACCTGACGTTTCTTCCCATGCTCAACAAAAATTCGGGTCGCCGGAATCCTCGAGTTCGAGTCCCGTCATTTATCGAAATCAATGTGACATTGCCAGCATCGACTGGGATCCCGCCGCCATGGTACGCGAATTTCAGCATATTCGAGAGGAGGAAGTCAATCTCGGGGACATGGTATTGGCAATGGCCGATGGCAATAAGACCGCCGGTAAAAAGGCGGTAACCATGCCAAAGGAATCCTCCCGTATGGGATTGACCATTCAAAAGGAATTCGAAGACAAGTTGCGTTTGGACTATTTCATGTTGTATGACCTTAAGCTATGGAAAGAAGTGCGCGTATCTCTGCGAGAACTGTACATCAACTCCTTGATCACCGAACCTGGGTTCAAGAAAATTCTCGGTAAAGTGTACTTCTTTTGGGCCAAAACTATGTCCAAAGAAGGCCAATCACCACTGACAAAGTCGAATGGTATTGACTGCTATTGAATTTTTTTTTAGGCAAACGCCTTGCACGAAATTACGCGCGCTTGGCGGAATCGTTCCTGTTGAAAGATCGCGAACCCGAAAATTCCATAATTCTTTTCTCTGTCCAACTTCTCACAGTACCTACAGTTTCCGATTTGCTCGTCAATGAGTACTATTTCTTTGGACTCATTTGTTCCACTCTTGCCGCCTTCTTCCTCACCGACCATCTTTATCTCCTTCTCCCTTCCGAAAGAGCGCGACTTCCTTCCCGCATCAACTGTGAATCGCGCGCATTTCGTACGCGCCGATACTTTAACGCTTTCCATGACTTGCGTTACATCATGAATGTAGACATGATCAAACGTGTCCTTGCCGAAGATCCGTTATACTTGCGTCAATACTTGGATCTCATCAGTCTATTCCAAGCCATGAATGCTCAGCTGTGCCAAAAGAACACCCACGTGGAATATGAATCCGAAATTTGGGTCAACGCTTTCAATGTCACCTTACAAATCGCCAAGTGCTGTCGCCAATTCGCGGACTGTTACGGCACGCTGCCGGTCGCTACGTTTGAAGAGCGCGTCGCTACGTCCAAGACCCTGATTCGATCCGTTGCTCGTGTACTGAAAACGATTGAGGAATGGGGCGGGGACGAAGATGAAAACATGGAAGCGGCCATGTTGCGTTCGTCTACCACGGATCCTTCGGTTGTAGTGGCCTCGGAGCAAAATTTCCACACCGTGACCTTGCCTGACCTGCCGCCGTTTGAAGTGGTGCAATTCAGTGTACACGCCGAACCTGTTTCTTTCCATCATCCCCTACATTGGCTTCTTGCCGGTCTTTTGGAACATGCCAGTATTTTGGACGAGGAGGTGCTTCACGCCGCTGGATGGTCTCACGGTTTATCGCCCGCCACCTTTCTGGTCAATGAAGGTGATAAACCACCTTCGCAACGACGCTTACTGGCAATCTTGGACTTTCCTATCCGAACTATTGTCTTTTCTTCGCAAATCCGCGCAGGCGTTTGGGTACGAAATGGTTACGGAATCCGGAATCAGGTACAGTACCACTAGGGAATCTCTTTTGACGATCTTTTTGTCACCTTGGACAAAAAGAGGGAAGCGAATTGATACTGATTGGCTAACCGCATCATTTAGGCTCATCACTATCGCGACATCTCGTTGCGTGAAAATACTTACGATGCTGATATCTTCCTTTTGCAATTCGGTTTTATTATGGTGGATCCCGAATTGCTGCTGGTGACACTTCTTGATCGATTTGATTTAAAGTCTTGGTTCCAGGGCGAAACGACCCATGAACAGTACGATACCACCCAAACGGTGTTTATGGTAGAAGAACTTCTCAACTTATTGATCGTGTCGGCGTGCGAACGCGCCAATGCCACGAGCATGTCCATTCAGGAAAAGATTCGTCGTGAAATCATTCACAACTTGTGTCTGGGACCGACGGCATGCTCGGAACTTGTCAAGCGGATCCCTGAACGACTGTCGGAGCATCCTGACTTTGATCGCGTATTGGCGGAAGTGGCCTCCTTTAGACCTCCAGGCGGCATCAATGATCATGGCATGTACGAATTGAAAGAAGAATACCACGATCACGTCGACACCTATTTCTGGCATTACAGTCGCAATAATCGCGAAGAAGCGGAAAATGTATTCAAAGCGCGATGGAAGAAGGCTAATGCCGATAAAAAGGAAGAAGATTTCTTTATTATCCCCAAGACAAGCAAGATCAGCTACGGTCCTTTCAAATATCTGGGCGCTTTTCTGCATACGCGAGTTTTTACTCAGATGATGACTTACGCACTGTGGAACGTAAGAATGATCAACAATCATAAGAGCGACACCATTCTCGATCAAACGCTCTACCTTATTTTATTGGCGTTATTGGATGAAAACAGTGATATTGCGGAACAAGCCAAGCTTCAAGGAAAATACACGGGTGGTTTCTATCACCATATTTGCAAGAGCCACTTTTCACTGTCAAACGGACAGCATTACCAGGAACTGACGCTATTTGAGATATTGACGATCTTCCGACAAGCCGATCAATACAAGGAAGCCCACAGTCAGCTGGACTGGATCTTTGACCGTTTGCAAACGTGGGGAACCGATTCTACTTGCCATATCGTACGCACCTGGGTGAAATGTTCCGGCAGTGCTCCCAATGCCATGGAAGGTCAGACCAACGAATTGTCAGAGTACGAAAAGAAGAAAAAGGCAGCCAAAGAGAGGCAACAACGCATCATGGCCCAATTTGCTCAAGCTCAATCTCAGTTTATGGAAAATAATGAAGGATTGTATGATGAAGATGAGGAGGAACAAGTCGAAACAGGAGCCGAGGCTGGTGATTCAGCTGCCGCCGTGTCCGGCTTGACAGATGAAGACGGTGCCACCCAAGAAGACATTCAGGAGAATGAGGAGATGCAAACAAGGTTCTATACGTACCCCACAGGAACATGCATTGTCTGTCAAGAAGACGTCAATGAACGTTCCTTACCCTATGGCCTGCTTGGATTCTTGCAGACATCCAATGTACTGCGCGAAACACCCATGGACGATAAATCCGTTTTCCGGGATATCGTCGACATGGGTTGCAACCTCGATGTGGACTGGCCAGACAAGCAAATGCTTCCGGACGACGCCCCCTCCTTGACCGGTTTACCGGCCCAGCTGCACAAAACCGGGCTCTACGCATCCACTTGTGGTCATCTGATGCACATCAAATGCTTTGAAGTCTACTGTACCTCTATTGACGCACGCCATTCGGCTCAGCTTACACGCAATCACCCAGAAAATCGTACGCGCAAGGAATTCATGTGCCCTCTATGCAAATCCCTTGGCAATACGCTATTGCCTGTCTTCTGGAAAGGCAAAAAGGAGGTGTATCCGGGTGTGCTTGTCAAGGCCAACGACGCCAGTCACCATCATTTCCTGGAATCCACTGTACCGGAGGCGATTGACAGACTAAAGTCTGCTATCCTCTCCAGTCGACCAGCTTTCAACCAGCGACGTCGTAGTAGTGGTACCAGTAAACTCAAGGAAGCGTTCAATACTTGGATGAAGCCATCCACCTTGCGTCCAACCGCCACGGGACAATCCATGCTTATTGAAGACTTTATGAATCGTGGATCCACTGGATCGAGCAACACACCATCCGATGCGGGTTCGCAGAGTGAGTCATCGTTGCAGCTTCCAGGTACTTCGCCTTCCAACGACCGTTTAGGCCCGTTTGACTCTGAAACCTTGCATGGAACAGCCATGGCCAATGTGACTTCCATTCGCAAAACGTACAGTCGTTTGTTCGACGTGCTATCGATCATCTATCAAGAAATCTGCAGCGACGAATCGCGACGCGAGTTGTCGACATTGAGCAAGAACGTTGATTTGTTGTGGGGATTACTGGGTTACACCATTGCTGGCGTGGAAATTGCTGCGCGTGGCATGGCAAGAAAAGAGCATTTGAATCCCGCCGAATGTGCCACGGGAACGATGTTTGATCAAATTCCACCGCAAACTCAGATTCTTTTGCGTATTCTGAGTGACACCATTATGGCGTATACGAATGTGATGGGAATGCAAGATATGGGCACTTCCGGCGGCATGACGGGCAATTCCAGTCACGTCATGACCCGCGTGAATTTGCTTGCCCTCGGACGTTTGGGCCAGATCTTTGTCGACGCACCTTTGGAAGACATGGCTCAATTCACCAGTTTTGGTCAAGACAAGATCGTATTCTACGAAAACCCCCCTCTTTTGGAAGACGATCCGTTCATGGTGCTCGTCGAGCTTTCGTTACACCTGATACCCGACATGAAATTGGATGTGCATTCGCTCATGCGAACACTGTTATTGGCCGAGTTGAGCAAAACCGTCATCGGACTTATTCAGGGCACCATGGTTCCATTGACTCCGACAGCCCAGCCGACGGCCGTTCCAGAAGAAGTCGAGGCGGCCAACAAATTTGCGTTCTGGATCATGGAGAAACTAAACATCTCGCAGGAGAATGCCTTTGCCAGCTTTGCCAAGTTTGGATCGCAGGAAACCTTCTGGGCGTTGCTGAAATTCTATGCATTACCTTTCCTGCGTCGGTGCATGATACTAATGATTACTCGATTTGGTTTAATTGTGACGCCTTCCGAGGACATGTCCTCCGGTGCCAGCAGCGAAGTAGACCGGTTACTGGATGCATTGCAGTTGCCGCGACTGGATGTTCTGTTGCAGCGAACCGACGATACCGAACGCTTGGTGGGCGGATGGTGTCGCCAGTTTGTCAAGGAATCCGAACGTCGCATGCAGATTCAAGAAACGGTCACCGAAGGATTACCCATCATCGCGTTGGATTTACCGACTCCACTTTACTTGGTAGCGCTTCCACGACGTTTGGATCGATTGTTTGATGAGAGTCTGCAACGTGTGTGCCAAAAGTGTGGTACCATTCCCAGTGATCCTGCATTGTGCCTGTTTTGTGGAACCTTTGTTTGTGCTCAAAGTTTCTGTTGTGCCGAAGAAGAAGACGGCGAATGCAATCTACATACACTCGAGTACGTAAACACTTAGTTCAATTATTGTATACCGGTCAGAACCATGAATTAATGACCTTTTTTTTTTTGAAAACGCGTAGGTGCGGAGGCGAAGTGGGTATCTTTTTATCTGTGAAACGATGTGTATTGATCCTGCTACATAATGGCAACGGTTGGTTTATCAACGCGCCGTATTTGGATCCCCATGGTGAGGTGGATCAAGGTCTTCGACGAGGCAAACCGCAATACCTCAGCCTAAAACGCTACGCAGAAACTCGCAAACTGTGGCTTCAGCACAACATACCCATCTACGTAGCACGACAAATTGAAGCAAATTATGATATCGGTGGATGGACCACACTTTAACTGGATGGCATAGAAAAAAATGCCAATGACTTGTTTGATTATAATGAAAACTACAGTAAAAGAAAATACAAGACTCCTTTCTGCATGTAAAAGAAAAATTCCCAGCGGATCAACCTTTTGTAAAAGTGAAATGAAAGTAGACGGCTTTAAATTTTTCAAAGCCGACGACTACGACGTCATTGGACTTTTTTTTTGCGGGCTTTGCGTGAAATTTCCACTTCCAGCACATACTGTATGCATTTGTATCCTTTTTGCTATTTCTTTTCGTGATCCTGTACCATGAGCTCTATAACCCCTGTCATTCTCGATGAAGACACATATACTGATGCCATTGGCTTCATTATTGAGAGAGATTTTTTTCCGAATCTGGCCAAGATGAAAGCACATACAACTTATTTGGAAGCCCAAGCCCACGGTAGCTTGATCGATCTACAGCAAGCTGGAAAAGCGCTTCATGATCTCGAGACTGGTTCTGGGAGACAACAAGGTATAGTCTCTTCTTCCGATTTCTAACGAAAAACTTGCGTGATTAATTGAGTGGTACGAATGATGTAGGAAAATCCACGAATATCAATTCCCTACAACAAGCTCAGAACTTCTATAATGCAGAAGCACTGGATCTAAGCGAACGAGTGAATCTCAATCTATCTCTGGACCAATTCCAAACACTTTATACGAGGTAAGGGAAAGCAGTAGCTTTGTTCTTGCGATGGCAGGCGAAAACTGATCGGTGTTTTCGCCAATCATTCAGTGAAGACAATGCTTCGTTTGCGGATTTGCTGGAAAAAGCCAATGCGAAACGCAAAGAAAAATACCAAAGGATCTTCCACAAAGAATCTAAACAACTGAGAATCACCGATGCTCCTCACGAACAGAGTTCGGTCAAGCTGGTAGAACCTGGGGATATTGCTCCTGGTACTTGGAAATACAAAGTCAGGAATGCTCTCATGTATTTACCCGAAGGCAAGAGTGAATCTTGGATAAACGAAGAATCAGCGAGAGGCGCACCAAAAGCAATTGCGTACACGAATACCCAGTTTGAAATCGCTGATACAACAGCAGAAGGAAAGAACCTTGCCCCTTCGGATCGAATCATACGACAAGGTGGAACGGCCACGCCATGGCATCAAATTACCAGTAAGCACGCTCAAACGACATAAGAAATATTTGAGTCACTCGCATATTGACATTGGTTCAAGGTACTGGCAATGGTGAGGCAGGATCGACACCAGGATTTCGAGGCTACAGTTTGGTAGAAGCGACACCGACAATCACACCCGGACAGATGGGGACCCCCATGATGACTTGGGGTTCGATCGAAGGAACACCAATGCTTATTTCAGGATCAGAGACGCCAGGTAGCCTAAATGATTACCCCCATCATACCATAGCGCTGCCGTTTGCTTACACCGTGATTGCTCTTTACCTGCAGGTCCTCAGTTTAGTATGCCAAAGACATCGCGGCGTGAAGAAATTGGTATGGCCTTATCGAACAAGGCCTCGAAAGCATATCGCAAAAAGATCAATGACAAAGAACGAGCGGTACGAGGAACACCGCGGACTGGGTAAGCCAATTATCTCCCCATATCACCCAAAGAGGTTCCAATTTTTTATAACATGGGTGAAATTTTCATAGTGCCGGTTTAATGTCACCAGCGGCTCAGCATTTGCTTCGACGAAGTAAAACACCCTACGGTTTCGACGCGGCTCTTCGATCCTCCTATGTTGGTTCTCCAACACCATGTACGTATAATATGCTTGATGAAACACGACCGCAGCGTACTAAACCATCCTATTATTGACCATGTAGCAATACACGGTGGTGCTAAAACACCAAGGACTCCTCTATTTCGCGCCGGTGCAACACCATCTGCTACTCGCACACCTGCCAAGAAGTAATAATTATCCATGTATTCTTACCCAATCTATAATCCTGCATCCAACCTCAAAAACTCGCGTATTATCCAATTTATATTCTCACTCATATTCTCATTCCATTTTTTTTTTTTGATACATTTAAATAGCGTTCGATTTTTGCATCTTTTTGTACACTTGAACGCCTTTTTTTTAAAAAAAAAAGAAGCTGTCAAACTCTATCATTAACAGGCCATTGAGAGTGGTGCCATTAAAAAAAATGAATCTGTATTTAATCCGTTTTCATGTGGTGCAACTTCAAAAAGCTTTTTTTTATATATATGTATACCATCTTCTTGTTGAGATTATGACTTGCGTGTATTATTCCCAGGTAAATCTTGTTTTAGTCTTCATCGCTGCTGTCATCGGACGAATCATCATCATCCTTTGATCCTTCCTTCGTATCCTTCTGTCCGCCAGCCAACGCGGAGGCCAATCCTTGCTCGCGCATCAACTTCATTTGTCCAGCAATAGAGTCATCTTCCGGTTCAGAAATGGTATCGTCTACTTCTTCCTCCGGTGGCAGTTCGGATGGGTCTTGAATCGTCAGTTTAATATCTTGAAGAATATCCGTACCCGCATAGGTATCCGACTTGACAAACAAGGAGAAAGTGTAAGTGCCTGGTTTGGGAGGACCTGCAAATGGGATACGAATCGTCTGTTCGTCAACGATATCGGTCACCTTTCTCGGCGGCACAAGAATACGGTTCACCTTGGGATCACCCAAGAAAATCCACCAATACGGCTTCTTTTCCTGCAAAAATTAAAACCAAAATGCCAACCGTTAACAACATTTGCAAACATCCTCAAAGCAGACGATTGACATTGATGAAAGATACATACGCCAGGATAGTAAGGAGTATGAGCAAAAGGCAGGCTAGCTTCGGGTTCATTTTCAGGTTCAAATTCATCTTCTTCTTCTTCCTTGTCCAATTGTTCTTGAGTCTGTTTTTCCTCCACAACAGCCTTGGCCTCGGGTTCAATACCAACAACGTGGCCATTTTTAAGCTTCAAGATAAACGTGATAATAGCACCCGTGGTAACAATCTTGTCGCCCATCACTGACAAACCCGCGGTTAACATTTTTTTTTCCTTTTTACTTTCGAATGTCAAACGGTATTTTTACCTTTGAATGCAGCTTTCTGGACAGATAACTTGGGAACGCGGTTAGCGACTTCCATGACATCCAAGTATTGAGAATCGGTCAATGGCTTGAGCAATGTTTTGCGTTCGACTTCGGACATTTGCAACAACTGCTGAACGCTGTGAATATGCTTCTTCTTGGATCGGAAGTAACGTCGTAACATAATGGCGGTGATGTGAGGAAGTTCTTTAATAGAAGCTTCGCCAGGGAAGATAGCCTGCATCAAATGTTGTTGCAAATCCATAATGTCCATCGCCACACCCAGCCACTGCTTCACAGTAGCGATTTGTAGCAGGCCCTGAAGGAGATGGATAGATTTTTCCACAATAAAACGTTGATCTGTACTCAATGATTGGGGAGGTTATTGCCATGTTGGGAAAAAAAATGGTCATCATCATCCCACTACTTGCCTTGTAAGATGGCGACATTGTGCGATGCAGTGACCTTGGCTGTCAGATCCAAACGCAACAAGTAAGCATAAAGAAGTGTACGAGCCTTGCGACGATAAGCTGGTACAGTCTGTGTGTACAAAAGAAAATCGTATTAGTGGGCGATTTCCATCACAAGATGGGTATAAAAGAAAAAAGACCATGCAACAATGAAAAAAAAAAAATTACCTTGTCCATGCGTTCGTATTTTTCACCAAATCGATTTTCCATGGCTTCCGCAATCAATCCATCAATTTCTTTCAAAAGTTTGTCTTCGCTGGAGCGAACATCCGCATTTTCCTTGAATTCTTGAGCACCAACAAGGATCTTTACAAGATCTGTGAAAAGGAAGGATCATCAGAAAACAAAAATTTCGAACGCACAAAATTTTACATTGAACTACCTTTGAAACCCGCATCTTCTTTGAGGTTCTTCACAAAACCGGCCATCGTCTGATTGAGAATTTTATCTTTTGTTTGTCTTCTGGAATTGTACCACCAGCTTGCCTGAAATAATAAGAATTTTACCCAAAACAATCGTGAGTGACATGTGCAACATATCAGGTGCCTGAACCAAGAAAAAAAAAATTGGATGACTTACAATGTAATAAGGCAGACCGATACCAAAAATGAGAGCGTAGAAAGCGAGAACAAATTTACTGTTGCTGCCCTCCACCAAGCCTTTAGGCAAAGCAACGCCCATGGAAAAGGATTGCTTTCCGTCAGGATGACCATACTGTTCATAATTTTTTCGAACATCCTCGTCTGTCAATCTAATAAAACAAGTCAATATTCAATAAATATGCATGACATGATAACCGGATTACAAACGTACACTTGATAGGCTTTGCTGATTTGGATAAATTGCTCCTCGTTCTCCTTTTCACTACCAGGCTGAGCTTTATCGGGATGATAAATAAGGGAAAGCTTCTTATACACCTTTTTGATTTCTGCCAAGGATGCACCCTGCAAGAGAAAAAAAAAAAACAACAGGGTAAGAATTAAATAAAACACGGTCTGAGCTCAGAAGGAGTGTGCGGCATGATCACGAAGCACTTTTTCACCGAAAAGAAACTCAGGATCATTGGACAAAGGGGATTGTCGGGGGGGTGAGGGGAAGGATCAAAAATAAAGGACAGACGCCTTCGGGAAGGAGGAGGGGGGGAAAAGGTAGCCACTGGCAGAGAATGCTTTGGGTTATGTATCCCTTACCTCGCTGATGCCCAAAATTTCATAGGGGTCCCAGCTGGCCTTGGGTGCTTCGGCGTGAGAGACCTGGTAAGCCAAAAGAGCAACCGTAACCCATCCAATAATAATAAACAGCGTCCTTTAAGAAAGAAGAAGAAACGCAAAGAACCACCAGGTTCTAGACGTTAATATTCGATTCCTTTTGCATTTCATATTGGCTAGTCATCATTTATGCTATGCTTGAATGATGCTGTCAGCCACTTACTTTGGCTTTGTCAGCTGAGCCTTGACACGATTAGGCTTGACCTTTTGCGCCTTTGTTCGTTCTTTTTCGCATACTTCACAGTGGCAAAGATTGGTTTTGGTGGAGTGTTCTGTATCATGAGTCATCTGACGGTTAATCATACAAGCACAGATGATTCAAGGTGATAACGAGCCCAAGATACTTGCTTGTACAGCTGTATAAACGGTATACTGAGTGAAGAGTGACAGGCACCAGACACAAGGATAAGACTGACAGTAGGAAATAATAGAAATTAAATCCCTGCTCGTCGTACGTATACTGAGCCATGGTTCAGGGAAACGTCTAATTTTTTTATTCCTTCAATCAAAGCTGCCTATTAAAAAGAGATAAAAAAATCTCAGGTTCTTTTGTCATGTTCCGATTGGTGGAAGCCCAAACCCAATTCGTCGTCACGAAGACGTACGTCACATTTTTTTTATAACACTGCAAAGTGTGCGGTTTTCCCACATGAACGGGACATTCCCGACATTGCGTGTTTGCCACTCTGAATTGTTTTTCTGTGCAACTTGGCCACATTGTCCCGTACCGCATTACCAAACCACTGGAAAAAGAGAGAATTGAATCATATTTTCCATATGAATCATTCGATCGCTCTTTCCATTTATTCTTGCTTTCTTTTTTTGTCTTCTTGGATGTTTCCATGACGTCCCTTTCTTCGGCAGCCTTTTCCCACTATACGACCAATTGGAGTGTATATAAACAATGACAGCCAGCAAACGAGACAACACCCATCAAAGAGCTCTTGGCCTATCTTTTTGGGGTATAATGCAGCAATGTTTTGAATCCCACAAAGGCGTGATCGAGAATTCCACAAGGAGTTCAATGATGATGATCATTTATATGGGGAGGCATGGGCATAGCTGGAAAGTTCATAACAATCGTAAAAGGGAAAATAAAAAAAAGAAGAATGAAATGGGTCTTTTTTTTATGTATAGGCATCTGGAAAGCGGAGAACGATGGAAAATCTCTGCATGACATACCTGCATCATCTGCAGAATGGGTGAAAGTCCAACTCCCCAATGTTGGCCAAAGCTGATGATTGGTTCCACTTGAAGGATGTATAGCAAAAAGTTTAAAACAGTTCTGCCTTTTTCATCAAAAGCAGTTCACTTGGTTGCGCCATGCCCATCAAGGAAAAATGACGGTAAAATCCGTTTGGTTCTTTTGGAATGACACAAGCTACACCGTCCGTCTGTGCAAGGTTACTTTCGATGAATGATTGCCTTTTCGTGATTCTCGTTTCTTTTTTTCATTTTGGACGTACAGCCTGCATCCAATCGGATGCATGATAATTGTTAAAGTTGTCATGGAGTTGTCGCAAATTCTAGAAACTCGGCTATTGCATGGCATCGAACCTACACGGTTCCTGGAATAAATGCATCCAGGCCTTTACAGAATGCATATTGTTTGTTTTCTTTCATCTTTTACACGCATATGTATCTCCGCATCTATGCTTTGATGGTCTGCTATGCTTTTATGACGTTCGTTGTAGAAATGTCATCCAAAGTACCGGGAAAAGCTAAAGAACAAGACATCCCATCGAATCGGAAAATTCCATATCCCAATCCAGGCACATGATGATTTCATATTCCTATTGTATAAGCCGATGTCATGGATGCCGTTTTCAGCCATTGGAACCTCTTGTCATCCCCTGTAGAAATTACCCCGACGGTAATGCAACCATGTAACATCCCTAAAATAGCAGGTTTTCCTGCCATGGCTTCCGCTTCCTAACAAGCATCAACTACAAGATATTTGCATTTGCGGCAAAAAAATATAAATGAGTCAAGGCGCCAGGCCTAAAGATAAATGCTTTAACAGTTACTATGATACAGGCAAGATATGTATGGAAAATAACGACGATAAAAGAAAAGATATAAGAATTATGGAGTAACAAAATGTGATGTGAAAAAAAAAAAGAAAACGATCAACGATTGAACATATTGCAAAGTAAAGAGGGCCACTAAACAGTATTCAAAGGGCTGTCCTTTCCTCGTGAGTCTCTCTTGCACATAGGGCATCGAGAGTTTAAAGCCAGCCATTCATGAACGCAAGCTTTGTGAAAGTGATGCATACACCTACGATGAGGAAATGAAATAGGGAACCCCATGTATCAGTGTCTTGAGAACGGAAGACCACGTGAGATGCAAACTTACCATAATCTGCAAAGAATATCTCCATCTTCATAGGTGGACAGACAAATGGCACACACTTGGTCCTGTTCGTTGGAAATCTTTAATTCTTCGTAATCGGATTCATCCGTTCGACCTGAAGGTTCTGTGAGCCCTAATCGAAGCCACAGTTTATCAAGAAATCCAAGAGGAGGATTAGGAAGATTTTTCAATGCCGTTTCGGAAGGAATAGTGTGGAGTTCTAGATCAGTCTCTGGGAGATTCGGACGTTCGGACGGATGGGATAAATTCGAAACAGAAGTGGCTCGGTCTTTTTTAAATCGATAGCATGGAATCCTCGCAATTTCTTCACTGGTGGCTCCGCCCATATCAATGCCCTCGCTTACGTGAAGTAAGCGCATGCCGACTACATACAGACCAGTTTAATTTCATAAAACCAACCTTGTAACATATGTTGCCCCATTCCCACTTACCCAAAACACACGGTAAGCAAAAGATGACAGAGGTGCATAAAAGAATAGGAACAGTAATGATGATGTAACCATAGACAATGATGGCCAGCGATAAGTAATACAATGAAACCGCGGTCTCCGAGCAGGTATTGGATGTAAATATCATATAATTGCCAATGACAAACCATAACACCGCGAACAGGTCAAGAGCTGACTTGGCACTATCCCAATTCCAAATTGATACAATGTGAGAGGGCTTTTGAAGGCTATATTCTAAAAACGTTGTTTTGTCTTACCGATCAATCCAAGCTGTCAGTGTGGTATCGTTGGCAGCCATGGGGTTTGTTATGGAAGGTAATGCGGGACGTGCAGAAGTTATCGTAGAGGGCGCAAAAGCGGGTAACGATGGATTCGTGGGAGGTATCGGATTAGGAACGCTCGTCCGTTCAGTCATGATATAGGATTCGCCTTGTTCGGCCCTCATGATATTGTTGGTGGTTTGGCGGCGACTGGGAATCAAATGAAGATATATACTTAAAGGAGAGGATAAAATAAGGCGTAATATGTACACAACGATAAACACTCGAAGGGGTTTATCGCAATAAGCGTCCCAGGAAAAGGTCAGCACCGCAGCACTAGCGATAATCTGTGGTTATAGTCAATGGACAGTGTCGGGGCAAAGATCAGCTTGGATGGATTACCTGTACGGCCACCAACGTCATGGAAAATGAAAGAATGAATTTCGACGCACGGGAACTTCGACGCCAGTTGAGAGCAAAGTGAGTGAACCAATGTGACCTCACTCGTCTCGATGTCGGTGCTGTACTTCTAGATATATGAACCGCATTGGACGCTGAATGGGTGAGGATCTGCGGTAGAGCGGGACGGGTGGATGACGACGAAGAAGCCGAAGACCCAGTGGATGAGGTTGAAGGTTGATGACGATGGTTCAGCCTTATTGGATTCAGCATTTACGGTAGGCAAAGCATGTACGCGCAAAATCAACTTAATTACAAACAGGGAAAGACAAGGAATAAAGAACCAAACTTCCTCAAGAGGAACGGAAAAAAGGCAAACCGAAATAAAAAGGATAAAAAAGACACAGCTTTTTGAAATCATATTTTTTTCTTGTGTCCATGTCAGTGAAACATTTCTTTCAACGAGTTACTGGTATTTTTTTTTTTTTGCTCTTTCTCTCTGATTTTTTACAAATCACTGATTCATGATACATTTATATACAATATAACAGATAAAATTGTGGGTCGATTTCTCAGATCGACGCTACGCTGTCGATGAATGATCACAAGGTGTACGGTTAAAGAGCGGCCTTACCCTCCTATTGGAGCGGCGCATCATCTATGTGAAAAAAAGGAAGTCTTCTACTGATGGTTTTTGTAAACTTGATGGTTGATAGGTCACTGTTGGCATAGATAATAACGGCAATGCTATTGCGACGAGATGAAGCTTTGTCATTTCTTTAGAATCAATCATGAACCATTGCTAATTAGAACCATTTGCAATTCATGCTAAAAAGCCTGAATTTCTTCGGTTAAACTTGCCCTTTTACGCCGAAATATCTATCGTGGCAGCCTCCGATCCGTTTTGTAAAATGGCGCATTTTCTCGCCTCCCAATGAAGCCGTCCCAGCGCACAAATAATCTATGTATCAGAAATTAAATAAAACTGTATGGTTTATTTATTCACGGGATTATCGCCAACGAATGGTATCGATGAGTAAACCGAACCCAGTGTATTTATCGTACAACTTGGAACAGTGATTTAATTGTAGTGATTTAATTGTTGAAATACTCCAGCGGGTCATCCCTTGACCAGATAGCGTTATCGATCGTGGTATGTAACGCGTAGAATTCGACATTGCCATCAGGATGCTTATGTGCTCTATGCTCAGGTAGCATGGTTAGATTTTTCATCGTCCGCTGTTACGATTAACCCTAACAGTAAGTTACCTAGCATGAACGAATTTGCCTTCGTCTACTTTGATTTTTCCAAAATAGTTGCATCCGTAAGCTGCCGTCTCGACAGCATATTCCTGAAGCTCATAATATCGGGGTTTCTCTAGTTGATCCGTGCGATGCATATTATGGACTCTGTCTTCATGACGCAACTGATGGGGTTGAACCGTGAATGTTTAGTAACAAAACAACACACTCAATGTTGAATCGCTTACTTCGCTCAACTGCAAATTTCGATATCAACAAGTACGCCAAGGAAATTACACTCATCTTGTAAGTTGGATGGCCGGTTGATCTGCTATGACTGCTTCGCTTTTACATACCTTTTTGTAGACTTGGTCTTCCACTTCACCAAAGACCTTATTGTCGGATCGCGCGTCAGTATCATGATACCAATTCGAGTAGGCTCCAAGGCTTACCTGTCTAGCAGTATCATCTGCAGGCTTGACTTCACCCATCGAATTGCATTGTTCGCTCGACATTGGTTATAAAGATTTTAATATCGCAAAGAAGTAAAAGAGATGTATGAGAAAACAACTAGAAAATCAAACCCGCTTAAAAAGGCCGGATTTTGCATCGTACAGACGCATAACCTAATTTAGTTTTTATCCCGCTTTGATAGCTGTTATGGCTGGCGCAACATTTTTTTTTTTTTACCAAACTGCATGATGTTACCGATGGAACTCTAGATTCAACCTTAATGTTGCAAGTAGAAAAAAAAGTGGTAATATTTTCCATTTCTCGACGCTCAAAAGTGAGCATGATGTCAATATCACCAGTTACCAAAATGCCGGTGGCATTGTATCCAACTAGAAAGGCTTACGTGGATTGACATTTTTCAGTGGGTTACTTGCATTTGCTTATGTATACGAACTATAGTATACGACTGAATGATATCATGATGTTGTAGTTTCAATTTTAAATACCAAACTATTTTGTGGCAAAGCATTGTAGGCCTTTCCTTCTTTGTAACTTGTTCTAAGTCATGAGAGATGAACGGGGAGAAACATAAAGAATGAACCGCGTGGTTTGTGGTTTGTATTAGGATGCGCTGCAGATCAGTCGGGCTTGGTTACTATTTCTAAAAGTTGATGGCCAAGCATTCCCGAAAGAAGGGCTTTCTCGACAAATACAAGATGACAGTGTAACACTTTTTACTTGCAAATTTCCGTGGCGATTGTCACCAAAAGAAGTAATGTGATGGCTGTCATTTATTTATTCCAAATGACCAATCGTATGGACAAACTGCCTGTAATGTCACGTTTTTCTCTTTAAGAAAACTTTCCTATCAAGTGTTCAAACCGGTATTGTCTATTTGTCTGGACAAAGCTGACTTTCAAAGGTTGGTCTTTATGTGTTTATCAGAAAGCGCTCATCTGCCATATGTCTGCTTCTGGCTTTTTTTTTCTGCGGTGGACAGAATGGATGAAGATTTCACTTCACATACACAAATAGACCTTTTGTTCTCAAGCCATAGACAGCCCTCGATTATTGGCATGTGCCGCGAAACAAAACACTGTTTTTTTTTCATTTAAGAGATACACTTGATCCATTCCACAACTGACAGAAAAATATCACATTCTAAACAATATCAAAGCTGATGGGAGTGAAAATAACTATGTATTGCGTCCGTAATATTCCGCATAATCTAATATGATAGACGGCTTAACTTTCAGCTCTAGGCAAAACAGTTTCCCAATGCCCGGAAACGGATGGCATACTTTCCCGAGAAACTGGCACGAAATGCACTGGTCTTCAACTATGATACCAGCAACTTCCGTGTTGTGTATCAGCTTTTGAGACCTTGCCTTTGCTCGCCGCAAGCTATTGCAAAAACACACTGAAAAATGCAACTCTTGATATCGACGCAAATTGAAGCGCAAAGTAGGGACTTGAAAAGAATGGGTAAATTATCCAACTCAAGGCTTTGTTGCTTCAAGTGAAAACTCTTTTGGATCATCTCTGCTTTCATACGTAAGGTACTGAGCCACTGGTCGAAACGACTGTGTTGTCGATGGTGAAGATATCACTTTCAGAGTATAGAACAAGAACGGCGCAAAAAGTAAGCACAGAACGGGCGATGGAATATCAATCGTCTGTAACGTACGGGCGAAACTTGCATTTTTAGAGGCTATGGGGCTCAGCGGCGATCCTTATAAAAGTTCTTTACTATCATAACATGTTGATCGAAAAACGACAGATTTGGTTGCTCGTTTGTAAGAATAAACAAATAGTTGCCCTAATCCCTGTATATGGAATACACGGCTTGTCTGACAGACGCCAACATTTTATTCTCTGCCTTATCAAAATGTTTGTCTCTGAGTTGCCATATTTGGATATATGTCACCGTCAAATTGTTTACCGACAAAAGACCGTTGATGATTGGGTAGCTTCAAAGTCAATGAACGTTGATTGGATAAATTTGATGTAATCACATGATTTACGATAAGATCTGAGCGGATGTTGAATTATGGCTCATGATTTGTGCTTCCTTTTGTGAACAGACAGATCGTGTTGTTTTGCATTATCCAGGTCTGTTCCTTTTTTCTTTCTGCTTCTTCTGTAAAACTAATTCAATGTCATCTTCAAACGTTTATTGTGCTTCTTGAAGTTTGCCAGGACATGCTCGCTCCACCAACCGCAACTGCCCCAACAACCCCCGACGTGCCCAACAAAGTAGAATTACTACAACCGAAGGACCAAGCGAAGTTCGTTGCGGAGCTTAGACAAGGTTTGGAATTCCATTGAAAGTTGATCAACGCACAATGTGTCGAATAACGCCATAGTCACCAGCAGTTCTGTTATCGCAGCAGAACACAGTTAATAGTATGGGATGAGGCAACCATGGTCAGCCGACATCTTATAGAAGCTGTCAATCGCACTCCTCAAGACGTAATGAAGATGGTAAATCCGGCTCTTCAGCATGTGCATTTTGGTGGGAAATTGATTGTTTTTGGCGGCGATTTCCGTCAAGTCCCTGTTGAGACACTGTTCAACAATTTGGGGTCTGGTTGCTTTGGGGATCACTGGAAGAACTTGACGGAAATTAGTAGAGCGAGCATGGCCTGCTTGACGGCAACTTGCACAAATTATATTCATCATAAATGGTAGTTGAACTATAAAACATAATCATTATCGGATTCTTCCAGTGATCCCCAAAGCAACCAGGCCCCAAATTGTTGAACAGTGTCTAAACAGGGCCTCTTTCTGGCCATCTGTAAGGGTTCTTCGATTAACGACAAACATGCGTGTAGAACAAACTCGCTTAAGCAGTGGTGTGGATGCTAACATATTGGATCAATTCGCCTCTTATCTTTTGCGCATTGGTAGTGGAACGGAACCGTACACAAATGGGAACTTGGTGTTACTTCCACCAGTGATGCTGGTGCCTTCTTCTAATGTCAAAGATCTGATATATGCAGTATATGGCCATTCTTTATCAGAAATGCCCTCGAGAGAATTCTTAATAAGCCGTACCATCTTGGCTCCAAAAAACAGACATATGGCCTCTCTCAATGAGAAGGTGCTGAACAGTTTCCCTGGAGATGTCTGCGAATACAAAGTGCAGACAGCATGGACACAGAGGAAACTCAACTGGAGCACACTAATTGAAATTTTGAACTCTATAAATTCAGCCAACCTGCCACCGCATTCTCTTAAACTTAAGATTGGCTGCCCAATCATGCTGCTTAGAACATCGATCAAGCAAATGGTTTATGCAATGGCACACGTTTAATATGCCGATCTTTTCATCTGCATATTATCGAAACAGAAATTGCCAATGGAATCAACATTAGAAAACATGTACTGCTATCGCGCATAGCAATTATCAATGATTCTGATGAAAAAGCAATTCCATTTAAACGAGTCAATTTCCTGTACGTCTTGCCTTCGCAATGACAATAAACAAAGCCCCAAGGTCAGACCTTTGACTCCATTAGCTTATTTTTACCGGAACCGGTATTTTCCCATGGCCAACTCTATGTTGCCATGTCCCGAGTTAGAACCCGAGCTCCATCAAAGCCATGGTCTCTCATGCGTCCCATAATATTGGCAACGACACTTATACAAATAATATTGTGTATACCGAAGTTTTGTGATATTCAAGATCACACGCGCAACTAGTTGGAATTTTAAATCTGGGGGAAATTAGCGATTTGTAAATCACATGATCTACACTAAGTTATCAGGACCTGTTAAACCTTTTTTTTATTTTTCAACCATGCCTCGCTGCCCACTTTTACGATAATAGGCGAAACAATTAACAGCAAGATGCCGTTTGCACCAGTTGTGGTCAAACAAAGCATCGTCGTCTTTCGAATAAAAATGTGAGTAGAGCTCTTTTTGAAGAAAAGTGGTTGATGATACGATGGCGTTCTTCTGTAGCATCATTCAATTTGTTTTTTTTTTGTCAGTTATACTGTATATGTCCTTTCATTCTCTTTCAATTTTCAATGAATCGAATGGCGGGATGGAACTGAGGGGGTCAATCAATGCTGCTTTGCGCGTGCTCAGAAACAACTCACCTTGCAATGTATGCCATGAGGTTGTCATTAATATACCAAAGTCCGTCAAGAGTTCTCGCCCAGGTTATGACGTGTATGCGTTAGGCTTTTTGTCTGACGAAAGTCGCTCAATGTAAGGGGGCGACCTCCGGTGGCTGGCGGCATCCATTGCACAGCGGGTGTACGGCTTGTTAGAATTTTAAAGTGCCACAATAGTTTTTTGTTCAAGCATCCTAATGTGTCCACCGCCACCCGTTGATTGGGGTGCCTCTTTTTGTTATTGATAACAACAAACACATAGTGCTAAAACATCATGGAGCAATAATATCATTTCTCAATTTTTTTAAAAAAAAGCTTTTATGATCAGTGAATAATTAACATGGCTTAAACAGGCAATCTCTTTGCTCTGTCCATCAAGGCGGACTAAGCTATTCTCCAAAGCACTGGGGAAGATGGGAGGAGTTTTTTCTTTGGTCAGGGACTTGCGCCCCGCCCCCAAAAAAAATTAAACATTCACGTGCCTTTGTACTACCTGCATGCAGGTCCGGGATTTTGGTGGACAAAGAGAGAAAAAGAAAAAGATACTGAACCTGTTCTGCTTGACGTTCTTCTCGCCTTTTTATTTTTATTTTTGAACATGTCGCAGGGTGAACTACGTCAGCGTAACCCTTCCAAAAGACGTGAATCCGACAGTTCCTCATCCTCCATTAGCAATGACTATAATCTGACCAACGATGTATGCTGTTCTTCTTATGGCAGAACACCCAGCGGAAGAGGTAACCCGATCATAATCGTTCTTTTCTCCTTTCAAAATGCTTAAACGAGATATTTAGTGTTCCGCGTGCCGCTGACGAGAGACATGGTCACTTCACTGTTCAATTTCAAACAAGCCAAAACCTTTTTTGACTGGATAACGCTGGGCATCATGGCGATTGAAATCGCGCTGTTGTATTTCTTGCCATCCAGCTTTAAACGTATTTTCTTCTGCTTCTTGTTCGCGTTTTGGCGTCTGGCTTACAATGTCGGTATCGGGTTTTTGTTGAAATATCAGAGTGAGAGTCGCGGTCTTGTTCGTTGGGTCAAGAAATACAAGATCTTTGATCAAAAGGCGAACCCCAAGATCTACCAGTGGCTCGAATATCAGCTGAGCTTGAAAATGGGTGATGATTACGATTTTGCAGTAAAGTATCTCGCATAGCAAAAAGAGAGAGGGATGGGATGGAAGTTAAAAAAAAAAAAAAACTGATGACGATTTTGGAATTTTAGACATCGCCATTGGAATATAATACGTGGATGCTTTACCGTCAGTTGGTGGATATCATTTTGATGAATGATTTCACTTCTTACATCTGCTTTGCTTTGTCATGGTTCAACCCATCACCGCGTTCCACGTTTTTCATGGGTGATACTCTACGCTGGCTTGGTGGATTGTTTTTGATCGCTTTCAATATCTGGGTCAAGATCGATGCGCAACGTGTTGTAAAAGATTTCGCATGGTGTAAGTTTCGGTATAGGGAAAGATGGGATGGAAAAAAAAATCTCGGATGCTGACGATGGGTCTGACAGATTGGGGTGACTTTTTCTTTTTGGTGGAACAATCACTTACATTTGATGGCGTCTTCGAAATGGCTCCTCATCCGATGTATTCCATTGGCTACTTTGGATATTACGGTATTTCGCTCATTTGCGCAAGCTACACCGTCCTGTTTGGTAGTATTGCCGCTCATGCCCTTCAATTTGCCTTCCTCATCTTTGTCGAAACTCCTCGTAAGTCCACTTTTCTTCAAAAAGCCATCATAACGATTGCTCATCTCTGCGTTTGCAGATATCGAAAAAACGTATAATCCTCCTGCAACGCCGAAACGACAAGTGCCTGCCACCATGGCGGCATCGGCAGATACTCAAGTTTTGGAAACCACCTTGGATCAAACGGCCACCTACGATTTTTACGCAAACTATTTCCGGCGCGATCTGATAGTTTTCAAGAATTTCGACCTGGCCCGATCGACAGACTTGGTTTTTGCCATGGTCATGAGCTACAGCTTGCTGCTTACATTTTTGCTTCCTGGTAAAGCCGGTGTTGTGTTTGCCTTTGCTCAAGCTTTGTTTTGGCGCATCTTCCATTCGTACGGTCTCGGATTCTTGCTACACGCTCAATCAAAAGATAAATTCTTTACAAGACATTTCGTCAAGTGGGGCGGCGGCGTACAGGAAGCATTCCAGAACTGGAAGAGGTATACAATCCTACTTAGAGTCTTTTGCGTTGGAAAGATTGGATGAGTAACGCAAAAATTGGTACTTTTTTTTTCTTATTAGCATCTACAATTTGTCGCTCTGCATGACTTATGTTTCTTTTGCGGCGGTGTGCTGGAAAGTGTATGCTTTACCTGAAGACTGGACTTACGGAACCACGCTCTTGAGACATACCTTGGGTATGGTTTTTATTGGTCTTCACATCTGGACCTCGGTTTCCATTTATGAGGTGCTCGGTGACTTTGGATGGTAAAGTAGTTGGTAAAAAAAAATTGCACATCATTTCAACGGTTTCTAATGGTGAGTTTCCCCAATGGCAGGTTCTATGGCGATTTCTTTATTGACGGTCAACCGTCGGAACTGTTGTATTCTGGCATTTACCGATTCCTGAACAATCCTGAAAAGATCATGGGCCACGCTGCATTTTGGGGTTTGACTTTGCTAGCCAACAGCTGGGCTGTGTTTGGATTGGCTTTGTTCTCGCAGATCTCTACACTGATCATTATTCATTACGTGGAAGGGCCCCATATGCGCAAACTGTATGGTAATCAAATTCGCAAAGAGGCAGGATTAACCAAAGTGTTGAAAACGGCGGCGACGGCCATTCCTTCCAAGATTCCCGATAAACTTCAGCATGAAGTGTCCAAACTCATTCGAGAGAAGCAAGAATTGCAAACGGCCATGAACACGACGAAAAACATGGAACGGATTGTCAAGGAAGCGGTGGAAAAAGTGGAAAAAGCAGTAGAAGAAACCAAACTTCACGTGAATGACATGGTAGATGCAGCCCGACCCAAGTTGCAAGAAGTGTTGGATGAAACACGATCGTTGCTTGAAGTATCACGTTCTCGACTGATTCCTATTGTTGGCAACATTGCCACATATGACCTGTCAAAATATGCTATCCGCACCAACGTCGACGCTTCGGTCGTACTTGGCCATCCGATCAAAGTGAATTGGAAAGCCCCCGATTACCATGGTCCACGTGACTGGATCGGTGTGTACAAGGTATCGGCCAACAAACAAAGGCGCATCACCACGGTCAGTTCACGAGGCTTATGGCGATGGACCAATGCTTGTGTCAACAAAGAGAAACCTGAAGATGCCATCTTTCCACCCGAGATCGAGCTCAAGACCGAAGGGACCATCGAATTCTCCGGTAACTTGTTACCCTGGGAAACGGGAACCTATGAGTTCAGATATCATCACGATGGGAAACATAATGTCATGGCAGCGAGTCAGTCATTTGAAATCATTGGTGAGTTGGAAAAAAAATAACAGCATCCGAGAATGTGATAATCGATTTGCCGGTATTGACGAAAATGGAAAATAGCGCCATCTTCCCAGGATGCACATGACGCAAAGGCGGTTCAACGGACTGTATTAAAGTTTGTGCAGAATGTGCTGGGTAATGATTCCGAACTGATGCCTGTATCCTCCATGGAGGAATTTATTGGTATTGGCGAAAACGAGGCGAAACATCTGGTGCGTCTGATCAAATTGACTTTTGGCGTGGAGTTTGCCTGGGAAGTGGTTCTCGTCGATAAGACGGTTGCGCAATTGACAAAAAGGGTAAGTGCCTCTGGACACAAAAAGATAAAAAGTACTCGTCATTCATCGTTTCTTTTCCACGTCGTACAGATTCAGCATGGTCTAAAGACGTTGACACCCTTTCCGAAAATGCAACCAAGTGTGTCCCTGTCGTTGAGTAACTTACCGTCGAGTGTATGCAACCCATTGACTGCGCAGCAGCTGACAACTACCGAAACTTCTGCGGTTGTAATATAGAAACTTGTATATGATACAAAAATTTAGATACCGGGTAAAAAAAAAAAAAAAAAGACACAGCAACTATGGCTCTACAGTCATATTATTATCGGTGTGAAATAATTGGAAACATGCTTGTCTGGAATACCGTGTAATGAACATGAATACTACGAAAAAAAAAAAAGGTGTGGGCGTCTTTTGATGTAACGAATAATACGGGAAAAAGAGAGCGTGAGAGGATCCAATATGTTAGGAATCGGTGCTTCAAAAACCAAAGGCATCCAACTTGGTGGCGTTTACCGCAAAAATTTGTCATCTCCGGGATCGTTTTTGGGATCAATTGCCCAAAATGTCCGATTTGGAGTGTATCAATTTCCAGGGGAAGTTTTTTTTTTTTGGTTTTTTAATGATATTGAAATTTTGAAGGAGATGGTACGGCTGAATCAAAGGCCGGGGGGTTACACTGTACATTTATTCAACCATTAGGATTGCCCGCTGCTGTTGTTGTTGCTTCTATCCCGTTATACTTCTTCTTCAGGGTACAAAAAGGATTTTGGGTGAAACGATTTCATATTGTCATGTCCTGTTCCCTTGACCCCACACAACTTTTTCTTTTTTCATTTGATCATCGTGTAAAATATTGGTGGAACGTCTGAAAAAAAAAAAAAAAAAAACTAATTATATCTTCAGCGAATGATAGCTTGCTATTTTATGAGCATCATTTGGTGATGCGATGCAGTTTACCAGGATGGTCTCCTGTTTTATGCTTTCACCTTTTTTTTTCTTCCTTGAGTCACTAACTAGAGTATTTTCACAGTAGGGGAAGCACGAGAGGAGGGGAAAAAAGTCCCCATTTTATATAATGCGCACATATTTGATATTGTTACACAAAGCGCACGATCCTACCCATGGCCCACCGAAACTCCTTTGCAGTTATCAAAAACTATAATTTTTTTTAAGCTTCTATCTTTTTTTTTTATTATTTTTTTTATTTTGAACACTATTATTTTTTTTTTGGTTCTCTTTTCTCTCTCTCTTCTTCTTTAGGTTGCTTCTTGGCTGCCTTGTCCTTTTATTTCTTTGTTTCTTTTTCTTTCTTAACTTTGAACCGCTTAAGTCTACGGGCTTTTGGTTATCGGAAAAAGCTTCACAAAAAAAATATACCTTTCAAGTCCATGGTGAACTTAGGCCGTCGTTCGACTTCGACATTCATTGCTCATTTATCTTTGCATGGCTATCGACCCAAAGTTCAACCACGCTCATCCGCAACGAGACACTTTAAACCGTCCCTCATTTCAACCGACTACTTAGAACATGCCTCTATCGATAAAATGGACGCCGAAGCAGGCCGCATTCTCATCCGCCTAGCTCACGATCAGCCCTTCTATGATAATATTGACAACACACCATTAACACTTAAAGTATATATTAGCTTCTGTCAAACGATGACCCTTATCACTCATCTATTTTTTTTTTCTTTCATTTGATTACAAAGTTGGCCGATGACGATAATATCAGCAGCAGTAGCTCGGAAGGAAGCACTGTTAGCAACAACAACAGTCATTCCATGTCTATCAGCAGCTTACTGGACGGTAAGGCAGGGTTCTATTCCAAATTGAGGCGAAATGGGGGAATAGGAAAAAGATTGACTATCCTGAGGAAGAGACTGAACTTTGTTATCATCTTGTATAGCACATTCTCCTTCAACCCCTGCATTGGTATCTGTGAGTTGACGTCCGAAGCTTCTTTAAAAAAAAACGATGATTTGACCCAGAATCGCTCATGATACCAAACACTGGATGTAGCCGCCAAACAGTGCGTTAACAGGCATTCCTAAACGGTCGAGATCTTCTGAATATTCCAATCCTGTGACCACAGAAAAAAGTGGGTTGATCCGAAAATGTTTTTTTTATTATTTTCACTTTTTGGTGCATGCCACTCGGTTTTTCTAATTTTTCTCTTTCTCTCTCAATGAAACTGAAATTTTAGCTGTAGAGGGTCGACATTCTGCAGATCCTATCATGATGTTGGCGGCTGCGGCGGATCTGGTCACAAATGAAGACAAAGAACGAGAATCAAGAACCTCCTATGGTATGAAACATCGTCATTGTTTAGTGTTTTGTGTGACGAGAACTAAAAAAAAAAAAAAACTGGGTGTTTTCTTGCGCTCCCGAAGATGAGTCGTCTGCCACACCAGGGCATTTTTCATCCAAACGAAAATGGCAATCGCCTTTTGAACCGCATGGCCAATCAACGACAGTATCGGAGGGCTATCCTGATGATAGCTATCCCAGAAAACGATATCAAACCGATTCCCTTCTTTCGGGGAAAGACTCATATACCGAAGCTTATCAAGAGGTAAATGCCCCATTCACTTTACCTTACTTTTTTTTCCGTCGCATGCATATTTTTTTTATATGGAGTCTAACCATTTTCATATTTTCCAGAATGACACATTCTCGAAACAATACTTATCAATGGTAAGCATTGGTAGCCCTGACCAGGTTGAACCATCCTGTGCGCTGACACCTCATTACTACTGCTTCAGAAACAAAATCCGAAAATCAAACGCAATGCCATGCACGCTTATATTACTTATATGATTTACACCGATCTGGCTTATAAACACTCTGTAAGCAACGAAAAAGCAAAACACTGCAGCCTCACGCATATTATACTCATTCATGCATCCATTTTCGTTAGCGCTCACATAGTCCGTTGCAATTGACCCCATCTTATGCAACACGTGATTCAGCACCTTCCGCCGCCAATCAGAACACTGTTTATAACCATTTGCCGGGAGTCTATAACCGAGGTAGATATCCAACAAACAGCCAGGGAAAAAAGGTGCCTCATCTAACCCATGCTGCCGCTTTGTCAATAGATATGATCGCTTCTGAATACCAGTCCTCGATTTCTCCTAATCATCCTACATCCTCCATACCACCGGAAAGACCATGGTATTCATCCACCTCGCTTCCCACTGCACCAGCCGATCCTTCAGCTAGCTCCATCATGGCTCGACCACTGACTGCCTTCTTATGGAATGATGCTTCTTCCATGAATCATACCAAACGACGTGAAACGACCACCATGTTACCCCCTCTTGCTTTGGCCCCCTTGCACTGATCGTATCCTATATCCCGTCACCGTTACAGCGAGCCCAAAAGCAGAAAAATGACAAAAATCAAACTATTGTTTAAAAAACAGATTCTCTGAAATACCTTTCATGTACAGTGCCCTGGCAAAATCCCGTGAACAAAATAGGGCAATCGACCTTTTAAAAGATTTGCAATTTCCCTACCTCTTATATTCTTGTTTTTCCTGATTAATGTTAAACCATATGACAAAGTTCACTTGCGGTGAAAAAAGGTCTATACTCAAGGAATGCCAAACAAAAAGAAGGAATGGCTGCGGCACAGATTGGATTGGAACTCGGACGTTCCCCTTTAAGGGGTCTACACCATTTACGTATCGAGAAACAATGAAAACGATGTAAAACCTCGAAAATTGGTTGAACATCTTATGAAAATAACAAGACATATTAGGTCGTTGACGATGATGCGAAAAGACGGAATGGCGAGTGACTCGAGAGAGATCACGAAGGGCCAACCGACGAATGCGACCAAATATCGACAGTTCGACAACCCATTACATAATGCTGGACGGCATAGCAGAGTGGCAAAATCGTCCAGGGACTTGGGAAAGTCACAGAAGTGCATACACATTACAATATACGATGGGTCAATGAAAAGAGGAAATTAATCGACCATGTCCTACCTCGCACCTATTTCAGACAATAAAGACGACGTCTTATCTACAGTATCAGGAATAGTTTTCGGCAGTATTGCCTCATTTTCATGTCTATAAAATACAATGCACCTTCCATTTGATTTTTCTCCATTGCACGTCTATTTTCATATTTTTACAGATCCATTCATTGCCATACATATTTTTCATTGCATAACTCTCAGCTTTGCTCGAATCAAGTGTACTATAATCAAGTTGATTGCAACTGTCATCAGCCTAAACACATCCACAATACAGTATAACTGTATGCCAAAAGAAAATGTCTTTTCTTTTTCTTGTGGTCAAAGTCGGATACATATATTTTGGAAAAAGTGATATGAGATCCTCAGCTGCCTTGCTCCTTGAATATTATGCTGAATCATCCACGTATGATAAGATTTTGCGATCTATAGTTAAAAATTTGTAGAGCCCATGCTGTGATGTTGTGGAGTGTCGTCCCTTTGCAGTGCAGTGACAACAGCTTTCATTGGTTAGTGAAAACAAAGGAAAAGAAGCTCTATTTGTCTAATTAATCCTTATTTTTACGTCTCTTTTTTCATTGGGTTTCTCTCGTCACTAAACTACTATCGACTTGATTATGTGGTTTATTTTTTTCAACGTAACTGTAATGACAGTTAAACGATCTAAAAACACAGCCTTTTTCAGACACTCGTTCTTGAGTTTCGACGAGCTGCTCTTTAGGTATAACAAGTGTTTTCAACAAGGAAAAGGAGACTTCTCTGGAGCCTTTCCATTGTTTTGATTTCTTAGCATAGAATACTGAATTGTTCACAAATGCACAAACAAATTCATCACTGCTAGTGTCTGTATTAAAATTGGCATCGAGACACCACCCCAAAACTAAACGCACTTTCACTCCTCGATTTTGCTTTGATGCATGAATAGCGTTTCAATGAGTTTTCTTCGCACCTACGCAACATATATCCGAATAATTTCCTCAACCCTCACACGCTATTCATACAATCATTCACTCATGCATTGTTCTCTCATTCTTCTATGAGTGAATTGGACCCCTTGAGATCATTTTTAATATTGTTGCAGAAAAAAATACGAATGGTAAGAGAGTAAAAGGGAGTATTTACTCTTCGTCTTCGGCGAGAGTCATGGCGATACGATCCAAATCACGCTGACCATCCTGGGTAATTCTGCGACCACTGTAAAAAAAGAAGAAAAAAAAGAGCGAGTCAATATTCAGATCATTGTCCATTATCACTGTAGGATCCAAAACGTACCCCTTCTTGTCCTTTTCCAAGACACCAATCTTTTCCAAAGACTGGAGAACCTTGCGGTTGACGGAGCCGGAAGCATCAACGTGATGGGAGGGACGGGAACCGTGGTTGACACGGCCACCGTGAACCTTGTTCAAAGCACCAACACCGACGCTCTTGCGGATGTAGATGTGGCGAGCAACGGAAGCTAACGTTCACACATTCATAAGCCACTGATTCATGTATCTATGGATCATATTCGTCGAATGGTTAAAACTTACCGGCACGGACAAAGTACCAGTCGGGGTCATAGGGAGCCAATTCCTTGAAGGTACCGGTCTTGACAAGATCAGCCCACTTGGGGACATCAAGCTTACCGGTACGCTTCAAATAAGCAGCATAGGCCTTGATAAAGGCTATAGAGGGAAACCGCAAATAAAAGAAAAATGGTGAGTATAAATTCGGATATGCCAAGCCACCCAAAAACCCAGTTAACTTCACTCCCCATTTTTCCTTTCCCATGCCACTGAATCCAGCAAACGCATGACCATTCGATCAAAGGAATTCAGACGAGAATAACCGTCGAAAACTAAGGTCAATTGACGATGTTCGATGCACAAGCCAACGTCATGCAAATGTGAAATGGACCGAACACGGGCCTTCCATTTGTCCAACAATCGTGGCTGTAAAAACTCGTTCCCCCATTGCTAGCTTTGCACTCCCCGATCTACGTAGAATAAGGAAGGGAAAAAAACCATACCATGAGCATTGACGTCCTTGACAGTGATACCAGCCATCGTCGAATTCAAGAAACAAAATAAGAGAGGGAGCCACTCGATTGACACGCTTTGTCCATAATAATAGAAAAAAAATTTTGCCCGAAAAAAAAAATTGGAGTCGACGTCACAGTCCGAGCAATGTTCGACTCGGGATTACATGCACCAACGTCGCCAAAAAATCTTGGGCGGACCTTGCTCTGTCTCCACTGACTGATGCACTCATCGGCACGGTGACCAAATCGCCAAAATGCACAGTCGTAATGATAAAGACCCCTTTTTTAATGATGTTTCTGGTATCCACCAAGTAAAGTTGCGAACAAGACAAAAAAAAAAAAAACATTTCATGATCTCGAGGCTCTCGACCGTTTCAAAGAGGTCCAAAGACACCAAGAAAGCAAAAATTGGTTTATTTTGTGATCCAATTTTCTATTCAGGCTTTTGTATCTCCCAAATGCGGACAGCGGCATCTTGACCCACACTGGCGATTGTGAGTTGCTCTGTTTTGTGTAAGAATCTCACACTATTCACAACATCCACATGGGCATTCTTGATAGCGACCTTCTTGAAGGGCTTGTCTTTGTTCCACACATAGATATTGGTATCGACGCTACTGCTAACCAGGAAACAGCCACATGTTGACCAGTCAAGAGCAGTGATACGACCAGAATGGAATACCCACTTTTGATTGACGGTTTCGCCGCTCTCGACGTCGTACAAGTAGATACGACCACCATTGTCACCGACTGCGAGAATATTCAGTTCCGGATGGCTCGCCAGCACAGTAACATTGCCCGCACCATGCACAATTTCCTTGTTCAACGTAAGCTTGCCGTTGTCATTGTCCAATACGCGAATGTTGTTTTGCTATCATTTTTCGTCATCAGCCTCGAACATGAGAAACACACTCTGTCATGCAACTGTTCTGCTTACCCCATCACTTGTAAATACACGTTTGCCATTGGACTGAACATCAACAACAGAGCTGGCGGTATCTTCTTGACCAATCTTCTTCATGTCAGCGTCATACACTTGCATATTGTCACCGGTGGCTACCACTGTGATCGAATTGTCAGCGCTGGTGGCCAACGAACGAGGCAGGCTTCCGGTGGTAACAATCTTGCCACTGGACAAAAAAAAAAAAAAAAAAAAAAAGAAAGAAACACTCAATAACCCATTTACCATAGCATTCTGATCACTTTGGATGAAAACATACTTGTACTTTTTATCGGTTGTGGCACCTTGACGCACAGTATCGTCCATGCCTGCAGAAATCAAGGTATTGTTTTTGATTGCGATCGAAGTGACTTGATTTGAATGGCCGTCTCCTTCCATATGCACAGCCATCGTTTTGTCCCCGGCACTGCCGTAATTCCAAGCATATACACGTCCATCGTAGGAACCGGTAAACAGTGTGTCATCGGATGACACGGCAAGAGCAGTAATGGCTTTCGTATGTCCGTCGATCGATCGCGAGATCGTGCCGCTGTTCTTGTCCAAATAGTTGATCTCGCCTGAAAGCGATACACTTAACAAGTGATCGCCCTGCCACAAGTTGCCGACTTGCTGATTGTCCACGGCATTGGGTGCGGAGTTCATGGTAAAAGTCCTGTTCCCCGAAGCATGATTCAATATTTTTTTTCCCGGATTCCAAAAATTACACATTTTTTGATCCACTTACTGGACAACCGATTTCGAAGACACGTCCCAGATTTTTGCCGTGCAATCAGCAGCAGATGTCAAAAATTGCGTACTGTCAGGAGACCATGCGACCGAAAAGATACTGCCAGTGTGTCCTCCTTCGGTGAATTCGTCAATTTTATCGCCGGTTTTACCGTCGTACAAAAAGATCTGCAAATGGTTCGTCGATCAAGTAAGAAGGGACGCACATCCTTGATACTACCATGTATGCATCGACAACGATGACGTTACCTTTCCATCTGCACCAACGCTGACAAAGTAATCGCCGTTGGGTGAAAATTCCACGGCATTCACGAAACGAGTATGATCTCTGATCGTCTTTTGATATTTGAAAGGCACGCCATGGTAAAAGACAACGGACATGTCGTCGGCGCATGTCACGGCACGGAAAGGACGTTGTTGGCGAATACTGACATGATTCACCACTTTGGAATGACCGGTAATTTCGCCCGTAGAAGATAAAGAATCAAACATGAAAGCGTGTCCGAAACTAAGTAAAAAGTATGAACGTGATTATTACACGTTGTTGTGATTGTTTCATTTCTGAGCAAGTTGGAAGAAAAGAGCAGGTATTACCGTTCCTTGCCTTCACCAACGGCAATGATGCGCTTGCTTTCGGAATCCCAAGCAAGGTCCGAGATTCTGCCCGAGATGGGCTGAATGGTGCTTTTCAAGATGTGTTCCTCATTGACAGTATCCCAGATACGGATGTTGCCGTTGATATCTATCCAGTTCACCAACGTTCATGAGGCTACTGCTCCAGTGGTACTGCAAAAAGCATTTTCATACCTCCAGAGGCGATGTAAAATCCACTGGGAGAGTACCGCGCTACGGTCACTCGTGCAGTATGCTCGGCATATTCCGTGGCAAGGGCAGGATTCTAGCAACGTTTGTCAATTTATATATATATTGTCTTCTCCATTTCCGCAATGACCACCAAGGGGCCTACCTCAATGTCACGGATGAAGACAGACTTTCCGTTGGTATACAGGAACGTCTTGCCCTTTGGGTCAGCACTCAACTTGACAGCTTCACCGCGGTTAGTTTGAGGAAGAGGAGCAAAAGTATATTCTACAAAATGAAGATAAAAGGTCAACGACTATTCTACTAGCTTTTTCTTCGTTGTATATCTACTTTTGGTGTATGACATGGTGAACAACCGGCAAAAAAGTCTCAAGATAAAAGACAGCGATGCGGAAACATCAACCCGACTGGGAAAAATGAGGTCATTTTGGTTTTCGGGCATTGAATTACTTTCTGGCCGCTGTTCACCCAGATCATTGCACTACAAAAAAAAAAAGAAAAAAAAGCTGCAGGAATCTATGCATCTGCCCATTTGTAGTTTGCAGAATTATTGTCACTAGCTATTAAAAAAAGTAGTAGACATATATTAGTAATAAGTATCTGAGGTACTTATACATTTCAGAGGGAAAAAGGGAAACAATTTCTGGTGGAATTTGACCCATAACTCAGCTGAACTGATTTTTTTACTTACTTATAAGTTCAAGGAAATCTGGGGCCGGGCGTCAAGTCTTCGGACCTCTGACACATATTAAAATTGGAACGATACAGAGAAGATTAGCATGGCCCCTGCACAAGGATGACACTAAACTTCTGAGTTGGATTGGTTCTACGGAACCGCATTTTTTTTGTTGGTTGTCACAATAAACGTTTTTTATCCTTTTGTCATAAATTTGTTGTAACGCAAAGCATCTATGGCAGCATAATATGATTGCCTTTCTATTTTCGATAATCAGGCATCGTGGTAGAACATCATGGTTACCACTTGCATGGTGATTTCTATCAAAAAATGACTTCTTATAGTTTGGAATAGGTGCATAGTTCGTCGACGACACTCTCTTTACAGAAAGTCATGGGAGGTAGTAAACTATACGAGCTGTCCAAAGCCTGACTAAATAAATAAGAACCCAAGGCACGGGCCATGATTTGAACCAAGGAAACCGCTTCTTCTCGCGACATTGGGGTTTTGCTTTTCTTGAAAACATATTGCTGGCCCTTTTTTTGAAATTTTATACATCTGCAATTCTTTGGCAACAAAAAAAGAAGATAAGACCTTGATATTTTCGACGGCCACTTTAATTTCAAACAAGCTCAAGAACGACCTTCTGAACCCTGAAGATTATCAATGTATCGTTTGGTAATCACGATATTTCAGCAGAAAAACTGTGAGAAATTAGCCAACTGCTTCTACTTCCAGCGCGCATTACTGTGATCGGCCACTGCATTTTTCTTTTGCCAATTTTGATCATATCAACTTTCATATTATTTTGGGTTAATGATAAGTAAATTTGTGCAGAGATTTAATATTACTGTAGCATTCAATCCGCTCAGTTGTGTCTGATAGAGCAGTGAATAATGGCTGCTGTGGTATAAACAGTATTCACCGTTCTTACATACAAATATTCTCTGCAAAGTAATTGAAGAATCAGCCTCCACATCGATGATTTGAACTTTGTAATTAAAACTCAGTTCGCGTTTGAAATTTGCTCAAAGCCGAAAACGCGTGGGACCGCGTATCACTGATGCCATGTATCTGGAAGAACTGATCATTGAGGGTTTTAAATCCTACGTGTCGCGAACCCACATTACAGGCTGGGATCCGGAATTCAACGCCATTACGGGTCTCAATGGTTCGGGAAAATCCAACATTCTGGACGCTATTTGCTTTGTTCTTGGCATTACCAATCTCTCGCAGGTACCCCACGCCTTTGATCCTAGCGTTAATTCCTAATCATACTGAAACCGACTGTGTTTGATTTATAGGTACGAGCCAACAATTTGCAAGATCTTATCTATAAGCGAGGACAAGCAGGCGTTACGAAAGCATCCGTCACCATTGTTTTCAATAATGAAGACAGAGATAAAAGCCCTTTAGGCTTCGAAGCCTACAGGCAACTCACCGTAACACGACAGGTACAGCACAGATTCAAATGGAATTCGTTGTTTCTTCACATTTAGAATAACTGATATCGCAAAATCAGGTGCTCATGGGGGGTAGAACAAAGTATATCGTCAATGGTCATAATGCACAACAGCAGACAGTGCAGAATCTCTTTCAATCGGTTCAACTCAACATCAATAATCCACATTTCCTGATCATGCAAGGTCGCATTACCAAAGTACTGAGCATGAAGCCCATGGAGATATTGAGCATGGTGGAAGAAGCAGCAGGCACCAAGATGTTTGAAGATCGAAAACATAAAGCGTTTGCCACAATGGCGAAGAAAGAACGCAAAGTGGAGGAGATCAATAACGTAGGGCCCTATTTTCCTGTGAACCGACCGCCAGACATTTATGTAACACTATTCTTTAATAGATTTTGCAAGAAGAAATTATACCACGCTTGGATCAGTTGCGCACCGAAAAGCGAATCTATTTGGATTATCAGAAAACGGAATCGGACATGGAACGCTTGGACAGACTCATGATTGCATACGAATATCATCGGCATCAAGTGAGTCCTATGATTAGTTTTCGAGAAAAAAGAAATGGATCCCTGACAAAATACAAAGGAAAAATTGGATCGTTTTGAAATGGAAAATCATGTGCGGGAAGCGAAACTGCGCGAGATTACACAAGCTATCAATGTCCTCAAGGCTGAAGTGGCTTCCATTCAGGAAGATAAGAAGGCAGCGGCTGAAAAGAGAAAACAGGTAAAGCAACAAAGAGTTTGATGCCCATAGATTAGATTGCAGGTCTAACAAGGATCCATTAGGAATCTTCCAACACAAAATTAAGGGAGCTTGAGCGAACTGTGAAAGAATGTTCGACGCAACTAGTGAGATTGAACACCAAGCAGAACCTGCAACAGGCGTCAACGGCAGATGAACAGAAAAATTTGTCCATGCTCGCATCTTCCAGAGGAGAGGTGAGTGCCTGACAAAGGAATGAAAAGAACGTGAATCTGATATCATATGATGACAGATGGAACAAGCGTATCACGAAAAGAAGGCCAATTACGATAAGATTAATGCCGAATACGAAAAATTCAAGAAAACCTATGACGAGAAATTGCTCGAAATGCAGAAAACGTCAGAACTCATCCAGACATTAACCACCGGTATTTCCACAGAAGAAGGTCATGAAAATGGATACATGGAACAGTTGCAAGGTAGACGATGCTTTTTTTTTTTACCTTACACTTGAGTATGCTTTGATTGGTAACCGAGTTTTTCGTAGTCTCTAAAAACCAAGCCAACGAAGCATCGACAGCAGAAGAGCAGGCTAAGCTCAAGATTGTGCATCTGCGTCAAGAATTGAAGGCAAAAGAGCCCCAAGCTGCCAAAGCAGCTCAGCAGAATCAAGGCTTGGCGCAGGAGCTAGAGACGAAGAAGAAGGAAGTAACGGAATTAGAGGTAAATTTGGTGTATCCGAAACTAGGCAAGGATAACAGGAGGATGAGGGTAGCTAATTGTACACAATAGCGACAGTTGGGATTACTTCACTGGAACGCAGATCGAGAAAACGAATTGCATTGTCGAAAGGCCAAAATCCAGGACGCTATCGATGATCTCACTGAGGTAGGAATGACTGTAGCGAATTTTGTCGATGAAACAAATCAAAGCTAATCAAATAATTAGAGAGAAGGATCGTTATCAAGAAAATTATCGAACTTGGATTTTGTTTACAGCAAGCCATCACCGCAATTTGATCGATCCAAAGTGAAAGGACTGGTGGCCGAACTGATCAGTCTTGATAAGGACAACTACAATGCATCTACCGCACTGGAAATTTGCGCAGGCGGTCGATTGTACAATGTGGTGGTGGAAGATGAAGTAACAGGTGCACAGCTTTTAGACAAAGGGCACCTCCGACGTCGATGGACCTTGATCCCTCTGAACAAGATCCAGAAGTTTAGAGCATCAGCAGAGGTAAAAATAGTCTGCAAAGAGATTATCAATTATAATGGCGGGCTAAAACGTTGGTATTTTCCAATAGAAAGTAGCCACAGCCCAAAGGATTGGCCCGGGACAAGTGGATCTTGCTCTTTCACTCATCGGATACGAAGATGAAGTGGAAAATGCAATGGAATGGATCTTTGGTAATACTCTTGTTTGCGAAGATGCCGAAACAGCGAAGCGGGTGACTTTTGACCGGGCAGTTCGCATGAAATCCGTAACGTTGGATGGCGATATCTATGATCCGTTTGGCACGCTGACAGGTGGTTCGAAACCATCCTCTGCAGGTGTCCTGATCAAAATTCAAGAATTGAACGAGATTCGAAGAGATCTTCAGGATAAGCGACAGCAATTGCAATCCGTGTTGAAGGAGATTGATGCTGCTCAGAAGCTGATCGCTCAATACAATCAGTGCAAACGACAGCTGGATCTGCAATCACATGAAGTTCAGCTTTTGGAAAACCGTATCAGCAAGAGTACACATGCCCAGGTAAAAAAAGATTTTGCAACTAAAAAGGCTGTGAAGGCTGCCCTTCTATTAATTCTCACAAACATATATTATTGGCTATATCATGTAGTTGGCTCAGCGGGTAGATCAACTGAAAGAACAAATCGCAGAACAAAGTACGATTGCTCAGAATGCGCGGGAAGCTTACCAAAAAGCGATGCGAGAAAGCAAACGTATCGAGCAAGAAATGCGTGAATATAATGATAACAAAGACATGAAGCTAAAAGAAATGACGGTAAGATATAGTGCCAAGGTGTTATTATGAGCGCTTTATCATTTATACCTATGCTTTCTTGGGCAGAAAAACGTCGATCATATCAAAACGCAGCTGGGTAAAGACGAACAGAAACTGAAGCATATGCAGCGCGCAGTACAGACCTTGGAACTGGAACTTGGTACGTACAGAACAAACTTTGATGATGCTTGTAAACTAACGTTTGGAGACCTCGTTTCCCAGAACAATTGCAAGGGGACATTAAATCATGTGAACAGGATATGAAACGAGTTCGCCAAACCATTGATGAATATAAGCAAGCAGAAAGAGCGATGGTAGAGGAAATACGACAACTTCAGGTAACAGATCACATTAATGGGACATGTTGTACACTGAGACATTCATACTGAATAAAATGATGCTGACATCATAGACTCATCTTCAAGAAGCGCAGGCCGACCTTCAGCGAGAAGAAGATACATTGAATGCATACAATGAAGAAATGCAGGAATTGGAAGCTATCCATAAACAGAAATCGGCCGAGGTCGTCGACCAAAATTTGGAATTGCAACGTATAACTCATGATATCGAGCGGCATCAAAAGGAACAGCAGGGCGCGCGTCAGATGGTCATTGATCTTGAAACACGACATGAATGGATTGCCGATCAGAAACAGTAAATAATGACAACATGAACATGCTGAAGCTATATGAACTAATTGCATAATGGTAGATTTTTCGGTCAACGGAACACACCTTATGATTATCACGGTATCAACATCAGTGATACTCGAAAAACGTTGCAGCAGTTGAGTCAGAAGCATGATTCTATGCGAAAGAAGATCAATGTTCGGGTTATGAATATGATTGATAAGTAAGTTTGCAACAAAAAGAGCCACGGGATCACTGGCCGATATCATGGGGCACTTACACTGCTGTTAGTGTGGAGAAGAAAGAAGCTTCCTTGAAAGGGATGCTGGCAACCGTACAAGGCGACAAACAAAAGATCGAAGACACCATCAAATCCTTGGAAAATTATAAAATGGAAGCGCTGGAAAGAACATGGACTAAAGTCAACAAGTAAGCAAATGAAACTAAAAAATATACGGGATATAAGTGCACTAATAAAACCATCGCAGGGACTTTGCCGAAATCTTTGGTGACCTGCTGGCCGGAAATACGTGTAAACTTCAAGCGCCTGAAGGCAAAACCATTTCGGAAGGGTTAGAAGTCAAGGTTTGCCTTGGCGGCGTATGGAAGCAAAGTTTAACAGAGCTCAGTGGAGGTCAAAGGTAAAACTTAAAATCTGCTACATTGAGGAATGTTAGACAAACATGCGATGAAATGGATAATGCATTACTGACTTTTTATTTTTTCATTAGGTCTTTGATTGCGCTGTCATTGATTTTATCGTTATTGCAGTTCAAGCCAGCCCCCATGTATATTTTGGATGAAGTAGATGCTGCTCTCGATCTTTCGCATACTCAAAATATCGGGCAGCTACTACGCAACCGATTCAAGGGATCACAGTTCTTGGTTGTATCTCTCAAGGATGGCATGTTCAACAACGCCAATGTACTGTTCAGAACTCGTTTCCGGGATGGCACATCCGTCATTGAGGTAGGGAAAAAAGCAAATTATCGTACAGTATTATGGACTTTTTGCTTAACAATTTGTCACAACATCATAGCGAACAACATCTCAACCTGATAAACTTCCAGTTTCTAATGCCTCCAGTAGCCGTAAACGCGGTCGTGATAAAGAAAATCGACCTGTAGTATCCTAATTTCCTAGTCATTTACTCGCTTGTTTTCCATTTCTCAACCTCCTTCTTTGTTTCAATCATCCTATGACTTACTATGAGCCATTTATCCCCACTATAACAGCCAACCAGCAAATGCATTGGAAGTTTCCTTTTTCGTTTTCATATTACACCTTTGACACTATGGCAAGTAACAGGAATAAAAGCTTCAGTCGCTGAAATTTGAAAGTATAATACCTCAAGACTTTATTGTAAGCTACGAGCAAAGGCAGTTGATATTTCAATGGGTCCATGAGGTGATTTGCATAATGTACTTTTCACTGCATGTCCCACACTACTTGATATTTATTCCGGAGGGGTCAAGGAGAGCTCTTGCATGAACATGATTCCGCAAGAACGCTTGGGAATTTTCGAAAAATTTTGTTAACACTGCTCGCTCTTTCTGATACAATTGGTCAATGGATGTTTGTACACAAATATGATCCGTGCACTAATTGCAGCTTCGGGCTTCCTGCAAGAGTTTTTCTTCTCTAGTCGGACGACCGGACCGAAGCATCCCATACAGCTTGCGAGCTTTGAATCGTCAGTCATCTTAAACAACAGGATACTAACGATGCTGACTCCCAAGTTCTTGTTTGCAAAATTCGTTGTAGCGAGTTCTTTACCTATCTTTGGTATTTAGACAGTTTGAAATTGTGGTCGCATCGTTTTTGAATGCGATACTGTATTGGTGAGTGAGAGAAACCTGCTGTTGCCTCTTGAATTCCGTGGCATGATTGGCTTTATGACGGAAGATTACATTGATACTATTCATAGAAACAGAGAGATAGTAAAAGAAGAGTAGCGTAAAAAAGTTTTCTTGCCTTGTTCTATTTTGTGTGAAACTTAGGCAGCAAACTTATTTTATTATAACAACGAGTCAATTGGCCATATCAGCTACACATATTAAACAACGTCTGCTTATATAATTATTCACTCATAAAAAGGGTTCGCTTTCAAGACATTTCTTTTATGCATTCACATGCAAACGAAGAGATCGACGCAATCGTACGGTTAGGATAAAATTCACACGGTTAGTGTTATTTCGAAATAGACTGAAATAGACTTTTATACGTTATATGGCGAATTCATGCACCATCTGATCGATCCGGAACGTTATCGGGACAAATATAGTTTTGACAAGCAAATAACTAGATTTTAAGCAAGCTTGGAAATAGGGAAAATGTTGTTTTCTATTTCTTTTCCGCAGATATGACACTCGGAATTCATTTTAAAGAGCTCAGCTACGGTTATATTAATCAGCAAAAACGTGAACAAGAAGAAGAACGCGAAGAAACGGCACAGACGGCTATCTCCGAGTCGTTACATGTGTTATGGCAGGAAATTATGGCACGCGGTAAGCTTAGTTTAACCATAAAAAAAAAGATTTTGAAGCTGACAATAAGTTTATATTGCGGGCATATTGAAGGGTTGGATATAGAGGGAATCTTTCGACGTTCTGGGACTGCAGCAGCAATGAAGCAGCTGCAAGGCCAGTTGGAGGATATGAAAAGACGTTCAGGCGATGAAAAGAAGCACGCACAGGTCGATCTTTCAGCCGCACCAATTCATTGCGTAACAGGATTACTGAAACGGTATCTACAACAAATGAGCGAGCCCGTCATACCGACCTATTTACATGATACATTCTTGGAACTGTATGGTAAATACAAAAATTGAAAAGTTTTTTATGGATCATACATTAATCATCTCAATAGACGAACATGACTCGGTGATTGAAAAGAAGCAGAAGCTGAGAAAAGCTGTGACGTTACTACCATTGGAACATTTAAACTTGCTGCAGTTCATCCTTGAGATATGTGATTGCGTCTGTCAGCACCCAAAAAACCGTATGACGCCTCAATCCATGGCCATTATCTTTGCTCCAACGTGTACGCGACTTGATGGGTTGATGAAGATTGCTGAGTATCCAATCAGATCTCGTAATGGTTTGACGAGAAAACTATCTAATCTCCTCGCCACATTACGGCGACGACATCGCTTTGATATGCAAGAAGCAGCTCTTCCAGAGCGATTTTCACGGGATGATCCGCTTCCAGAACAGAACATCATCAAAGCTACGGTAGCATGGGTTGCCCTGTTCACTTTTATGATTGAATATGCACCAACATTCCTCAACTTACAATCAGACATCGAAGTAAGTTCTTATCTCCTCGGCCAACGGAGTTTGTTACTGATGTTTCTTTGTTTGTTTCCATAGGAACCAGAGTTGTGGTCTGTATCGACATCGCCACGCGCATCGGAGGAAAAAGAGCTAAACATATCAGCCTTTCTGGAATCAAGAATTTTCAAACATTGGAAATTGTGGGATCAATCAAGGCGATCCAATCGCCACGTTGCTTCCGTTGTTTTGCATTAAATAACTGTTAATTCGTACAATAAAAAATAAAGAGGAAAAAAGTGCCAATTTTCTTGTTTTTTCCCTGATCCCATCGGAGATGAAACTGACAAGTAATCAGAATCAGAGTCACACCCTTTTTCAGGAATGGGGGAAAAAAAAAGTACTTCCACGGAAAAACACAGACCGCTTTTCCGGTTAGACTTGAATTTTTTTTTTCTTTCTTTTTGGCCACACGATGAACCGCGGACCCGTTGTTCTGTAATTTTATCATGACACGTCTCTATCATAATATAACGAGTTACTAATGACCAACTGTTGTGCAGCACCATTGACGAAGCCGAATGGCTGCTTGACCAAATTCCTCCGCCTGACAAAGATGAAGACATGTTGGTCAAGAAGTTAAGAAGCAAATTAAGTGAATTGCTTACGGAATTGCGAAAGGGTGCTGAAGGTACGTCAACGGCAGTTTGACCATGGTTTTCTTTGTTTCTTACATTTATATTACATGAACTTTCATTTTAGGCACTGGCAAATGATCGAGACTCAAAATTCCATTCAAAAGAATAAAAAAGAAAAAAATGGAACGGTGTTTCCGTTTCCCGCTTGCATAAACCGTTTTGCAAACGATGCGTTTTGATTGGTTAATTTCAGCCAGCCGGCTCCTTGAAAGTAGGTGAAGCCCACCGGAAAAAAAAGAGTCCAGACCCTTATCGCTTCTCGATTTTTTTTTTCCCTGACTGAACAAAAAGTGAGGCTACATTCGACCGTCAGCCACTTCGTCATCCTTTTATTTCGCTTCACAAATCCACTCTTTAACACCTATTCGGTTGTCTATTTTTCTGTTGCTTCTTCTTTTGCTCTTTACTTCTCTTTTTCGTTTTAGGTCGTGAAAACGGGCTAGAAAGACAAATCACAAACCCGGTTTCGCTATCTCCTCTTTTTTTTTTCTCTGTATCAAAATCTTTTCTTTTTATATCTTTTTCTCGTTTGATATGACTCTACTACACTACCTCATTCAAAGCGATGCCATGTTCTATCGCAATTACGCTTTGCCGCTAATTGCGACGCATGCTGATCTGTTTGACCTAGACGAATTCCAATCTTATATTGCTCCCAACGATGACGCGCAAACCTGTCGGTTCAAGAACTTCAACGATGCGTTCGAGCATTTTGAACGAGATACAAGTGCACAGTATGAACTGCACCCGAAATATGGACGATATGCAAGTTGATATTTCCTTTTAGTTGCAGTCATTTAAAGGATGATTTCTTGGGAAGGTCGTCTAATGTAAAGCACAAAAAAAAAAACTTGTGAATCCGTCGATATTTTATTAGGTGTGGGATATTGGAGATCAGTGGTATCAGAAATGGAACGTCGTTTTCTCTCTAGAACACATGTGGAATTGGACTCCTCGACAAAAGCATACCTCGACAAATCATCCATCCCTTTCAACTACTACTTCTCCTTCTTCTTCAACTACCAAATCATCCAACGATAATCATGAGGAACCTACTACCCCCACGCCGCCCGAACGACCACTGACTGTAAGCAGTATTCAACCGTGGCTTGATTTTATTACACTTCGTCATCATATTCGACCCGATCATCGACAGCTATTGGATAAAATTTGCAACTACCTTGTAAGGTGGCATCAGACCAATCGACCGCTTGCCCTCGTCGGTGCCTGTAAATTGAATACAGTGCCCTTCTTTCCGCCTTCGTGGTTCGTCGATAAACAATTAAAAAATCATGGCGACAATGAGGGGCTAGCCCCTTCTTACATTGCACGCTTCGTGCCACCGTACCGCCTGACACATGCAGCCGTCCCGGAACGCTGGGACGTCGTTTTTCTTAAAGGCTTGACAGAAGATCCTGACCATCAGGTGAGTCGAGATCATCGGGTCTATTTTTACCTATTCCTGTCTTGTTTGTCCTCCCAACCAAGCAACCTAGAGTTTCTTCCGCCTTCTTTATTTTTATTTCTTATGCTATTGGGTCCGTGGGTTGTTTGAATGCGCCAGACCATGGGTCCAACTGTTTCATGTGATATCATCCTTTACTTCCTTTTCCCCGCTTAACCCTTCTTTTTTTTTTATCACTTCCTTTGTTTCCTGCACTGCCCTTATTGAGCATTGTTTTTTCAAGCCTTCACTGTGTTGTATATGAGTGACTCATGCAGCTTTTTTTTTGTGGTGGATATAGTTCGATATCGATCCGGGGTTAATCGTTTCATCGATCATGATTTACGGTTTAACGGTCCATTACGACGATAAAACGGGCTACAGTCAACTGATGATGGTAATGAAGAAGGCGACTTATGGCAACCTGGAAACCAGCCTTGAAAAAGAAATCCCCGAAGATTATGCTAAACCTCGGAGACTGGCATTGAGCATCACCAAAGGTTTGAAGGACTTGCACTGGGAATATGTACATGGCAATGTTCATCCGCGCAATATTCTTCTGAACTTTGCGGACTATGTGGGCGAGTTGGTGGATATCACATTTATGCAACGCAATCGGTCGATAAAGAAACGGCACATGTCCTGTCATGGCGGAGGTCGTTGGCCTTATGTAGCTCCCGAAGTAGCATCGACTCACACAAGACTCAGTACAGCGGCGGATGTTTATGCTTTGGGGATCATTTTATGGCAACTGATTTCACGCGTCACTTTCCCTGACAACGTATTGGTCGATCCGTATGTGTACCGTATCGAACCTATACCCGGTGTAATGAAGGAATGGGAAGATCTGTATACGGACTGTCTCAACACCGATCCTTCCAAACGACCTAATGCGTACACCGTTTATCGCCGTTTGGAAAAAATGCCTTCCAATGTCAAATTCGAGCGAAGCACTTTGGATTACATTCAGCAGAGAAGACTGGAAATTCAAAAATTCTTATCGGAACAGCATCGTCAATTCGCCGACGAAAGCAATACTTCCAACCAGATGCCTCGACTGGCTCAGGTGGGCGATCATGTTCTCACCGCGTCTGTCACCCGCTTAGTGAACCAACAGCTTGAAAGTTATCCCACACTCGTTCAAAAATTCAGCTTTTAAATCGTTTCCATTCCTTCTTCTGATGTCTTTTTTGCTTCAAAAAAAAAAAGGCGACCCTTGGTGACTTTTTTAATCCTTCCCCTCTTGGACACCCACACCCTGTTATGATCGGTCCACCCTAAAAACTACTCTATTTCTATCATGTATTGCTTCGTATCGGTTTTTTTTATGGTTTGCTCTTTACTCTTTACATTCTTTTGCACAGTCAAGATTCTCTTTGTGTTCTTTCGGGCATTGCTTTACTCATACGGCAAACAGTGACTAAAAAAATAAACAAGTCAATGACTTCACGTCATCCTTTCATATCAAATCGTTGAATTTGTACAAAAAAGGGGTTTTAGTCCTTTTTACGTTACAATACATCCTGTTGTGTTGCCCTGACAGGGTGATACTTGAACCGAAAAGTTGTCTTTGCAACGCGAAAGTTTGTAGGTATCGCTTTTTCCAAAAGCGTAAATCACCATCCCCGACGGTACCACCTCCATTGGTTTATGACGTTCGCACCATCCAAATAGGGGCAAGCGCTTTCATTTCGGCACTTCATTTTCGGTCAATGGCTCTATCAAGATACACATTGGTCTAATCTGTTTCTTCGCACCTGTCACTGTACCGCCAGGGTGCAACAAAACGTTCATTGACAACCGTTAATGTCGGAGGAACAGACTGAAAAGGGAAACGCTAAATCATTCGATAACGTAATTTGCCATCGACTTGGGAGTCGTTGCTCACGAACTATACCAGAGGGGTTCTTGAAGCCAGAAAGATATAAAAGGGCACCAAGTTAAATGGTCATTGCAACTATCATAATCTATTCACCTACATATTTTTTTGCCAACATGTCTGCTCACGAACAAGCTTACAACGAAATCACTTCTGTCGATGTTCCCGAAGAAGAACACAAGGCTGCCTGGACTCATGAACTCTTGGCGGGAGCCGCTGCTTTTGAAGCCATGCATCTGTATAACAAGAAGAAGGCCGAAGCTGGCGATGAAGATAATCATCAACTCGCAAAGGAACTTCTCGCCGGATTGGCCGCCGCCTCCGTGGACGGTTTTGCTGAATCGAAAGGCTTGGACTGGATCGACCGGCAGAAAGCCAAGCACCGTGCCAAAGAAGAAGCCGAAAAACTATACAGCGAACAAACCGGTTATTCTTTTTAAACGTAGTATTTCCCGTGTTGAAGATTGTTTCAACCAACCGATATCCACTGTTTCTTATTCCCCCAATATCAACCCAATAAAATGTTGATTGGTTTATTTGACTTTCTGGCCCCCATTGGCAGGACGAAGATGATTATGTTCTGAGAAAAGAACGAGACTTCAATTGAATCTTGTTATGCTGGACTTTAGATATACCTAAGCATCAACAGCGTCATATGCAGAGTAGTGTTACGGAAACGCAAGTTTTTTTTATTTTTTTATTTTTTTATTTTACGGTCTAAGATAGATCAAAACCGGCTTCGGCTGTAATTGCATAAACCAACTTCCTATAAATTTCAAGCTCAGTGCTGTTGGACTCACAGACAGGCAATAACAAAAAACTGATGGCACTTACTGTCTTAGGATGCTGTAGGAGCTAAATGGGGGTAATTTAAGCAGATTCACACACGTTGAGCTGGTGGGTAACCGGTTATCATCCGCTTCACCGCGGCGAATACAGAACTGAGGTGTGAGTTCCTTAAAACCCAGGAGTGGAGGCCGAGAACACGAAGTAACAAATTTGACAAATTTCATCCGCTCTTCATTATTGAAGCTGCACAATGCCCTCCAGAAATCTTGTACCACTCGATCCTTGTCTGTATAACCTGCATATACCGTATGTAGGCGAAGGTCTTCCAAGTCAATGGGAACATAGGCACCTCCTAGTAACACTTGCAATTCTTGCTGTAGGTTTCAGTTAGCGTATAATCGCAAAATCGTTCACGAAATTCATGTTACCTGATTAAACATTCGCAACCATTTGATATCAATGATCGTACTAAGGCCTCTATGGAAAGCTTTCGATTGCTTGGCAATCTGCACGTTCAATCGATAATCCGCCACGAGATATACGTATCGGATCCGATTGGTATTGGTGACTGGAATATGGGTTCCGCCGGGAATTAGTTCGACCGTTTCTGATTGCCCGAGTTCTGCCAAGCATCATATAGAATTGAGTCATGGTTCGATGTAAAACGGTTTTTCTATAATTGACACGATCTCAGTCTTACCATCTCTGGTTAATGTGAAATCGAGACACAAGTCTTCGACATCGCCTTGGAAATTCTTCACCTGGATAAGACCATTATAGAGCTCGGGATCCAGCGACGGCAAATCATCCACTATGATATATAATGTGAGAAACAATCAATAGGTTGAGAAAACACCTCATTGTGTCAAATTAGCTTTACAGTAGTTGACTCGTCCGAGGCATCTTTTCAAAAAGAAGTCCGCAAATGCCACGTCCAGAAGCACTCCTTCGTACAACGCCTTGCCGATAATCAGACCCAGAAATTCATAGTAAGCTAATTGATCGGCTGTGGGGAAAAAGTGGTGAGTATTGCATTCCATTTTACTTTCTTCAAGTGGATCTATTACGTTCTGTTGCATATCGACTTGAATTTGGGTAGAGCATCTGATCAGGCGTTGCCAAAAAGAGACCATAGTTTGTGTCAAATGCTTCATGACCGAGACTAAAAATAGAATAGAAAATGGTACAGGGGCGATGAGTAAATCTTTTAGCATTCCATTTTTCTCATTTTTTGATGAGTTATTACCTTGTCAGGAACTCTTTAAACACGCCGCCACCATCAATGCCGGCTTCTTGCAAACCGAATTCGTCCACAAATGTAATTGCAATTTTACGCTTCAGTTCCGAACCTGAAATTTTGATTCGAGGCACAAAAAAATTAGGAACATTATTCCGCAACCAACATCCGTCATGTCTTTTCGTTTACCTAATCCATACAAGCTCGCAAAACCATCTTCAAATACATGATGACGGCGAATTTCTCTGTCGAGGCTTATACGACGAAGATCATCGATACCATTGCGTCTTCGATCATTTTCCACAAACATCCGGAATATCTTGACTCTATCCTCAAACGGAATCACAAAAGGTATATTATTCAGCAGACCCAACCGCGGGCTAATCATCGCCAACTGCGACTTGGAAGGTTGCCGAACATTTGCTGTGCCGTCATTGGTGCTTTCCAGTGAAAATTCCTCTGCTACGGCCTCCGTTGAGAAACTGTCCGTGTCCAAACCAGGAATCAACCAATGGCCCAAGGGGCAGAATACGCGTCGTGAACTGTTGAATCACATGCTATGAATATTCCTTATACTCATCCCTCGTTCGTTACCATCCAGAAAAAACTTACTCCCGCATATGAATCTGTTGTAATAATGTGGTCACGGCTGTCCTCAATTGTCCCAGATGGATCCCCGTGGTTGATAAAGGATGATCCATATCAAGTGCACCAGCACGCCAGAAGAGAACAAAAGCAATATTCTACAGAATTGATTCGATCAGTATTTCCTTGGCAGCATGGACTCCACGGATTTCCTATGCATACCTTTAGTTGGGTGCTCAATTCCACCATTTGGCTCAAAGATAACTGATTGGTTGAGCCGCTTTTGTCAAAAAATTCATCATCGCCAATGGTTAGCAGATGACGAGCGAGAATTTCACACAGTAAGAAAAGCAGGGACCAATGACTTGCAGTCACCTCATCTATTTCCATGTCGCATTAAAAAAATGGGCATTCAACTATGAATTGCTTGCATAAAGCACGTACCTGTCAATTTTTGGGCCGCTTCGTTCAGTTTGGACATGATGGGTTCATCATTGTTAAACATGGAAGAGGTTCCACTGTTCTGCCATGCTTGCCACACAATGGAGGCGAATGATTCTGATAACTGCGGATCAGCGGTTCGCCAACGATGATACAGTAAGCTGTTCAGAATCATGTCCTTCTTGGATGGCCAACGGGTCATGATCGTCTGAAATAGGTTGGCAAATGGACCCACTAGTTCGGCAACATGGTCGTGCGACGATTGTTGGGCTAATTGGTGCCTTAGCCACGTCATTAACGTACCCATACTTTCTTTATCATACAGTGAGAATAATCGACTGGTGATGCCGTCATCCACTTTGATGCTTTCTATCATGGCCACGTCTTCTTCATCGGAATCATCGTCGGAATCACTGTACACTGCATAGCCCGCCCATCAGTTTTTCTTTTTCAAGATACTCCATCCGATATCTTTTTCCCCACTTACTCATTCGCATTTTGTCTGCGGATTGGTGCTCCGGATCCACGAAATAAATCGAAGGTAGAGCGGCCAAGAGCAATTGGACAGCATCTGTATAAATTGACTGACGTGCAAGGGATGAGTGGACGGTGCGCACACCGGATGTCTTCCCTATGTGAACTCACTGGAGAGAAATCGGATTGAATGGGAATCATTTGATTCAAATTGACAAGGAGGAGAGCAATAGAATCAGGATTCATATAATCTTTCCATTCCTCGTTGTTGTATGATACGACGACGGTGTTGAAGATGGTGTCCAAGGTAACATGCCGCAAAATTTGTGTGATATCATCTTTTGGCATACGATCCATCAGAAAAGGAACAGTGAGGATGTGGATGACTAACTTTTCTGCGAGCAACTGTTGTGAGATTTCCGTATGCTTGGATGGTGGTGTGCGGGTGGATTTTGACGGTGTATAGCTAAATAAACCCATCGCCGACGGAGTCGGAAGTGGATATCGAGAAAGGATGGCCGAATGGTAAGTGAAAGGCGGTTGGGCAGACAAGAGATGTGATAAGATAGTTGTGACGGCGTGACAACGTTCTGGTGGTATATTGAATGACAGGAGAAGATGTCGCATTACGTGAAATAGACGAGTGTTGAGAGTGCAGTAGGTGATGATTGAGACAAAAACTTCGTGGCTCGAAAAAGCCGCATCCTTTGATTCGATGGAAGCATATACATCGGGATCCATAATGGTCGATAATAAATGTAAAGCAGGACAAGTATAGTCGGATTCTCTAATAGCGTTTTTTTTTTCATGTTGGTGTTTTTGTGGTGTTTTCCCAAAGATTGGGCTGTGCATACACACAACAAGCACTTACTCTGTCAAGGCCAGCGGCAAAAGTACTTTTTTGATGAGCAATTTGAAAAGCCATAGGGTTGAATCGATTTCTTCATCCTCGTCGTATTGCAAAAAGAGGTGGATAAAGACGGTATCTTGCATTTGCCATCGTTGCAATAAAGCATGAATTAATTGTAAAGCTTGCGCGCAGTCAGTGGGACACTGAACGTCAAAAAACATGAGAAGCAACCGGGTGCTTTTGATAATAATGCGAAGAAATACATCAAGTTCGGATGACCGAGTCAAGCTCGCTATTTGGGATATACTGTCGCCAAATTCGATTCGTTGACGATCGTGTAAAGCAGCAGCCACTTTCCGTCCGCGGTAGAATGACTAGCGAAGATAAATTGACATCAGCAAATCTGTACCATTTATATAGCGGTCAAAATGGAGGTAAAAATGAAGGCTAAACAGAAACGATTAGTGAACAGACCTGAATCTTGGTAGCACCTCGTAAACGTAGACGTTCGCGTTCTCTCAATTTTCGTTCGCTTTGCGCCTTGGCCATCAAGGCCTGTTTATCGGTTTGAGTTCGCACCCCGCCGAGGTTAATATTACGTCTAGGTTTATAGTTTCCTTCAAAGTTGAAATTCATGGCGTTATGCAAAAGGGATCTCTGCCTTGCTTCAGCCTTTCCCCTCTTGACCTTCGAAGTCCCGGTTCGCCATTACAATCGACAGTCACACACTTCGCTTTCCGCCATGCATTGAGCAAAGAAATAACCGGAGACTCAAAAACACCTCTAGTCGGTTGAGAGTCGATCATTTGTCTTATCCAATTGTAACACAAACATTTTTTATCGGCCTTGATGTATACTGCTAAACTCATGCTGTTCTTTTTCTCTGAATGTCCTTGTCACACTCATTGCATTTTCTTCAACTTGATAAAAAGATGAGCACTTGACGTAAAGAGCAAGACTTATCAGGTTCTGCCATCAGAATGACGGTGTCATAGGATGATGAGTTTAGTCATTATTATCCCGTGGTCAAATCGAATTAATATGCTCAGCGTGATAAAATTTGGCATATTCTATTCCCTCTATTTTATGATCATTCGATTTTTCGCTCCAAGATAAAGCTAAAATTTCGACCTCAGATTTTAAGAGAACTTGAGAAAAGCCACAATAACATACTAATAGACACTCTCATAGACGTGGCTGTTATAACGGACGTTGAACATTGCGATGGCACGGCTTTGGATTGCACCGAGTCATATGAAAGCTTAGCACGACCGATGAAGCCGAACTTTTGGGTCCTGAAAGGACAAGGCCCCCAAGGGCAAAAAAAGTCCGACATACGCTGTCACAAAAAAGAAAAATTCCCGTTTTTTTTTCTTTTTTTTTTTTTTGAAGAAACCTCATTGCTGTGCCTCAGCCGGTCCTAATCCATTTGACAGCCCTGCCATGTCCTCAATCACCCAAAGACCGTTTGTGCCCTTGGAAACTTCACAAAACACTCTTGCCGTCAATCGTGCCATGAAGAAGGATTCTCGTTCATACGTTCATTTCGTGGCTGGCGGGTAAGCTGACATTCAACCAAGTTAATAATCCGATCCATATACTGATCGACTTTTGATAAACATGAATCTAGTGTTGGTGGTTTGATTGGTGCTGTATGTACTTCTCCCTTGGATGTGGTCAAAACTCGTCTACAGGTTGGTTGTATGAAAACCTCTTCTTACAATGGCGCAGACACTGATCTAAACTCTGATAGACTACTTTTTATCAACAAGCGAAAGGACGCATGGGTGGTCTGAATCAAACTCGATTCCTGTTAGGACACTTTGTTGAAACTGCGCGTATATTAGTGTATGTATATTGGGCTGTTTAGCTAGGCAGCAATGGTTGCTAACATGCGTTACTGGAAATAGTCGTATCAGACAAGTGGAGGGTATGCGAGGATATTTCAAAGGTCTTGGACCGAATCTCGTCGGAGTTATCCCAGCACGGTACGCATTGGCAGAAAATAATTCCCAGTCGAACCTGTGGGAAGGAAAACGACGAGATCAATAACTTACGGGGGTTTTTTTTTTTTCGTTTGTGTACGTTCTAGATCCATCAATTTCTATACCTACGGCAATGGTAAAAAACTATATACCGAACTCAACCATGGAAAGGAAACCGCGGCGGTGCACCTGGTTTCTGCAGCTACAGCGGGTATTGTGACAAGCACAGCTACCAATCCCATTTGGGTAGTGAAGACGCGATTACAATTACAGGGCAACGGTGTGCGTCGTTATACTAGCAGTTTGGATTGCGTGCTGCATATTCTTAAAGAAGAAGGCGTAAAAGGATTATACAAAGGCATGAGTGCATCGTACTTGGGCGTCGCAGAAGGCACCATACAATGGGTAATTTACGAGCACCTGAAGCGAAAATGGGCTGTCAACAGCGTTGGTACTGTGTCTGGCGAAAAGAGATTTGGCGGTAAAAGTGTCCAAGGTAAATATCAAACGAAGCAAATAATATGTCTGGAGGGAGCCGTTTCTCATCTATTTTTTTTGTTTTTGTTTTTATTCTGTATCAGATTGGATGGGTAACTTGGGAGCAGCCGCAGTATCAAAGTTTGTCGCCGCTTGTGTATCATATCCTCATGAAGTTATCCGCACACGTCTTCGACAACCTGCTGAAAACGGCGTACAAAAATACACAGGATTATGGCAATGTTTACGTCTGGTCGCCAAGGAAGAAGGCGTGGTCGCTCTTTACGGTGGAATGACAGCTCATTTACTTCGTGTTGTTCCAAACGCGGCTATCATGTTCTTCTGCTATGAAGCCATTGTTCACCGATTCGGCAACGAGCAGCAACAACAACAGCACCAATAATCGTTTGAAATATTTTGTCACCTGCTCCTCCAACATACATCGCATCCCAATATTTTCTGTTCTCCCTCGACTGTAGATTCCCCTCTTCTGGCTTTCCCATGTTCGTTTCTATTCTCCCAGAGATGTATTTTTCCCCGTTCTTCCTTTTAATCGCATAAGCTTCTAGTGATGATCTCCTCACTATTCTACATCTTACATTTCTTCTCCTGTTCAAATAGTTCTCCCTTCCCGTAAAACTTATTCATTATCATTCAAATCAGCATTGCATGGATATATTCTCTCTAGTTCATTAAAACAGCTAATTTGCTCATTTCTTCTAGTGGCGCCATTGAAAGTACTTTCGATATTATCATATAAACGCGCTTACTTTATATTGCTCTTAAATACCTTGTATGCGTCACGTTGGCGTTTTCGTACAGTTGTGCATGCCCAGGTCGTCATTACATATGCGAAAGTATAAAATTTTGGAAGGAGTGGTCGGAGTTTACGACAGTGCAGCAGGTCGTTTCGTTTTTCTCACTTTCAGTTTCGATTCGTTTCACTGCTGCTTTTTACAATGCCGTCGACCATTAACTCTGGTTTGCCTTCTACGACCGATGGAAACGATATGGATCTGCAAAAATGGCTAAAGGAAATAGAAAATGCTGAAAACCTTATGGACGATGTTGAAGCGAAAACAAGCTCTTTGCAAGCCAAAGTCGATGCTCTTTTGGCCCAACTGATGAACGACAGCGAATCGTCGCAATCAAGTGACGATGTCACCAAGCAAAACGCATCCGATGCTTAATCGGACCATTTTGTTGATAGCATGTTGCATGGGGATACTGTGCGCAATGCATATTGCATTGCACTTAACTTCCCTTAAAATCTGGTAGTTGACTTTGTTTTTTTTTGTGTTTTGCCATTTTTTTTTCCTTTTTTTTGTCTGTCTCTTCATTCTATTCATTCGCTCCTTCATATCCTATCATTTTCATTCCCATGTCGTCACTACAAAAACAAATATTTCGGAAATCTAGACTTGCTCCTCTTGAAAGTGTTTTGGAAGATGATGCAGCGTCGGAAAGGCAAATAACCTCAAATGACACTTGCCAATTAAGCTGAAATCTCATTACGGAATTTGTGTAGTTCTCAGTCTTCGAGAAGATCGTTCTGTGATGAAGCAAAATATCTGCCCTCATCGTGGCATGATTGTTTTGATACTTTTGTGGACGTGAAGATGAACTCTATGGAAGATATATCCTTTCCACACAAAGTCAGAAGGCTTTTTGACTTTAGGCCTTGTAGAGTAGTGCCCATCGTTTCTATTAGCCTTAACCGCATCTTCACGTCTTTCGCGTATACCTTAGTAATATCGACCATGCTGATACTGTTTTCGCTGTGCATCACGGAGCGGGACATTCCGGCTTGTCTTTTGCGTTGCTTAGCAAACATATAAAGGAACTATCAGGTGGACGATGCGGAGTTGTGGCTCTTGATTGCCGAGGTCATGGTGAGAGGGTACATCAATGTAACGATGTTTCTGACAAATTAATCTGATACCGTCGTATATAAGGTGATACGGTTACCAAGGATGCGTTGGATATATCGTTGGATCGGCTGAGCGACGATTTCGCGAATGTCGTTGGGTATATTCTCCAGGACACACCTCGCAATATCATCCTTGTTGGTCACAGGTATATATTAAAAAAAAAGAGATGTATACAACGATGACACATGGGGTGCATATTTTTACTCTTTGTTTTCGCATGATAGTATGGGCGGTGCCGTTATCGTTGATGTTGCGCGACGAAAAAGACTAGAGAATGTCATTGGTGTGGTTGTCCTCGATGTCGTAGAGGGTTTGTGATCTGGACATTCTTTCTGATGCGAATTTGTTGCAATTATATAACTAATTTTTTATATTCTAAGGTTCAGCGCTGGACTCTCTTCCATCCATGAATCAGTTTTTAAGCACAGTACCAAAACAGTTCAACTCGGTACCGGCAGCGATCAAATGGAGGTAAAAATGAACAGAGCAATAAATCGGATAATGGGACTAAATAAGTCATCGCTCAGTGTCAAGTGCTCCACCCTGAAGAATCTTAATTCAGCGAAAATTTCCATTCCACCAATCATCAAACCAAGTCAGGAGGACGAGAGCAAATGGGTCTGGCGTGTTGATTTGGCAAAAACCGAAGCTTTTTGGCAAAGTAAGATTATCGTACCGTATGCCGAAAAATTGGTGAACTCTATCTCACGTTGATCCTGATAGACTGGTACACGGGTCTTTCCGAGAAATTCCTTTCATGTACGGGTGCCAAACTCCTTATCCTGGCAGGTAATCCTTGGTCAATGAAAGCTGTCTATTATATGTTCTTCTGAATTTTTCTTTATCTTTTTCAGGGACGGATCGTTTGGACAAAACTTTGATGATTGGCCAAATGCAAGGCAAGTTACAGAAAGACATGGTACAAACGATGGGCGGTGGGTAACCATTGATCAACTACGCATATAGGCAAATTCCAATTGAATGTATTTCCTGAGGCGGGTCATTTTCTGCATGAAGATGTGCCAGAGCATACAGCAGAAACGTTGATTAGCTTTTGGGAGAGAAATCAACGTCTCGTTTTGCCTCCTAAAGTGAGATCCTAGATCATTCCAATGTTATCGAGGGACTTTGCCTATTTCAACGCAAATGAGATTTTTTTTTGTTCCATGGAAGGAAAATAAAGCCAACCACTAGTTATTCATTATCGCATCATATCATTACTGTTATATTCAACATGGTACATTTCCGACGCAGATATATGACCTATTCCTCTAACATGGAAATTCATCTTTTTACAGGTCCAAATGCTCTTTCTATTTGTCATCCTCTCCTCAATGTGTCAGACATCTATCACAAGCCGATATCCTGTGAAATGATGAGAACAAGGCATAGAATAGATTGGGCGGAAAGTATGAATGGCATGGGACTTGAACCATTCGCTTTGGAAGATGTCAGGTGTTTCTGGGATGATGAAACGCAGAAACGGACAGAAATTGATCGCGAAAAGAACCGACGAATAAAATTCATTGAGACTGAGATACTTTATTCAGATTATCATTGATCTGACAAATCGCCTGTTCAACAGTTATTTTCTCTCATTAGAAAGAGTTGGTGGAGTTGGCTATTCTTAGACGGAAAAAGTATTACCTTCAAAATACAATTGCAATTCTCATCTTCCCGGGATGAACCGGGTTCCAAAGAATGGATAAAGATTACACATGAAAAGGTAGTGCTATACCACAAGCACGTCAGGGTTTTGGACAGAAAAAGAAAAAAAAACGATCCATCAATACAAAGGAATTGAAAATAAAATTTCAGAATTCGAGCGAAATCTCCGTTTTGTACTGTTTGGTCTCAAGATTTATACTCCCAAGGTACAGAACTGTTCCATAATGGTCTACTCTAACAACACCATGGTGAACAAATTCAACTTGTGAGGGACGACGTCCGTTATACTTTAGGAGTTCGCGTTGGAAATTCAAAACATTGGTAACCTAAACAGTCTGCAAATACAAATATACACACATACCCGGAGTAGAAAGTAAAATAGCAGACCACCTCTGTCGACGACCAATACCTCTGTATGAGAAGTCATATCAATGCTGTAATTCAAGAAACTGGCCCACTCTGGGACCATGTGATGAAGACCGACGCCTTCGCAGCGCATCATAGCAGGAAACTTTCAACGTTTTTGGAGCTTGAATATGGATCTCGACATAGTGTTCCAACCAATTGGGCCAATGCCGAACCTATTCATGCATTGTAATGAGCGGACAAGACTAGAGGGCGCGATAAAAATAAGGGCGGACGAAATAAATATGAAAGCAGACAGAAACAAGACAAATCAAGACAAAAGGCCCGGATCAGGGCTGGAAAACAAGGGCATACAATCATGGCTGACACAAGTAGTCAAGATAATGTTGCAAACAAATCCTCCAACATTGCCTGAATTATACGATTTCCAAGCAGTTGTTGACTTCTTTATCGCCAATAACCAGCTACCTTACCCAACATTCAAGGTACATCGTTCGTCGGTTGCCATCAAGTTCCTACGCCCTCACTCGATATCAATTGGCACATACGCATTGAGCAAAATGTGTTTCAAAGCCAAGATGTGATCACCACTTCCATGCATATGCTGTCTTGGCATGCCCATGTGTATTTGGTCTTGCGGTGTTTGGGAGTCTATAGGGCAGGTGCCTAGTAGCAACAAAATAAAAACAACAGTGTAAGACACCTTTTCAATTTCTCGAGAGAGTTGAGCATCGAAATAGGAAGAAGAATAATTACCAAGAGTGGATATGGACACAAGGTATTTTTTGATGTGAGATGATCCGTGAGAGAATAAAGTGTGATTTGCTTAGCTAATGATCGATACAGATTATTATTTTTTTTATATATACTGGTGAATGGAGCGAATAGATGACGGATAAACTAATAACAGGCTGTGTGTGCAGTATGGGTTTGGAGATGAGCTTGATCCACACGAGAGAAAATGAGAAATAACGCGATAATATCTTGGCCAGAGCCTCCTCTAGAATTCGATAATAGATTATAGAATTCATGCCACCATCATCAATTTTTGTAATGTAGCCAGAGCCCTGTGCAGTTACACAGATACAAAGCATGCAATATTACCATCGCTATACTTGTATATGATTGCGCAAAGGGTTCTCCATTGTTATACCATGTCCATTCCTTTCCATCAGATCCTAATCAGTTTACTTTAGTTTCATCACTGAAGATAACCAGCTTCCAAGCACATAAATTCAATGTTGATGCTTTTTTTTTTGGCGAAAGCAAGACGAGTTTTTCTTACCACTAGCCATCAAAGGGAAGTGCATCACGTTTTTTGCGGAACTGATAACCAGAGTTTTTTAGGTGATTACGGATGGTTTCAGCTGATATATATGATACTCATCCGCCTGTAGCTCCCTGGAGGCGTGGAAAGAGGTTTTGTATTTACCAGAATTGAACTTGTGCAGTATGATATGACCGAGGGTCGTCCATATGGAGCATCAGTGCTGATGCGATCGATGGAGTGCCGTTAGATCTCAAGGTGTCTCGAAATAGACCAAATAGACTCTCCAGAGTTCAAACGAGCCTGACTATTTTTGGTGGGTGGTGTGAGAGATTGCAGACGTGCTGGTAATTCAATGCGAAATTGGGATGACGACTAATTAGACTGCAGACGAGGTGATTGCAAAATCAGGATGCAGTAGAAGGGGCAAAGGTCCCCTAACAGCACTCTTTTTGAGTACCAAAAGTTGGAGTCCATGTATACTGTGACACTGGTGGGAAAAAAATAATTCATTGCTGATCTCATGAAGGTAAAAACTATAATGAGTGTTATCTCTTGATCTACGGCACCTAAAAATCTGCAACTTCTCATGAATGTCTCTATATCAGCTACCATCCTACAAAAATAATATGGGGTGAATGGGATCATCATTTGTCCAGCAATCGATACAAGTGGTACAATAAATCAGCATCTCCTCATCATCTGTCAATGGGATTGCTTTCGTCTATACCTCGGCCATTTCGCAATAAAATAACGCCTTTTTTTCCGCAGTTGCTCACAGCTATTTGTAGTATATTTCATTTAAATTTGGTGTTAATCTCATCATTAGATGTTGAGCTATTGTACAATGCGCTTTGTGGTCACTCATTGATTCAGCGAACGTGCGTAACTCAGGAACCAATGGTTGGATCGGCATCCAAAACTTTCATGCATATAGAAAAGCTCTAAACAGTTTCTTTATGCTGAAATCAACAGTTTGTGAACGGTTGAAAGTTATATATTGATCAGATCTGTATCCCCCTGAAGATATTGATAAGAAAGCCCTCTTACTTGCACTTTTCTATACTTCTGTCAACCGTGACTTTAATAAGCTCTGTACTTTTCTTAACTCACTAATCCTGCTCTCTGCACATACTGCAGGTCTTGATCCAATCCTTTTCCTACCGATGTCTCACCATGAATGCAGCCCTCCCCTTTGCTGGTGCTACGGATACCTTTCTGATACACTACGCCCCATGCACTTCTAGTCACCACCATTTGATATCTTGCTTCTACCTTTTGTGGTGTTTGTGAATAAAAAGAAGTGTAAAACAGAGAAAACCTGAAATCTTTTGAGACTCGGATTTATTGAGAAACAAGAGAAGGGAAAAAAAGCCCAGATTAATTCTTCATTCTATGTCTGCTTATATACAGTACTTTATGACGAATCGTCATCTAATTGATCGTATTATAATAAATTGTTTATCTTGTAGGTATTGCCATAGAACGTACTGTGGATGAATGACAAGAGTATACAGTTGTTCTTATGACTTTTTGTTGACAAGGAGACGGTGAATTTGGGAATGTGAATCGCATGATTGTTTTATGAGGTTTATCTTCACTGATTAGGATTTGGGTGTGGTACAACTTAGCATATTTGAACTGCGAACGTTTTGAGGATGAGAATTATCCATAGCCATGCCCATAATGCGAGGAAGGAGGACTTGATGTATGTGAATACATTATTTATACCGAATATAACACTTTTTATCTTGGCTTATTAATTTCCTCTGGATCCTACTCCAGATATAGTAAACCATCTACTCAACAAATTGCTAAGCAAAAAAAGCTCTCTGTCCTAATAATCATTCTGCTCATTACTTCTGACAGCATAACTGGCTCACTTTGTTTCTCTCTTTGCTTGAAACTTGATAAGTGTTATTCATCCCAAGGATGATTTAATTTGACTTATTTTGCCTCTCCTGCTCTGGGCACTGGTTTTTTATACTGGCTCATCCCACTAAATGATTCTGGATAGTATTGCATTTTTCTTTCTTTTCTCTTTTTCTTTATTTTTTCTCCTACAGTATTTTTGACTACCTGCCACCCTATGCTTCCTGTGCACAATTTTACTCTTGTTTTCTCAAATGGGTTTTTTGCATTAGTACTAGGCCCTATAGATCTCAAGGCAAGCAATAGTCCCCAACAGATGCATTGTCATGACATTAAAACGATGTTTCTAACATGCAAAATCTACTCTAATCACCTCTACTATCCTATTCATTAGTCTCAATATAATTATCTCTCGCAATGTATAAATACTTTCATATAAAAATAACAAATATATTGTCATAAAAATTTATCTTCATGACTGTCATTGCCGATTTCTGCTGCTCTGGTTATTCCTCGAACTCTCTTTAATTTTCCTGCAGCTCTGTTTGAGTTTCATCTACTGACATACTATTTTCTCTCAATCAATGTATTGTTTTCCATTAGTCAATATACTGAGCTCCATTAAGCAATTTATTATTTTCCATTGATCAATCAATCAAAAACCATAGCTAGAGAACAGTGTAGCTTTATGTCATGACCATTCCTACACACACATTGTCTTGGTGATAATGCATGACCATATACATTATTGAGCCAAGCACACTCCTTCACTTTTGCCATGCTGGTGTCATGACCATTCCCGCACACACATTGTCTTGACGATAATGCATAATCATGTGCATTATTAGTCCAAGCACACTCCTTCACTATTGCCATGCTGATCCATGCGCTTGCGTCTATACTTACTCTTATGTTCTTCTCTATCGTTGTCCTTCCTCCTTTTATTGATCTACTATACAGTGGGTGTCAAAAGGGTTCGCATCGTCGTAGAAAATTCAGTTTTTTGCCTGTAACTTTTGAACTACGAATGCTAGTCACAAACGGTCACAACCATTCAATAGACATTGTTTACTTCTATTAGTAAGCCAAATTTGAAGTTCATAGCTTTGTTATTGGATGAGTAAACTCAGATCAAAGTTAATTAGTACATGCGAACCCTTTTGACAGTTATATTAAATGATCAGATTTTCTGAGTTTTCTTATGATAATCTAATCTAAAAAAGAAATACAAGTATCATTATGAGTCATTTAAGTCACAAAAAGATATAAAAAGAGATTAATTTTTGTCTTCTACCTTCATTATCTTTCTTTATTATCTCATTATGAAATCCATCTCTTCTGATCTCAAGAACTCCATTCTCACTCTGCTACAACAAGGTGTTTCGGTTAAGAAGACTGCTACTCAACTTGGTATAAGTCAGGGAACAGTTTCCAAGTATAGAAACAAGCATCTCCCTACTTTACCTAAGGTTGCTACTGGTAGAAAGCCATTAATCTCCAAGAAGACTAAATCTTTCATCAAAAGAAAGATGATTTCTGGTGAACTCAAGTCTGCTGTTGATGTGACTAAACATCTAAAAAGCTCTGGTGATGAAGTCTCTTACTCTACTGTGATCAGAACTTTGAAGATCATGGGTTTTGAAGCTAAAATCAAAATTAAAAAACCATTTTTATCAGCAAGACACAAGAAGGCTAGATTACAATGGGCCAAAGCTCATCAATATTGGACTATTGATGATTGGAAAAAGGTTGTCTGGTCTGATGAAACCAAGGTTAATGTCTGGGGGTCTGATGGTAACAAGTACTACTGGAAGAGGAAGACTGATGCTATGCAAGAGCACCATTTAGATCTTACTGTTAAACATGGCAATGGATCTGTTATGATGTGGGGTTGCATGACTTACTTTGGTATTGGCTATGCTTGTCAAATTCTGGATGATACTATGAAGAAAGAAGACTATATTCACATTTTGGATACTCATTTGAGGCAATCTTTAGATTACTATGGTATCTCCTTTGGTGGTGAAGATAAGATATTTCAGCAAGATAATAACCCAAAACATACTGCCAAATTAACTAAAAAATGGATGGAAGACCATAACTTGCAAGTGTTACCATGGCCAGCTCAGTCTCCAGACTTGAATCCCATTGAACTTCTATGGCATCATCTGAAACTCAAGCTTAGTATGTATGAAACTAAGGCTAAAGGAGTGACTGAGTATGAGAAAGAATAGATACTGAATGGAATCAATTTACAGCTGAAACTTGTAAGAAGTATATAGAAAGTATGTCAGATAGAGTTCAAGTAGTTTTGAAGGCTAAAGGAGGACATACAAAGTATTAAATAAAAAATATTCACATCTGTCAAAAGGGTTTGCATGTACTAATTAACTTTGATCTAAGTTTAGTTATCCAATAACAAAGCTATGAACTTCAAATTTGGCTTACTAATAGAGGAACAGCCACTACCTCTAAAACGTATCATGAATATTGACGACCTCACAATATCATGATACCACACCCATAGACAAGTAGCAACACTTCGTTTATGCTACCCACGTCAGCACCCCCTCTGACCTTTTTAGTTATTTAGCAATACAAACATATCTTTAATGATACAATGCTTTATTTTTAATTTAAATCTTATATTTGTTAAAAAAATAAAAAAAAATTGTATTTAATGATATAATTTACATACTTTTAGGTTATTTAAAGCATACTATAGATATTAATAGTTCCTCATAGAAGTAAACAATGTCTATTGAATGGTTGTGACCGTTTGTGACTAGCATGCGTAGTTCAAAAGTTACCGGCAAAAAACTGAATTTTCTACAACGATGCGAACCCTTTTGACACCCACTGTATGTGTTACCTCATGTTATGCTCTGCATTTTATTTATTTATTTTATTATCATTGTCTCTTCTGTTTTGCATCTTTTAGTATAAATATCTAATCTCTTTTATGAAATAAACCTAGGTTAAGAATTGTGTATTCTCTTATACTATCTTGTTCTTATCTTGGTTCTTTTCCTGTTTCTATTCTTGTTCTGATTTTGGTGGATGCAAGGAAGGAATCGAAAGCAGCTTGGCGGTACGATCGAAGCCAAGAGGGAAGGCGGGGAGGATCATCATCATCCGCAGGGTAGTCCAAGACCATTTTCTGCTGACGGAGATGAGAGAGCAAGGAAAGACGGACAGAAGAAGAAAGGAGCGACAAGAGGCAGTCATCCGGGAGATAGGAGACGCGAAGGTGGTATTTGAGAACGAGTGTATTGGCACGGAAAGACATGGAGGGAAGGTTGCAAATATGGAGGAGAACTTTGGTAGAAGAGGTTCAATGGCCACCGACCAGCATGCGAACGCAGCAATCTTGGACACGATTTAACTCTCGGTAATCGGTTAGGCGAAGAGGGGCAATGGCGAGGCCATATTCCAACTTCGGACGGACAAAAGCAGCATAAATGCGGGCGGAGAAAAGAAGAGGGAAACCATTGCGATTCAAGCCCATTTGGGCGAGTTGAGCCATGCTTGCCAACGCAGCAGAGGAACGAAGTTTGATCAGCACTGGTACCGAAATACCTTTGCTGTCAAAAGGGACACCCAGGTAAGTGAACTCATCGACCGAAGGAAGAACCTCGTCATAGAGACACAACTGGTTGATGGAATGAGAAAGAATGGAAGGGGCATTGAGCACAGCACACTTGGCTGGACTCCATCTATACCCGAGGGTAAAAGAATGGGTTTGCGCAAGGGCCAGCATGTTGGAGACATCCCTAGCAGAACCAACCAGGGCCACATCATCGGCATAGAGCAAGCAATTGATGGGTGTAGGTGTGGGAACTTGGGAAGCAGTGAAGGGGGACTGGCACGGACCATAAGGGAGACCAATAGGTGCTGGCGCAGTATCACCGTGGGATGAACCAGGTGGAGCAGAAGGAGACAAAGAAAGAACGGAGGGGGTTGAAGCTGTAACAGCGGAACGGAGAAGAACAGGAAGGGTGTTGATGTAAATCGAATAAAGGTGAGGACTAAGGACGGAGCCTTGGAGAACACCAGTATGTGGATGGAAGGATGAGGAGGTGTGGTTCTGTAAGAGAACGGAGATGGTGACATCGTCGAACATGTTTGCCAGGAGAGACACAAGAGAAATGGGGGCGGAGGAAACAAGCATGGATTGCCATATGATACGTCGGTCGACAGTATCATAGGCTGCTTTGATATCCAGGAACGCAACAACAGGATAATGATTGTGGTGATCGCAGTAGGCGCGCATCAAGTCATGTAAGCAGAGGGCTTGATCCAACGCGCTACGTTGATGCCGGAAACCGCCTTGGGCTACATCAAGGACAGGGGAACCACGTTCAACAAAAGGAATGAGACACATCTCAAAAAGTTTCGGATGACAGAGGTGAGGGAAATTGGGTGGAAATTTTGAGGAAGGGTGGGATCGCCTTTTTTATGGATGGGCACCACTTGGGCATGGCGCCAGAGAGAAGGAGTGTAGGACTATTGAAGGCAGATTTCGAAAAGTAAGGAAAGGAGTGGGGCCAGATGAGAACGAAGAGGCAGGAGCATTTCTGTATGTAGATGGTCAGCACCAGGTGCTTTACACACAGGAAGTCGTTGCATGGTGGATTCAATTTCATCGGCAGGGAACAAAATGGGAAAGGACTGTGATGGGCCGGTAAACGGAAGTTGGCGCGAGAAGGAGGGAAGAGGTAAAGGTCGGGTGAAAGGAAGAGAGAAACCCGAATAAACCGATGCAAGATGATCGCACATGGCTTGTGCGCCCGCTGCAGGGCCATCTGGATGGGAAAATCCAGCTTGTTGGCGGCGTCTGTTTCGGATCATTTTGACCTTTGGACATAGCGCGGGAAAATTCACCTGTGGCCAGAGTTTCGCAAAATTCACGCCAAGATCGGCACTTGGCTGATTTCACTGCAGCACGGAAACGTTGGTGAGCTTCTTGGTGGTCATCCCAGAGGGGTACCTTATCCAATCCACGAGCACGATGCCATCGACGATACGCTGTATCGCAGGCATCAGCAAGGGCTTGGAGTTCGGTGGACCAGAAACTTTTCCAGTGAGCAGGACGAGGAGGACAGGAACCAACAGAACGATCAAGAGCCGAATGTATGGCATCAATGAGGGATGCATTTAATGAATCGATGTCTGGGCGGGAAGAAGGAGGTTCGGTATGAATGGAAACAAGTTGGTCAAGGAGTGGAGCAGAAAATGAGTGGAAGGAGTCTTGATACAGAGAACGGACATCATCTTCACGCAAGCGTGAGAGATTCCAAAGGCGACGAGTAGAAGTGGAGGGTGGAGGCGCAGGATGATCAACAGGGATCGTGTAGTCAAAAGACAAGGACATCAATTTGTGATCAGAGCCTAGTGAGAGATCGGAGGAGATGGTGATGGTAGGATTGAGGACGCAAGGGATGTTGGTGATGAAATAATTGACAATACTGGAGTACTCTATATTGTTGTGGAAAGTAAGGAACGTGGGGAGGCCATAGGCAAGAGATGAATTTAAGATGTTCAAAGAACGCTCTTCAACCCAGTCTCGGAGAAGGTAACCACGGCTGTTGGTGATAGAATCACCAGTGTCATCACCAAGACGTGCGTTCAAATCACCACAGATGATGGTGTCGTCAAAAAGAGGGAGTGAGTGGAAGATGGAGGCAACTTCATCATTGGGTAATGAAGGCGGGATATATAGACAGATGAGATGGAGGAAGCGACCAATGCATAGCTCTAAGGCATACTTATTGTGGATGGGGAATTGGGTAACAGGAAAAGGAAAGAAAGGAGAAATGAAAGCGGAAACACCTTGGGAACTATGGTAATTACCATCGACGGGACAACCGTATATATGGTGTTGTGGCCAGGTAGTTTTGATTCTGTTGGGCGGTAGCAGCCAAGTTTCGGTAATAAAGATCAGAGAAAAATCTTGGCAGTGACGGAGGAGATCATCAACCAGGGAAGCTTGGAGGCCATTGGCATTCCACAGACCGATGTTGAGAGGGATGGTTGGTGGAAGGGAGGATGCGGTTGGGAAATGAGTGGCAGGAGAAAGTGGGGAAGGAGTGGAAGTATTAGTGTGACGGACCATCATTAGAGAGCATTTGTGACCATGTCAGTATCCTCGTCTTTATCTTTACGGGCAGAAGCATTAATGTCGGGAGGGGAAGCAGGCGCACCACGGCAGGAGCGCAGAAGTTGGAAAACATTCTCCTCAGTAAAGACACCAGCTTCAAGGAAGGAACGAGCAACAGGGGAGGCAAGATGGTAGGGGAGACAGATCACAGCCTTTTTACATCGGCTGAAGTGGAGGGTTTCAGCGAACGTTTCTTGTTCCTCAAGAGGTAGACTCTTGATTTCTGGATCCGCGAGGTGTATAGGATCAAGGGGGTCAAAGTCAGCAAAATGTTTGATCGTATGCTTTTCCAGGGAGGCAAGGACAGTGGGACGATACTGGTTGTGGACAAGAAGTCCAACAACAGAGTGGGCAGGAAAAGTGATGTCGAGGATTCTATATGGGTCAATCCCAAGGCGATGGAGATGAGAACGGGCTTCTTGACGGGTCAATCGGTGGGAATGGGGGATATACAGGTACTGAAAGCCACTAGGGCCTTCAGTCTCCTTGAAAGTGCACACGGATGCAGCCAAGCTGTGCACGGCCCACTTTGGGTGAACAGGTCGGTGTTTTTTGGACACAGCGGCCCAGGTGGATTCATCAGAGCCCAAAGGGCTCGGCGAGGTAGCCTTAGCAGTGGAGGGGGCAGCAGGAGGGGCTGCACTAGCATTGGCACCAGAGGTACCAGCTGAAGCTGCAGCGAGACGGGCTTTAAGAGCAGCATTCTCAGCACAAAGTGTTTCCACCTCAGCGAGGAGCGCACTGAATTGGTCAATTTTCGCAGCATGCTGCGAAAATTGCGTGGTCAGGAATTCAATTTGGGCTTGCATGGCCTCAAATTGTTCATTGGAAAAAGGTGACATAGAGGGAACGTATGCCGCCATCGGTGTTGGAAATAAATTTGGATCGCGATGCGGTCCGGACAAAAGATTCAACTCGGAGTTCGAAGAGGCAAGCGGGGAAGCGGCAGTGGCAGCGAGAAAAGAGTTATTGGTGCTTTCGTTAGTTGGATACACTTTTTGAAAAATGGTAGTATCTCATGAACGAGCAGGTGAATAGGGCTGAAGATTGGTGATGTAGGTCCAGTCAAACAGATGTACGCTGTAGCAAAAGATGACTGATGGATGGAGGGTGTGGATGCGTGAGAAGAGAGCTTTTTTTATGACGGGAAAAGATTTTTCCGATGTATAAAGGGCAAAAAGTTATGGAAACCGGAAAAAGAGGTCCCGGCTTTAGCTCAGTTGGTAGAGCGGAAGACTGTAGTGCTATAGGAATCTTTAGGTCGCTAGTTCGAATCTGGCAAGCCGGATTTTTTTATTTTGTCGTATTGTCATTTGTCTGTCGTATGTCGGACCTGTTAGCGGTCCTCTAAACGTTTTGTCTTAATGACTCACGGTTCGTAAATATCAACAACAAAGCTCAGTATGAGTAATAGTCGATATATCATGAATAGATAGCATTGTCATAATAGAATATAAAAAGAAACCCCAAAACATTGAATAAACATCATCATTCGTTTTATTGTCAATCCTCGTCTATTTACTTTGGTGATCGTGCAGTTTATCAGATCCAGTAAATACGACATTTGGTAGCGGCTGTCACTTTTATTGTTTATGGAACCAACCGATTTGCCTGTGACAGACATCTCCCTGATTACTGAAGACGACAAGAAAAGATTTGAAATCGAAGACCGTGTAGCCAATTTTTTGCCCGTCGATCTTATTGCCGAATATCAGAAGTATCGACAAATTAAACACATCCCCGCCAAAGACAGACTCAAATCGACTCCAGCACGTGAAGAATTCTGGAGTAAGCACGCAAAGAACCTCGCTGATAATTTCAAGACTCGCCTTATCACATCCAAGACCCCTCATCACGAAATGAGTGACGCCGCCCCTTTGACTCCTTCGCAACCCGCCGCCACTTCCTCTGACTCACTGCCGCCCCATGTAGCTGATAGCGTTCCCCATGGTATCAAACTACCTCCGCCTGATACCTACCACGGTGATCGTGTCGCAAGTGTACTTGACAGCTGGCTCCTTTCTATCACTCGATACTTCCAACTCAACATGCTTCCTGCCGACCGATGGGTACCCATGGCTGTTACTTTCCTGCGTGGACGCGCCCTTGTTTGGTGGAATTTGCTCGAGACCCAACGCTCTGCTCCTTCCACTTGGATCGGGTTCAAGAATGAACTGATCGACCAGTTCCGCCCAGCATACTCCCAGCAAGCAGCCCGTCGCCGTCTCCGTGAACTTCGACAAGTTGGCTCCATCTCGGATTTCGTGGATACGTTCCAGTCCATCCGCCTTGAACTTCCCGGCATGACCGATGATGAAGCCACCGACCGATTCATTTCCGGTTTAGAACATGATGTTGCCGCCCACGTCATTCAGACAGACCCGGTCAGCTGCTCTGACGCTATGCGTATTGCCCTTGCGTTCGAAAATGGCCGTCGCCTTGGTTACAACGCTTTTCCCCAACAGTCGATGCGCACAAGCCCCTCTAGTTCAGATGTCACCCCCATGGACATTAGCGCTGTCGTTGCCGCCACCATTGCCCAGTTGAACTCCAACTAACATCAAGGTTTCCCCAATCGTTCTGGTCCTCCCCGGCGTTCCTCGATCAAATGTTACTGGTGTCGCCGTGAAGGCCACATCCAATTCCACTACAAGGAACGTGCTCATGCCATCCGCGAATTAGAACGTGCCCACAAAGCCAAATTTTCCCATAGTTTACATCATATCGAATCGTGTAATGATCATTCTCCGGAAATAAAGGAATCATCTTCTGCCCAGTACTCTCCCGAGATTTTATCTCTCCGCCATGATATACACCCACCTTCGGAACCTGGTCCCGATGACCTCCCTTCATCGGACTTGCCCCCAGTTCCCGACCGTCATGACCCTCCGGAATTTTCTGACTCACAATTCTTCCAGGCTATGAATGCCAGAAGTGTCGACCGCCTACCTCTGTATCCCGTCACCATTCAGGGTCACCGTTTCCTTGCCCTCATCGATAGTGGAGCTAGCACCAACTACGTCAGCCCTCGTGTCGCGCCTTTCGCCTCCCGTTTTACCCCTTTCACAGGTGGTCAAACCGTGGAAACAGCCAACGGCCAGCTCTCTGCTATTGAAGGCCAAGCCTCCATTACGGGTACGCTGTGTGATCTCCCCTTAACGTTCGATGCATTGGTCTTTGACTCTAAGTTCGATGTGATCCTTGGTACCACCTGGCTTAAAGATGCTTCCCCTATTCCCGATTGGACTGATCAGACTTGGACTGTTCAGACGGACGCTCGCTCCTATATTCTTCGCCCTAGTACCCATTCCGAATCCACTGATGGTGCCCATTTGCTCCTTTCTGCCAAGCAAGTCGCCAACCTTCTCCGTCGTAATGAAGCCCGCTGTTTCTTATTGCATCTCAAGCATGACCCTCCGCCGAACGACGACAATTCCGCCTGGATACAGCAACTGACGAACGAATTCACCGAAGTCTTTAGCAACGATATCACTGGGCTACCCCCAGATCGCAACGTGGAGCATATGATCGAAACTGGTGATTCCAAGCCTGTCCATCGATCTCCCTACAAAATGAGCCCACTTGAACTCGATGAACTCCAACGACAACTTAAGGATCTTCTGGCAAAAGGACATATTCAGCCGAGCTCATCACCATGGGGTGCTCCTGTCTTGTTTGTCAAAAAGAAGAATGGCGAGATGCGTATGTGCATCGATTATCGTGCCTTGAACAAACTGACAATTCGCAATAGTTATCCTTTGCCTCGCATTGATGAATGCCTAGATCGACTCCGCGATGCCCGTTTTTTCACTTCCCTCGATCTCAAGTCTGGATACCATCAAGTTCGTATTCGCCCTGAAGACGTTCCAAAAACGGCATTCAACACTCGCTATGGCCAATTCGAGTTTCTGGTCCTTCCATTCGGCCTCACCAATGCCCCTCCTACTTTCCAACGCCTCATGAATTCCGTGCTCAAGGATTGCCTAGACAAGTTTGCCATGGTCTATCTCGACGACATCCTCATTTTTAGTCCGACCATCGAGGATCACCGCGCCCATGTACACACCGTTTTGGAAAAGCTCCGCGAAGCTCAGCTCGTCGTTAACCCGAAGAAATGCCATTTTGCCCAAACCCAGCTCTCGTTCCTAGGTTTCGACATCTCCACAAATGGAATTCTCCCCTCGCGTGACAAGGTGAAAGCCGTTCAAGACTGGCCGGTACCCACCAACGTACAAGAAGTACGCCAATTCATCGGTCTCGCCCAACATTATCGTCGCTTCATCCCCGGTTTCGCCCACATTGCCGCTCCGATCACCGATCTCACTCGAGGCACTGGTGCCAAACAACGTTCGATCACTTAGACGCAAGAGTGCCAGCATAGTTTCGATCTCCTGAAGAGTAAACTCACTGAAGCGCCTCTCCTTCATTCGCCCGATATGACTCGTCCGTTCCGCATCGAAACTGACGCTTCCGATTATGGCGTGGGTGCTGTTCTGCTACAACAGGATGACACTGGTGATTGGCGCCCCTTGGCCTACAAATCGAAGAAACTGTCCCTTGCCGAACGACGTTTTCCCGCTCAAGAATGCGAACTAATCGGTGTTCTTCACGCTCTCCGTACCTGGCGCTGCTTCATCGATAGTCGAGAACGAAACTACTCCGTATTTGTTGATCATCTTTCCCTCAAGTCGCTTCGCTCTCAGAAGAACCCTACGGCCCGCCTGATCCGCTATCTCAACGAATTGGAATCTTACGACCCGGATATCCAGTACAAGCCTGGTGCTGACAACACGATCCCGGATTTGCTTTCGCGTGTCGGTGGCCCAAATTGTGAGCCAGCTCAAGACGATATCGAACCCAAGTACCTGTACACTATTGAGGCCGAAGACCCCCATGTCGACCCACAAAACGACTGGCCTCGTTTCTACACGCTCGATCCTTCCAACTGGCCCCGCCTAATCAAAGAAAAAATGGAAAAGAACAAAGAGCATTTCACAGTTCGGGACAAAATGGTGTTCTATCGTCCTCACAAGACCGGTTCTCAAGAGTTACGTTATGTCATCTTTTCCCGCCGTGCCGATCTCGTCGAAAATTTCCACAAGAGCTTCGGTCATTCTGGTGTCCAGACGCTTTATCACATCATGAAATCTCGCTGGTGGTGGCCAGGCATGGAAGCCGATATTAGATCCTGGATCAAAACTTGCCCTCAATGTCAGATCGTCGCCAATGAAAACCGCTCGATGCACAAGGCTCCGATGCATCCTCTGGATGTCCCTAGTGCTTTTTCCCGATGGCACCTCGACTTTATTGGGGAATTACCCACAACTAGTGATGGTAACCGATGGATTCTCGTTGCGGTGGATTACTCCACCAACTGGCCTATTGCCCGCGCTGTTCCGGACGCCACAGGTGAGGCCATCGTCAAGTTCATCTACGAAGAAATTGTGCTTCGCTTTGGTTGTCCGGATGAAATCCTCACGGATCGTGGCGCGAACTTTATGTCCAACGTTGTCTCCCGTTATGTTCGATTACTCCGTACTCACCACACGTTGACTTCGGCATTCCACCCGCGAACGAACGGTAAATGCGAACGATTGAACCAGACCTTGAAGAACATGCTCAAGAAATATATCAATGGTAACGTCTACGTGTGGGACCAACACTTGAACCAAGCACTGTGGGCTTGCCGCGTACGAAAACATCGGACGACAGGGTATAGTCCCTTTTACTTAACTTACGGCCGACATCCTCGACTGCCAGGCGACACTGCATGCCCTTAGATCCAACCGACCGAAACGGAACTAGCTCCGGAACTATTGGCCGACGATGCATTCACTTACCTCCGAAAGTTGCGTGAAGCCCGCGAGAAAGCCGAAATTCGAATGAAACGTAATGCGGAAGCGGACAAGAAAAAATGGGATGATGCCATGAGGACCGAAACCCAAATTTTCGAACTTGGTGACCTTGTTCTACTACGCCACGAAAATCGCAAGACCCTAGAACCCTCCTGGATGGGCCTGTATATTGTCATCGGCCGGAACCTGGACACCGACACCTATCAGATCCACGAAATCCAAGGAAAACAATATGCATCCTGGGTACATACCGACCGTCTTCGCCCCGCTCATACGACTGACACCACGGCCAACCAATCTTGGTACATCCCTCGAACGGCTCGTGCACAAACCCAAACCTCAACCTAGTCGGCTCTCCAATTTTTTTTCTCTCCTTCTCTTTTCCGTCTCGATCTCCTCATGGTTGTTCGCTGCCTTCTGTTTCTTCTTCTTT